GATTGTCAACGACTTATGAATAACTAAATCTTTCTTTTTTTTTTTTTTTTTTTTTTTTTTTTTTTTTGGGTTTTTTTTTTTTTTTTTTTTTTTTTTTTTCCCTTCCTTTCCTTTAAGGCTTTCCAAAGTTGGGTTATAGGGCTTTGTTGTTATAGATAATTATCATATCACCACCACTCATCCTTTCTTTTCCCCTTTTTCCTGGTTAAAGAAATGTTCAAAGGTCTAAGAAAGAAGGCTTCTATACTCTCAATATACTCAGTTTCATCTAACCTGAGTATAGGTTCGTCGGCAGAAGCCTTTTCCGAAGCCAATGCGATCTCAAACTATGAGAAAATTATTAGTCAAGTGCATGATTTTGAAATTGCCCTAAAAGCAATGGATTATTTACTAGATGATCGCACAAAACAGGGCACGGACCTTTTATTGGAGGAGTCAAAGAATATTTCAGTAAATGGAAGTCCGCGTGCAATTTTCCCATTGGCGTTGGGTGTCATGGAGTTTATCGAAGCAACATTGGGGTTTGAGCCGGAAATAATGGCAAAAGCACACAAGACCCTAACAGACGCAGAGAATGCATCGGCAAACAATGCAAAATACAATGTGCGATCAAGATTGACTACATCAAATATATACCCCCCAGGAACAGAGTTTCAAGTTACTTTGGCTGAATCAACATTGCTAAATGCCTTGTTGATGTTATTAACGGAAAGCAATGGGGTGGTGGAAAGTGCAAAAGCTTTGTTCAAATTAAGAAAAGCGTATCAAACTTTGGATGCAGTTTACAAGAAGATTCAAGAGCTGGAACCTGCTTTCAATAGGAACTTGGCAAAGTTGCGAAAAATGGCTTCCAAAAATTCCGCAAACTCTCCTAATATGCCCGAGTTAGGTGTGTTTTCAGGTAGTACCGTTGATTTACCCGGTTACGAGTCACAAAATAGCTCCAGCAGTACCTTACCAGAAGATTTAAAATTAATCAAAAATTTGGAAAAGATTTTCCTTATGCGTAAAACAAGAATAGAGGGGTCCAACTTGGGCAATATCGAGAATGCAAATCTTTTTGCTGATCTGGAAAGCTCAATTAGTCTGAGTACAAAAATAAATGGTAATGGTAATGGTGTTGGTGTTGGTGTTGGTGTTGGTGTTGGTGTTGGTGGTGGCAAAGATAATTGTGATTTTTCAATCCTTCCTGAAGTGGAATCCGACGACGAGAATTTTGTAGACGCAGTGGAAAATTTAACTATTGAGGAACCTCAAAACTCGCTCATTGAGTCAAGTGCACAATCAGTTTTATCATCCATGGAAACATCTCCAAGCGAAGCTCAAAGCACAGATACTCACTTGCATGTTTCAACGACTGACGAATTTATACACTCGGGAGTGCAATTGTGTTTTGGAATACTACAAGTTGTTTTATCATTGATCCCTCCAGCCATTGGAAAAGTTTTGTCAATAGTAGGATTCAAGGGGGACAGAGAAACAGGGCTTAGGCTTTTATGGAAGACTGCAATCACTTCGAGAAACATACACGGCGAGTTGGCACTTTTATTCTTATTGGTGTTTTATGATGGACCAGTACAGTTTGTTGACACCGGCTTCCGTTTACCCAACACAAATGAAGAGCAAGGTGTTATTTCTCTTGAGAAAAAGGCCACAGTAAGTGATGCAGAATTGGCTCAAATCATGGATAGACCAGAGTCATATACTAGCCAGTTGTTGAAAAGAGCTCGCCGTCACTTTCCTCATAATGCTCTTTGGATACTACAAGAAGGCCGCATGTTGGCAGCAGAAGGAAACCTCAGCAAGGCAAGTTCTTTAATGCAAGATTTCACTGACGATCCAAAAAACAAGATACAAATGCAACAAATCGAAGCTTTATTGATTTTCGATCGAGCAACAATCTACATATATATGCACGAGTACGACAAGGCCGCCAGTGACTTGATATATTTGATAGAGATCAACTCTTGGTCCAAGGCAGTGTATCTATTCATGGCTGCTGCATGTTACCTTGAAAAGTACAGAATGGTGAAAATGCACTTGGTAAAGTGTGACGACTATGATGAAGCTGCCACAAAGTACTCCGACTTGTTTACCAAGTATTTGAAACTTTCATTGAGCTATGTACCAGGCTATGGTCCCAATGCTCAAAAAAAGGGAGGTTTGGGAGGAAGCGGGAAACAAATGCCCTTTGATAAATTTTTGTTACGAAAATGGAAACATATCGAAGCCAGGAAGAAGCAACCGCAGCATCACGGGTTATCATATGCCGATGTTGTTGGAACTTCATTAATTCATGAACTAAACTATTTCTGGAATGGTTATAATAGAATGAGCCCCGAGGATTTTAAGTTAGCTTTAAAGCTATTAGGATATTCAGGAGCTCCAAATACAGAATTGTCCGCAAATACTCTTGACCATTCATATACCAAAGTCGAAGAGACTAAAGATGAAGCAATGATTAGATATTTCTTACAATCGGTTGCTTTACGTGAACTAGGTGAAGTCAAAAGGGGGTTGAACATCTTAGATGAGCATGTTATTTCCAAGTTTGTTATTTCAGAAAGTCCAGTATTCAGATTTCACAAAATGACATATAGTCCCTATCTTTATCCTACAGCTTTCTACGAAAAAACCATGTTTGTTTGGAAACTTGGTACTATGACAAAGTCTAAGCTAGATGTAAGTTCTGCTGTTGCAGAAAGTAAATCTTGGTTGAAGAAAGCTGAAATAGTCGGAGAGGGTGATTACGAATTGAGCAATAGAACTAGCATGAAAATCAAAGCTGCAGGTGACAGGCTAGACCAGTTAAAACGAGCATAATGTGAGCGAAGTTGAGCGAAGTTGAGCTAAGCCAAGCTGACCTAACACGACCATAAGCCAGAAGGATATCAAAATGGAGGAAAACATAAACTTCTTTCTCTCTTTTTATCTTTTTTTTTTTTTTAAACAACAACATATAGATCATTTATAAAACTTAAAGTTCTGTTCTTTTTCTATTTTTCTTCTTCTTTATAAGGTCTCTATTGAAAGTATATGTTAATAATTTTTTGCGCCACATTAAATCTGAATATAATTGTAAGTAGCCAACCCAAGGCTAATAATGGCAATACGCCAGCTACCACAATTAATTGTAAAACTCTAGCAGGATTTTTCAGATTCAGTTTTGTTACGGTTGAAGCAATAAAAGGTAGCGAATTGAATCCATAAAATGAAACAACAAAGTAGTACCCAATAGTTCCAAAATATAACAGATTTCCTAGTAACAAGGCAATTATTGAGTATCGCTTGCGTATAATCGGAAGTAGTACAAATTGTACAACGTAAAGTAAGCACCAAATCATCAAAAATGAATTGCAATGTATATCAAAGCAGAATCCCCATTCGATGTAGTGCGCGCTATACTGATTCAAGCCCATATCCAAATTGAATAACTTATTTGTTAAGATCCATGTTAATGTTGCTACCACAATACCGCTTAGATAAAAATCAACAAAGACCATGTATACAATCAATTTGCAAATATCCCATACATTTGGCAGGTACGCACAACCCCATGCGATTGCACTAATACAGAGAAATCCCGTGACTAGAATCAAAAACGAAGGATCGTCCCTAGTATAGGATGTTTTCCCATCAGGCTGTTGTTGTTGTTGTCGATAATAGTAGTGAGATCTGTACATTTTCCGAGGATTTATCACCAAATGAAAAATCTCCCAAACGGCAGTCTCAAAGTCTAGTGTACTTGGTTTAAAAAGTCTTTTAGCCATTGTTTTGATCGACTTAAACCTGTTCTTCAAATTGGAAGAAGACCTACCGCGATAAAGTGTATTTAGTGGAATATATATTGATGATGGAGTCGATATTATCGATCCGGCCCTAATACTCTTACTCCCATTATTCTTTAAGGAAGCCGCTTGAGGAAACAAGTCTTGGGTCGTATAAGGTAAATTGACTCTTTTGGACATTTGAAAAAAATGGGCGGGGGGGAGGAGGAGACAAGTATCTGTAGAATCAATTCGGTTTTTGGCTTGATGACCCTCTACTGCTAGTATTGAAATGATTGAAGACAAGGTGGAAATTGTCAAGCGTCATTTGACGAAAAGAGCCGAGCCATTCAATGTCCGAAAAGTTTGCGACACACCGAAAGAAAAATACAAATAAATAAGAATATGAATTAAAGGTGGTGGTTGTACAACTAAACCTTTCTATTTAGACAGAGCTTGTAGTGCAGCTTGTAGTGGGAAAGAATCTCTCATACTCTGAATTCCACATTTTCCAAAGATCGAAATTGTTATCTGTATATTTGTATGAGCTTTTCTTTGTATCGCTGTCCAAGACGAAACTTTGGTATCTAGTCATAAATCCTAAGATTCCAAATTTATTATTTTCAGCACAAGATGTTTCTTCTCTAGAAGAAAATCTGAATCTAACGTTATTGTATTGTAAAAGGATTGTTTCGCTTTGAATTTTCCAACTATAAGGTAAGGCATCTGGTTGCGACTTTTCCGAGTTTTCAGGTTTACACTCCTGAAATAGATCTTTGTAAAACATCACTTTTTGTTGGGTTCTATTCAATTTCGGAATAATGTGTGTATTGGTCTCTTGAGATGCATTGCTAGTATCTTTCACCATTTCGTTTAAAATTTCACTGATTTCTGACGGTTTGAGACTACTAAAAATGTTGCTGTCATTGTCTAGCTGCTCAACTGGATATTGCGTTTCAAAGTCGTTAGGTGCCCTTTCTTTGAATTCAATCGGTATTTCATCTTCCACTTCCTCAAAACTTTGTTCATCGTCATGATCGTCATCATACTCTTTCAAATTGGCTAGTGAAATCACAGATTTAAGTCGACTCATTGATACCAACGTGTTTATTCTTGTTTGTGCCACTTGCCGCATCCTTTGATACATGCCAGTTTTCTTCAAATCCAAATTAGAAACATCTCTGTTCAAGTTACTAATTGAATTATCTATTGTCATATGCAAAAGCGCCGAGTTGGCCGTAGGTCTTTTCGTATCGTATTCATCTGTTAGCACTTTAAATGGACTAATACCATCTTTATCACATTTTGATTGTATAGTATTCAGATTTTCGAAATTTGTCTGTAGTGATGAAGTCCGTTGAGAGGATCCTTCGTACAGATGGTGTTTTCTAAGTGCCGGCTTTTGTGATTTCATTTGAGCCGGTAGTTTCAAATGAGATTTGTCCAAGAAAGAAATATTCCTCAACTTGGTGGAGTTAACATTAGGTATTCCATGAGCGGAAACTGAGCGTAATAACGACGGTTTTGCCCTAAAATTTGGGTTTTGATGTGGCAAAAGGTCATTTGAGACTCTGGTAAAACTCCTCTGAGAAGAGCATGAGATGCTTCGACAAATCAGCTTATCCTCTGGGAAACTTTTTTGGGAATCCTTGCGACTTATCACCTTATCCTCTGGGAAACTTTTTTGGGAATTCTTGCGACTTATCCGCCGCCCTCGCTCCTCATCAGGTACACTAGTGGTGCCTTTTCGCTGTAATAGATCCGACTTATTTTTCATTTGCAATTGCAAAGTGCAACTGAAAAACCACTGAAAATAAAAAAAAAAAAAAAACAAAAGGAGAAGAAAAGGTCAATGGTATGGTTTTGTAGGTAATCTGCCCTTTAATATCTCATAACTCTGTTGATCATTTTGCAAGAGTGTACTCATAAAGCGCTTATCTTCACGTGACCAAATTAATAAGCTATTGTTTTTCTTATTCTGTTTTTGTTTTTTTCTTTCTTTTTTTTTTCAGTTATTGTAATCTTTCAAATTTCGGTTATCAACGAATAGGAAAACAGCACATACAACCACACATACAGAAAAGACCCTGATAACTAAATGAGCTAGGCAAATGATCAAAAACAGATCAAAAACTTATGGATAACTTTTGTTCGCTAATTTACGCTCTCTGATCTTGCCGCTTATGCTTATTTTTTCTTCACACACGGATGTTTTTTTTTTTTTTTCATCTCCCCTTTACGTCAAACTCGAGTAAACCCATAACCAAATTTTCTCCTGCACTCTTAATCAATGTTTTTCTTCGAGAATTTGTCAATTCGGCCAAATTGATAATCTGCAACTTTTTCTCCAAAATTGTTCCAACCTTATCGGTTTTGTCAATTGCAATAATTTCTTCAAACACTTTTGACAAATCTTCCACGGTTTTGTTTAAAAAATCTTGATTTGTTTCAAATATTTGTGAAAAGTTCAGCAGCGCTAAGTAAAACGCAAAACAGTATGTCCATTTCAAAGTCTTTCTCCCATTTTGCAATGCTCGCATCGCGTCGGGCAAGAATTGAATATCTGTCCATGATAGGTTGCGTTCGCCTTTGTTTCTTCTATCCTCCATGTACAATTTTGTTACGTTATCAATTTTTTTCAACGTTTTTATATCACCTTTCATTGATGATTCATGTATAGAGTACCTTTTGTAAAAATGCAAATATCTCTCCAATGAAGCTCGACTAAAGTTTTTCCGCACTTCTTCTTCGGCTCTTTCGTCTTTAAACCTGTTGCATGAATAATTATTGTTATGGCTTTTCCAATCACTTAGGCAAATCCAACAAAATTCATTACCGCATTTGCGGCATGTCATATGGTTACATCCACCGTTCTTCTCGATAGAAGTATGGCATTTTGGGCAGCCATGTGTATTTGCATCAATCCAATTAGCGGTTTCCGAATCATCTGCACATTTCTTAATCCATTTTTTGACAAGCCAACACGGACAAGGTAGGTGGTTTTCGTAGTTGCACTCAAAGCAAAATCCATGGTGCTCGGCGCAACCCACTATAGGCACTAGAGATATATCTGTATATTGACCCGATGACTCTAGGTTGCACAACGAGGATGAATTTTGAGGTAGTATTTCTGTAAAACTTGTACAATCAGTCGCGGGACACCATTTGAAACAACCTTTTGAATTGACATATTCTCTTGCGCTGGCAAGAATAAGTGGATTTTTTTTCAACGTTTTCTCGGTAACAATCAAATTCTGGCCATCCAGTGCTTTTGAGAAAAGTTGCTCAACGTCTCTATGAGGGATAGTATAGTGACACTCTGGATCCATGCATGTTATCAAACGGCCGTTATTGATCTCGATTGTTATATAAGAGGAGTAACACTTTAAGCAGTATTTTTGATTGCAAGTAGTTGAGTAAACTTCAATCTTTGGATACGTTTCGCAACAAATAGTACAGGAAAAGTTTTGCTCAATGTCAAATGTATTATTCGAAGGACAATCGGTTGGTAAACCACACTGTTGCATAAATTTCACTCTGTCTCCAAAATAAGCATCCAAAACAGCGTCCAGTTGCCATTTTTTGTATTGCAACATGATAAGTAAATCGCTTTCCGAGCAATTCCCCAATTGGACATTTTGAAGCTTTTTCAAAGCAGATAAGAATACTGTTTCAACAAACTTTTCTAAAGTCCAGGCTTGGTACAAGGTTCCGTTATAGCCTATACTTGTTGATTCACCCATAATCCTCGAGCTAGGTGTATCGGCAGCTTTGTTGTTGTCATTGTTGTCAAAGATGTCCATTGGATCTTCATTAGACTCGAATGAAATAGAGGAGGTATCGTCATCTAGAACATCTCCTTCGTCGTCATCTTCATTGTCGTATTCAAACAACATTTCACTTTCTTCGTCAGACATTATGAGACAAACAAAAATATCTTCTTTGACAAGTAAGGAGGCAGCTGCCTGGGATGTTCTATAGGTAAAATGGGCAATAATGATGTGAGGTATCCACTAAATCAGTCTCTTATGGAAATCACAAAAAAGTGAAAAAAAAAAAAAGGAATTTAAACGCGAAGATAGCGGAAACTGGCGGAATCGAAGACCCTAGTGGGAAAGAGAAACACGATCGAGGGAAGCGAGCGGTGGAGCAGCACTGAATACACCGAGGTGGAAAAAAGAGCGGAGGTGGTAAAGAGAGCGGAGGCGGTAAAGAGAGCGGAGGCGGTAAAGAGAGCGGAGGTGGCAATGGAAAAATAGTAGAGGTGGTGGTGGAAAAACAGTAGAGGTGGCGGTGGCGGTAGATAGGTGTGGTTTTTGACTCTTCCAATGGATGTAGATGGGGCGCGGCGTAGAATTGATAAGTAAATTAAATTGTATATAATTTTCACCTTTTCTACGAATAACAACCCATCTAGTGTCACTATATCAACTACTTAGTTTTCGGTTTCTTCTCCTTTCCTCCACTTTCTTTCCCACTAAAGTAGTCAAAGTCAAAGACGACTCTAGTGTCGCGGTGCCATCGCCTTCAACCTCGCTAGTGTCGCGGTGCCCATCGCGGTGCCCATCGCGTTCTCTCATAGAGGTAGTGTAAAAGTGCACGCACAACAGCAAAATTTTTCGCTCTCTCTCTTTTATTTTTTTTTGCGACTATAAAAGGAAACCAAGAGAAGCATCATTTTGAAAAATTGATTTTCTTCTTGTTCTTCAATCATCAGTAGTGGTTATTCTATATCTAATATATTATAACATACTATACAAAAATAAAGACTTATTTGACAAGCTAGGGAGGTATGGTCATCGATGAGTACCTTTTAGTTTGTCAAAACTACAACCCATATAGCTAAGTATTTTTATTGACCTTACTAACAATTTGGTTACAATAAATACTTCGTTTCGGTCTTTTAGATGAGATAACGGCATTTACATGTGTTTATACATTGAAGTTCTGGTAATTTAGTATCTTTGGATGCAATGATTATCCAGATTGAAGCATGGTGCTACATTTAAACTAGATTAGACTGTAGACTAGAGTGTAGACAAGAGTGTAGACTGTATTGACCTGCTCTATTTCAGTTGATTTTGCGTTTTTTTAGTCCTGTCAATAGAGTACAGTACAAGTTTTGAGAAGTAGTGAGCTGCTCTACTATCGAGCAGAGGGAGATAGTGTCACTAGTCAGTGTTGCTTAACAGTGTTCTTAAGAGTGCTGCTCCACTGTCTCGCTCTGCTCAATAGTGCGATGATGTGAGATGAGCCATTTTTTTCTTTACAAAAAAAGTGCGTGCAAAGGAAATGATCATCACCATTTCCTTTACAGGCACATTTCAAGGGTAAAGAGGCGTTTATTTACTATACAAAGACTTTCAAGCATCCCCCCCAAAGAGACTTTTCTTTTGACTCAAATCAAATCATTTCCTTGCCAGCAATTATATCTAAAGTGCTTTCATTTTATTGATCTAGTTTTACTCTTTACAATGGCTCATAGGTTATTAATGAATGTTATCTTCACCGGCGCCTCAGTTTTCGGTAGAGCTTTTACAGAGGCATATAAACAAGCAGCAAAAGCATCTGCTGCCAGTGCGGCTGCTGGAGGACCGGCCAAAGCTACATCTGTAGGTGGTATTTCAACGGAAGAAGCTTTGAAAATTTTGAATTTAAAAAAAAACGAGCTCACGATGGATCAAATTGAGGAAAAATACAATTATTTGTTCCAGGTGAACTCAAAGGAGCAGGGTAATTCCTTTTATTTGCAGAGTAAGATATATTATGCGATGGATACGTTGAAGAAGGAACTAGAGTATTTGGAAAATGTAAAGAAACGTCAAGAAGGTGGGGAAACACAATCGAGCTGATAAGTGTTGTAGCAAGCTACTATCGACACTCCACTATCGAGCAACACTATCGAGCAACACTAACGAGCAACACTATCGAGCAACACTAACGAGCAACACTATCGAGCAGAGCGAGATAGTGTTGTAGCAAGCTATTGGGTGTTGCTCCACTATCGAGTAACACTATCGAGCAACACTATCGAGCAACACTATCGAGCAGAACGAGATAGTGTTGTAGCAAGCTATTGAGTGCTGCTCCATTATCGAGCAACACCATCTCGCTCTGCTCGATAGTGTTGTAGCAAGCTATTGGGTGTTGCTCGCTAGTGTTGATAGTGTTGGTGACAGCTAGTGTTGCTCCATTATCTCGCTTCCCTCGATAGTGTTACTAGTCAGTGCTGCTCCACTATCTCGCTTCGCTCGATAGTGGAGTGTCGTCAGTGCTGCTCCACTATCTCGCTTCGCTCGATAGTGGATCCCTCGTATAAGAGTCAGAAAAAAAGTACAATACAACCCACTATACCAGCTCGCAAATCACCCTTTACAAGCTTTTACAAGCTCTTAAAACCTAGCAACTACATACAAGACAAGTTACAAAAAAATTCTTACAAATCCAACTAACTCCAATTATGCAGAAACCCCCATCTAATTACAATCTTGTATAGTTACAATCTTGTATAGTCTAGACAGAATTTTTCACTCTCGTTTTTTTTTTCTTCTTCTCTTAAAGGATTCTATACGAGCTATATAGTAATCATTATAAATGAAATCTATTGAGATATAGCACAATACAATTTCCCAGGTCTAAGCCTACCTTTTAAACCAAAAAACACAAGTATTAAATTATACGGCACCGTTTATAAAAATTTGATCCCCTATAAACTTGCCTTGTGTGTTGTCCTTGTATATCTCTCAAGTCTTTTGCTCACATACATACATATATATATATATTGAGAACATATCATAAAAAAAAAGAATTTTCACCCCCCACTCTCCCCAGTGTATTCAATGGCGAATCGGGAGGAGGACCAACTATTGCAAGATGCGTCGACTTTGTTGATGTTTGCAAATGTGGCGGCACAACAACAGCTGAATCAAAACTCACCAACACTGGCGGCAGTATCCCCATCGATGAATATCGCAAAAGCTTCCGAATCACAACAACCATTTACACAATTTTCCCCGCCTCTACAGCCACAAGTCATTGAGCTAAAGGAACCGTTTAGAGCACAGCCATATTATCCGCCGCCGCCGCCGCCGCCGCCGCAGCAGCAGCAGTTGTACTTCAAACAACGCCCAGTGCCTTTTGCACACACTTGTTCAGCAAAACTCCCACCTTATGGTGCATTTGCTTCTGCTTCTCTCAATGCAGAGCAAAGACAACAAGCAGAGAGCTTATCTAGAAGCAGTTCAGGCTCTATAACCCATGGAGAGGTTATCAGCATGCAAATACAGCCAGCGCATGAAAGTCAGCCGCAGCAGGTTCTGTTAGCTGAAGTGAAGCCACAAATAGAATTGCAAATACAGAGGAAACCTGTAAAGAGAAACCCGGTGAGCATATTGATGAATGAGAATGACCTCGAACTTGAAGCACAAGAAAACCAAAATGTACCACCACCAGCAACAACAGCAACAACAACAACAACAACAACAACAACAACAACAACAAGAACCGAGCAAATAGAACAAAATGTACCACCACCAGCAACAACAACTGAGCAAATAGAACAAAATGTACCACCACCAGCAACAACAACAACTGAGCATATAGAACAAAATGTACCACCACCAGCAACAACAACAACTGAGCAAATAGAACAAAAGGCGTTTACGCCTCCATCATCATCTTCATCATCTTCATCATCTTCATCTTCATCTTCATCATCATCATCATCATCATCAAAACCAATTCAGATTCCTGAAAAGAGTATTTCAGCTTTAATATCTCATCTGCCGAAAGCTTCTGTGGAAAAATCCTTATCGCCTGGCACACGATACGAGAGAGGAATTGATGTTCGAGCAAGGGAAAGAGACTCTAATAATGCAGTTATAGCCGCGGCTGCGTTAACAGTAGCTGCAGATATACCTTTCCCTTTGAAAACGGCCGAGGCGGGGCACCTGCAAACAAAACTCAAATCAGATGACCATAATGATTCATTAGTAAGTAAAGATAGTGGTGGTGAGCCCAAAGAGGAAGAAACAACAATTACTGAGACCGATAAAGACGCCGCTTTAGCAAAAGAGTTTAATGTTCCTCCTTTGTCGACTTATCAAGTGGACACGAATTCGGGTGTAATTGGATGTATATGTGGGATAGAGGATGATGATGGATTTACTATCCAGTGTGACATATGTTTTAGATGGCAACATTGTGTTTGTATGGGTTACGAAAATGGCGATGAAGTGCCTGAGGATGAATATAAATGTTATTATTGCGATCGTGAGAAATGGGGCAAATTTGACCCACTTGTTGCTCGAGAAAAGACTTTAGCAAGATTGGAGAATGAAAAGATTGAGCAAGAAGAAAGAGGAGAGAATAGCAGCAGCAACAACAACACTAACAACAATAACACTAACAACAACAATAATAATAATAATATTATTAACGATAATGTTAACAATAATGATACTATCAGTAATGAGAAACTGGGAACAGAAAGAGCGCAGCTTGGAAAAGGCGCAGAGGTCAATGCTCCGAGTTTGCCGAGTAATAAACGGAAGCAGCTGAATGTTGAAAAGGGCGAGAAGAAAAGAAAGTCTGAAGATAAAGGAGTTGGTAAAGTTTCGCCCGCATTCAATACACAACAAACATCAGAAACAAAACTGGAGGCTGAAGAAGTAGCAAATAAAAATAATGAGTTGCTTGAGCATGGTGTTACGGCTGAAGTTTACCAATCTGTTTATTACACTTTGAAAGAGAATGACTATAAGAGAAAGCACGTTAAAACATTTGTTGCTAATGCTGGTGTGGAGTTTATGAACGAGTTTATGCGTTTACCAAAAGCCGAGCAATTAAAGCGAAATTACCGAGGAGTTGAGGTTATGTCTTTGAGTCAATTTAAAAACTATAAATTAAGCAAGATTGTCCAGCCGAGATACTTGAAGTATCTTCAAGACCACAATAGATTGACCAAAAAGAAAAACTTTAATAAAACCAAAATTGAGGTAAAGTCGTACACAGACAACTCGAAACATAAGTTCAACGGTATCTCCAAGTTATCATTATTTATCGCCACTACAGATGAGTCATTGACGATCCCCGAAAACACTGCCATTATTGAGTATCTCGGAGAAATTGACTTTTTCAAAGATTATTGTCTCGATAATATTAACCAATACCCACTATGGGGAACAACAAAGCCCAAAGTTTTGAAAACCAGCATACCGGGTGATAATTCCTCTTCTCATGCAATAGTACTTGATTCGAGGTTTGTTGGCAATGAAAGCCGGTTTATTCGAAAATCATGTTTTGCGTCAGCAAATTGCAGAATTCAGCGTGTTTATATACCTGAGCAAAACAAATTCAAATTTATGGTTGTTACTTGTAAACCAATTGTTTTAAAGGGAGAGAATGCTGATGAAGAGTTGAGACTACCCTGGGATTGGGACTCGCAGCACCCCATTTTGAAGTTATACGAAAGTAATAGTCTGGAGAAGTTTGAAAACTTGACCACTGAAGAAAAATCAGCTTTGATTACATATGTTGACAATATACTTCATTTTGTAGAATGTGGATGTTCTACAAACTCAAATTACAATAATTGTGCAATATTCAAGATCAAGAAAGCTACTAGTTATTTGATGAGGTCAACTAGAAAGGCATCAAGTATAAGTAATATAAACTTGAGCAAATCAAAAGAGGAGTTAGTTTCACCTAGACCAGACAAAAGATATGTTAGTTGGGATGATAGAATGAAAGAACGTGATCTTGAGCTACAGAACACACTACTTTGTAAAAAGAGAACTCCATTAGTTGAAAAGGAGAATGCAGTTGTTAAATGTGAACTGGAGGCTGTAAAAGAAGAAAAAGAAGAAAAAAGAGAGCAAAATGTAGAAAACAAACCAGATGGATTTTTCAAACACCCTTATCAACAGGAATTGATTTTCGAGGCGCAAAAAGTAAGAAAGATTGACAGTGACGTTTTAGCAAATAGTCAATTTAACAACAACGTCGACGACAACAATAGCAATAGCAATAACAACAATAAAAATGATGTTGTTGTTGATGCTGATGGTAAGCTCGATATAATTCCAATTCCAATTGTACCACAAGTAGTTGCAAAGATTGAACAGGAGTTGAATGAGAAGTTGATAATAAACGATAAAGGTTCCAGTGGACATGGTAAAGCAACAAATGAATTTTTCGAGAAAATTTTGAATGACAAGACAAATGTCTTGAATAGCAATGCAATGATAAATCGCGAGAGTATTAGTCGACAAAGCTCAACAACAAAGCTTGATGATAGTACGATTGATACTACTCCTAGATCCGAAGTTTCTGTTACTGAGATAAAGCCTAAACCGGTAAAGAAGTTATCATTTGCTGATTATAAGAAAAAAATGAAATAAAAGTCATACCCGTGTATAGAATAATAAGTGTAATAAAGAAAAGGTAGAGCCTTCAACTATAGAGGATCTTTGAACTAAAAGAGTAGAGACTAGATGAGCGAAGCGAGTCTAGTCGAGAGAGTATACTGGAGAGTAAAGACTATATGTGCCAATCGAGTGTAGCGAGAGAGTATACTGGAGACTAAACTGGAGGTTAGAGACTAAAGAGTAGAGACTAGCTCGCTTCGCTTGCTAGTTTATACACCACAGTGATCTGCAAGTACAAACGAAAACAAAGTTACAAAGAATACGAGATAGTGGATCTCTACAAAGTGTTGCTCCACTATCTCGCTTCGCTCGATAGTGTCGGTCGGTGGAGGTAGTGTGCTCCACTATCTCGCTTTGCTCGATAGTGTCGTTATCATTTTTACCCCAGATTTTTCAACCCAAGAAAAATGCATAGTTTCCCCTCCTATTTGTATTTTCTTGTCTTTTGGTTAATCGATAAAACTTTTAGTACACTATAAAAGAAAATACTTTATTTTGACATTTTTCTACAGTCAACCGATATTGAGTGACTTACAATATCAATTTCACCTTTGTATATTTTCTTATCTAATCTTATGTATTTAAAAATATAAGAACATGCACACCACCAGTACACTCACCTTTTAACCAACTATTGTAAGAACCTATCCTGTAGCAAAATTTATGGTACTGTGTTGCAATTCTAATGGTAGCGCTCCCAAATACGAGCCAAGTTAAAAAAAATACAAAAGCTCCTATTAAGGGGGTGAAACTCCATTGATGAAGGGAGAAGATAACTTTCTATTTATCCTAATAGACGACCACTATTGAGCAGAGCAACATAGTGGGCGGCTAGTTAGAGTGTAAGGGGGTCAGTCAGAGTGTAAGGGTGCCAGTGTCAGTGGCAGCTAGTGTACTCCACTATCTCACTCTGCTCGATAGTGTCGCTCTGTCGCTCTGCTCGATAGTGTCGCTCTGTCGTTCTGCTCCATAGTGTCGTAGAGAAACGTTGGAAAAAGTTTTGGTTATTTATGGCCCTGTATAAAAACTATTCAAGTGATATACTAAAGTAAGTAGTAATATAAATGTAATTAAAAGCAAGAAAAAAAAAATTTGTTCTTTATAATCCCAAATGTTAAAACCCCTTGATAGTGTGTGTTCTTGAGAGAGCCCCCCTCCCTCTTGAACATATTTGTAAAAATATAAAAATAAAAAATGGAAAATCGATAATGATTTTAAACAGAAAATAAAATGTGTGTATGTTTGTTGTTGGGATCTTGATTACTTGATTGTGAAATTCATTACAAATTTGAGCATAATGTATGTGTGTATGTGTTTGTATATGCCAATCTGTATTGAAATTCTTCCTTCAAAGTTATCAATGTCAACACAATCAACCTTTCAATGGTTGATTAGCTCACAATTTTTTTTTTTTTTTTGGTTTTTTCCCTCGCTTGTCTAACTATACTCTTTTGAGTTCATTAATTTGTTAGATGGGGTACAGTCCAACTCCACAACTTCTCCATTTACATCAACTTCATCTTCTTCAATTCCAGCTTGTTTAGCAAAATTCTGTTCCTTAACTTTCTCAAACAATTCTTTCTTTTCTTCTTCTGATAATTCATGTTTCTTCTTTCCCTTAATATGGTACATTGGATTCAATGATCTTAATGTAATTCCCTTTACAAATGGCAAGTGGCCGGTTTTCTCTTCGTACAACATCAACAACAAAATGCAAATGACTGCTATCCAATAAACATTGTACGATATAACTGAACCATATGTAGCGGAATTTTGCCATCCCAATAAAGCATTAAAGATATCCCAACCATTATCGGTTTCTGGATTACAACAATTAACGTGCCATACCGATTTGGCTATATCGTAAGTACCTGGTCCACTACCGTTTTCGGAAGCATCACCACCGGTAGCTTTGTTGTACATATAGGTTTCAAAAAACCAGACACCTCTTGACAATAATCCAGCTGCGATCAAATAAAGGATTCCCGTTGATATGATCAAAAAGATTTGCATTGACATGTTTGAACCAAAGTAGAAAAGTAAGGTACCAACAGCAATACCAGCAATCAAACCAACAATAACAGGAATAGGGAAACTGGTAGCAGGTTTATTCAAACCCACACCACCAACGAAAACAACAGCTTCCAACCCTTCTCTCAAACATGTGATAAAGGGCAAAATAAACAAAGCATATCTTTTGGTGAACTGGCCCAACTTAAAACGATCCTTTTTGGATTCAGGCTTTTCAATCAAGGCTTGAGCCAACTTGACTCTCCATTTTTCTCTCATTTTATTAATTCTCAACATTGGTATACCCATTAAAGAAATCAATACAGTTGCAATAATACAAAATATACCTTCCCATAAATCTTCAGATTTGGCCCAAATATCATTGCCTAAACCATAAAATGCACCAATAAATGCACAACCAATGATTAAACATATAATCACCCCTAGAATCGCCCCTAGCCAAACTTGTTTCCTTAGCTTCTTGTAGATTTTGGGATTCTGGCTTGCACTACCTAAACCTTGTTTCAAAAACGCCAAAAGGACAGAAACAACAATAACTGCCTCTAAAGTCTCTCTAAAGACAACAAAGAAGATTTGTACGTTAAAAACGTCAACCATGACTCAATTTTGTCACTGTTTATTTGAATCGCTTTTTTGCTTACCTATTAAGGAATTAAGAACTAGGAAATAGCTGGACAATATATATATATATATTCAAATTGATGGCGGCAGTGGGCGATGGGTACACAATCAACCTAGCTAACGTGAAAAAAAATTCAGCTTCTAAAACAACACTTTCTAAGCAAAAGGATATCCGGCGGGCCCCCGATTTACTTCAAGCTGGCTTCTTATACCTGCTAGTAACTCTGGCTCTGTATTCGCTAGTAGCTTCGTTGCGCTGATTTTAGTTAACATTGTTCTGCTGGATATTTCAGAATCAAAAATTCATGACACTTGTACACTACCTTTTTTTTTTCAATTGCAAAAAGCACCAAGATCAATTAACTAGTAAGAAGAGTATGGTAGAATAATGAAAGCTAGGAAACGGTGAAAGAATGAAAGAAAGAAAGAAGATGGTAGGTTGGATATAGATATTATAATACAAAAGATATCGATCGATACTATCGAGCGAAGCGAGATAGTGGAGCACGCTGACTACACCGACACTACTTATTTCTCAGTGTGCTCCACTGTCTCGTTCTGATGAGCTTGTAACTCCACTGTCTCACTCTGATGAGCTTGTTCCACTGTCTCACTCTGATGAGCTTGTTCTACTGTCTCACTCTGATGAGCTTGTTCTACTGTCTCGCTCTGATGAGCTTGTTCCACTGTCTCGTACTGATGAGCTTGTTCCACTGTCTCGTTCTGATGAGCTTGTTCCACTGTCTCGCTCTGATGAGCTTGTTCCACTGTCTCGTTCTGATGAGCTTGTTCCACTGTCTCGTTCTGATGAGCTTGTTCCACTGTCTCACTCTGATGAGCTTGTTCTACTGTCTCACTCTGATGAGCTTGTTCCACTGTCTCGCTCTGATGAGCTTGTTCCACTGTCTCGCTCTGACTAGCTTGTTCTACTGTCTCGCACTGACTAGCTTGTTCCACTGTCTCGCTCTGCTCGATAGTGTCACTAGTGTCACTAGTCAATGCTGCTTCACTGTCTCACTCTGATGAGCTTGTTACTCCACTATCTCGCTCTGCTCAATAGTGTCTGCTGCTTCACCATCTCATTCTGACTAGCTTGTTACTCGATAGTGTCTGTTAATTGACATATGGCAAGTTAAGTTTCATGATTTCTCGACACATGATAAACCAGTCTATTTCTCGAAGGTAGTATGTACCGTCATTGTAATGTACAGTGGCTTTATTACCGCCATTTTCTTGTACTTGTTTTCCTCTCTGTCTAAGCTTGATGGACTCCTCCCATTTAAACAATTCATACATAAATCTCAAATTCGGTTGAATGATAATATTCAAACGTCTCACACGAACGTACAAATAAGCCATCGGTAAGCTTACGTTTAACCTTCTCATTATTTCGGCAATAACAACAGTTGCACTTCGACTGACTCCAACTCGACAGTGGACCAAAATTTTAGTATCTCGCGACTCTTGATAACATTCGTCCAAGAAATCTAAAATCTGGGGCAATTGTTTGGAAAGCTCACTGATTCCGTCATCTTCAAGGTTATTCACTTTCATCACAGTATCTATTGTCGTGTTCCAATGTAAGTTCCTTTGTTTGTGTCTTGCTCGGGGCACGATATCAAAGATTTCGGTATTGCTGTATTTCAGCTCATCAACTATAATATCATTATACTTTTGAAATTTATACCCGTTCAACCAGGGCAAACTCTCACCAACCGAAATGATTTTTTTGATGCCCAATTTATTCAAGAGTGGCAAACACAGTGCATGCTTCAAAGACCCAAGATATAAATAGGGAAGGATCTTTGATGGAATGGATCCTTCGACTTCTTTTACCCAATCAATGACAAACTTGCTTTCTTGTTGCTCCTCCTTATTTTCATCATCATCATCATCATCATCATCATCACCACTACTAGTCAGGCCCAGGGACGAGCTAGTGTCATCTTCATTATCCTCGCTATAACAAACAAATCCAAGTCTTGTGCTATTGCAAACCTTTTTTGGCGACCCCAATAATATTTCATTGATTTCCATTGGTGAGATATTTTCCAATTCTTCCCATTTCACATCTGTCTTAACTTTGGGACTATATTTTCTCAATAATGGCTCCAATTTTCGAAGTATTAAAACGTCACTGTTGAAAATGTAGAAAGGTCTGCCGAATTGCGAATGCAATGCGAGCATTGCCTCGTCCAAAGGTAGATTCATCGAATACATAATGTAGCAAAACACCAAAAGTGAAGACTCTGTATATCCATCAGAACAATAGATCAAAGATCCCAATCCTTCGGAAGACAATGATGAAGAATACAAGTAAATCAATTTACAAGTATTTACAATTGATTGTAAATTCTCACGCCTACAATCTCCAATTCCAATTGAACCCAGGGGCGGGAACTGTAAATGGTGTCGCTCCTTACTGAGGTTATTGTTATCACTATTGTGGTTGTGTGAAGATATGGAATACTGGAATAAAAGATGAGCTAATTCATTTATATTTGGAAATGAAGCATTAGTATGACAGTGAATAAATAGGTTATAATTGGATTTGGGTTCTGGTAAGTACTCAATGAAGTTTCTCAGCAGTAAATGTTTATGTAGTATAAGGGAGTTTTGTACGTCATTGTACAAGTTTATGGGGGGATTCTTTTTTGGAATGACGAGTTGGCCTTGTGAGAGGTAATGGATCATTATTTGGTGGTCCCAGTAGTTGCCCACCCATACGTTTTGACTTAGTTTTGTTGCTGTTGACATCTTTGCTGTTTCGATTTTTTCGTTAATTTGATAATTGTCTTCCCATATCAAAGAAGGATCTTTTGATTTATAGGACAAATCTGCAACACTCAATTTCAAGTAGTTAAAGAATGATCGGAGGGGGTTGTTCAGTATCGGAGACTCAACTTGTTCAAACAAGTCGTCTAAATTGTCATTTAAAATGAATGTTTTTCTTTTTCTTCTTGTTGTTGTTGTTGTGGTTGTAATCAGGTATTCTTCTTGATATTCACACTGTTGTGCAAGCCACAACACTCTTGATATAGACTGTTTTTTTGCCACATCATTGCCATATACGATGAAATCGGAACAAGTAGATAGTTTTGCTACTTGGATTTGAAAATTTCGTGGTGAAACCCCCCTGTCGGGATCTAAATTCAAAAATATTGGTAAAACATTCAACTTGATACAGTCATCTACAAGCAAATCAATCAACTCGAGGCTCACCTCATCATTCAACCATATTGAGCGAACAATATCCTTAACTTCTGATTTGGAAACATCAATTTTCTGCAAAATTTCTGTTAGTTTGACAGTGTTGTAGAGGACGACTGGTATAGAGTCATCACTAACACACATTAGAAAATTTACATCTTTAGGTTTGGATAAGTTGTAATCAGTGAAGATGTTATTAGAAGAGCCAAGATATTGTTGATATTGTTGATATTGCTGATATTGTTGATAATGTTGATATTGTTGATATTGTTGATATTGTTGTTGTTGTTGTTGTTGTTGTTGTTGTTGCTGCTGCTGCTGCTGCTGCTGCTGCTGTAAATGGAAGAACGACTTTTGTGCAAAATTGTCCTTGTGTAGACCATGTAACCATGGAAACATGTCCCTTGTTTTCGGCAATGGAGTGTTAAAATAGACCTGAAATATTGTTCTCAAATGTGTTAAAGTGATGATTTGGAAGTTGAAATCATTGTTGCGAAAGGGTTGTGTGACTATACCCCATTTAGCGGTTTTGAAACCAATACCATCGCAAACGTCACATAAATTTTCACTTTTATTTTCATTTTCAAAATTCTTGTTGTTCAAGTTTTCAATATCGGCGAATGTTGACCCATCATTGAAACATTTAAGCCTTGCTCTAAATCTATCTCGTTCGTAAACCAAGTCGTTTGACGAAGATGATGAGGACCGTTTACAAGCTTTATGCAAGCACGTTATATTGGGCTGACTAGTATGTATCTCAGCGCAAGAAGTAATTGATAGACTTGGTAAGGATAAAGTAGAAACTCCCTTAGCTGGGGGAGGAGGAGCAGGAGCAGGAGGAGCAGGAGCAGGAGGAGCAGGAGCAGTAGTTTTTGCGGAATAATTGAGTAAATGGTGGGGAAAGCATAATTTTTCTTCAGCAGTCAATTCGGGTTCTATATTATCCGATCTTGTTGCTAGGAATTGAGTTGTTTGCGTGTAACCATTTGAGGTGATTTTAGTTGCAGTGCTACTAGTTGCAAAACAAGAACCAGTTGATGGTACTTGAGGATTTGAATGAACAGCACTTATTGTCAGACTTTCTTGTGTGTCTGACCCTTGCGTAGCCATTGATATAAATGTCATACTTTGAATTGTCTTGACTGTGTAGAACTATCTTTAGTGTCAATGTTTGATGTTCTCAGTTGTTTAAAACTGTCTAGAATGTACGTTATAGGGTGAATATGTATTTGAAAGCATCTAGACTTGTGCTAGCTGAAAATAAACCTTTTATCACTTATGGAGTTCACTTGTGGGATTGTTGCTAACGGGGTTCTCACTTATAAGCTTGTTATTAATGGGGTTCACCTTTGAGCTTCACCTATGAGCTAAACCTGTGAGCTTTACCTGTGAGCTTTACCTGTGAGCTTTACCTGTGAGCTTTACCTGTGAGCTTTTCCTGTGAGCTTTACCTGTGAGTTTCAGCGTCAAGCTTTACCTGTGAACTTCACCTTTGAGCTTCACCTATGAGCTTCACCTGTGAACTTTACCTGTGAGCTTTACCTGTGAGTTTCAGCGTCAAGCTTCACCTATGAGCTTCACCTATGAGCTTCACCTATGAAATTCACCTATAATTTGAGCTTCACTTAACCCTATTAGCTTTCAATAGTTTTTCAATTGACGCTTCCAAGTTATTGTTGAAATAACTAGCAAAACCCCTTAACCAAAAAAAACCTCTCTCAGCTTAAAAGAACCCCTCTCAGCTTAAAAAACCAATCTCTAGTAATTAACCTCTTTTCCTATTACCTCTTAATCTCAAGCCTGTTACCTCGTGATCCTCTCCTATAATACTTTTCAACTTTCAATGATAATCTCTTTATTAAAAGTTTTTACAATATTTCTTTTTTTCGTTTCTTTTCTTTTGTTAGCGAGCTTATCTTTGTTGAATGGCTAAAAAGAAGGTCATCTTGGTTTGGAAGTAAACCTCAAATCTTTTTAATGAGATGTAAGTAGAGATTGAAAATGGAGACAGGAGGGGAAGGGGGGATGATAGATGTGTCCATCTGGTAACTAGGGCTTTAATTGACATATCCTAAAGGTGTTATCAGTTTGGGTTTTGGATACTGATAGCCGAAGATTGTATCCGATGATCGGGCCGCGGTTTTTTTCCATTTTCTCACTTATCAGAGACTAGACGAGTGAAACAACTATCGAGTAGACTATCGAGTAGACTATCGAGCAGAGCGAGATAGTCTATCGATAGAGAATAGATAGAGACCAGACTATCGAGTAGACTATCGAGTAGACTATCGAGCAGAGCGAGATAGTCTATCGATAGAGAATAGATAGAGACCAGACTATCGAGTAGACTATCGAGTAGACTATCGAGCAGAGCGAGATAGTCTATCGATAGAGAATAGATAGAGACCAGACTATCGATAGAGAATAGATAGAGAGTAGACTATCGAGTAGACTATCGAGACTATCGAGTAGACAGAGACCAGACTATCGAGTAGAGAGTAGACAGAGACCAGACTATCAAGTAGAGAGTAGATAGAGACTAGACTATCGATAGAGAGTAGATAGAGACTAGTCTATCGATAGAGGGTAGACCATAGAAAGAGTAGATAGTCGATGGCAAGGAGATAGAGGCCAGGTAAGTGAAATGAGTCACTAGTCAGTGCTGCTCCACTATCTCGCTTCGCCTCGATAGTGTAGAAAGAGTAGTGTTACTAGTCAGTGCTGCTCCACTATCTCGCTTCGCTCGATAGTGTAGAAAGAGTAGTGTTACTAGTCAGTGCTGCTCCACTATCTCGCTTCGCTCGATAGTGTAGAAAGAGTAGTGTTACTAGTCAGTGCTGCTCCACTATCTCGCTTCGCTCGATAGTGTAGAAAGAGTAGTGTTACTAGTCAGTGCTGCTCCACTATCTCGCTTCGCTCGATAGTGTAGAAAGAGTAGTGTTACTAGTCAGTGCTGCTCCACTATCTCGCTTCGCTCGATAGTGTAGAGACTACAAGGGTGTAGAGATATAGAGGTATTGTAGTAACGAGAGAGAAGCCAATAACAAAGATATTCTTTACTGTACACCAATAACACTCAACTCCAAAGTCCATACTCTACGAATATGAACCTTTACCTTGATTTTAGCATTACTACCCTCCAACTCCTTCAAATCTGGTGCATTGATAGTCACGGTAATCCAACCATGAGACCACCAGCACTTTCTCGCAGGTTTTCTCCAAAAAAGCAATAATTTAGTTTGATTCTGATCAACTTTTGGTCGCCTCAGTTGCAGAGATAACGATCGCGATGCAGCTCTCGATGCACTATTTGCCAATTGAGCAATTCTTGATCTTGGTCTCGATCTGCCACTTTTCTCATTACCACCAGTGCCATTTCCATTCCCATTCGATTGAGATGTTACTGGTGTCAATGAGGGTGATTCCGGTGGCGTTGCACCACCAATGCTAGCTTGCTTCTGAGACTGTGTTCTCAAACGGACTAATGATAATGAGGAAATAACACATTTACCCGGCTCTAAACTTCGTGACCCCCATTTGTCCTTCACCTCGAATCCTGAACTGCACAACATGTCAAACAAATGTTGCTCTGCTGGTCCGAGACCTTTACTACTACTATCTTTTTTCTCATTAGCATCTTGGAATCTTTCCATATTTTCACCTGCAAAATCACAATCATTGTCATCGGTATCGAACTTATACCCCAAGCCTGAAAAAATCAACTTGTTCTTCAACAATTCGACACTTACACCGCTTTTCAACTGTTTCATTTCTTCCATAGTCAACCCTGAAATTGGTGGTATTACATAAAAATCCAAATCCTCTCGTAAAACGATTATTGCCGGTTTTGTTTGCAAGATGTTTTCTTGCTGTAATCGAGTGCCAATATATGTAGGAGTAGTGGTGCCAAGTTGCTGCTGCTGCTGCTCTATTTGCTGCTGCTGCTGGGATGACGATGATGGTATTTCCTCCAATTCCTTTTGAGCAGCCGAAAACACATCGATGATATACTGGAAACAGGTTGGGTCGAAATTGACATAAATGACATCATTTTCTGTCAAGTTGGATATTATTTGGCCATTTGCATCAAGAAACACACCATTGGGGAAAAGACATAATAAGATACTTTCAGGTAGACTCATCAATTCATCCCTGGTTATTGTGAAATCTTTACCCCTAATATTCAAATTTATTAGCGAGTTATACTCCTGTACTTCATCCGAACCGCTAACTTGCGTCTCTGAATTAGAAAGGTTGGGCGTCGAGTATGATGACTCTGGCGTCACTTGGGTAATAATATCGTGTTGTGACATCATAAAGTGACCCGCACTAAACAATTGGCTCTTAATCAACAATCAACTCTAGGCTACTAATTCCACTAATACCAACAGATACCAAACCTAATAGGACCTTCTCCCTATATCTAGCCCTGCTATCAACTTTATCCTTGTGCCCAATATGAAAAGAATCTTATCCAATTGATATTTCTTTTGATGGCAATTTTTTTTGTTGCGCTGAGCTCAAAACTGAAATGGGAAACCGTTCGTCAACAGTTGAGGAAAGAGGAAGGAGTAAGGCGGAAAGCGAAGCGGAAAGAGAAGTGGAAAGAGAAGGGGAAAGAGAAGTAGAAAGCGAAGCGGAAAGCGAAGCGAGCAAGTTATCCACCCGAGTGACCAAATACCTGAGTGACCAAACATCTGAGTGACCAAACATCTGAGTGACCAAACATCTGAGTGACCAAACATTTGAGTGATTAAACATCTGAGTGACCGTTTGGAACCATAGTTTGAGTGACCATCCGTAGTTACTGTGCTGGACATATCCTTCAAAGATCCCTTTCGGTTGGAACCCTAGTTTGAGCGACCATTTGGAACCACCTGAGCGACCGTTTGGAACCCTAGTTTGAGCGACCGTTTGGAAACATCTGAGTGATCGTTTGGAACCACCTGAGTGACCGTTTGGAACCACCTGAGCGACCGTTTAGAACCACCTGAGTGACCGTTTGGAACCCTAGTTTGAGTGACCGTTTGGAACCACCTGAGCGACCATTTGGAACCACCTGAGCGACCGTTTGGAACCCTAGTTTGAGCGACCGTTTGGATCGTTTGGAACCATAGTTTGTGTGACCATCCGGGGTTACTGTGCTGGAAATATCCTCCAAAGATCCCTTTCGGTTGGAACACCTGAGCGACCGTTTGGAACCCTAGTTTGAGCGACCGTTTAGAACCACCTGAGCGACCGTTTGGAACCCTAGTTTGAGCGACCGTTTAGAACCACCTGAGTGACCGTTTGGAACCCTAGTTTGAGCGACCATTTGGAACCACCTGAGTGACCGTTTGGAACCCTAGTTTGAGCGACCGTTTAGAACCACCTGAGTGACCGTTTGGAACCCTAGTTTGAGCGACCATTTGGAACCACCTGAGTGACCGTTTGGAACCCTAGTTTGAGCGACCGTTTAGAACCACCTGAGTGACCGTTTGGAACCCTAGTTTGAGCGACCATTTGGAACCACCTGAGTGACCGTTTGGAACCCTAGTTTGAGCGACCGTTTAGAACCACCTGAGTGACCGTTTGGAACCCTAGTTTGAGCGACCATTTGGAACCACCTGAGTGACCGTTTGGAACCCTAGTTTGAGCGACCGTTTGGAACCACTTGAGCGACCGTTTGGAACCCTAGTTTGAGCGACCATTTGGAACCACTTGAGTGACCGTTTGGAACAATAGTTTGAGTGACTGTCCGGAATTATCCTCAGAGTAACCATTTGGAACCACCGTCTCAGTGACCCTCTGAAGATCCCATTCAGTTGAGCTTCTTGCAACTGTCTGGAATTACTCTCTGTATAACCATCCGAGTAGCACGGATTTGATCCCATTTGGCCCGATTTTTCAAAAAAAAATGCAGCCATGTTATCGCAACGACAAACAGGGCCCATACAACAATTTCCAAGAATCTGTAGAGACTCAATCAAGAAATATATGGGAAGAAGATGGTGCAAGTGACAACGAATCTAGCGTTAGACTTGCCAATAACGAGATTATACGACAGCATCAGAAACAAGGGTATGTAGATGGTCTCGCGGCACACCAAGAGACACTGCTACAGATGGGATTCGACGATGCCTTCCCACACGGTGCTCAATTGGGTATTGACGTTGGTCGAATACTAGCCAGGGCGAAAATCAACCAAGAGATAAAAGAGGTGGATAGCAAGGAGGTGCAAAATAACAAGGATTTGTTCAATGAAGCAAAGAGGGCACTACATATTACGAATATCTTGGATCAACGCTTTTTCGATACCGAATTGAATTTATCGCAAAGTCACGAATTGATCAAGAAGTGGAATAGTAAAACCACTCGATGATTTAACATCTCTTGATGTATCCTACTAATCCTCATCTACTAGTAGGCATATCGTTACCAATTTCATTACTCAAATTGTCGTATAACGTAGTCATTCTTTCTTGAAACTTGGTGCGATCTTTACACCATTCAAGCCAAATTTCACTAATCAAATATTGAGTTTCTTGAAACATAATAAATTCTTTAAAGCAACACTGCTTAATTAGCCAGTCTTTATTTAATTGTTGAAAGATTTCTTGCTTATCGTTTATTATCAATTGTCTTAATCTTGTAATATCTGCTCCTCGAGAATCGGCATTTTCTGTATTCAATTTCTTAAACTTGGCCTCATTTTCCTTTATACGTTTATTCAAACTCTCAATTTCATTGACTGACAATCTCTTACTTCTTTCGAATAATTCTTGAAGCGAGTAAAGATAATCCATATAGTTTTTGAATTTCTCCAACAGTTTGGTATTGATGATATAACTATCATCTACAATTAATTGCGACGATTTAGTATAAAACTCTCCAATAGACGATAGACTCGAGTTTATTCCTTCAATATCGTTGTTCTGCAAAAAAGTCGTTGTCGTTGTCGTTGCCGTCGCTGCTGCTGCTGCTGCTGCTGCTGCTGCTGCTATTGTTGTTGTTGTTGTTGTTGTTGTTGTTGTTGTTGTTGTTGTTGTTGTCGTTGGTGGTGGTGGTGGTAGTGGTGCCCCTGACCTCTCCAGTGGGTATATCGCTAGATCCAATTGTTTGAATTGATTAACAATTTCTACAAACTTTTGATTATCAAAACTCATTTGTTGCTGTCTTCTTTCGTGTCTTTCAATAATGATTATGATCTTTACCCATTTATCAATAACAGATTTTATGTTTTGCTCTGCTAAAGCCCAGTTTGCTAAAAACTCTTCACCAATCACCGGCCACACTGTATTTATAAAATCGGTTTGAATTTTTTCACCTTTGAACTCCAACGAATAGTCGATTTTGGCTTGTTTCTTCCAAGTGGTTAGATCCGTCGGCACAGAAAGAAAAGATTGTACTATTGGTTCTTCTCTAAACACTGGGTGTTTGATCAACTGGTTCAAGAACCGGTGCAATCCACGACGACGTCTTTGTAAAAACTGGGAATCCGGCGAAGCCCCTACTAAAGTCAATTAGTATAAAGAACAAATTTTCTCTCAAATGGCTAGTTGTGTTATTATTATACATACCAGTAAACTTCTTTGGTGGCAACCCAGGAATCATTCTAAAGGGATACTTTTGTAACAAGTAATCCAAAAGCCTGGACAATAATGTTAGTACAACTACAACTCCCTCTCCTTTATCTTCGATGCATTAAAACATACCATGCAAAATCGGAATATCTCCTCACTACTTTTTTCTGACCCGATGATCCCCCTTTTCCCAAGGTCAAGCTATGAGTTATTATATAGTTGATGTGCTTGAATAGTAATCCTTCCTTTTCTGGAACTTCCTTTATCTTTATTGGATCTTCTTCAAGTAATAAAGGCTTGAACTCATCTCTAATATCTTCAATGTACTTTTCTATATATTTGGCATTAACTGTCTCTGTCTCGTTGTTGTTGCCGCCATCACTAGTAGTCTTTCCCGAAAGAATGTTTTGAGACTTGGAATGATCAGTAAGCATAGGGTCAACTTTATTCCAATTTCCTCTATTATTAGTATTGTTGTTATTATTATTATTATCCTCGTCATTATAATCATCAGCATTGGCATCATTTTCTTGATCAGCATCGGTTCTTGAAGAGTTTCCCATTAGTGGATCATTAAAAATCTCTTGTTCCTCTTCCTTCTTGATCAACTTGATGAAGTTTGCCGGTAATTCGGGTAAGTTATTCAACCTGAATTGCAAAGTAACAAAATCGCCTGATCCAGGTACATCAATTTCTAATGCAATTAAACCCAAAATTTGGTAAAATTTTTGAGCCAAAGTAATTGGTAACAAGTCATTTTCATATATCACGTCTAATAATCTCGATTTCTGGTAACTGGTTATATAGTTCATTTGAATCAATTTATCCAAAATGTGATACTCTAAATCGTGAATTGTTGAAATTTTGTTCAACAACTCAGAGTGTAAAAGCTCATATGACTGCGGGATATTGGAAATAACAGTCTTCTGCCTTGGACTTGAAGAAGAATTGGCATTGTTGAGTAATAATTGCGAGGAAGTCAAATACATTGAAGGAAATTGATTTTGAAGGGGTGCCTTATTAAAAGATGTTTCAGTCCCCTCAGGAGGTTCGTTCCACTTACTTGTTGAAGACCAGGGGTCAACTTCTTCACCCGTATTAAATAGACCGCCACTCATCTGAGAAATATACCCTAAAAAGCCTCTCTATCCTTGACTACAAGTGCTTTCTAATTCAACTATAAGTTGTACTTGTCCTTGTACTTTTTTTTATCGTTTCGTTTCGAGTGAAAAAATGTCAACGGGGCGAGAACGGGGCGAGGATCCGGCGAGGATGCGGCGAGGATGCGGCGACAGGTGAGCAAGAATGGGGCGAAGATGGGGCGAAGATGGGGCGGGGATGGGGCGGGGATGGGGTGAGAACGGGGCAACGAGTAGGGAGACGACGAGAGGGAGATGACGAGAGGGAGATGACGAGATAGAACCAATAGAGTGTAAATAATTAGTGTTGGTGGCAGCTAGTATGCTCCACTATCGAGCAGAGCGAGATAGTGGAGCAACGCTTAGTAGTTTAGTAGCTTATTACAACACTATGGAGCAGAGCGAGATAGTGTTGGTCAGTGCTGCTCCACTATCGAGCAGAGCGAGATAGTGTCGACAGTGTTGTTTAACAGTGCTGCTCCACTATCTCGCTTCGCTCGATAGTGTCGATAGTGTCGGTGTCGATCCTACTTAAAGTCTTGCTAATTTCTTTTCAGCCTCTTCCTTTAAATCCTCTTGATCACTTTCCTTCAATTCCTTCAAAATATCAATACAGATTTCCTTCACGGGAGGTCGATACATGGCCAAAAACTGCAACGCCAAAAACCCAATGTTTGAACGAGCAGGATCATAGCATAATGATTTGATCTTATGCAACATCTCTTTGTTTAATGCCGGTAGATCACTTAATAATCGAATGAATATCTTCTTATCACTTGGTTCTATGTAATTGATTGTTGCATCGAGCACTTTGTTTGCCCATTTGTCATATATTGGTGTAGATACTTCATTAGTTGAAACTTGGAAAACCGTTTTATCCGTCTTCAGTAATAAACGATCTTGTTGGAAAACTTGCTCACTAAACCATTCTTCACTTAGCCATTCAATTACCACATCAACTCTTGAGTGAATATTCTCTACAAAATAATTGAATAGCGCATCTCGTATCATGTTACTCATTTCGCTTCTATTTTCATCATCGGGACTTTTCTCTAAAACACCATCTTCTTCAGCTTTGGTTCGCATTCCACGAGTGGCTAATCTCGTCAACAAAAGAACCCAAGTATCTTTGTTAAATGATTTAATAGCAACTTCTTTCAATTGCTCGCTTATACTAGGCTCTTCTTCTCCTTGGCTTTTAAGTTGTAACGTTTCCTTTGAAATACCATTGTTCTTGGTCATAACAGGAGGTGCTTTTGCCAATTTGAAGAAATTATCGATTATTATTGACAAGTGGATCTTTTTGTCCTCAAACGACAAATCCTTTGGTGGTGGTAACGAAAACAATGGTTCATCTTTAAACTCATCCTCATCAAATCCATCCTCCTCCTCATCAAAATCATCATCAAAAGCATCTTCTTCGTCTTCTTCGTCTGCCCCATTTCCCTTTTTATCATATTCTTTCTTCTCTCTCTTTATCTTTTTTCTTCCTTCTTCTTCCACCCCATCTTCCACTGTTGTACCTACACGTTTTCCGGTCCCAAACCCTTCTAAGGAATCGGTTTCTCTCTTTATGGAAACAACAGGGTGTATTGGTTTAGACACCGCATCCTTGTACCTCTCACCAACAATCTCCAATGCTTTAGTTAGTCTTTGCACTGAAGCTTTGCGCAATGCATTCAATACCATCGTTGCAACCATACCGGAGTTGGCAATTGCACTAATGTCAAACTTGTTCAACGGATCATTACTTCCCAATAATGTATACAAATGGGCATAATCCAATACTTTGATCTTTTTAGAAGCACTATAAAACCCTTCAAATTTTCTTTTCCGAACATTGGGCTCTTCTTTATTGAAAATGTTCATTTTCCGAAGTTCATTCCCTCTATCGAGCAATAGATTCATCTTTTGTTCAAGTACACTTTTAAAAGCACTGGGTATTAATCCGGCTTTTTTGGCAAAGCTAATGAGTATTCGAATACTTCGATCAACATACTTTTTAGCAAGCTTGTACAGTTCCAAACTTTGGTAATTAGATTGTAGCTTACTATTTGTATCATAATTCTCAATTGCCTTTAACAAAGGGGTTATAAGTTGAGGTTTCTTTTTCAAAATGGTTACACTATGATTTAAAGTAGCCGTTACCAATGGTGGTATAATTATATCCAACAGGAAAACTTTTAACACCAAGGAGAATAACGTGCTTGCCTCGTATTCCATGTTTTGGTATTTGATCAAAGAATGATCGGGACGCACGTTATTCAACGAATATCCACCACCACCATTTCCACCTCCATTTATGGGCTCTCCGATTATTTGGGTTTTCGACTGAAAATCGATAACAGTCATCAAAAACTTCAATAGGTCCAATTTTGTGCCAATATTCCTCTTTAAATCATTTTCATCGCTATCGGCTTTTTCCAAAGGGTAAGGTGTTTGAAACTTATTGACCAAAGAGTTTTTCAACTCGGTTAGCTTGCTCCATATTTGGTTGCAATTATCATTCTCACTAACATAACGAAACACCAATTTATAAACGATGGTCGAGATATCGATCAATTGACGAAAAGTATCGACATCGAGATGTTGAGTTTGGATCTTGCTTTGTTGTCCCTGCTGCTGTAATTGTTGATGCTGGTGCTGTAAATTAGTAGGTAGGTCAATTAGAAAGATCAAGGCATCTAGAGAATCGATCGCCAACTCTACTCTTTCGTTGCTCTTCAAACTAGAATTGATATTGTTGATAAAGGTATCATACATAAAGTGAACACCCCATTGCCTTACTGGATATACCTGATTCGGATTGTTTATGATGGGCAAAATTTGTTTATAAACCGTGACAAAGATTTCCGGTTGTGAGATAGTCAACTGTTTCGCAGTGTTTAGTTGACTAACGACTAAATCTGCTGGCTGTGGAGATGCCGACATTTTAAAAAAAAAAAATTATAGAAAGGGGGTGGATGGGTTAGATTGTTAACAAGTAAAAGTAAAAAAAGCAAAGGGTAGAAGTACAAGACAAGCAAGGGGAAAGATGAAAAAAAAGACCAAAAACGGGGAGTAGGAATTCCAAGTAGGGAATACCTTTAAACAGCCAAATACAATGTCTATCCACCAGCTATTCTTGATCAACAATCTTCAAAATCCTTGAAACTTTGGAAATTCTTTTTTCTTTTTTCGTTGGCGATGAGGAGATGGAAGAGGTCACGTGGCGAGCACCACTAGGGAGCGAAGCGAGCTAGTGGAGCGAGCTAGTGGAGCGAGCTAGTGGAGCGAGCTAGTGGAGCAGTATGTAGAGAGTAGAGAGCAGCACCACTAGGGAGCGAAGCGAGCTAGTGGAGCGAGCTAGTGGAGCAGTATGTAGTATCAACAGTGTGCTCCACTATCGACACTAGGGAGCGAAGTGAGCTGTGGAGCAGTATGTAGTATCAACAGTGTGCTCCACTATCGAGAAGAACGAGATAATGTCGATAGTGTCAATAGTGTCGTTGATCTCTATCAGCGTGCTCCACTATCTCGCTCTGCTCGATAGTGTGCTATTGTCGATAATGTCGATCAGCGTGCTCCACTATCTCGCTCTGCTCGATAGTGTGCTATTGTCGATAATGTCGATCAGCGTGCTCCACTATCTCGCTCTGCTCGATAGTGTGCTATTGTCGATAATGTCGATCAGTGTGCCCCACTATCTCGCTCTGCTCGATAGTGTGATAGTGTCGATGATAAAAAAAGGGTACAAGACATGCAAGGGGGGAGTATGAATCATTGAGAAATTTGTTAGTCTTTTAAAAGTATTATGAGATGGAGATGATTGAATAGAATGCAAAAGAGTTGGTAGACTTGCTTAATCAAGAAAAGAAAAGTAACGGTCACGTGCTAGATTATGGAAAATTTACTCTGTGTCACGTGATACAAAAGGTGAACAAAAAGCAGGTTCGTTTCTACTAGAGTACTTATCGAATACTTTTATCGAGTACTTTCTACTGAATACTTTTATCGAGTACTTTATACTGAGTACTTTCTACTATCTCTAAAGGAAACCACTAGAGTACTTTTATCGAGTACTTTATATTGAGTACTTTCTACTATCTCTAAAGGAAACCACTAGAGTACTTTTATCGAGTACTTTATATTGAGTACTTTCTACTATCTCTAAAGGAAACCACTAGAGTACTTTTATCGAGTACTTTATATTGAGTACTTTCTACTATCTCTAAAGGAAACCACTAGAGTACTTTTATCGAGTACTTTCTACTATCTCGTTCCTCGATAGTAGATACCACCTTCTGTCACGTGTGGAAATTGCATTTAGCATCACGGGAAAAGCAGTATAATAGTAAAGATGAAATCGTGACTTTTTTTCTTCTTTAGTTTCTGGTAGCACTCACATTACAACAGTGAGAGAATTGCAAAACAAAATACTTTGGATGGGGAATAAAACTATTGATAGAGCAAGATAGTGGAGTAGTACTGACTAGCTTGTTACAACACATCGAGCAGAGCGAGATGGTGGAGTAGTACTGACTAGCTTGTTATATCACTATCGAGCAGTGCTCGATAGTAGAGCAGCATTGACTAGCTTGTTATATCACTATCGAGCAGTGCTCGATAGTAGAGCAGCATTGACTAGCTTGTTATATCACTATCGAGCAGTGCTCGATAGTAGAGCAGCATTGACTAGCTTGTTATATCACTATCGAGCAGTGCTCGATAGTAGAGCAGCATTGACTAGCTTGTTATATCACTATCGAGCAGTGCTCGATAGTAGAGCAGCATTGACTAGCTTGTTTCAACACTATCTCGCTCTCCTCGATAGTAGAGCAGCATTGACTAGCTTGTTACAACACTATCTCGCTCTGCTCGATAGTGGAGCTGCTACCCACATCTAAAGGGCAATGTTATTTTTAAAAAGAGACATCCACTTAAGCACAATGTTAGAAGCTATCTCATCCGAGTGCAAAAATATTGTAAACACTATCATCTGAGATCAACATCCCCACTATATCGCTCTGCTTGATAGTGGAGCAACACTGACTAGTTGCCACACACACTCGGTAGCTTGTTACAACACTATCTCGCTCTGTTTGCTCTGCTTGATAGTGTCGCTAGTATCGCCAGTCAGTGTTGCTCGATAGTGTCGGTGGCTGCCAGTCAGTGTTGCTCGATAGTGTCGGTGGCTGCCAGTCAGTGTTGCTTAACAGTGCTGTTCCACTATCTCGCTTCGCTCGATAGTGTCGATAGTGTTGGGAAAAAGAATACCAAATAGGAGTAAAAAATTGATAAAATTGTCAATGATAGACTATCGAAAATTTTTAACGAATTTTGTTCCCAAATTGGAACTATTACTGTTTTGGGAACTTTTTATCAAAAATATATATCACAACGGTCAACTTAAAAAAGAGGGGGAAAACAAAGGAAAAAATACACGTTTTTCCATTTCCAATCGACACTATCGAGCGACACTATCGAGCACACTAGCTGCCACTGACACTATCGACACTATTGAGCAGAGCGAGATAATGGAGCACGCTAACAACACTATCAAGAGCGAGATAGTGGAGCAGCAGTTAACAGCAACACTATCAAGAGCGAGATAGTGATATAATAAGCTAGTAAGTGATGCTCAACAGTGATATAACAAGCTAATAAGTGCTGCTCAACAGTGATATAACAAGCTAATACGTGCTGCTCGATAGTGATATAACAAGCTAATAAGTGCTGCTCGATAGTGATATAACAAGCTAATAAGTGCTGCTCAACAGTGATATAACAAGCTAATAAGTGCTGCTCGATAGTGACTGACACTGTCTACTCCCAGAAAGTAATTTTAGTAGTTCATTCCCCCAAACTTTATGTATTCTTTATGAAATCCATGAAATATAGAAACGGTCACTTGAAAGATTGTATAAATATTTAATCACCTATCACGTGACACAATACCGTATGGTAGCACAACACTATGGAATAAAGTTTCTCGTCTAGATTGCTTTATACAGTACCAGATTATTAGTTACTGTGATAACATTGTTTTCTACAGCTACTAGGCGATAGCATTGTTTTCTACAGTTCCTTGGCGATAGCATTGTTTTCTACAGTTCCTAGGCGATAGCATTGTTTTCTACAGTTCCTAGGCGATAATAATGTTTTCTACAGTTACTAGGCGATAGCATTGTTTTCTACAGTTCCTAGGCGATAATAATGTTTTCTACAGTTACTAGGTTATTGAGTATTGGTTCTTATACACCAAAATTTAAAGCTTTACTAATAAAAAAAGACATTTTGATAGTAGCGTATCACCCTGCATTGACGTTACACGTGATATACTGCAGGTAAATATCAAATACTTTGTAAGGGGGATTTTGAGCAAGCTGTAGTAAGCTGTAGCAAGCTGCATAGATTCATTACATCTTAGCAAGGACAACTTTTTTTCCCCAGTTGAAGCCAAGTAGATAGAACTCCTCCTCCAACCCTAGTTACGATATTCTAAATCCATAACCCTTCTACTGTTAACCTCTCAGCTTCAGGCGATTTTTTTAATTTTCGTCTTTTTTGCAACTTTTTGCAGCCTTTTAACTTTATATATGTAGGTATGGATCTCTTTGGTATGGTTGCAATGTAATTGCAGAAAGAGCTACCAGCCGTTTCAGATTCCCGTAACATCAAAAAACGAAAACCCGAAAAACCTAGAGATATCAAAACCTCAACCTTGGGTTTTTCTTTCTACATAGTGAGGGCTACTAGCTGTATTAGGGAATAAGAGCTGATCGAGTTGGCTGCTAGGTAAAATAACATCATTTGACGAGAACTTCTTCGTTCTTTCAAAGAGAGAGAGAGAGAGAGAGAGAGAGAGAGAAGATAAATATTTTTACTTATAAAATAAAGAAAATAAGTTTGGTTGAACCAATTGCGGCTGAAGAAGTTTTCCTTCCATTGTTTTTTTTTTTTGTTAATATAAAGGCTGCTGCTTAAGGCAAGATCTTCCATTGCAAATGAAATATAATATACTCATAATATAGCCATAAAAAAAAGGAGTAGAAGTAAAGAGAAGCTAGGCAGTTCCTTTTTTTTTTGTTTTTGTTTTTGTTCTTTTTTTTTTTTGAATGGGTAAGGATATTCTAATGGATGCTGAGAAAGCAATCCAGAAATACGATTTAAATGTGTCAACCTTTGATGTTGTCAAGGTTAACGATTTTAGAAACTATAAGGGATCCACTTTGTGGTGGTATTTTTATATGTGGATCCTTGTAATTTTATCATTAGCCTTACTTGCAGTTGATATCTATTCATGTTTGAACATTTTGGTATTTGACAAATGGGGCACTCAGGATTACAAACCCTATGCCTATTCTATTGCCAAATGGATCTTTACCGGGTGCATTATATTCCAATTTGTTTTGCTCCTATACCATTGGATCTGGGCAATCCACATATATCGCACCAAGAATATTGCATTGGTTTACTTGAATTCTATTTGCAAAAGAATATACTCAATAAAGTCCTATAATCATTTTTGTTTATTGAACAGCATCGAAGAAGGGAAATTCTTTGATATTTGTTGCTTTTTGACTTACTATGAGTTGAATAACGCACCTCAGATTTTGATTGCTGATGCTCCGAGACAAGTGATCAATATCCTAACATTGAAATATTACGCAACCGGAGGTGACTTGAATGCAGACGTGCTAAACAATATCAAAACTATTGCAAGGACGAATTTAAACCTTTCAGTTATCTTGAGTTTCATGTGCTTATCTGTGTTCATTTTCGCCATATTCTTTTTCAGATTTTCATTTGGCATATTGATGTATGTTCCCTTGAAATGTTCGTTGAGAAATGAAAAACATAAAACTTTTAAAACTTATTGCAGTTACTTGGTAAATAAATCCGTTTCTCGTGCTGTTAGGTTACATCATAAGTCCAAGAGGGAATTGCTTGACCAGGGTATTTTGTCGAGAGAGCGCATTGCCCAGTTACCTGAATTGGATCAACATCCTCCAAACTATAAGGACTATACAAGGGTTTACTATACAAGGACTGAATCCGAGGAAAGCATACCAATGCGTAGCCTCAACCCCAGAAACATCTCAAATACAACTATTGATTTAATACCAAAGAGAACTGAAAGCGCACCGTTTTTACAGAATCAGCCTTCCTTTGATCACTTTCAACAATCTCAACAAATGTACTCTACATTGAATAACGATAGAGCTCCAATAATGAATAAAAGATTGAGTAGCTTAAATGAAAGGAGCAGGCAAAACATTTATGGTAAAACCAACTTTGCAGCCGCAAGTATGAGTTCATTGACCATGAATCAGTCTAATAACGACGACTCTTCAAACACCTGGCAAAATATGCCATCTACAACAAACTTGATAAATAATGAAAATGGGGACATTTACGGATTTCCAAAGAAACCAAAGCGATCGTACACTTCTCAAAGTAATTGGGAGGTTGATACATATAATACCGACTTTCCGGCAACAAATGCTACACAAGAGGATCTACTGCTTTCCTCAACTCATAGCCATATTGACAATCCAACGACTAATGAAAATCCATTCAGAAACATAAGTCAACACGAGAATTCCTTTACTCCAGAATCATTACAAAAAGCGTCTACTGAACAATTCCATATTGCTAATTCCAAGATCTATCCTATACAGAGGTCATTTACTGATACAGCTGATGTAGTAACCATTCAAGATACCAATATTCATAATCTGATACCTCTTTTTGAAGATGAATCATTTGAAAAGCCTTTAAATTTAGAGGGCCACCAAACAGATAATCCGCCAAGATCCGCTGCTACGGACAATTTCGATACAATATTAGACGCCTACAAAGATGATGATGAGGGAGAGATGGAAAACAATTCTTTAATTTCATATCCTACACAGGGACAGGGACAGGGACAGGGACAGGGAGTCAATGATATCATACTTCACAGCGACAGCGATAGTGATGACAACATAAATAGCGCGACAACACCATATCCCGTTCGAGGGGTTTCCAAGTATTTCAAGACTAAAGAATAAAGCACATCTCTCATCCGTCATCCCTCTTAAAATATTCATTCATTTTAGATAAGAAAACAAAAATGCCCATTTATAGATAATATTATAATATATACAAGACTCTTTTTTTTTTTTTGGCACCTAATTTGCTCGGTCCCTTCCTCTACTTTCTCTTTTGGCACATCATTTCTTCTCATTGTACTCCTTTTGTAATTTTTGCAAGTCCTCGTCACTTATAGGTGGAATAGGAATATCGCCAAAATCATCCTCGGTCATCTTATAAAAAGTGTACCAATAAGCACCAAGAGGAATTGAACCAACAACAAATAGCCCTATCACGTTTCTCCAAAAAAATGGCTGACGTACTCGATATAGCGCTGGTGTAATCTGATGTGTTTTTGGATCTCTATAGCGATCGTGTGCTTTTCTAAAAACAGGTTAGTAACTATCTTGACCTCCCCAAAACCACGTCCCATTCACCCTAGTGACAACGCGGTGAGTTTATGACTAGTAACATACGGTGGTATTGCCATTTTACTCCTATTTTTAAACAATACTTACTTGATAAAGAAGACCTTGTTTTACCATGTTGGGTTTTTTCTCGTTGAGTGAAACGACTTTTGTAAGGAGCTGTATTTGGTAGCGTTATCACGTGATAAAGACTATCGAGTAGTCTATAGAGAGTAGATGGAGAGTGTAGAGTAGATGGAGAGTGTAGATGTAAAGAGTAGTCTATAGAGAGTAGAGGAGAGTAATCTATAGAGGGTAGATGGTGAGTGTAGTAGAGGGTAGATGGTGAGTAATCTATAGAGGGTAGATAGAGAGTGGAGAGTAGATGGAGAGTAGATGGAGAGTAGATATAGACAATTGAGCAAAGTAAGTGGAACATTTGATCCTCCTAAAAGACCAGTGAATAGAGGTATTGTGATCAAGTTTTCTGACAAAGAAACTCAGAAGAAGGCGGTTGCCGAGTTGGAGGCAGAAAAATGATTATTGATTATGCTGTTAACTCAAAAGTCTCTCAAAAGGATGGGAGAAATGAAGGAGGAGATGACAAAGGAGAAGAAGAAGAGGGTCAAGAAGGAGGTGAAGGTGAAGAGAAGGTTGAGCAAAATGGCAAAGAGTCCACTACTAACTAGTTGAATAAGAAAAGAACAAAATTGTAACAAAATAGTGGTTATAACGTTCTCCCACTGTAGACCGCTCTCTTTCTCTATAGGCCGCTCTCTACACTCTATCGACTGCTCTCTTTCTCTATAGGCCGCTCTCTACACTCTATAGACTAGACTCGTTTCACTCGTCTAGTCTAGGAGATTATCGTTTTTTATTTTTGCCAATTTTGACAGATTGGGAGGTTCTTAATTGAATATCTTTTTCTGTGCTTTGCCAACACAAATATATAAATGTTAAAGAATAGATGGAAATGGATTTTTAGAGAGACTAGAGACTAGACGAGTGAAACGAGTCTAGTCGATAGAGTGTAGAAAGCGGCCTATAGAGAAAGAGAGCGGTCTATAGAGAAAGAGAGCGGCCTATAGAGAAAGAGAGAGGTCTATAGAGAAAGAGAGCGGCCTATAGAGAAAGAGAGAGGTCTATAGAGAAAGAGAGCAGTCGATAGAGTGTGTAGATATGGAGTATTTCGATTTGCTCAATAGTGTAGAGGTAGATGTTGTAATATTTAGAGTACTATAAAATTTGAGTCAAATTGATGCAAAAAAGAGACTAAATGAGCGAATCGAGTCCAGTTGATAGAAAACAGTAGATAGAGATTATAAAGACAAGAAAGATAGTCTATAAAGACAAGAGAGATAGTCTATAGAGAGAAGAGAGATAGTCTATAAAGACAAGAGAGATAGTCTATAAAGAGGATGAGGTTTATGCAAAGTAAATGTATTATGTTTAGATCTTCTCTTGAGCTACTAGTAATGGTTTAGTCTCCATAGAGTGACTTTCCCTGCTTCGTTTCCAACTGCCAAAATTTCGTTATTTGGCGAAAAAGTAACACTAGTAACTTTACCTAAAGGAGTACCACTAGTAGGCCAGTTGCTGTATACAGACCCTGTGGGAAGATGTACCAATTTAAAAGCGTCTCTTTTAGCTCTTGAGGCAATTGCAAGTAGTTGGCCGTCGGTATTAAATACTAGCGACGAAATAGATGTGACTAAATTCCCAATGGTCTTGAATGGTTTAGGTTGTGCATCACCAGTAAATTCATTTCGATCATATAGATTAACAATACCGTTATTAGACCCAATAGCTAGCCACCTGCTATTCTTTCTGCCTCCCATTTTCACCTTGGTGATTCCTACTCCTCCTTCGTCTTGCCATTTGCGTATAATTTTGCTTTCCGATTTCGAGGTTAATGTGCCACTTAGTGCAAACTCCCAAACATCACCTCCCGTGTTGACCACAACAACAAACGTTTCGTCTTGTGAAAAATCAAAATCAACTACTGTGCCTTCGATTTTGAACCCTTTTATCCATTGTCCTGTAACACCATTGATTAAATTGAACCACCCAGAATTACCAATCATTCCAATATATTGCCCCAGTGAGCTTATACGGAAGCTTTCAAATGATTTCTGTACTTGTTCATGGCCATACATACGACTTATTTTTTCAACTTCTCCCGTGGTTAAATTGATCTTGTTCATGTATTTTCTTCGTCCTGCTGCATAAACTACATTTTTATCTGCCTGGGGCAAGAACTGGCATGCCATAATGGGACAATTCTTTAGATAGTATGATGTGATAAAATTGTTTGTCTTACCATCGATTTGGTATAACCGTACAGTTTTATCAAAGCCTGCAGTAAGTATTATGGAATGAGTAGGATGGAATGATAACGCTTGTATTGCTGCTTTGGAGACTCTTTTGTAATTGGCGTCTTTTAACCGCGTAATGGAGATTTTTGTGGGCGAAATCAATTTCAATTGCTTCAGTATAAGGAATTGGTGTGTATTTGCAAGAATCTTTGAAAGGGATACTGATGTGGTTGTCGTTTCCGATTCATTTCTGTTATCGTCTATTACCATATCATCATCATCATCATCATCATCTGAACTGTCTCCTCCTTCCATCTTGTTCTTTTCTTGATCAAATTTGTCGGCCCATTCTGGACGCGGGTATATTTTCTCAAATTGAGAACGTAGTCTTATTATATATGATCTTCCCGATATGTTGGTATCCTCTGGATTCTTTCTTAATTTTTTAAGTCTATCAGATGCAATTAATGAGACATTCAATTTCTCGTCATCGCTATCCTCCCATGCATTCTCTTCAAATCCTTCTTCATCTTCCTCGTCCTCGTCCTCGTCGTCGTCGTCCTCCTCCTCTTCATCTATATCCATCCCGTTCTCATCATTCCCTTCTACTCCATCGTCAATGTAAAACAAGTCTTCATCTTGCACATTGTCCAAATCCTCACTTTCACTCCCATTTGGATCTAGTTCTTCTACAACTTCTTCTTCTTCATCATCTTCAAAATCATATATCTTGTCTATTTTTCTCAAATTTTCATGAAACCCTTCTATATCACCAAACACCAATTTTTCTAACATGAGTTCCTCCTCATCTTTCGGAGGTATCTCCACCATCTCCCCATCTCTATTCTTGGGCATTTTCTTGATCTTTTCTCAGTTACAATTGAACGGTTTAATATTGAAAAAAAAATTGAAAAATTATGAGATGAGATGAGATGAGATGAGATAAAAAAAAAATAAGGATCGCTACCACAATGTACCACCAAGAGACTTTAGAAACCATTGCCCTTATCTTTGTCTTCTTTCCCCAGACTAGTGTTACTCTACATAAGAATCCTACAGGTTCTCTACTTTATAGCGGGGATAAGAACGTACCTGATATTTATTTATCACCTTTCATCCTACTAATAAACAATACAAAATACTTTTTAAACTCTTTTGAATCCATATTGATCAAGCTTGTGCAAAACTCATTCATCATATCATGACCTAATCCCATATTTGTCAAATAAGTCGATAAGTACTTTACAAAACTGTCACCCCTTTTCTGCTGATAAGTCTTGAGCAACATTGCTATATCCTGAGCTATTAATCTATATTGGGCATCACTCAAATCAAATTCTTGCTTTTGAAAAGGAAGCTCAAATGATAAATTGACAACTTTTTCCATCAAAAACTCGTCAATGCCTTCAACTGCAGGTAATGCTTGGCCATAGCTATCTTCTTTGTCTGTAATCTTGCCGCCTTCTCCAAAGACATTCACCAAGTTTATCAACTGGACAATGGACAATTTCGATACTGCAGTGTCGGACAAGTCATAGGCATACTCAAACAATTTCGAAACAACTACCGGGAACTCGTTCTTGTTGCTTTCTGTAATTAGCAAGCTGGCCAAGTGGTTTATTATAAGGGCATTGACAAAGTTGAGTACCGCTTTTTTCAAAAAATTCTTGTCCCTTAAAATGTCTGGTCTCAACTCATCGGCTTCAGAAGTTGACTGGTCTAAAGTATCAAAAACTTTGGTGAACAATGGGGATAGGAAATTGTTAAGTAATTGATAGATATTTTCGTTTGCTCTATAACTGTGTGCAATTTGACCAAGGAAGCTCATAAAATCGCTAATCTCTCTAATTTTCAAATTAGGAGCAGACCAAATAATCGTTATTAATTTGGTTAAATGAGCACTTATATTGGATGTGCTTAAAATGGGTATAAATCTGGCAAATGCAAACCGCGACGCATCTCTAATGCTCTCGGATTTGGGAAAGTTCTCCAATGTGATCAAAACAACTTGAGCTGCGTTATCCACTTTTTCAACAATTTCTAAAGAAAATTTCAAATTTGTTTCGTAATCGTAGCCTCTAACAATTGTTCCAAGTGCCATAAGAGAATGATGGGCTTGCAATACAATAATTGGCTCTTTGTCAGCAATGGAAATACATTTTTCCAAATCGTTGAAGATGGGCTGGAAAATGGCTCCCATTAGTTTAACTTTTAATGAGGATAATTCGTTGGGAATTAACGAGATGAGCAAACCCATGGTTTCAAAAAGGTACTGCTGATTATTGAAATTGCCATTTTCCACTATATCGTCATCCTCATCACGCGTTGGCAATTCAGCCTTTATTATCAACAAAGGTTGCAATTTGACTATGATCTGTTCGATCAAGCTTTCGCTATCCATTTTGGGCTTTGTCAATTTCATAAATCTGAAAAACAAGTACCAGCTTCTAAGCCTAACTTTTTCATTATTATTAAACAAACCTAATGGGCTCGTGAAAATCTCCAAAATTCGAAGTACCAAATCTTTTCTATTCTCATGCGAGTTTAAAAAACTATAGTGTTTAACAACAAGCTCAAAAAAACTGGATTGAATATGGGGATGATTGACTTCCAACAAAAAAGAAGATTCTATCAACTTTATCAAAAACTCCTGAAGTATTGAGTAGAGTTTGCTTTCGTTTATTTTGTTCTTGGGTACATTTAAGTAATTCAGCTTTAAGCTCTCTGAAAAATTGTTCAACTCAAATAACCCCAATTCCAAAGTTCTCCATGATTTGTCCCCCAGAAAGAGTGACTCGTTAATAACCACAGGAATGGTTTCTATATACAAATCCGGTGCTAATATGGCTATATTGTCTTGGAAAAGTTTCAATCTTGCTCTAAACTCGGTGAATTGTTGTTCAGTCTCCTCATCGGAATCAATTTTGCCGTCGTCGTCGTCACCACCACCACCACCATCTTCATCATCGCTATATTTCATCTTGATAATGAGCTTGTTTAAAAGACTAGATAGAAGCTCCATTGAGTATAATTGGGAATACTTTTTGCAAGCTGCTAGAAATTGTTGAATAAAAGAAAACACAACTTGGCTCACATCATCATACTCATGACCCAAAAAAGTAAGAATGATTGGCCATAGTATGCGTAGGTGTCCAGTCACCTCATTAATAGTGTTTGGATCGTTTCCCAAAACAATTATTAACTCCTCTCCCATTTGATTTGCCAATTTTGCAACGTGTTCAACAAACTCAATATCTTGAGACAAATCAATAATGGTTATGAGATCCGGCAAGTTGAGAAGAGTAATGAGCTCCAACTTATTGGAAGGAGGCATCTTTTTGGATAATATACGGATTAAGGTTTCGCAAGTTGAATTGCGCTCTCCCTCTCGTTGGAAATAACTTGCAATGATGCTAATAGTACGTGGAGAAACAAACAAGCTTATTTCCATCCAGTCAACGTACTGGGCTATGATATTTAACGTATTATTTAGAATCTCACTGGTATTATTGGTATCTGAAAGTATTTTGAACCAACTCGATACTAAACTAGTCATATCTTTATCCCTAATGGCATCTCGAAGCAAATTGTTTCTTTCCGAGATAGACGGGGAACGTCTAATATACTTGTCACCAATCTCTAAATGAATACTAATTAAAATCCTAGTATAATAATCTACCGCTAGCTGGCTATTGGACTCGATAGAGGCGAGTAAATCTACTAGAAAGTTTGGACAAGTGGTTAAATAAACACGAGTAAAAATTTTGGCAAACACTTGAGCCAATTTGTTTTTCAAATATGGCGGATCCTTGACTTGGTGGAGGATGTATGCGGATAGTAACTTAAACATCGTTAGCGATAGCTGATGGCATTCTTCCTGGTTCAACTCGTCTGTATTCTCTTCAATAACACCGAATAAATAGAATTTCAACTCGGGCGCAAGACTGTTGACGGATGCTGTGTTTGCCGCTGCCGCTGCCGATGTCGACGCTGACACTGACGCTGACACTGATGCTGGTGTCGCCGACGATATTGGCGATGTAATTGGTGCTGACGCGGCTAAAAGAGTCAATGCTGTGTCATAGCCATTTTTCGAGCTCTTGACCTCATTGAGAAACTCACACGCTTGCAACTGTAGCTTCTGGTCAGCCGACTCGTCCAATGCTATATGTATAGCATTTACTATTTGATCTTCCATAAAACAAAACCGACAAGAACCAACTAGTTTAACGTTTGAAAACCTCTTCTTCTCTGTATTTTTTTCAAAGGAAAAAATATCTCTTCTTTATATCTTTCAACCTGCTGTTTTCCACCCTTCTCTTGTTCCTTCTTCTTCAAAGGAATATCCAAAATGCCGGCTTTATGAAAAACTGTTGGAAAACTGGAACAATGAAAAACAGAAAATTAAAAAAAAAAAAAAAAAGAAAAGAAAAGAAAAAAGGGGAGCAAGAAAACGAAGAAAAAAAAAAAGGGTAAAGAGACAAAGCTTCTTTAAAGCGGGGTTCTCTTGATGACAAACTCTCTGAATGTAACGTTGGAGTTTGTTTGAAAAGATTAAGAGTTCCTCTTTACCTATCACTTGAAAGAAAAGCTGTTTAAAAAAAAAAATGAAAAAAAAAAAAAAAAATTTTGAAAAATCTTTTTGGTTTGATGCACACGACAATTGGAAATGTAAGAAGAGACAATGGTGATGATTAAGGAACCTATAACCATAATCTAGGACCTATAACCATAATCTAGGACCTATAGCTATAATCTAGGACCTATAGCTATAATCTAGGACCTATAACTATAATCTAGGACCTATAACTATAATCTAGGACCTATAACTATAATCTAGGACCTATAACTATAATCTAGGACCTATAACTATAATCTAGGACCTATAGCTATAATATAGGACCTATAGCTCTAATATAGGACCTATAGCTATAATCTAGGACCTATAACCATAATCTAGGACCTATAACCGAATTCTGGGATGGGGCCGAAATGGTCAGGGATGGGAGTTATTCTAGGACTGAAATGGTCAGGGATAGCAGTTATATCTATTCTAGGACTGCGTATTTCTTCAAATTGTCTAGAATAGCAGTTATATCTATTCTAGGACTGCGTATTTCTTCAAATGGTCAGGGATAGCATTGTACAAGTCCTTTTGTTGTAACCAAGATTTTGAGAAAATTCTATCGCTGTATTTATGAGCCGAATCTGCCAAAATCGTTACTACATTGGATTTTTCAGGCAAGTTTTTCGCTACTTCGACAGCAGCAACAACATTCAAGGCGCCTGTTCCTCCCAAGTATAAGCCTTCTTCGTCTAATAATCTATAGACCATTGTTATCGAGTCCTCGTCTGGGATTTTCAAAGCGTCGTCAATCAATTCGATATCAGGCTTTAAGTTATCAGTGACTCTTCCTTGCCCAATCCCTTCAGTGAACGAGGTGCCTCCTCTTTCCATTTCCTTGCCGTTTGATTTGATGTACGAGTAGAGCACCGACCCCGGTGGATCTGCAAGTACCGCTTTTACTTTCCCATTACTGATTGTCTTCAAGTATCGTGTAATGCCTGCAAACGTACCGCCAGTACCAGTGGAGCAAGTGAATGCATCAACTTTCCCGTTTAATTGAGCCCATATTTCAGGACCCGTCGTCTCTATATGTGCTTGTCTATTTGCCGTGTTATCGAATTGATTTGTCCAAACGGCATTTTCTAATCGTTCAGCATGTCTTTTAGCTTGGTGATTGTAGTTTTGCGGATCGGTGAATGCCACGGCAGGAACAGGGTAAACCTCGGCACCTAGTAATTTAAGCGTTTCTATCTTGCTTTTAGACTGGGTATTGGGCATGTATATTACACACTTGTAACCTCTGGCTCGGCAAACATGGGCTAATCCAATGCCGGTATTGCCTGCTGTACCTTCAACTACAGTGCCTCCAGGTCTAATCAACCCTTTCTCCTCAGCGTCTTTGATCACATATAATGCAGCTCGGTCCTTAATGGAACCGCCCGGATTCATAAACTCGGCTTTGGCATAGATATTTCTACCTACAGATTCAGAGATTCGAGGCAATCTTAGTAACGGCGTGTTTCCAATTGCACCTGGAAACCCGGTTTCACTAACCAACGGGATAAAAGGTAACTTCACCTCACTGTTCAATGATATGGAGATGCTTCTCTTTGAGATCCTCGAGAACATCTTGAAGCTAAACTTTGGTGGTGGTGGTGCCCAGTTGGTTGAAAGTGAAAAATTCAATTAAAGCAAAAGACGGAATTGTTTTTTTTTTTGACAAGGTCAAGTTTGATTATGTAATCATTATCAATTTCACGTGACGTAATATATGGGAAAATTTTGTCAAGGACTTCCGGTTGAAGCAGAAAAAAAAAATCTTAAAAATAAGGGGTTTTTCCTGAAAGTTGTAGAGGACTTCCGGTTAAGGAAGAAAAAAAAAAAACGAATCAGGTTCTTCCTGATTTGGGAGGTGTGCGATTATGCAATTAAACTCAAGTAAAAGACCTCTTATATTCAAAATATTGCCTCTCTTAAATGCCCCTAAGTCAAAATCTTGGTAATTTTTTTTCTCTGTCCATATTGATGGTTTGGTACATTTAGATATATCTATATCATGGTTAACCCTTTGATGCTATGTATATGCACCAATGAAAACCAAGGCAATTCTGGTCATCTAAAATGGGATGATTTTTCAAGTATGGAAAACTTTAGGTAAATAAATTGCAGTGCGTGACATACTTTCCAATGAGCTATGTTCTCGAGCCTCAAGATGCCTCAGTTATGAAACTAAAGGGGACAAAAAAAAAACAAACTTTTTCAAAAGCTTGAATGATTGTGTATTACCTTGCTTTGAAATATCACAAAAGTGTATACACCTATGGACTACTGGACAACCGAGGAATATTTCTAATTGGAACAACTAAAGAAAAACGAATAAGATGTTGTTTCGGCGTAAAAGTATTTCCGCCAATAAAACATATTAAAAAAGCTATTGTTTTCCGATATACGAAATACAATGCCCCAACCCCTCAAACAGAGATAACTCAAATGCACAAAGTTCTGGCTCTTTTCTATTGTACAACAATGTCAAAGCAATATCACAAAGACTAAAATACCCTATCAAAGCCTCGCATTTTTCAAGTTTCTTTTCACTTTTTTTTTTTGGTCCTAACGGCTTTTCAAGACAATACGAACTTGCAAAAAAAAAAAAAAAAAAAAAATTGAATAGTATCATTTTCTAGAGAGTGTCATAAAAGTAGAAAGAGCATATCTTTTTCAATAGAATGCCACCACCATAAACATTACCAAAAATCAACCCGCAGTAGAAAAGAAAGGAGACTCTTAGTTTTCATTATCTTCGTATAGGCTATTTTTTTTTCTTCTACTACTAGTTGCAGCAAATTGGCAAAAGTAGCTAGCACCCATTTCTATACCTTAAGAAAAGGAAATAAAAAGGCATTGATAGTCATTTCGAGAATACGCATTTCAAAAGAAAAAGAGTGGGCTTGTAGTAATGCTTCGTGCTTGCGTGTTTATCCTTTGAACCAACTCAAAGATTACGTGTTTCTCCGTTGAACTAGCTCAAAGATTACGTGTTTCTCCGTCGAACTTGCTCTAAAATCATGTGTCTTTTCTATCAATGTTTTATCAAGCTTTATGTATTTAACATCTGAAGCAGCTCTGGACTTTATATTGAATATTTTTGAACACAATCTGTAGCGATCAATGGAAAAAAGTGGCATAATGGAATGGACTAAAATCATCATCCTGTCAGGGTTCTCTCTATTCTCCACCACCCAGAATACTTTGAAAGCCAGAAGATCTGTCAGCTCAAAATGGCACAAAACATTTTTTTTTCTTACTTTTTTTCTTTGGTAATCTATACAATGTACTGTTAAATAGCTATATTGTAGTGAAAAACTAGGATAGTAATCAATATCTTATATCATTACAAATAAATTAAGAGAATCTACCAAACATCTGAATGTTCACAACGAAATGAGAAAAAAAGAACTATGGCTCTTTTGATTTTTTTGGGAAAGGGAATTTTGGTAGGTGTAAGTCTCAGAGTGGTTAAATGAGTGGCTGCAAAAAAAAAAAAAGAAAATTGCAAGCACAATTCAAGCTGACCTCATAATTTAGTTGGCAAGTTTTGGTGAAGTTGATCAGGTGAACAATTAGCAGAGCTGGTTAAGAAAACAACTTTTGTTTTATTATTAGAATATATATTGTATCATTCAAGGTGGCTATTATCTGAAAGCCACAGCAAAGCTGGCCAAAAACTAAGTCCTTTTTTTCTTTTTTAAGGTTTGGATTTTCACATAACCAAAGTGTCAATTGTTAACAATTGCCATATTTGGAACGAAGTATCCCTGAAAGACAAGAGACAAAGTCAAAGACAAAGACAAAGACAAAGACAAGGACTAAGATTAAGACTAAGAAAAAATATAAAATTGAAAAAAAAAATAAAAACATTAACCGCGTCGAACGCATGGCGTACCCTTATTTCAGCATAGGTAACAATTAAGCCAGTACTTCACATGCAGATACGCCGCTACAATGATTTCCTTACTACGTTCCCTTAATTTTTTTTTTGATATAAAGTGACATCACAAGATAGAAAGGCAGCGAGAGAGAAAGAGAGAAAAAGGACAGGGTTGGCTGCCTTGGGAATGTAGTATCTTTTACAAGGATGGAGGGAAAGGTGACGGAGATAGTAGTGACTGGACAGAGAAATGTATGTCCCCATCTGCCTCTTTAGGAGTGAGTTGAATTGTTTGTTCATGCTGTGATTTTTTTTTTTGACTTATATTGTTTCAGCAAAGTGTCAAGAGCAACATTGGTTGACTTTTTAATTTTAAATGATCTACAAAGTGTCCAAAGAAGTATTTTTCCTCGTAAAAAGTTACGCAAAAGGTATTTGCGAGACTATTATTAGGGAGGTTGAAGGATAAAAGTTTTCCGGTTTGCATTCTTTTATTTTTTAAAACCTATGGATGTTAATTTCATATCTCTATTTTATCCTCTTTGTTCCTCCTTCGTGTTTTCTACCCCAATTAGTAAGGAAAGCCCATCATAAGATGATTTTTTTAATTTTTTTTTGACAGGATGATCCGGAAATCTTAAAACTTGTTGACAAAAAAAAAAAAAAAGTTGGGCTAAAAAAGGACTTACAAAACAGAAAACTAAAAGTCTCTATACCTTTCTGAAGGCGCAAGCGAGATAAAGCAGAGAAGTTATATGAACTAAAGAACTTCTCTATTAGAACATACGAACAATGTATGTACTATATTGCTAATGTTGACTAATATGCCGTTACTACCACATACCTCTGCGTTACTTCAAAGCAAAGAAGAAAAAGAAGAATAAAAAGAAAAAAAGGTAACTGAGACAAAAGTGGGGATATTGATGTTGCAGTTTGAGTAAGTAGTAAAGGAATGAAGAATTGATGGGGGGGGGGGGGAAGAAAAAAAGTCATTGAGTTATCTACTACCCTGTGTAACTTTATATACTCATACTCTCCAAGCAAGGAGAGCAAAATGAAATATTCAAACACGTCACCTTGTCTCAAAAAATATATATCCCTTGTACTCCTCCCCTCTTCTCTTATTCATAACCAAGGACAGAATATAAAAAGTTGGTATCATGCCATTGTTCAAAGAGTTTATACTGCAAAGTTTAATAAGCTTTGCTTTGTAACATTTCGAAAGAATTGTTCCCTTTTTTGTACTCTTTCCTTTTTTTTGTTTTTTTTATTTAATTTCAAGGAACAAACCAAAGAATAAGGCAAGGAATATGCTCTTTTCTTTTCTTTTTTTTTTTCTTCTTTTCTTCTTTCCTTTGTAAAAACAAGAAAGAACTTCTTGATAATGTCTAGTAATGCAATACTGCGTTAAGTGTAGATTCAGCTTTAAAAAAAAATAAAAAAGTGGAAATGAAAAGTTGAGATCCCTAGTAGTGAAGTTTTTCCGAAAAAAGAGTTTCGCAATGAACCCTTCTTAACGTCATCTGCACATCTTTTTGTCTTTTTAAGTAAGAGTTTCCTTTTTTACCAAAAAAAAATCGGGCAATTTCCACGGAAACCTGTTATCTTTTCCAAAATTTCATATCTAAAATATCGAAATGTCCTAAAACCAAAAAGGGTTTCTTTACGTTGCATCTACATTTTCTACTTACTAGATCACACATATTTTTAGTAAATATTTCAAACCAAATTCAATCCTTCTTTTTTTTTTTAAAACAATCAAGATTCAAAAGATTCCATCATTTCACATCTTCTATTTTTCTCTTTGTAAAGATTAGTTTATTGTTGGAACATTGGCAACAAAAGAAAGTTGAAAGGGGAACATAGGAACAAAAAACCAGAATTGCTTTTCAATGGTTTTGAGAAATGCGTAGTGAAAAACAAAGAACCTTAATTTTCTGATGAGGTGAGTGGAAGGCTATCCCGTTTTTCCTTCCAACTATTTTGTTTGGAGAGGTTTATTCATTTTTTGGGGAGGTTTGTGGACTATGCATGTAACTTTTCATTTTTTGGACTAATATCGGGGATCGCGATCAATGAGGCAATTTGAAAGATTTTCTAAAGCACACAAAGATTAGTTAGAAAGATGGAAATGTCAGGAAAACATAGTTATAATCTGGGATAGAAATATTCAGGATATGGGCTACATAAGGTTATCTGTGAGAACAATATTTGTGGTTTTTTGACTTCCTAGACTGGCTGCCTTCTACTAGAGGTAGAAGACTAGACTAGATACAACTATAAACCGTCTGGACTACCGATGTAACTAAACCCAACTGTAATCCCTCTACTTACCCGATGCAGCCAATTTAATTCATCTCAAAAACAAACAGATTGATTCCTATCCTGGGAAAAAATAAAAAATAGGATTATGAGCCTGTAATTTTTTTTTATAAATTCTAAGTTATTCAACTGACATACAAATTAACTCCAGAAATGAGTTTGAGGGTTGGGTATGAATATATTATTATCTGTTTTGGTTCAAATTACACCTGGTACTTTTCCCTTTTTTTTTTCGCAGATAGGAAAGTGTAACCGTCAAATAGAATGAAAAGACAATTATTTAGAGTCTACCTAAGGTTTTGTTTTATCGAGCTAGCAGAAAAAACTGCTTTGGAAAATGGGTCTGCATTCGAATAGCAAGGTTTGGTGCTGATGTATTGTTTTGCACTGCAATTCACTATTAAAAATCTCAAATTCTTGAACCATTCAAGACTCTCTATGTATCCCGCGCTTGTTCGAGACCCTGTTTTGGTTATACTGGTTTCATTTCATACGCGATTGAAAAAAAGTTACGTAAACTAGTCTCGAAATAGACAAAAAAAAACTAAAAACACATCACACATCACACATAACACGAAAAAGTCAAGTTAAGAGTAATAGAAATATTGATGTATTTTAGAACCCATGCTTGATAGCCACCCCATATGAGAGTAGATGAGATTGGGGGAAGAGATGGGGGTTTAGTTTGACTATGAACCAAAAAAAAAAAGTATCTTACCTGTGTGTTCTGCTTTTTTTTTTTTTTTTATTTTTTTTTTTTTTGTTGTGAATCTGGAGCTTTAGGTTCTCAGAGTTCAGTTAAGAATATTTGTTTTACTCCCATCTCTAAAAACAAGAAGTATATAGAATATTTAAACCCCGGTTATAGCATCGGAAACATATCCTGGTGCGAGTTCAGTATAGCACAAAGAGTTTCTTCTTTATTGTTACACTGTGTTTTTAAATCAATTGAATATTTAACTTTTTCTTTTTTTTCACCCAGGTATCCACCATGGGTAAAACGTATCATAGACAAAATTTTGAAGAGTTCAAATGTAAGGCGTGTTTATGAGTTTAGCTTTAGCAATATGACCCAATGATGTTTGTATCAAAGCCTGAATTTTTAATTTGCACTAATTTTTAATTTGTCTTGTTTAAGAAATGATGTACACCTTTTTTATACACTTTGCTGCGAAATTCGAAAACAAATAATTACAGCCCCTTCGAGAGCATGCTCCTGTCGTGGGAGAGGGGAAGAATAGGAGGGGTCTCATGGTTGTATCATTCACACAATTGGCCCGATCGCATTTATTGAGCGGGTAACTGTGCGATTTTTTCGATAATTTTTCTTTTTCCAGTATGTTGTTTTTCCATATGTATTTTGCTTTTTCCAGCAAATTGTTATTATCACAGAAAGCTCTTTGAAAATCAATTGATATACACTAACTAGAATTTCTTCAGCAAAAGAGATAAAAGTATTCCCATTTCTATAAATATCAGGGAGTCAAAAAAGGCTATCAAAAGGGAGAGCCATGATGTGTGCCAATCGACTCCTTTCCTGGTGCACCCCCCCCCCCTCCTCCCAGTTATGGATGAAGTCTGGTTGAAGTTTATGCAACTCTTTCTCATTCAGAGGTTGAAAAAGTTCATCTTTTTTAAACTTTGTATCACCAAGATCCCTCGGTGTTCTTGCTACCCTTATTTTACCTTTTACGGTTTTTTCTTTTTTATGGCTTTGCGGATAAATAAATAGCCTAAAAAGTCTATAAAAAAAAAAGAAACAAATATAAAAAGAGAGATTCAAAAAGATAGGGAATAATCTAATTAGTAACAGCAACTTCTAAAAACAGACAAATACCCTTTGACCTCGCGTTATTTTCAATTTTTGTTAAAGTTAGTTCCATATAGGTTTGTTCTCTATTATTTTTAAGGAGAAAAGTCTGGTAAGTCTGGTAAATATAGTATATTTGTCGAATGAATATTAAGATGAATACGAAACTACACATTTTTGTTCCCTTTTTTTATTTTGTTTTTTATTTTTTACTAGTATAATAAATATCCCCTCTCAAGCTCCCTTCTTTTTCATACATCCAACACATCCATATGCCGGTTATAAATGGCCCAAGAGTTTTGCGTTTACTATAAGATTTGGAAATTGAATTTGGGAAACCCTCTGTACATATCAGTATATACCCCTCCTTTGTTTTTACTTTTACTATCTTGTTTTGCATTTTAAAGAATCTGCGTGAAGGACAAATAATATATTTAACAACGTTGACTAAGACAAGGATTATTGAGTAAACTCAGCTCTTTGTAGTCGTGACCAGGGTATACACTCTGTAATAGGGTTCTTATTTTGAAAACGACAAACACTATTTGTTGTATGTAACTATATTGTCGTGAAAGTTTGTAACAAAATGAAGTTGCAGAAGTGTTTGTTACTGAATTTCAGAGATTTCATATTGAAATATTAAGGTAGAGATGTTAATGTGGATATTATATTCAAAAGTATTGAGGAAGGAGATAGGCTCTAGATCATCAGAACAATCTCAAAACGGTTATGTCTGTGCAGCACCACATAGAAATCTAGGATCTAAAAGTCTACATAAGTTCCCCTACATTTTACCTTTTGTTACAATGAATATCGAAAAGTTCCTTTTTTTTTTTCATACTCTTCAACAATAGCCATTCGATGAGTCCAATCCACTCGCGCCCTATTTGTTCGCTATTGTTCCTGTTTCACATAATGCAACAACTTTTCATCTTCGATATCAGTGGTTTTGGCTTATTACCAGGCTATTATCTAATTGATCTTAGATGTGTAGCCAAAAATTTCCAAAAAAAAAAAAAAACAAGAGAAAAGAAAAATCAATAGATGATTTAACGGGGCCAGTTGGTCCTTCCTATTTCTACGTTTTTGATCTTTTCTAGGGAACTTTCTCTAATGTTGGTCAAGGAAATAAATACTGAGGTCATCATTTATTAAGGATATCTTGACTGAATCTTCTTTTCTCTTTCTTTTTTTTTTCCATGTCCGTGATCTGAAATAAAAGTTACAAGGTAAAGTGATGTTTTTGCAGCAAACCAAAAGTAAAGGTGTTTCGCAATAAAATAGTTTTAATGTTACAATTAAAAAAAAAAAAGTGGAATGTTTATTGTGGATTTTATTACCATAGCTTTCATCTTATCTAGGAGTGTAGGATCAAGTTTGAAAGAGTGAAAATGCTCTATAAGTCAAGGTCATGATCGAACTGATATTTTCAAAGAGGAGACAAGGAGGGTATATAAGACCCGACTTTGCTGATTAACCAAGTCCCATGGTAAGAGAAATCTTTTTACACACACGCGCGTTTTCTCTCTCTCTCTCTCTCTCTCTCTCTCTTTCTCAATTGAGCTTAATTTTGTAGATCTCAATTAATCGGAGCTCTATAGACTTTGGAATGATTAATTTCAATCTACAACATGCAAGTATAATCGAAAAAAAACAAAAATATTGCTGTCAAGTAAGTATTGGCGAGAGGGGACAATGGGAGGTAAAATGTTAATACACAATTAGCACACACACATATATATATGTATGTATTATGCGTGAGGTAGGTGGTGTGAAACCAAGATGATTATCAAGAAATGGTTATTGAGAATTTCTTATGTAGGTGGAACAAAAAAAAAGAAGTGTATGCACCTGAGACCATAAATTTCTCAGTACATTTTGACAATGTGTGTGAATCCATTCCTTGAAAACAGCTGAGATAGTAATAGGTTGAGCCTTAGTGGTGAGGGCATTTTATATAATTTGCATTGCAATCATTAAAAAAACTAATAGAAGAAAATAAGAATCGATTCACGATATATTATTTTACTTGTGTGAATTGAATCTCTTACCAAATAAAAAAAAAATCAGATATCCGAAAACTGTGGATCTCTTAAATTGATTAAAAATATGATCAGATTGCAATAGAGTTGCATTGAAGTAATCATGACTTTCCCCACATGCTGTTAAGAGGATTGAAACCACCCACCCATATGTGTTGTAGTAGTAGTAGTAGTAGTAGTAGTGGTGGTGGTTGTATTAGAATAGTTAATTTATTAATAACGTCCCGATTTTGACAGACTTATTCAATTTCAATAGATAAATTCATTTTAGAGGGACTTCCCGAAAACGTACGTCTCTACTATCTATAAGGAAAAGAAACTGTTAGATGCGGAGCTACTTAATAATGCATAGGAACAATCTTTAGACTAATAAACTACATAATAACTTATTATACAGCTCTTCAACATTAGCATAGGGGTCTTGTATGCAGTACAGAAGCTAAGCAACTGTATCTGAGATAAAACTATGCAAGAACCAAAGAAAAAGAAAACAAAATATATTATTATATTAGGCTCGCAGTATGATTACTAAACAAGATTAGGTTTTGCCGCAGAACCAATTCAACAAGAATTTATAATTAGACAGCGAAGAGAAAAATAATAAATAAGAAATTACACCTTGAATGTTGCACAGAAATGAGAAACTTTAGCTCTTAGATACATTTTTTTTTTTGTGTAGGCAGAAATTGCCACTTACTTAGAGAATGTGACAAGCGTATTTACAGGTAAGACTAATAGTAAGAGTTTGGTATCCTCAATACATCTAGTAACAGAAGTGGTTATATGCCTTTATATAAAAGCCTACCGATTTCCTCCCCTCCCCCTTTCCCTGCTACCCCCTCTAATTTGCCCATTTCAAAGTTGACGTTTTTTGAAAACTTTACTGTCCATTCTAAACTCTGCTGACAAAAAAAAGCAAATAAGCATAGTCATAAATAACCTCACCTTGAGTGACAGGGTACTCAGTTGATTTTCAGTTAATTCCATGTTCAAGCAAGAATCGTATAAATCAGATTCAGATTCAACTTCACTAAACAAGATGTCATTCAAGAACTTGATCTGTCATCAAGACACATCTAGCAGAGCTATGTTTGATGAAACCAAACCAAAGATTACTTCACTACCTTCATTTAGTGAGTTGTTGACTTCAATTCCGTTACCTTTTGACATTAAATCTTCAAGGAGTAATAGCAGCAGCAGTAGCAGCAGTAGCAGTTGTGGTAACGGAAGCTATTCCTTCTCATCCGCATACACTTTGAATCAACAACAACAACGTAATAATAGATTACTGTCGATTGCTTCACCACCTTATAATTATTACACTCAACATTCAATACTCAATAGAATGTCCACCCCGCCTTCCCAGCAGCTGCCACAACAATTCTCTCCGAAGGCCCCAGTGGTATTCTCACAAGTGAATAGTAGTGAAGACAGTTTTGCTACACCTGTGCCTCTCACGGTGAACCACGATCCTGCCACTACGCACGCTCAAACCAATTTCAATCCTATAACACCAGTAATGAACACATTCGATACAAAGATACGATCAAATTCATCTGCAGCTATACTACAATCGACTTGTTCGTCAACAATGACATCGCCTCATTTGACTCAACACCGACAACAATCTGTTGCATTACCAACATCACCTCGTAGTCATTTTGTCACTGGTTCGTCGGATGCTATGAGTAAGTCGCCTAGAGACCCAAGAAGGAAACATATATGCAAAGTGTGCTCTCGATCATTTACTACGAGTGGACACTTGGCAAGACATAATAAAATTCACACTGGAGAACGAAAACACGAATGCCCCTGGCCTTCATGCGATGCTAGGTTTGCAAGGCAGGATAATTGTATGCAGCACTATAAAACACATACTAATGGTAAGAATAAAAGGGCTAGAAGTACAAGTGGAGCAAGCGTTGTCAATACCAATACTAGGAACAATAATAACAATAATAGCAATAATACAAATGGGGTTGGATCTGCAGGTTATTCACCGGCAATACTACCACCTCATCTCCGTAATCTTCATCAAGGTAATATGGATGGTCCTGCTGTTGCTATTGGCATGCCTGTAATGTCGCTGTTGCCACATCATCAAGCCGCCCCACCACCGAATTTGAACTATATACGTAAATCATATGTTTAGTAACAAGTATGAAAAAAAGAAATAGTAATGAAATACTAATGATTTGATATTGAAAACTGAATCTTTAACACAGACATCAATTGCGCAGCCTCTTTCTATACACTAAGGTTTCAGATTTACGCTTAGGTTTGTAACCGATGCTAGACCAAAGTAAGGAGTCTGAGTGATAGATCTCAACTCGATATGATGGAATTATACAAATGGACAGAGTGAGGGAGAGAGGGAGAGAGACGTAAAACTGAGAGTATATTGTAGAGTCTGTAACCATAAGAGTCATAGCAAAACCGTGGTTAATAATGTTTCCTGTATGAATTCTGGACAGTTTCCAGCAGGTTCTGAAATCAACCAGTATTTTGTTTATATAACTGGTATCTCTTGATCACACGTTATCAATGAATAAGACTCTACACCACTTTCTCCACGTTTCAATCTTACACTCTTTCCTTCTGTATTTCTGGACTGGCTTGGTTCACAAACGGCCCGCCCGCCGTGCCAATTTTCCTATATTAAATAAAAGAGAGATTCAATACTTGGCTGCGAAAAAAGTTGGCATTTTAATTGTTACTCACCAAGTTGTTGTTCGCCTATTGAACGATAATATTTTTTTTTCTTTGCTCATGGCACTTCTTAGCAAAGTTTATATTAGAACATTAGATCTGGTTCCTTGAACTAAGCATTTTGCAAAATGCCCAGGATTTGCAGTGGTTGTAGTTAATAGTTGTAGTTGTAGTTGTAGTTGTAGTTGTCCTAAGTGTTAAACTTGCTAGTTTTTTTTGTTTTTTTGTTTAATTTCGGGATATCAATTCCAGCAATACCTTACATGACCTTACATACCAGTCAAAAGACAGCTTCAACAGGCGATAATAGTCAGAGTCATACATTAATATCAATATTCTTATATTTTTTTTTCAAAATGTACCAGAAGTAATAACACCCCTCACTCTCACCAACTAATCACCTCCTGCAGCCCCTTTCCCTTTATTTCCTTAACTTAATAATACGAAATGAAAAATAAAGAAAAATAAAGATAACTTATAGGGGGGAACTTACATTAAGGTACATGCCAATAAAGTTAGAGTAAGAAAGAGGAAGATTGGTAACAAATATAGATGTTTTTACCTAATTGATTTCAATTGTAAACAAATTATGGCTTTCTCCTTTTTTTTTTTCCCTCTGTTTCCTACTTTTGTTTCTTTGCTTCTCCTTTTCTTTGGCCTTGGTTCTGGTTTAGATTCAAGGTAAAGAATATGAAAGAGTTGGCGGGTGGTGATTCGTGACAGAGGATAGACTAATAAAAGGTTTGTGTATAGTACAGATCTCTACTATTTTAGGTGACGTAAGCCTTTTATTAAAAAAAAAATTATTAGCTGGTAGAACAAGATGGTAGCGATTTTGGAAACTAGTTCTTGGAGCATACTTACAACTGTTATTGCTAGCTAAGAGTTTGGCTGTGGAATCATGGGTCGTAGTATTAATAGTGGTAGTAGTAGTTTTTTGTGGGGTAAAAGAGATGATAAGATTGAATAAATGTTGTTTATTTTATTTCAGGAGCCAATGCCAATAAACGAAACTAGGTCTGGAAAACGAAACTTTTCTTTTCCAATATCGAAGAAAAAAAAAAAAAGAAAAAAGAAAACCGAATATTTTCCCAGTTGGATGTTAATTGTAAACTATTTGTAGGTTGTTGTAATGGGAATATATGATGATTTTTAGTATTAGGTTCTTCTTTTTTCTTTTTAGCTCAAGTCGTGAAAAGATCAAGTGTCTTTTTTCACCGCCAAGGGGGGTTGGGGGTTGGAGAGCACTGAAAACAAGAAAATTTCTTTCTCGATATAGAGTGATTATAGATAGAAAAGTTGGTGACGCAATAATTGAGTAGGGAAAGCTGCCACTTTTTTGTGATCTAGTGAGAGTTTGTGTTTATGTGGAAGAAGCTGATGAAGGTAGATTATTATTATTTTGGTTTTGTAATTAATAGCTCTTAGCTCTAGTTTTTTTAGTTTGTTGATGATCAGATAAGAATCAGATGCAATATGATGCACCTCTTTCAGAATCATGAAAGAAGGAGAAACAGAAGATAAAAAAAATACTCCCTATAGAGATGATGTTTGGTCATAAAATGGGAGGTATGAGTCAATGCAACTCCACTAGCTCGCTTTGCTCCCTAGTGTCGATCAAAGAGGGCGAGAGAGAGGGGGGGGGGACGAATTCGGAGAGAGTTATTAGAGAAGAAAATTAGACCCCTTTTGCTCAGTCCTAGGAAAGTTCGTAAAAAGAGAATGGATATAAACAAATATGAAATAAGGAACTAGGGAAAAACTCCCTAATCCCTCTTTCAGAGCTGACTATCCTGATAAGAGAAAAAAAGGGAAAACTCTTTACTCCATACCCTCCCCCCCTCTCAAATGTAGATTCATTATAATGTGGTATTGCCCCCCCTCAAATGTAGATTCATTATAATGTGGTATTGCAACGTCTATCTAACCCAATGCACCCGTTTTTTCACCAAGAGGTCGTAACCTGTGTTTTTGAAGGGGAGGGTGGGCTAAAAAAGAAAAAGAAAAAGAAAAGAGAAATTAGGATTCCCAGTGGTTTTAAATACTTTTTATTTTGTTGATTTTTTGACTAAACACCATCTCCATCACCCACCATTACTACTTACACTAAATTTGTAGAAAGTTTTAAGCTTTCTAAATAAGATCCTTTGGTTTTTGTGCTCGTTTTCTTCTAGGGGGTGTGTGACCCCTAAATTTGAGGCTGGTTGGCTTTTTTTAGACTTTTATCTGGTTCTAAAAGTTTATAGTTTATAGTTTAAGTTTTTGGCATTTTTGAGTTCTGGAGATTTGTAAATTTAAGTTTAGATTTAGGTTGGTGTGGTAGTGAAATATTATTACTGTCCCGATTTTATAATCCATCAAAAAAAGAGAAAAGACCACTAAGGTTAATTTTTGCTCTAGCGTAGAGAGAAGCAACTTTACCGATGTAACATAGGGTGAAAAGGGCTAACAAGAAAAGAAAAAGGGTAACGATCTACAATATGTAAGGCTTATGGTATGAAGTCGAGTCTAAATTTTATCCCAAACAGAGTCAACTATAGCAATCATGTGGTGTCAAAAGAGAGTCGACACTAGGGAGCAAAGCGAGCTAGTGGAGCAGCATTGACCCATACCTCATTATGAGGTTGATTTCTTGAAGAAGGGAAAATAAACAAGTAAAACCTCCTTGTAATATGTAACAAGAGACGTGAGAAAAAGAAAAAAGAAATATTAGAATACCCCATTTGATCCATTGAGTTTTTTCCAAGAATAGAACACCCATTTGATCCATTGAGTTTTCTTTTTTAAGAAAAATCTATTTTGGTACATACATGGGCTTGGGTTGCATTAGGGCAAGTTAAGTGGGGAGTAGAAGGGGATTTAGAATTTCACTGTTCACGATACTTTAAATAAAAAAGAAGGGTCAAGAAAAGAAAAAAAGAGATCGGCCGAAAAAAAAAAAAGAAATCGGCTGAAAAAGAAAAATGCGTGGTGTTTCTAAGGCGTCTTGGTTGGAGATTACCAGCTGATAATGAAAGAAAACGAAAAGAATTGGTATATGATGAAGAAAAGAATTGGTATATGATGAAGAAAAGAATCGGTATATGATGAAGAAAATTTTGACATAAAGTATTGATCCCTGAAAAATTGTAGATTATTCAGGGATCAAGAAATGTACAATGTGATGATGCTAGAATGACCTTTGTCGAACTTCCAGTTCGTATTTGTGAGCCAATTAGTTCCTACAGAAAGTATGTAGGAATAGATATAAAAAAAAACCCCCCTCGAAAGTCATTGTTTTTTTTTTTAGACAGGGAAGAAGGGGCCCCTTTTGATTTTTTGCATATTCTCGCTTCTGCCTGTTGTTGCTGCACCTTTTGAAAATACAGGTATCAGGATACTATCGAGCAGAGCGAGATAGTGGAGCAGCACTTGGTAGCTTGTTACAAAGTTAACAAAGTTAACCTGTTTCTTGTTTTGAAGGGGAATTGCGGTATCCTGAAATAAGGGGTTTGCTGCTGTTTTGAAATAAGGGGTTTGCTGCTGTTTTGAAATAAGGGGGGTTAGTCGTATTTTGAAATAAAGGGTTTTTTCCATGAATTTTTTTTTCCTGTTCACACCAGAAAGAGCGAGATAGTGGAGCACAATTAAATATCAATAATATAGAGTATAAAGGCGGTGTTTTCCTTTCCCACTTTGTCAAATTATTACTTGTATATGCCACTATCGAGCAGAGCGAGCTAGTGGAGCAGCACTTGGTAGCTTACTTCATTGAACCATCAAGAATAACTACGTTAGGTATTAATCACGTGACATACTGGTATATTTTTTTTGCAATGGATTATTTTTATTTCATAGCCATTAAAAGTGAGTTTGAGATGGAAACAACACTATCGAGCAGCACCGACTAGCTTGTTCCAATACTGACTAGCTTGTTACGACAATGCCTTTTTTTTCTATCTACTTACTCATCATCATACACGTTTACATAATAATGTGTGCCGTTCAATTCCGAGCCGATATTATATACAATTCCATTGATAATAATCTTTCTAATGTTGAACTTGCGCAACGTATCCAAATCACCACCATCTTTTAATGTATCAGCAAAGACGTCACTATCTACTCCGCTGATATGAGTATGTTCTTGTTCGTCTGCTCTCCTCTCTGCATTGCCTCGGTGTAGATTCAATATTGCCTGAACCATATCATTAGTATAATGACTAATACATTTCGGAATGTTAGCATAAAGTCTTTTTGTAAATTCACACTCATCAGTCGAGATAACGTCTGATGTCGCACCCTCGTCATATTCTCCATGATCAATAACTTTTTTCTCATAACATTTGAAAGGTTGTCTTTCAGTGTGATTTGTTACCTTATGGAAATCCCAATGATGATTCCATAATGGGAACGATAGTTGATCTAATTGAGTGATTAAGTCATCTTGAATCATTCTATGGTTTAAAAATTCACCAATAACGGAAAATAAATGGGAAACATTCATATCCTTGTACTGATGAGTGTCAATACAGTGGTATTTATGATGCATCATGTAATCGTCTAATTTGGTTAAGAATTCGTCACAATGTTCACATTTACAACCATTGAATAAAACAGTGTTCATGTATTGTTCATAGCATGCAAATGTTTGAAATAGGTTAGGTAGAACCAATGTTAATCGATTGTTTGACGAGTACCTATTAATGATTTTAGGCAAAACGGTCATGAACATGTCATATCTCCGGCGATAATTTCCTTCTACACCATCGGGAAAGTTGCCCAAGATTGGTAATTTATGTTTTATAGACAAGTATGTAAGGTTTGAACATACTTGTGAAACAAAATTCAAAATGTTCAAATCAAACGATTCATTAGCTGCATGTGTGGGAAAAACAGAACCTTGCACAATGGAAAGTTTCTTTAGCTTAGGAAATGAAGAAGGGAGTAGAGTTAAACAGTCAAGAACGTAATCATCGGGGTCGGAACTTTCTGTTGTATAGGGGATAATGAGTTCCAACTCTTGCATGTTGTCCCAAGTAATACTATTTACCAACAATGTATTCATATTCATGTCACTCAGGTTGAAAACCAACTTGAACTTGCGCATATTGGGGAATTGAATCAGTTTAGCAAAAACCGCTTTTCGAAACCAGGACCAATAACTGTATTCATCATCGGCTAGTATCAAGGATGTTAATTGACTAGGCGACAACGATACTTGACTACCAACAAGTTGTCTCTTGTTTTGTTCGACATAGTGGTGGTGTTCTTCTTGCTGATTGATACCGTTTCCTTCCACAATAACAAACTTTTTCAAACAGAGTTTATCTAGATTCAAAACTTGACGAAGAGAAGCATTGCTTATATAAAAACAATCCAACAGACTCAATTTATCAGCCAATTTCTGTATATCATTAATGATCACATCATTAAATTCTCCAAAAACATGAACCTCCTGAATATAAGAAACCAAATCGGGATTGATCTCCAAGGCTTGAAGAAGCACGACCAATCTTGCATGGACCATTCTCAAGTTTAGTTCATAATCATGAGAATGACGAAACCCATAAATAGTTACACGAGATCCATCTTGCAAATCCACTTTACGAGCAGTTAAGAGATCAGTGACACCACCATCGCTACTTCTAGACTTGGGCTTAAGACTAGCATAGCTTCGCAAAGGAGGAGTTTCTGTTATTACTATTCGAGAATAAAGCCTTTGCAAGCACGGATGGTAAAATTCATAGTTTGTAGTAGCAAGGTTGATCAACGATTGTTGGGGTAAATAACTTATAATTTTCTTCAAAATATGTGGTGGTAGCCCAAGAAGCAGTTGTGCTGTAAGAGACATTCTGACCTATCAGTAGTACTGCAAAAACTCCCGCTAGTATCGCCCTTTAAAACATATATATGAAATACCATATACCGTATAACTCTAAAAGCCGAGGTTCTTCCAAAAAAGTCGGATGAAAAATTTCCTCCCCCCCCCCTGCCGCCGCCACCACCGCCGCCGCCAAAGGTGATGAGATGGCGCTACCATATGCAATGCTCATCTCGCCAGGTGGGCACGACCTATTGATTCCTTTATTATTGGTGATGAGCTTTTCAAAGTGGGGGAGTAGAAGGAGTGTTAAAAAGTGGTATCATATCATCCCAATGGAAACGACTTTCCCGAGCCTGCTTAAGCGTAAATTACTAGTTGCCAAGTAGGGTTTAGAGGAGTTATGATACAAATAGAGAGCTATTAAGTAAGCCCACATTTTCTCTCTTTTGGCGAGTTTGGTTTCTGTAAATGCGAGAGTGAGGGAACTTTGAATACTTCAATAGTTCGAGACCCTCTTTTGATCATTGATGTCAAAATGGAAGGGGGGGTTGGGCTCCACCCACACACACAAACACAGAGAGACACAACGCAATATAAAAGGTGATACTTATCACTCACAGGATACGTATACCTTATGCTACAGGGTCTTGATTTTGTGCATTACAGAATTATTTTTTTGAGATACGCAATGCAAATACCTGCATTTTGAAACTACGTGAATGCATTGTAATTGAGTTACAATTTTTTTCAATTTTGTTCTTTCTTGCATCGCATGTGTGTAATGCAGGCAATCGAAGTAGTCTAGTGCCTTTCTATTTTTTGTTGAATTACCGAGGATTGAGTGTAAGGCCTCTCTTTTTTTGTTCATGAAATAGGGTGGATACGAGTATTTGATTTGTTTCAAACGGGTTTCCCCATTTCTTTTTCCCTATTTTTGAGAAGATAAAGCAAGTCACACGGGTTGGATCTGTCAATGACATATGCTTTGTGATTGTAGAGTTGAGAAGCCAGTGCCAAGCTTTAACAACAGCGGCTTTTTCTTTTCTACTTTTTTGAAAATGTTGGGTGCTAATTATTATAAAAGATGAAAAATCAATTTTGGAAAATACAAAAGTAGGAAAACTCTTATTACGTAAAGAAAAGCTTCATTTTCTATTTCTATTCAGATGCCAGATTGTAGTCTATCTAATCATCAATTAATCACAATGGGTGAAAAATCCCATTGTTAAAATTGAAGAAAATAAAGAGGGTAAAAGTGTTATTTCAACGCTTTACAATATGCAAATTGGAAAAAAAAATGAATGTATGTGGGAAAATGCCTTATATTTATATATATTCAACAATTTGGTACATTCTGTGTTGTATATGAAGTTTAGTTGACAAGGCAAAAACTGCATTTTGACAGGAGGCGTTTATGTCATTTGAGGCTTGATGGTTTTTGCAAGTAATTTTTATTATGAGATGTACTCTTTTGCCAAGTTGATTTTAATGGTTATTGGTGATGACCTTTTGTTCATGTAATATACCTCTAGAAACAGGACAAAGTCTCTCTTAAGTGGATCCGCAACACTATCGAGCAACACTATCGAGCGAAGCGAGATAGTGGTGCATAGAGACTAGACGAGTGAAACAACACTATCGAGCGAAGCGAGATAGTGGTGCAGTACTGACTACACCGACACTATCGAGCGACACTATCGAGCAGAGCGAAATAGTGGAGCACACTAGCTTCCACCGACACTCTTGAAAACGAGAGCCACGACATACGGAAAAAAAATAGATCGCGACACTATCAAGCGGCACTACCAAGCGGCACTATCAAGCTGGACTATCTTGCTCTGCTCGATAGTGCAGCACACTACTTTGCTCTAGAAAATGTTTTTCAATATATTTCGTTTTTATGATAAGGAGTTTAAGTGAAAAAATTACCAATATTTTGAAAAAGCTACTAACTAATGAAAAAGTTTATATAGGTTAACGAGCTCACTATTTTCTTAATTAAAAACTTTGAGTTTGAAATTCCAACTTTTCTGAAATAAAGTTCCTTTTGTATTAGAGTGAAATCTGGATTCAGATAAATCAGTCCCGTAACATCCCCCCTACAATTCTTCAACCCTTGATAAAATCTTTTTTCCCTATTGTTTACCCCGGCTAAAAAAAAGTAAAAAGAAGGAGAGTTGTGGCCATCTTAGTTCAAAGGAAAGGAGAGTTGTGGCCATCTTAGATCAAAGGAAAGGAGATTTGTAACCATTTTAGTGCAAAGGAAAAGAGGTGGTAATTTTGGTGCAAATTTTCCCATTTTTTTGCTTCTGCTATTCTTAAACCCGATGAAAATCAAGTTAGAAGTGAATTTCAATGTGGTTAATATTTGTACATTCTAAGCCGCATTGTTTTATTAATTTTCTAAAGTTTTCCTTTGTGTTGTTTCCGATTTCGCTTCAACACATATCATAGGTTGAGATTAGTCTTACGTCAATAGGTCACTTCATCAAGCTATGTTTGCTAGACAGCAATGATGCCTTTTTTTTCTTTTTTTTTTTAAGGCGAGAGGGGTGGGAGGTTATGTTGTTAATAAAGTTGTTGGCAATTGCCCATATCTACTCTTTATTAGATTTAAAGATCAATAAAAGCCAACCCACTTAGGATTACTAATAACACACAGGAATATAGCAATAATTTTAGTTTCTATTGAAGAAATAGAGATTTAACTTCTAACCTAAATGACCCATACTTCTTTCACACACACAAACACAGACGTAGACACACTTTCTCTCCCTCTCTCTCTCCCTCTACTTGCCCTCGATTTGGACAAAGCTACTTATCCACACATGGTAGTGCACTACTATTGATTTTTCGTATATACGAAATCTGTCAAATCCGTTATATAATAAATGGAGTTACACAAAAATGCATTTTGCATCTTTTTTTTGCAAACTGCCATTATATTATCATTGATGTATATATTTGAAGATGAATTTCTTCAAGTTGAGAAACAGTAGGCTTTTGTATATACTTTTTCCACTCATTTCCACTCTTTCTTTGCCATAAAGACTAACTATAACTTAGAACCATATTTTGCAAATGGAGCTGACTTCTCGGTCCAACTCCTCAGAGTCGATAAAGTTGGTAGATCAATCAAAAAATAATAAAGAACAAGAGTCATCGCTAGCATCTGAAGATGCAAATGACGATATTTTGCAATCATATCATGGACTGGCACTGGACTTGGAAGTTAATGCAATTAAAAGAGAAGAGGCCTTGTATGATAATGCACTTGATCAATACAATCCCGATTTAATAGCCCTAGGGTCTAATGCACTATTGTCAAGGCAAATTTCACGAATAATTACAAATACCGAACTGCGAAAGCTGGGAAAGGCCTGGGCGGAAAAAAGTGGAACTATTTTTTTGCTCGGAGAAGGCAGAGAGTTGCCACCTGATCTACCAGATAGGTCAGCATTTATTGTTTCATATAACGGAAAGGATGATACTGACCATCCCCATAATTACTCGCTATGGACAAAGATAATGTATTCTTTTTGCGTAGGACTAGCTGCATTATCGGTGTCTATGGGATCAGCCATGTTCTCTGCTGGCGATACAGAAATTATGCATATTTTCCATATAGGTGTTTCGGTTGCGGCACTAGGCACTTCGCTTTTCGTGCTTGGGTTTGCAGCGGGTCCTGTTATACACGGACCATTATCAGAGTTACTTGGGCGTAAAGTGGTTATGATCATTTCATGCCTTGGGTATGTGTGTTTTTCATTCGGTGTGGCTACTGGTAAAGATATACAAACCGTCATGATTTGTCGGTTTTTTGCTGGGTTTGTTGGTAGTGCGCCTTTTGTTGTTGCACCAGCAGTTATGGTTGATTTATTCAATGCAAAACATCGTGGCGTAGCTATTGCAGTATTTTCCTGTACCTTGTTTGGAGGACCAATGTTTGCTCCTATACTAGGTGGTTTTACAGTGAAAAACCTGGCATTGGGGTGGAGATGGACTTCGTATTTCTCAGCAATCATTGGATGTGTTGCTTTAGTTTTGAACACTTTTGTACTAAAGGAAACTTACCATCCTTTTTTGCTAGTAAGAAAAGCAGAATTGTTAAGAAGAAAAACTGGTAATTGGGGGATTTTTGCTCCTCATGAGGAAGTTACTTTGAGTTTCAGCGAAATTGTCCGAAACAATGTGGCGAGACCATTGAAATTGTTAATTACTGAACCAATTATCTTATTGGTTAGTCTTTATAACGCATTTATTTACGGTATGCTATATATGTTCCTTACAGCAATACCAATTATATATTCGGGAGGTTATGGATGGAGTCAAGGTGTTGCAGAACTACCATATATCTCGATGTTTTTAGGGATAATATCGGGATGTGCGTTAATTGTTTGGTTTGAGTTTTATACAAATAAGAAAATTGAAGCTCACGGACATAAACCCGTTCCAGAAGATCGATTACCACCGGTTATGGTTGGGGGTTTCACATTTGTGATTGGAATCTTTTGGTTAGGATGGAGTGGTGATTACCCCAAACAAGTTCACTGGATTGTGCCTACAATAGGAGCATTTTTTATTGGTAATGGGTTAATATCGATCTTCCTTCCCACAATGAACTACATTATTGACTGCTATTTATTCATCGCAGCTTCGGCTCTAGCAGGCAATGCTTTTATCCGTTCAGCATTTGCGTCAGCATTTCCTTTATTTTCTACACAAATGTTTACTAACTTAACGGTCAAATGGGCATCAACGTTAATCGGATGTTTGGCGGTTCTTATGTTTCCTATCCCTTTTTTATTCTATAAATATGGAGCAACAATTAGACAAAAGTCAACACATGCTTTGCATTAATAATCATCCCTTGCATTAATAGTCATCCCTTGGTTTAGTGAAGAAAAAAGAAGAGACTATTATGTACATATCCTATCCTATAATATACACTAATAAGGCATGGTTTTAAGGCATGGTTTTAAGGCATGGTTTTAAGGCATGGTTTTAAGGCATGGTCCCCTACCTAAAGATAAGCCTTGAAAGCTGCTTAGTCACTTAATCTATTGTGGTGTGTGGCCAATGCTTTGTATTATTAATCGACGCTACCAAGTCCGCAACGTTCCGTTACTAATCTTTGATGACATGATAATTTGACAGATTTTTCAACTTAATTAGGTATGTAGCAAATAATTATAAAAAGAAGTAAATGTTGGTATGGTTTTGGGAAGGAAGGGTTGATTGTGATTATTTGTGACTGATTGTGACTAATTGTGGCTAATTGTGATTGAAGAGGGGGGAAAAGAAAAAGAAACAAGAAGAAGAAGGAAGAATGTTTCAAAATTTTAGTAATGATAATGAGATTATATCTCAGCAGGGTAAACCCTCAATTTTAGATCCTGAAGCTAGTGTTGATCCAACTCGTGATGGGTCTTTTTCTTCATCTTTTAGCTCTACTAGATCAGTTGAAGAGGAACCTAAATCGTTTGCTGGTAATATAGATGGTGACGATGATGTCAACTTGCATTCTGGTCAAATAGTAGAAGGAGGTGATGAGCTTACATCTCATGAGGTAAATCCGCAACTATCTAGAGTTGTCCAGAAGAATCACTAATACGGAGTCATTGGTTCGTAAAGGTCAGGAAACTTCAGATGAACCAATACTCGAAATTGGTGAAGGCAGACCTTTTCCTCCGATGTTACCCGATCGAACTCCTTACTGTGTAGCTTATAACGGTGAAGATGATCCTCATCATCCCCATAGTTATCCATTATGGAGAAAAATGCTATACTGTCTCTGTGTCGGGTTATCTGCATTATCTGTTGCAATGGGTTCCGCTATGTTTTCGAATGCAAATAGAGATATCATGAGAGTTTTTCATGTTGGTACATCTGTAGCAGCATTAGGTACTTCCTTGTATGTCTTTGGTTTTGCCGGTGGACCCGTGATTTACGGCCCCATGTCTGAATTGTTTGGTAGGAAATATGTTTTGCTTGTATCTAGTTTGGGCTATGTTTGCTTCTTATATGGCGCTGCTACTGGTAAAGATTTGCAAACTATTTTAATTTGTCGATTCTTCGCAGGGTTTATGGGATCAGCACCTTTAGTTGTGGCACCAGCAGTTATGGTTGATATGTTTTATGCACGAACACGTGGTGTAGCAATTGCTATATTTGCTTCTGTTCTATTCGGAGGGCCCATGATTGCACCTGTTATTGGTGGCTTTACAGTAAAAAATCATGCTTTAGGATGGAGATTTGTGTCATACTTTTCAGCAATCATTGGATGTGTTGCTTTAGTTTTGAACACTTTTGTACTAAAGGAAACTTACCATCCTTTTTTGCTAGTAAGAAAAGCAGAATTGTTAAGAAGAAAAACTGGTAATTGGGGGATTTTTGCTCCTCATGAGGAAGTTACTTTGAGTTTCAGCGAAATTGTCCGAAACAATGTGGCGAGACCATTGAAATTGTTAATTACTGAACCAATTATCTTATTGGTTAGTCTTTATAACGCATTTATTTACGGTATGCTATATATGTTCCTTACAGCAATACCAATTATATATTCGGGAGGTTATGGATGGAGTCAAGGTGTTGCAGAACTACCATATATCTCGATGTTTTTAGGGATAATATCGGGATGTGCGTTAATTGTTTGGTTTGAGTTTTATACAAATAAGAAAATTGAAGCTCACGGACATAAACCCGTTCCAGAAGATCGATTACCACCGGTTATGGTTGGGGGTTTCACATTTGTGATTGGAATCTTTTGGTTAGGATGGAGTGGTGATTACCCCAAACAAGTTCACTGGATTGTGCCTACAATAGGAGCATTTTTTATTGGTAATGGGTTAATATCGATTTTTCTTCCAACGTTGAACTACATTATTGACTGCTATTTGTACGTTTCAGCTTCGGCTTTGGCGTCAAACACCTTTATTCGTTCGGGATTTGGAGCAGCATTTCCTTTATTTTCTACACAAATGTTTACTAACTTAACAGTCAAATGGGCATCAACGTTAATCGGATGTTTGGCGGTTCTCATGCTTCCTGTTCCGGTTTTATTTTACAAGTATGGTGCAAGGATCAGGAAATCCTCCAAATATGTTTTGAACTAGGGCATGGAGGAGATGGTTTCGGGTATCGAGCGACACTATCGAGCGACACCATTGAGCGACACTATCGAGCAGAGCGAGATAGTGGAGCAACACTCAGTAGCTTGTTATAACATTATCGAGCACATTGAGCGACACTATCTAGCAACACGCAGCAGCTTGTTATAACACTATCTAGCAACACGCAGCAGCTTGTTATAACACTATCGAGCAACACGCAGTAGCTTGTTATAACACTATCTCGCTTCGCTCGATAGTGTTAGTGATGTATGTTTAAAAATTAGAGTTGTTAAAGCTTACTTGTATCATCACTATTGAGCTGATCTGCCAAGAGAAATGACAAACAATGTTTCGGAATCAATAGCTAGATTGATTGTGTTTTTTGGGTATTCTAGTAATTGACAGTTTATTTGAATACGTTTTGAGAAGAGACATTGATATAATATTTTCGTAAACAATAGAGAAGGAGAGATTGGCGTTTGACACTATCGAACATAACAAGTTAGTTATTGTGCTCCACTATCGGCACTATCGAGCAGAGCGAGATATTATTGTATCAAGCTAGTCATTGTGCTCTAATATGGGCACAAAGCTAGTCATTGTTGCTCACTATCGACCACCACTATAACAAAAAATATTTTTACTATATAATACCATTTAACCTTATAAAAGGTTGGTTTATTTTCTACCCGAGTCACCATGAATGTCATACACCAAGCATTTTTTAAACCTAACCACTTTCACTTGAGAAATCCCTCACTATTTAGAAGAAAATTAAGAGCTAAAGTTTTTTAGAGATGGCCATCTCTAAAAAACTGAAATATTCTTGTATTGCCGAATGACACGAGAAACACTATCGAGCAGAGTGAGATAGTGTTGTAACAAGCTACTGAGTGCTGATCCACTATCGAGAAACACTATCGAGCAGAGCGAGATAGTGTCGGTCAGTGTGCTCCACTATCTCGCTCTGCTTGATATTGGCCCCGGCTCTATACTAAATGTACGCACATATACTAAACTATTCGGGGTAAGTCGCACAGTTTTTTTTTTTCCTGCCTTGTAGTTCCACTAGAAACACTATCGAGCAGAGCGAGATAGTGTTGTAACAAGCTACGGTGTGTTGCTCTACTATCGAGAAACACTATCGAGAAACACTATCGAGCAGAGCTAGATAGTGTCGGTCAGTGTGCTCCACTATCTCGCTTTGCTTGATAGTGTCGTTCTGGTCAGTGTCGGCACCTAAAATTAACTCCTTTTTGCGGAGTTAAAGATGAACCGAAAAAACAACAAATCTTATTGGATCTAAGACCGATTAAATTAACAAGTCCGTTGTTATAGCCATAGAAGCATATTCAACTTAAAAAACCATACCGAAAATGATACCATAAAATTGTAGACATGACTAATATCAATTAGTCCTTGAGTATTCCCACACTCGAGAATAAGATCTTACTGATTGTTTGTTTTCTTTTTCGTAGAATGTGTTTTATTCAAAGAAAAATGGTATCTCCTTTGTATCTCCTTGTTTCAAAAGAAATGCAATGAAATCATGTACATCATTACATCAACAATGTAATAAAGAAAATGTCCTTGCTTGTTATTAATGCCTTGTACCAATTAGTTTTGTTTTGCTTTCTATTGAATAAGGCTTTTTATTTTTTTGGTGAGAGCAACCAACCTCATAATCCATCTAAAAAAATCTAACACATCTTACATACTAAACAAGAACAGGCCTATTGAAGAGTTTCCCATTTAATAAATATGATAACCGGTTATAGAAGAAGTAGCAGTAAAATCTCTTAAACAATAGATAAATTAAACATTGCATATTTCCTAAGACTTTTACTCTTGGAAGAGGGATATATATATATATATATATATATGTGTGTGTGTGTGTATATTATGCTGTTGCAATGTTGTAGAGTATTTGTAGACATCTTTGGCTCTTTGAGTGTGTGAATATAACAATATCAATGGAAACGGCTTCAGTCTTGCCAGAACCACTGAGGTCAGAAAGTTTCTCGTCTAGAACGGATAATGAGTATGGCCAAGATGAGGAGAAAAATATAGGTGTCGATAGAGATGGCGAAGAAGGAAAAAGAAGAAGAAGAAGAAGTAGTGATAGTAGTAGAGGCTACAGTGATGAGGACGAGGACCAAGAGTCCGAGTCCGATGATAGAATAGAGTCATTTAATGAGGAAACAGCGCCTCTTGGTGTCTCTGATACAGACCGATTATTCCGAGTTGAAACAAATATTAATCTACAAAGAAAAGCTAGTCGAGAAGCAACAAACTATGATGCATTAATTCATGTTGCGTCAAACTCATCTAAGCCGTTACCGCCAATGGGGAACGGTAGGCCACATCTTCCGCCGCCTGCCAGTTCAAGAGATCCTTATGTTGTTCAATTCGATGGTAAAGATGACCCAGAACACCCGCTTAATTTTAGTTTTCGTAAGAAGTTGCTCTTCACAGCTGCCGTGGGGGTGAGTGCGTTTAGTGTTTCTATTGGCTCGGCAATGTTTGCTGAAGCTCAAGAAGATTTAATGAAAAAATATCACATTGGTACTTCGGTCGCTGCATTGACTACTTCTTTATATGTGTTTGGGTTTGCTGCTGGGCCGGTTATTTATGGACCTTTATCGGAACTATTTGGGAGAAAGACAATCATGGTACCAAGTTGTTTCGGTTATGTGTGTTTTTCATTTGCCGTGGCTACTGCTAAAGATATACAAACTATTATGCTTTGTCGTTTTTTTGCTGGCTTCATTGGGGCAGCTCCCTTGGTTGTTGCACCCGCTGTTATGGCAGATATGTTTTCGGCACAGACTAGAGGTACCGCGATTACCTTGTTTGCAACTGTATTGTTCGGAGGGCCCATGATTGCCCCTATTATGGGTGGTTTTACCGTAAAGAATCACGCTTTGGGTTGGAGATGGACATCGTATTTCTGTGGTATTATTGGTGTATTGGCATTACTTATGAACACATTTATATTGGAGGAGACTCACCATCCTATGATCTTGAAGAGACGCGCAGAGGAGTTAAGGAGAAGGACGGGTAACTGGGCTATTTATGCCCCACAGGAGGAAATCCAGTTAGATTTGAAGGAAATCTGTGAAAACAATATTACAAGACCAGTAACAATGCTATTCACCGAACCCATTTTGTTTTTGGTTAGTCTTTATAATGCATTCATTTATGGGATACTTTATTTGTTCCTTACTGCATTACCATTGGTTTTCATTGGGAAATACGGATGGAGTCAAGGTGTTGGGGAACTACCATATTGTTCAATGTTGATTGGTGTATTCATAGGCTGTGGTGTTATTATTTATTATGAAAAACGATACAACCAGAAAACGGAAGCAAATAATGGTACCCCGATACCAGAGGAGAGATTACCTCCATTAATGATTGGATCGGTGACTTTTACAATTGGAATGTTTTGGTTTGGATGGACTGGTGCATACGCCAAACATGTTCATTGGATAGTTCCCACCATAGGAGCAGCCTTCATTGGTAATGGATTGATGTTGATTTTCTTACCATGTTTCAATTACATCATTGATTGTTATTTATTTTATGCAGCTAGTGCTTTAGCAGGAAACACACTTATCAGATCGTCATTTGGAGCCGCGTTCCCATTATTTGCAAAGCAAATGTTTGTCAATATGAAGGTTCAATGGGCTAGTACTTTATTGGGATGTTTGGGAGCTATCATGATCCCTGTACCGGTTTTATTTTACATTTACGGTAAAAGAATAAGAAAAAAGTCAAAATACGCATTTGTATTGGAGTAGACGGTTAATAAAAGAAAGGAGGAAACAAAGAAGAAAGAGAGAGAGAGAGAGAGAGAGAGAGAGAGAGAGAGGGGAGGGGGGGGGGGGGGGGGTATGTGAGACCCTGGAATAGAGTCTTGTAGAGTATAACGGTTAGTAATTAATACCAAAAGCAAAAACACATTGGCTTTTTTTTGTTTTGTTTTGAAGTATAAGGCTGAATACTAAAATTGCATGCATATAATAGCAAACCTCAAGTGAAGTCAACTCAACTCAACTCAACGTCCTCTTACCTTCTATACCTACCTACCTATAGGAAACTATGTTACATCTCTAGCACACCTTGAGTTGATAATATCTTTCTCTTCATCCTCCATTTTTTTTTTTTTTTCACTTTTTTCACTTTTTTCAGGCTTTTTCGTCCCCCAGGGATTTTTGAAGAATGTTAATTGTACGACGAGCTTTCAGCCGGACCAGACCTCAATTGGCCAAGCCATCGCCGCTGGTTGCTGGTGTCGCTAATGATAAGACATTAAAAAAACGGTTAGGGCGACCTTCTAACAATTTATCCACTGGACTTGTTGGGCTAGCCAATGTAGGCAAGTCGACATTCTTCCAAGCCTTGACCAAGAGTACGCTAGGCAATCCTGCAAACTACCCCTTTGCAACTATAGAGCCAGAAAAGGCGCTTATCAAGGCGCCGTTACTGCGCCAGCTTCTGCATTATATGAAGATATTTCGTCTGAATAGAAGTATACCAACGAATCATACTATATGGGATATTGCTGGGTTAACGAGAAATGCACATAGTGGATCTGGGTTGGGCAACAAGTTTTTGAGTGATATCAGACAAGTAGATGGGATATTACAAGTTGTGAGAGGATTTGTTGATGACGATATTACACATGTGGAAGAAAGTGGGGTAGATCCTGTAAGAGATATGATTTTGGTTAATGATGAGTTGATTTTGAAGGACTTGGAAATAATTGAAAGTCATTTAGAGAAGATGAGGAAAATGAAAAAAAAGCCCAACGGAGGAGGCGGAGGCGGAGGCGCAAGTGCCACTGGGAGAGGAGAGGAAGAAATGAGTGTATTGGAGAAATTGAGCGATGTGTTGTATGATGGGAAGAAGATTATCAGCTATTCAAATGGCAATGGAGAATGGAGCGATGATGAGATTGACATTATTAATGGGTTGAACTTGTTAACGGCCAAGCCTACTGTTTACTTACTTAATGTTTCAGAAGATGATTATTGTTCAGGTACAAACCAGTATTACCAGCAAGTTTCCAATTGGATCTTGGAGAATTGCCCAGGAGACAAGTTGATTATGTTTAGTGCCCAGCATGAAAGAAGATTAAACGAGTTACAAGATGAAGAATTGGAAAAGTACAAAACAATTTATCCAAGAGGCTCGGTTATTCTGCAAGTAGTTGAAGAGATTAAAACGGTATTGAATTTGATTTCGTTTTATACATGTGGTCCTTTGGAGGCAAGACAATGGAGTTTAAGAAGGGGCAGTTTAGCGCCTGAAGCAGCAGGGTTGATTCACAGTGATTTACAAAAAACATTCATCAATGCGATAGTTTACAAATGGGACGATTTGGTTGATGTGGATGAGTTTGATGAAGGTAAGTTAAAGACTAGTGGGAAACAGCATAAACAGGGGAAAAAGTATCTCGTTGAAGATGGTGATGTATTGGTGATTAAAGCAGCAAGTGGGAAAGCGAGGTAAAATGACGACACTATCGACACTATCGACACCATCGACACTATCGAGCGAAGCGAGATAGTGGAGCAGCACTGATTAGTCCACTATAGAGCAGAGCTAGATAGTGACGATAGTATCGATAGTGCCGATAGTGCCGATAATGCCGATAGTGTTGATAGTGTCGATAGTGTCGCTAGTCTCGATAGTGTCGATAGTCTCACTAGTCAGTGCTGCTCCACTATCTCGCTTCGCTCGATAGGGAACCTCACAGTGACTACTCCACCATCTCGCTTCGCTCGATGGTGTGGCTAGTCGATAGTCTCACTAGTCAGTGCTGCTCCACTATCTCGCTTCGCTCGATAGGGAACCTCACAGTGACTACTCCACCATCTCGCTTCGCTCGATGGTGTCGATAGTGTCGCTAGTCTGACAAGGACGCACAACTAGCCCATTAAGGATCTATTATTTAACCGAGACTGTTCTATTCTTTATTTCCCAAAAAAAAGAGACAGGAAACAAGTTTAACAACCTTTCCAGTGTTGAACTTTGTTTTAAAAACTGGTGTGTCGCCAAAAGTATAGACAATAGATAAAGGCAATAGATAAAGACAATAGACATGGACATTTACCCATTTGTAGAGGCATAGTTGCCCATTTCTATACATGCTCACTCATCTCTATATAAGACTACACGTATTCATCTGTAGAAGCACACTTGTTCATCTGTAGAAGCACACTTATTCCTTTGTATAAGCGCACTTGCCCATTTGTAGAAGAACACTTATTTCTATATAAGCTTACACTTGTTCCTCTGTATAAGAGCACTTATTTCGATATAAGCTTAAACGTACCCGTTTCTATAAAAGCACACTCAATTCTATATATACACACTTTCAGTTCTATATATACACACTTTCATTTCTATACAAGTTTAATCTTAGGCATTTCTATATGCTTACTCAATTCTATATGCTTACCCATTTCTATAGACACCTATGTTTACCCATTTCTATAGGCACCTATGTTTACCCATTTCTATAGGCACCTATGTTTACCCATTTCTATAGGCACCTATGTTTACCCATTTCTAGATGCGCCACTATCGAGCGAAGCGAGATAGAGAACCTCACATTTACTGCTCCACCATCTCGCTTCGCTCGATGGTGTCGATAGGCTCGATAGTGGACCTCACAGTCACCACTCCACCACCTCGTTTCGCTCGTTGGTGTTGATGGTGTCAATAATGTCGATAGTGTCGCGGTCGGTGCTTCCCCACTATCTCGCTTCACTCGATAGAGAACCTCATAGTCACTACTCCACCATCTCGCTTCGCTCGATAGAGAACCTCACAGTTACTACTCCACCATCTCGCTTCGCTCGAAGGTGTCGATAGTGTCGATAGTGTCGCAGCCAGTGCTTCTCCACTATTTCGCTTCGCTCGATAAGGAACCTCACAGTTACTACTCCACCATCTCGCTTCGCTCGATGGTGTCGATAGGCTCGATAGTGGACCTCACAGTCACCACTCCACCACCTCGTTTCGCTCGTTGGTGTTGATGGTGTCAATAGTGTCGATAGTGTCGCAGCCAGTGCTTCTCCACTATCTCGCTTCGCTCGATAGAGAACCTCACAGTGACTACTCCACCATCTCGCTTCGCTCGATGGTGTCAATAGGCTCGATAGGGAACCTCATAGTCACTACTCCACCATCTCGCTTCGCTCGATGGTGTCGATAGGCTCGATAGTACCTCACAGTCACCACTCCACCATCTCGCTTCGCTCGATGGTGTCAATAGGCTCGATAGTACCTCACAGTCACCACTCCACCATCTCGCTTCGCTCGATGGTGTCGATAAAGTTTCTACACCCAAAGAAAAATAAAATTTGAAACCAGCGATAAGAAATTTCATATCCCCCTTGAAGACAAGTAGAGTTACAAATTTTGCTTCTGTAACCTGTAACCTACTGGAGGTGAGAATTTAGTATCACAGAAAAAGAATACACAATAAGACAATAGTTTACTATTTTTACAATCTATTATAACTAGTTAGCTAAAAGTGGACAAAATAACCATCCACAGCAAGTTTCTAATGAACCAGATAGTAACAAACAAACTTTATCCAAAACTACAACTACAATAGAGAGGTGTGACTAAGAAACAAAACAAAAAGTCCTTCCCCCCCACACACACGCGCGCGCGCACGCCTCCTTCATCCACATTTGCCCCCTTTCTATCTCCAATCTATCTTGCCCTCCCGATTTTCCAACTTTAACCTTTTGATTAAGGTTTTCTTTACTTTCCTTTTTTAGCCTTTTTTTTTTTTTTTTTCAACCAACAGGCTTTTTTTTTCCTTCTAATAGATGCTTTTATCCAAGAGCGGTAAACGATTCTTATCATTTAAATCAGCACCACCAGGATTGGCACCACTACCATTAGGGTCACGAGAGGCTATATACAGGCAAGGATATCTCAGGAAAAAACCAAATCCTGGTACAAGAGGAAACTCGAGTTTTCGACCAAATAATCACCAAGATCAACCAATTAAAGGTATCCCCATCCCCATGATTTCGTTTGTCTACAACTATTTCTTTAACCGAACATATGCCACTAGCTGTGCCGCTTCTGTTGCTTCTGCCGCTTCTGCCGCTTCTGCTTCTGCTGCTACAAAGACGAATAATACAAGTTTCTCCTCAGACGATATCAACAAGTTCCATCCGAAACTTTGTGCGATATTCCAACAATTGGATTCAATTGCACCGAGATTCCTATTACGCAAAGGTGATGTCGAAATCATCCAAGAACCAAGCCAGTTTTATCAACTTTTGCTAAAAAAGATCAAAAATGCTCAACGAAGAATATTCTTATCCTCCTTGTACATTGGGAAATCTCAATTTGAATTAATCGATTGTTTGGATGAGGCGCTTTATAAGAATATCGATTTGAAGGTTTCGATATTGACCGATTGTTTAAGAGGTACAAGAGAGGCACCACATCATCCTTGTTCCGCTTCGTTACTAGTTTCTTTGGAACAAAAATATGGTAAATCAAGAGTCGATATACGAATGTACCATACACCCCATTTATCGGGTATCACAAAGTCCTTAGCACCAAAGAGAATAAATGAAAGTTGGGGGTGTCAGCATATGAAACTATACGGATTCGACGAAGAGGTTATTCTTTCTGGAGCAAACCTATCTCAGGATTACTTTACTAATCGACAAGATCGTTACTATTTGTTCAAGAGTAAACAGCTTTGTGATTACTACTATAGACTCCACAATGCAATATCCTCAATTTCATACCAAATTCAGCATACTGACAAACTAAAACAAGGCTTTAAATTAGTATGGCCTGTGACTAATGCAACTTGTGAGCCCCATTTGAACCAACATCGATTTATTAGTGATTGCAGCCACTTGTTGCAGCCGATTCTTAAGCAACACGAATTGAAATCTTTTGACGAGTTTAGCAATCATCTGGATTTCGATACAATAGTGTATCCAGTATCACAATTTACTCCACTTTTCCCCAAACAACAAGATTTGTCAACTGAAAAACCAGCAATATTGAGACTATTGTCATCATCGTATTTAAACTCACCGGATATTAAATGGTGGTTTACTGCCGGGTACTTCAATATGTTGCCTCAAATTCAAGATAGGTTGATGAATAGCAATGCAATAGGGAAGGTAATCACAGCATCGCCAAAGGCAAATTCATTTTACAAGAGTCCCGGTGTATCGTATTACCTACCCGAAGCTTATTTATTGATTGCAAAGAAATTTTTGGAAACGGTTAAGAAATTGGGCAAGGATTCATTAATTACGGTTTACGAATGGCAACGCGGGGTTGTTAACACTCCAGGCGGCTGGACATACCATGCAAAGGGTATTTGGATCACCGTTCCCAAAGAAGAAGATCCCAGTATTACTGTGGTTGGTTCGTCAAACTATACGAAAAGAGCATATAGTTCAGATTTGGAAAGTAATGCCATTTTAATTACAAAAGATCCACAACTTAAGCGCAATATGACTTTGGAAATTAACCACTTGATGGAGAATGTCACTGAATTGAACTTGTCCGACTTTGAACCAAGACTATTATCCCCTTCTTCCAAAACCACCACCACCACCACCACCACCACCACGACTACCACCACGACTACTCCTCCTTCCTTATCAACAGCACACCAGATAAATGGTGATGATGTGGCTGTACTGGGTAACCCCATGGACAAGATTCCGGACCAGCAAAACTTAGAACCACCACCGAGATATGCAATTGATGAGGATAGAAGAATCAGTTACGGCGTACATTTAGCTGTGAAATTGCTCGGTGGGAAACTATAGACTTTATATAAAATTTGTATATATGTATATATATTTACCTGTTCTTTCTTTCTTTTTTTTTATACAGTTTTATACAGTTTTATAATGAAAATCTTTATCTTCTTCTGTATCCCTTTCTTCACTATCTCCTCCTCCTCCCTTATCTCTATATAGAAAGCATTGTCCAGCGATTATCAGTATACTAAAACCATTCATTAGTATCATTGGCCAGCTAGGGAAATTGACTGGAATTTGACACCACTCAAATCCGGCATGATACCATTTCCCCAATAATTGCAATAGAAAACTAGCCCAAGCTAGAAGTAACCATCTTTGGTGTAATCCAAACACGCTATCATTATACCAATTCGTCACAATCTGAGGGATGTTGTATATGCTACCAAATGTTTTCAGCATTAACCATATTGAATCAACGATATCCAAGTGGTTGATCTTTGCCTGTTTAAAAAACGTCAATTTTATAAAGTATAGCATGGGAGAAGATGAGATGAGTATGATGAGTGTCCAGTATAGACTTATTTTTTTACGAAGGTGGCGGGAAAGCAAACCTAAACCCAATATAGTTGAAATTGACTCTATTATGAGAATGGGAAAACATTTCGGAACAAATGTATTATTATAGCGAGCAAAGTATTGGGCTTGCACTAAGGAACTCAGGTATAAAAGCGTGGATATAGACGATGTTAGAAATGTTAGAAATCGGAGTATGCATGAGTCGTAGGATTGTAGATGACGGTAGTTGTAATTGTGTATAATGTATCGAAGTTGGAGATATTCCGAGATTAGCGTTAAAAGAGATGATGCTATATTGCATATCTCTATTACATGCATTTTATAGCACCCAAAAGGCCAAAATAGGCAAACAAAAAAAGACTAAGCAACTTCTCTAAAACCGCAGACTTGTATACGTCTATATGTCTCTCACAAGAAACCTATATAGTTGATAAAACTAACCCTGAAGAACCTTGATAGCTCCAATCAATTCTGTCAATTTTCCGAAATTGAAAAAAAAAAAAAAAAACGGTAAACAAAAGCGGAAAAAGAAAAAATTACCCGATAAAGAAAAACGAGATGGAGTAACAATCTCGGGGCAAGGAAACAAGAGTTGGGTATACCTGTTTTGAGTAGCGATTGGTTTCTGCGGTGTGTGTGCGGTGCTATTTATTGACTTGGTTTTGGACTATGGATACGGAAATTCAAGGGAGCTGGGATATTGTGGTTACTTCACTTCAGGATATTTGTAATTCAAATGAAAGTCTTACATTTGATTCTATTTATGCAAAGTATGCCACTGGTCGAGAGGAGGGAGTAAAGGGACAAGACAAAGGGGAGAAAGAAAAAGAGGCAAAAGCAGAGGATGGGGAAGAGGCGGAGGAGGAGGAGGAGGAGGAGAAGGAAGAGGAGGGGGAGGAGGAGGTGGAGGAGGAAAAGGAGGAAAAGGAGGAGGAGAAGAAGAAGAAAAGAGTTAAAGAAGTAGCAGACGAAGACGATAGTAGTAGGATCTCCTTAGCCAAGCTTTCTTCCAACGAGATGACCAAATTACAAGAAGATATAGTTGATCATAAATCCAATGTTGCCACGGCAAAAAGACTAATTAATACTTCATGTGAGAACCTCACTCGGTTGATTGAAATTTTACAACGAGAAGAAGAAGAGAATGCAAAGAAGAAGAAAAAATCGTCAACAAAGACTTTGAAAACAGTTGATTCGGTAAAAACGCCTGGCTCGTTCATTGATAAGAAACGGGACCTGAAGTTCATTTCGGCTGGATCTAGTCAAGGCAAGGGAAAGAAGTTAAAAAGAATAGGTCGATCTTTTTGGCAATCAAAGTATAATCCACTGGAACCAATATTTGTTGGGTCCGAAGTGGCTTTCAAGTTGCGTAATCGGAATAACGAATGGATTCAATGTGAAGTTGTCAAGATACTAGGCGATGGGATCAAGTTTGAGATTCGAGATCCTGAACCGGATGAAAATAATAACCCGGGACAAACCTTTAAAGCAAATTATAAAGAAATATTACTAATTCCTCCTGAAGACAGGAAAGACGAAGAATTGATGAACTATGCATATGGAACAAAAGTTCTTGCTCGGTACCCTGATACCACTACCTATTATGCGGCTGTTGTTGTAGGGAATAGAAAAGATGGATTTGTGAGATTGAAATTTGACGGCGAAGAGGAAGTCAATAAAGAAACCGAAGTGAAAAGAAGATTAGTTTTGCCGTTTCCCCAGAAATAGGAACCCCAAACACAGACACTATCGAGTGAAGCGAGATAGTGTCGATAGCAGTCAATGATCCACTATCTAGCAAAGAGAAGCGAATCAATGCTCCACTATCGAGCGAAAAGAAGCAAATCAATGCTCCACTATCGAGCCAAGAGAAGCGAATCAATGCTCCATTATGGAGCCAAGAGAAGCGAATCAATGCTCCACTATCGAGCCAAGAGAAGCGAATCAATGCTCCACTATCGAGCCAAGAGAAGCGAATCAATGCTCCACTATCTCGCTTCGCTCGATAGTCTGGATAGTGTCGATAGTGTCGCAGTCGGTGCTTCTCCACTATCTCGCTTCGCTCGATAGTGGACCCTATACTCACTACTCCACCATCTCGCTTCGCTCGATAGAGAACCTCCAGTCACTATCAACACCATCTCGCTTCGCTCGATGTTGTTGATAGTGTTGATAGTGTTGATAGTGTTAACCACTTTCTTGTTATCCATCGCTCTAATCATAAGGTCGTGGCCTTCTACATAGTTAATGGCAAATTTTTCCTCTACATTTTTTTTTTCCGCTCTTCTCAAAAACCATCAACGAAAGGTGGAACCCAATATAAAAACAGGAATAGAAGGTTAGATTCTTCCTTTTGGATTAACCAGAGACCAGGTCAAACCTTTTATCAAGTGTTTGTTACTCGTAGGTAGTTGCACTTGCACTCGGATATAGGAAATTTGAGCGACTTGAGGCTTTGAGGGCTTGATAACCAGCTGAGAAAAAAAAAAGAACCTTTCTAAAGAGAGAGAGGGAGGTTGAAAAATGGAATCGATGGATATTGATGAATACTCAAGAGTATGTCTTTGAATGAAGTGATTTTTTTGTTTACTTCTTATTCTTTTTTTTATTTTATTCTTCTTTTTGGGCAAGAACAACAATGAAACAACAAAGCGGGTGATAACAATGACGGCACATGTTAGTTTTGTTCTTCATAGAGGAAACTGTTGCTTATATGGACGCTGTTGATATTTATTGATATGGCTGCTCCGGTAATCAATGGTGGAAAAAGAGGAACTTTTTTTTTTTAACTATTTGTGAGAGTTGTGGAGAATGGGAGTGGAGGTTGGCTCAAGTTAGATGTGTTCTCCCAAGAGGGTTGCTGACACTATCGAGCAAAGCGAAAGAGTGTCATCGAGCGAAGCGAGAGGGTGAGGATACGAATGAGAAGGAGGAGGAGGAGGAGGGGGAGATAGAGGAGATAAAAGAGGAAGAGGAGATAAAGGAGATAGAGCAGGAAGAGGAGGAAGAGGAGGAAAAGGGACAGATAAGGAGGAGGAGGAGATAGATAAGGAGGAGGAGGGGGAAGAGGGGAAGGAGGAAGGTCAACATTTGTCTTGCTTTTTATTGCTTGCTTTTTGTATTGTTTTGCTTTTGCTTTTGCTTTTGATTTGCTTTCTTTTCGCTAACATTTTGATTAAATTAGGATCGTTCTCGTTCTCGTTCTCGTTCTCGTTCTCCTGTGAGAGATAGAGCAAGAAATAACGAAGAAGGAGGACACTCGGGATCGACTACTTCCAGCGGGAGAGAATCATATGGTAAAAGAGACTATAGTAGCTCTTCCGGATATAGAGGAAGAGACTCCTACGGAAGTAGTAGGGACTCGTATGGTTCGAGTAGCCGCGGTGGTGGAAGAGGTGGTTACGGTAATGGAAGAGACTCGAGGAACTTCAACAGTAGTCGTGGAAGTTACCGCGGCGATGACTTGTCCTCTTCCTCGTCTTCGTTCCGTTCCAAGTCAGATAGAAACTATGATAATTCTATATTTATTGGAAATATTCCATTTGATACTCTGTCCAAGGATATTGAAAATGTATTTGGAGATGAGTTCAATATTGTTAGAGCAGATATTGTTACCAGAGAAGGTAGATCTAGAGGGATGGCCACTGTTGAATTCAAGACTAAAGAAGATGTTCTCAAAGCGATAGAAAAATATGATAAATATGAATACCAAGGAAGACAAATGTTTGTAAGACAAGATTATCCGCCACCACCACCGAAGAAAGATTACGGATATGGAGGATATGGTGGAAGAGGCCGAGGAGGGTATGGATTCGGCGGGGGGAGATATGACGATAGATCCTATGGTGGTGGTGGTAGTGGTGGTGGAAGAGGAGGTTATGGATATAGTGGAAGAAACGATTATAAACCCTCATTGCCTCCAATCAAGCCAGGAACAGAGGTGTTTGTTGGCAACTTGCCATTTTCAATCAATTGGCAAGCTTTGAAGGATATAATGAGAGAAGCAGGTCAAGTAGTTCGAGCAGATGTCAGATTGGACGACTGGGGAAGATCCAGAGGTTTTGGTACTGTTGTTTTTGAGACTCCAGAAGAAGCTAATGCCGCTGTTGAAATGTTTCAAGGTTATGAAATAGAAGGAAGGAAATTAGATACTAGACACGGACGTTCATCACATGACTTTGAAGGAGGTTCCAGAGGCTATCCAGAACGAGGAGGAGGTTCAACAGCAGCCGCAGCCGCAGCCGCAGGACCAGGACCAGGACCAGGACCAGGACCAGGACCAGGACCAGGAGGAGTAAGAGGAGGAATAGAAGGAGGTTCATCAGCTATTCAAGTAGGCAAAAACACCGAGTTTACAGAAGGTGTAACTGGAGGCAATGAAACTTCAGGCGATACTATTTATGTTGAAAATTTACCATATAGCACACAAAGAGACGATTTATTTGATCTTTTTGAAACTGTTGGTAGAGTTGCTGAGGCTCAGATCCAATATCAGGCCGATGGAAGAGCCAGTGGTAATGCTGTTGTGCAATTTGAATTGCCTGAATTGAGTGATAAGGCTATTAATGAATTACACAATTATGAATATGGTGGAAGGAATCTCAAGATTAGCCATGCCGTTAGACCAAATACTCAAGAATAAAGAGAGAATAGAGTTTTAACCTATGGTAGCGTCGTAACTAGTCATTGTGCTCCACTATCGAGTGAAGCGAGATAGTGTCATAGTGTCATTGCGTCGTAACTAGTCATTGTTAGTCATTGTGTCGTAACTAGTCATTGTTAGTCATTGTGCTCCACTATCTCGCTCTGCTCGATAGTGTAGGAAAACGATACATGGTGTCTATATGGCTTTGTTCTTTTTTAAGGGAGCTTAAAGTGAAGCATGTAAATTTCCCCACAGTAAGAAAAATAAATATTATAAGCCAGTAAAGTTAGTTTGAGCTCTCTTCTTTTCACCCCCCCCCCCCCTTAAGTTAGGTTACAGATTGACGATGAGTCAGCGTATTTATATGAGAAACGACTCAGAACCAGCTCTAGTGAAAACGAGTGAAGATCTGCCATCAACTTCCACGTCGATGTCATATTTGAAATCCCATTACGTTATCATTTTGATCCTTGTTATAGGATGTTTTCTTCTATTTCATTTCAGGTTCAAATTGGCAGAGTTACACGATAGATATAGAACGAGACGTAGGATGGGTCAAGGTTATTATACGAGCATTGACACGTCTCTGTTCCAAGATGATATCAATGATGGATTGAATAGTGCGAGTTTCGACCTCGAGGCTAATAATTTGACTCGAGAAGATCCGAGAAATGGGTTAGACGAGCAGGCAAAGGAAGAAATTAAACGGATTATGAAGAGTAAACTGATGAGTTTTGATGAGGCCCGATTAGAGTATGTTAGGGGCGAATTTGCTGGGAATAATATTGACGAAAATGGTGTTCCTAAGGATCCAAAACTAGTTACACTATCGAGCTAAACACAACACTATCGAGAAACACTATCGAGCAGAGCGAGATAGTGTTGTAAGAAGCTAGTAACACTATCGAGCAGAGCGAGATAGTGTTGCTGAGAGTGAGATAGTGCTGTACAAGCTAGTAACACTATCGAGCAGAGCGAGATAGTGTTGCTGAGAGTGAGATGTTGTTGCTGAGAGTGAGATGTTGTTGCTGAGAGTGAGATGTTGTTGCTGAGAGTGAGATGTTGTTGCTGAGAGTGAGATGTTGTTGCTGAGAGTGAGATGTTGTTGCTGAGAGTGAGATAGTGCTGTACAAGCTAGTCAGTGTTGTAATGAGCTACTGAGCGACACTAGCTCGCTTCGCTCGATAGTGTATCATCCCCCCGTGTGATCTCCCCCACGTGTGGACGGGTGGACGGGGAAAAGTCCGATGACTCCTTCGGTAGCGCCTCTTCTTCTTTCTTTCAAAAGAGTGAGCCTCATTATGTGCGGTCATTTATACGGTATATCATGTGCCTTACACGCGCCACACACGTGACTCGTAAAAATATTATTTTTTTATTTTTTATTTTTTTTTAATTATTTTTCCGTTTTCGGGTTTATTTACATTTTATCCGAATTGGGTTATTAAAAAAATGGAACCTAAAACATTGAATCTTGGAATAGAAGAAGCTATAGCGGGTAGACCAAGCCTTCAGGATCAGTGGGACAGAGTGCAAAGTGATTGTTTAGAGAGAGTGTTTGGTGTTTTTCCGTGTTTGTTTGGTTTTTTGCTTGTTTGTCTCCTGAAAAGTGGACTTTGTTTGCTTGATAACAGAAGCCAATACCGGGTTTTGGGTTCTTTGATTGGTATCAGATGAGCGTGTATAGGAGATACGCGTCTGGAGAACATGATAAGGAGTTTTTCCAACGAGATGAGCTAGGAGCTGAGCGGTTTGTAGGGATGGTAATCCCGCATCTCTCAGGTCAGTTTGATAAGAAGATAGATGCAACTACAAAACAAATACCTTTAGAACAATGGATGGATATTTTCCACCAGGCTGCGATATTTGTCGGGTACGATGATATATTGTTTGGTACTGTGATAACCATAGTCTATAAGAACCCACAAACAGAAAAGATATCTACTCAATGCATTACAAAGTATGGATTATCAACATATTTAGATATGAAACTAAATCCAAGTTCGAGATTCTGGCCCAGTTGTGAGAATTTGTTGGTCAAGTATCAAAAATCCTTAGTGAGAAGAGCTCTAGCAATACTGAATTTGAAAAATTGTAACAAATTGTTCAATTTCCATCAACAGATGGGCAAGTTGCCCATGTGGGATGAAACAAACGCGGGGAATTTGGCAAATAATATGAAATTGATTTGCAATCAAACACCAGAGACAATGGGGAGGAAACTACTAGATTTGGGATTGTTACAAGACCACTTTGTAAAATCCCTTGTTTTTGATGTGGTGTATAAAAATAATAGCAATAATAACAATAACAACACTGAATATGATGATGACAACAACCGATTGGTGTCTCTATTGGGTGAACAGCTAGACCAATTGTTTGATCCCTTGCTTGAATATTCCCCGGAGCTGGTGCAAACAATGTACAAACCTTCACCTTCAAAACTCCGGCAAGCTCCATCATTAGGGAATAGTCAAAAAATACGAGCCGTGGTTGACGAACTTGTTGCAGTTCAAACCAAATTTACCATAGAGTTGGCTGATTTGTTACAGAACCTTATAATCCCGATAAGAGTAAGTGTTTTGGATAAGAATACCACATCCACCAAAAACACTATAGGAATATCCAAGTTGAATCGAATATTTCCCCCGACAATTGATGAAATAACAAGAATCAATTGCATACTCAATGATGCATTACTAAAAGCTTATCAGATTAGCTATGTTGAGATCTTTATTGCAATCGGCACCATAGTGCCGTACTTTTACAAACCATTTATACGACATGAGGCAAACGTGAGGAAGTTTTACCCAACGCTAATGAAGTTTAGTCAAAATAATAAGAAGAGCATATTCGATAACCCTGTCATCAATAGTTCAGGCTATAGCGTACGGAAAATAGACTCAATTGTTACCGGCTCTTTACTTGAACTACCTAAATTGAAAATGATTTTGCATCGATTATATGAGCAAATACAAAGTGAAAGTATTAAAGCAAAGAACTTTGAAACTTTGATGGAGACGAATGAAGAGCTTTCTATTATTGAAAAACATTTCCATTCTGCAATGCAAGTATTTGAAGCGTTTGGTGAAACAACAAGTGATACGTTTAATGAGCAGGATTTGAAACAGAGATTTTTTACACCAACGGGGAAAGTTTTGACTGAACTAGCTACCCATTGGCCCGCAGAGTTGCAATATGGTTGGTTAACAAGAAAAGTTATTGGGATATTTGAATTGATTGATATAAAAGTAACCTCGCCTCGACAAAAGGAAATATTGATTGTGTTTTCCGACTGCTTGTTATTCCTCAAAGATACAGGGGGAAACAACAATCTGAAACAAAATGATGATGATGATGATGATGATGGAATACCCTTGTCCATTCCAGATGTGCTTATGCATTCGTTGATCAATGAAAAACCATTGCCTAACTTTGACTCCTTCCCGTCAATGGAAGTATCTTATTGGTGTAATATCGAAGACGTTATCGTATCAGCTTATTCCACATTAGACGCAAGTAACATTCAACGAGAATGCATTCGATTTCTAAATCATTCATCAGCTAAACTAGAGTCAAAAGATTTCACCAAGAACTATCAACTATATAACAATTCGCCTCATCAAATTATTGACTTGATCAACAGGGCAAAGATTTTGAAAAAGACAGCTTCTTTTCATTTATTCAAAGAAAACGATGAGGAAGTAAACATTTACTATACTGTTCATGACATTGAGTCACACAATGAAGAAACTTATCAATCTCCATTTGTTCTTTTTTTGAATATGGAAATTGATGATGTACCGCAATATTTCGAAACTCATCCAAATGTATACTTGTTACTTCAAATTGTATTTATTGATGACAGGGATACTTTACAGGTTACAGGTTACAATAAATGCGGTAAAGAACATATTAATGAACTAGTGCCTGCTTTGAGATTAACAGGTTATTTGAGAGCTCAAGTCGCCAGAACCTATCATCATATTTTCCAAACGTTTAACCAAATCACTGAATGCTTGATTAACTCGAATGAGATGGCTTTAAATTATATTGGAAACCAAGCTATAGCAGCTCCTATCAGAATAGAAGCTAAAAAAGCCAATACTCTGATAAATAAGAATGAAATACTTCTTTCATCATCATCATCATCATCACCACCATCACCACCACCACATGGTGACTTGCAAAAGACAAATAAACATGAATTGAAAGGGTACGATTTGAAAAGAAAAAAGTCATTGATCAACAAGTTGTTTAAGAAGAAACATGAACCACCAGCCCCGCCTCCTACTACCAAGAGCAAAGCCGATCAGAAAAACCTTCCAAATACGTTTATTCCAAGGGGTATGAAAACAGAATACAAAGGCGTGATAATGCCATTGCCAATATTGAAACAAAGAGCAGACTCGTCATCAAGCAGTGTGGTTGATTGCTCTCTTGAAACAACCAAAACCAAAACCAAAACCAATACCAAAACCAGTACAAATACAAATACAAACAGTCAAACTCATAAGCAATTACCTTTAATTGAAGTGCCGCCTAATCTTCAACTCCTCTATAGGAACGACTTGCTTCAGGATATGGCTTCTTTATCAACTGTCGATCCTACGCTTGGACCAGCATGCACAATAAAGAGAGTCTCGACATTTGATGATGTTGCCATAATTTTAAAACAAAGATCACAACTGTTTCAATTGTATTGTATAGATGAAGACATTAGTGATGAAGAGCCAAATTGGGAGTTGACCAATATAGAGAGCTCCATCTGTTTGAACAAAAAAGCTGGAAAATTCCCACAAGTATCAAGTCAGCAAGTCGATGATAAAGACGATGTTGTTGCTTATACTGCTAATATACCTTCCAAACTCCCGGTCAAACTCAATTTATCGTCTTTATCATCATCGTTATCATCATCTTCATCAACAAAGCGCTTATTTATCAGTAGAAGGAGTTTAGGAAAGCAAAGGAAATCACTGAATCAAACACTGATTTTCTCAACTGTTCCTACAACACCCATCACAACAAATACCTTCCCCATACCACTTCATAAAAGCACCGAAATTGCGTTTCTTAGATCTCCCATGACAGAAAAGCAAATATGGCCAAAACCACGTTTAGCTCGCGATATGTCGTTTGAATCATTGACTCCATCTCAATATGCTTCTGATTTGGGAAAGCTTATCGATTTGAAGTTTTCAGATAACAACACCAATGATGATGATGATGATGATGATGATGATGAGAGAATACTCACTCAAGAACTTTCACGATTGACACCATTAGGAGTGAACAAGAATAGTAGTATACTTACATTGACTAATGGAAGTAGTGAAAGTCACTCATTTTCTGATGCGGATGACATGTTTTATTCTCCAGAGGAACAGTTTGGTGGTGGTGGTGGTTGTAGTGACGATGCCACTTTATATGATGATGTGGTCAAGACAGGTGCCATTGATCAAGTCATGAGAGATGAATCAATTGCTCAATTATCACAGCTTTTAAACCAAACTGTTAATTTTGGCGAATTTCAAGTAGACACTTTTGCAAGCTAATAATGGACATTTCGTAGCAATTTATAGAATAAAAGAACACCTATACTATTTAGACCTATTGACTTAGGCCGTTGTTTTTCCTGATTTCAAGATCTTTGAAACTGTTTCGGCTATTGCGTCACCAACTTCCGTTGTAGTGCTTTCCCCCTTCAAATCGGCGGTTCTTATTCCCTTATCCAATACTTGTTTCACCGCTTCTTCCAATGCTTCTGCCTCCTTTACACAATCCAAACTTAATCTCAACATCATAGCCACGGATAAAATAGTAGCTATTGGGTTGACTTTGTTCTCAGGTAAGTCTGGGGCCGAGCCATGGCAAGGTTCATACAACCCAAATGCTTTATTTGTATCAGGTAAGGATGCTAAAGAAGCACTGGGCAATAAACCAAGAGACCCTGGAATAACACTAGCCTCATCAGAGATAATATCACCAAACATGTTTGATGTTATGATTATCCCATTTAGTTTGGTCGGGTTTTGGATAAGGATCATTGCTGCAGAGTCAATTAACTGGTGCTGATGAGTTAATTGTGGAAACTCATTACTAATTATTTCATCGACTGTTTTCCTCCAAAGACGAGATGAAGCAAGAACATTGGCCTTATCTAGGGACCATATAGGTAATGGAGGTGTATGCTGCATTGCCATAAAACAGGCCATACGTGTGATTCGGGCAACTTCATCAACAGTGTATTTCTCAGTATCCCATGCTGTTTTACCATCATGACTCTCATTTTGCTCTTGACGGTCTCCAAAATAGATCCCGCCTACGAGTTCACGTACAATGATCAAGTTTGTTCCGCGTACAATATCTGGACGCAATGGGGACAATTCCAAAAGCAGCTCGCTGGCGAAATTGCATGGTCTGATATTAGCATAAAGATTCAATTCTTTACGGATTTTGAGGAGACCTTGTTCAGGACGCACAGAGCCAGTACCCCATTTGGGGCCACCCACTGCACCCAAAAGTACAGCATCTGACGACTTGGCAGCAGCAAGTGAGTCATCAGGTAAGGGAACACCGGTAGCGTCAATTGCAGCTCCTCCAATCAAATGGTGTTTAAAGTCAAAGTTCAATTTTTGAAAAGGCGTCGAAGTTTCAATCGACTTGAGTACTTTTATTGCTTCTCTGCAGATCTCACTACCGACATGGTCTCCTGGAAGGACCGTGATTGTCTTGGTCTCTACTTTGGTCATTAGTCTCTTGAGTTAATTGTTAAAATATCAGCTTCTCACCAGGAGGTTATAAGGAAAAGCACGCTTGTCTCAACAGGGTTTGGTTCCTTCAATATTCATTGAAGAGGAAAGGGTGAAAAATTTCGTTGATGAAAAATTATCTCGCCGGTACCGGAGGCCGATAGAGGAGTAGACACGTGACACACCATCGAGCAGAGCGAGATGGTGGAGCAACACTCTCTAGCTTGTTATGACACTGTTGAGCAGAGCGAGATGGTGGAGCAGCACTTAGCATCTCGCTTCGCTAGATGAAGGGCCAGAGTGATCCATTAGTTTACTTATAGAGGGCCTTACTAAAAGTAAGTATATAAAGGTCAAGAGTGTCACTCTAACTAATAAATCACTCTGGCGGTAGCTACTGAGTACTGCTCCACCATCGAGCGAAGGGAGGTGATTAGTACTGCTCCACCCTCTCGCTCTTCTCGATGGTGTCACTCCAATTAATAGATTACTCTGACAGTATCTACTAAGTGCTGCTCCACTGTCTCTCTCTGCACACTGGTGCTTTCTACTCTACAACACTATCTCCCATTGCTCAAAAAAAAAAAGATGTACATTAAAACTTTGAAACAAGAAAACAATACCCTCACCCTCACCCTCGCCCTCACCCTCACCCTCGCCCTCACCCTCACTCTTCTTTCTCTTCTTTACATTACAAAGTATAGTGTCGGTGGCAGCTAGCAGAGGAGAAGATTGACACTATCTCGCTCTGCTCGCTAGTGTATTTAATGACCACTCCATTCAATTGAATCCAAATCTATACCCTCTTGAACCATTTCCCATAATGGTGACATCTTTCTCAAAAACTCAACTCTCTCGTTAATAGCTTTAATAACATAATCAACTTCTGCCTCGGTAGTGAATCGTCCAATACCAAATCTAATTGATGAATGAGCTAAAGCATCGTCTGCTCCCAAGGCATGCAAAACATAGGAAGGCTCTAAGCTTGCTGAAGTACATGCCGATCCTGAACTCAATGCAATATCCTTAAGAGCCATTAGCAAAGATTCTCCTTCAATATATGCAAATGAGACATTGACACAACCGGCATATTGGTATTTGCGATTGCGCGAACCATTGAGTATAGTAGATGGAATCGACAATAATCCATCTTTCAACTTAGACGATAATCTTTCAATATGCTTTTGGTCGTAACTATATTCCTGTTTCATTAATCTTGCAGCTTCTCCAAATCCGGCAACCAATGGCGGTGCTAGTGTGCCTGACCTCAAACCTCTTTCCTGTCCACCACCAGTAATTATTGGATCTAGTCTCACTCTTGGTCTTCTACGAACATAACATGCCCCTATACCCATTGGACCATATATCTTATGTGACGAGATGGATAACAAGTCAATCTTCATTTCATTTACATCAATGGGGATTTTTCCATAAGCCTGTGCTGCGTCAGTATGGAAAAAGATTTTGTTGGCACGACAGATTTCTCCAATCTCCTTGAGAGGCTGTATGACACCGATTTCATTGTTGACTGCCATCACCGAGACTAATATAGTATCTTTCCGAATGGCTTTTTTCAAATCTTCTATATCGATTAATCCTTCTTTATTTACAGGCAAATATGTAACGTCAAACCCTTCGTCTTGCATGTGTCTAGCAGAATCCAATACACACTTGTGTTCAGTTTGTGTAGTGATTATATGTTTTTTTGTGTTTTTGTAAAAACGAGGCACACCCTTGATCGCCATGTTGTTGGTCTCTGTAGCACCACTTGTGAGTATGATTTCCTTTGGATCGGCATTAATAACACTGGCTATATGTTCTCTTGCCCTTTCAACTTCTTTTTCAGTTTCCCACCCATATGCATGAGTTGAAGAATGGGGGTTCCCGTAAAGACCTGTATAAAATTCCATCATTTTATCCAAGACTCTAGGGTCTACTGGAGTTGTGGCTTGGACATCAAGATATATGGGACGAGTACCAAACTTAGAAGCGTCCCTAGTAGCTGATCTCAAGGATAATGGCGACCCTTCTGGTGGTTTAGTTGGGGAATCTAGTGGAGTAGAAACATGTATATTACCAGTACAAGTGTTCACCTTGGTTGTTGGAGACACTGTTATAATGGTTTGTTGCCCTTGTTGTTCTGAATCTTCGCCTCCTGATCTTGAAGTTGGCGTCGTTGTTGAAGTGGCCAAAGACTTTATACCCAAAGTTGTGACATAACGATAACAATAGAGATGCAGCTTATACTGAACAAATTCTGCCACTGTTTTCCTAAACATCTCTAAAAGACCTCTCAAGCCAGATTTTTTTTTTTGCAAAGTGAATATTTATGTCTCAATGACGAAATAGCTTTGTATAACCAGCAACAGCAACCCCCGTGTTGTACCAAAGGAGAAGTTCTTGTTTCAAGTTAACCTTTCCTTGATGATCTTCCTTTTCCGATTCAAGCAAAAAATTTATTTCGATAACCGCCACCTATTATATGCAGGTTTTGTAGTACCAACTAGGCCGAGCTAGACGGAGAAGCGCCCCGCCGTCGACCCTATCGAGCGGAGCGACCCTATTGAGCGACACTATCGAGCGAAGCGAGATAGTGGAGCAGTGACTACACCGACATTATTGACACCATTTTCTTTAGAATGTGTTAAATAACCAAGTAACACTTTAAAACTCATTTACTCTAGAGCCAAGGTCACTATCGACACTATCGAGCGAAGCGAGATAGTGGAGCAATACTTACTAGTGATACTATCGACACTATCTCTTCGCTCGATAGTGGAGCAATGCTTACTACACCGACACTATCTCTTTGCTCGATAGTGGAGCAATACTGACTATATGAACGAAATAGATTTCACAGTTTTTATCGGTCTTATGACTTGTATGAGATTTGTAATATAACTAGCTACAAAGCGTTGCTCCATTATCTTGCTCTACTTGATAGTGTCAGTGGCCGCTAGTCAGTTACCGCTAGTCGGTGTTGCTCGATAGTGCCGGCGGCCGCTAGTCAGTGACCACTAGTCAGTGTTGCTCGATAATGTCATAGCCGCTAGTCAGTGTTGCTCGATAGTGCCGATAGTGATGATTAGTTCCGAAAAGAGAAGTTTTTCGCGTGCATTCGGTATCGAAAAACGGGTATTTTTTCTTTTGTTTTTACCACTTTTTTAAAATTGACCGTTGTAAATGTTTTTTTTAGTGAAAAGTTCCCAAAACAGTAATGGTGCCAATTTGGGAACAAATTTCTGAAAATTTTAAATTGTTTATCATTGAAATATCAGTTTTTTACTCCTATTTGGTATTCTTTTTCCCGACACTATCGACACTATCGACACTATTGAGCGAAGCGAGATAGTGGAGCACACTGACTACTCTCAAACCTCGACACTATCGAGCAGAGCGAGATGGCAGCACTGTTAAGCAACACTATCGACACTATCTCGATTCGCTCGATTGTGGAGCACACTAGCTGTCACCGACACTATCGAGCAACACTTTGTAGCGATACTAGTAATGACACTATCGAGCAGAGCAAACAGAGCGAGATAGTGTTGTAACAAGCTACTAAGCTACAAAGTGTTGCTCCACTATCTCGCTCTGCTCGATAGTGTCGACCTATCTCGCTCTACTCGATAGTGGATGTCTCTATTTAAAAATAACATTGTACTTTAAACGTCGGTGGCAGCTAGTGCTGATCCACTATCTCGCTTCGCTCGATAGTGTCGATAGTGTCGATAGTGGCTAATAAAGAGATGTCACTAATGTACAATACTGTTTATCCACTCTGACTATTCACTGCTAGTTCCATGATTAACCTCGTAGCCAAATGTAAAAACGGGTACGCAGAAAAACTCCCGTCGTCCAGGGACATACTGCTATTACTTTTACTAGCAGCAGCAGTAGTAGCAGCAGCAGCGGCAGCAGCTCCTGTAGCAGCAGCAGCGGCAGCAGCTCCTGTAGCAGCTTCTTTGACATCACTACTTCCATCACCACCACCAGCTGTCGCTGCTGCCGGTGGCGATGCTGGTTGTGGTTGCTCCCACCCGTCAAACTTAAAATCCACTAGATAATTATTAGGCTCTAGTTGAAACAACTGGATCTGCATCTTCATCATATTAGGTTCTCTAATCACTTCATACTTCCATCTCACTTTGATAGTCCACAACTCTTCTTCTGCAGGTTTGGCCCATTCTGCGCCTAAATTATAAAGTGCTCGATAGATCTCGCCCATAACATCCAAGGGATAAGATCTTGATCTTATCCCGAAATGCCATCTCGTTTTAGATTTCTTGGTGGTGGGCGGGTGCATGGTGGAGACAAGTTGTGGCTGGTGCTCGCTCATGTATGCTCTGTGAATAGAAGGCAAGCTTGAGGGGAGGATGGCGATGGTTGAGCTGGGTAAGGTGGAGAGGTCTGGAACAGTGGCTAGGGTCTGATAGGTGACTGATTGCTGGACCCCGGGGGCAGAACTGGTGGAGGTGTACTTAGGAACAGAAGCAGCGGCAGGAGCTGCTGGAGCAGGAGCTGTTGACAACACACTGAAGCCGGCACCACCAGCACCACCTTTGTTTTTATTTAAATCCCTTACTAGAGCCTTATTTTCCTTCATTAGTAAATAAGCATCTAAGATCTCACTACTCTGCTCCTTTGGAGCACTGTACTGATTACTCTTTTGTATGACATTTACTATTTCATCTCGGTCATAGCCCATGGTCATGGTCAATGCTCGTATAGCCTCTTCATCTATATCGATTTTATGGTGTCTACTTTTTGACAAGTCAGGGGGTAACAAGTACTCAGGCATATCTTTCTTAAACCAAGGATCCTCCATAATTTCATGGATGGTGATCCGGTTTAGTGGATTCACAACTAACATCCTAGTTAATAAATGCTTTGCCCCAGCACTTAGGTGCTGCGGTAAAGTGTAGACACCATTGCTTATCTTTTTAAAAAGTGCGGGTATAAATTCATCGTCAAAGGGTAATCGGCCACAGAGCATCACATAGAGAATGACTCCTGCTGACCATACATCGACTTCTGGCCCCGCATAGAGTTTCCCTGAAATCACTTCTGGCGCTGCATAATTGGGAGACCCGCAACTAGTCTTGAGGAAATTCCCATCTGTCATGATATTACTTAACCCGAAATCAGCAATCTTTACATTTAGTTGGTCATCAAGGAGCAAGTTTTCCGGTTTCAAGTCTCGATGAACTATTTTATGCCTATGACAGTACTCCACCGCAGCAATGATCTGCTGGAAGAACCTTCTCGCCTCGTCTTCTTGCATCTTGCCCCTTTGCACTATATAGTCAAAGAGTTCTTTCCCTGCATACTCAATCACCATAATAATCTCATCTTTCGACTTGATCACATCGTAGAGCTTGATTATGTGCGGGTGTCTCAATAAACGAAGGTAGGAAATCTCTCGTTCAACACGGCCCTGCATATCTGATTTCGCCAATGTTTTCCTATTGATTATTTTAAGCGCTACTTTTTGTCCAGTGGTGGAGTGTTGTGCTAGTTTGACCTTGCCGAAGGACCCTTCGCCAAGGGTCTTGATCACTTGGTACTTCCCTATAGAGGAGGTGGACATGATGGAAAGGGAATGAAGAGAGATAAAGAAGGAAAAGAAGAGAATTGTGAAATGATGAGAAATGAAATAAAGCTATTGATTGTGCTTGCACGACACTATCGACCGACACTATCCTGCCCGCTATCGAGCTACACTATCGAGCTACACTATCGAGCTACACTTGATAGCAGCACTTGCTACCGACACTCAACTTTACTCAATACTAATACACCAATACCTTACTACCTAATACTAATACATCTCGCCGCCTAATACACCTCTACTCAAGTACACCGATAGACTGATACATCTAATAGTAATATAGTAATGCTAATACACCTCACTACTTAATTCCTAATACTAATACACTCTCTACACCTCCCCTCTACACCTCCCCTCTACATCTTTCCTCTACACCTCCCCTCTATACCTCCCCTCTATACCTCCCCTCTATACCTCCCCTCTACATCTTTCCTCTACCTCTTCCCTCCCCTCCTACTGTAGATTCCTTCTCGATACTCTACATGAGCCTCATTTTTCCTACAAGTTGTTTTGATCATAGCTTGTTGCAAGAAACTGGTTATTGTCTTGGTCACTGCTCTTCACTGCTCTTCACTTACTTCTCTTCCCCACAAAATGTTGCAATACATACAAATATAAATATGAGACTATCTCGCTTTGACCGATAGTCGAGAGGAAGAAGAGAGAAGATACTAGTCTAGTATCTTTATCTAGTGTCTTCTCCTTTTCATTTATGTTATTAAATGCACCAATACGACTACTGCACGCCTTGGGCTCTACATGCTATCCAAGTAAAATCGACCATTTCCCGCTCAGTTTGAAACCCAATATCTGGTCTCAGAAACAAAGACCACAGGGACCGCTGCAACTACAACCACATCAAGCTGTCTCTACTCATCAAGCTGTCTCTGCTCATCAAGCTGTCTCTACTCATCAAGCTGTCTCTACCCTTCTAGCTGTCTCTGCTAATCAAGCTGTCTCTACTCTTCTAGCTGTCTCTGCTGATCAAGCTGTCTCTACCCTTCTAGCTGTCTCTACCCTTCTTGCTGTCTCTACCCTTCTAGTTGTCTCTACCCTTCTTGCTGTCTCTACCCTTCTAGTTGTCTCTACCCTTCTTGCTGTCTCTACCCTTCTAGTTGTCTCTACCCTTCTTGCTGTCTCCACCGCTGTCTCATTCATACCACCATCTCTATACTTACCTACAGGCAACTCATTTATTTCACAACCGAGTGCCTAACAATACACAACTCAAGTCTATCAACTACAATTCTATAACCTTTTGTCTATACTTTATTAATTCATTATGTACCAACTCATAACAACCCAAGAATATCGCACCACCACAACTAATCCAACAAGTCCTAGGAACTATTCCTTTCCACAAACTCAACCACCCTTCATGCTTCACCAACCCAGTAACAATCTTCCAACTACCTACTTTATTCTTATCTGGACTCAACATGATTCTAGTCTTTATTACGTCTAATGGAGTAGTCAATGCCGCGGCAACCCCGCCTGCAATCATCCCACAGATAGCACCCTTAAGCCCCATTGGTACCCAAGTTCTTTCTCCACTTCTGGTCTTGAGCCATTCATATAATGGGAACTGTATCACTGTAAATGGTATCTCTCTCATTATGGTGCTATTCCAACCTCGATATAACCCTCGTAAACCACCACCACCATTGCCAATTATTATATGTTTGAAGTTCAGCCAGCTAGAACTGAGACCCATATGTGATGCTTGGGTACGTTGTTTTATCACTTCTGCAGGGACTCGCACTATACATGCCATTATCTCCCCCAATGATGCTGCTATCATATGTCTATATGCCAAAGATGAAACGTGAGTAGTTATGAAATAATTTGACTTTATGGAATCATAAGTGATAAAGAATAATGATGCCAGTGGAGCCAGGGCAATTAGACAAGAGCCTAAACCTCGATATATTCCTTTATAGCCTCCGTTCTGAAATATTCCACCATGAGCTTGGATACGTGTTTTGATTGTGTCAATGGGGAAGAAAGCCAAGTCAGTTGCTATACCTGCACAACCACCGCTCTAAAATGTGGGGGTGTGTATGTTAGTAAGAGGTAAAAGGTGGGCCGTGGTGGGTCAATAATAAATGCAAAATTGAACACATACTATTAGTGATATAAGAAATGTTGAATCCGGAATAGAGCCCATTTCTCTTGAGGACACAACAGGTGAGCAATGAAAGGGCGTTGGGCGGGATAAGTTGAATGTAATGTGTATGTATCAAAGAACTCGTCGAGCTGTGATGAGCTGAAAAGACTTTCCATTTTTCACATCACGTGACTTTACCAAAGATCTAGAAAATGGCTGCGAAAGGAAAGGATCTTACTGTAATCTACATCATGTATCTTTGTAATGTATTTTGCTTTACCAGTCTACTCATTCTATCTGCTTTACCTTATTTACTTTACCTTACCTATCTACTTGATGATATAACAAAATGCGTTTTTCCTGGCTCACCTATTACAAACTATAAACTTATTCTTGCCTACCCTTTTCTTTTTTGCATACTTGATAATCATCGAGTCCACTTTCTTTCCTGGTGTGACCAATGGTTCAATGAACGCTACAAATTCCTCGTATAACCAACTACGCGATAATTGCAACAATTCCTTGAATCTCGTGCTGATATCCTTGCTTAGATCGTCTTGATTTATATAGATTATTCTCTCGTTACCAACACCAGCAATGGTGTCGAGGGAGCAATAGTGGCCACGCAATGCGGTTATATCTAGAGGTACGTCATAAAATAATGGAAGTGACGTTTTCCAATTCAAAAGAAAGTCTTGACTGGTAGTGGATGATGATTCGAGGGTTGATAATTGATGAATACCAAAGAATTGCGATATTTGGGAATCATTCAATTTGAATCTGTTGTCTTTTGATTTATGGGTGAATTTGTATAGTATTGAAAGAAACATCGATTCGTTCCATGAGGCATTACTGATAATATTTGCACCTAGTTGATCTAATGTAAACTCATCGAGTTGTTGTTGTTGTTGTTGTTGTTGTTGTTGTTGTTGTTGTTGTTGTTGTTGTTGTTGTTGTTGTTGCGCTGTGCTCTTATGTTCTGTACTTATTAGGTATGTTATTAGTGTGTACAAAATGTCTATAGCCAAGTCCTGTGACATTCGAAATACTCGGTCATTGACTTCACATAGTTGGAGGTGAACCCATTGTTGATCAAATTCTACAGAAGAACAACAACTCGACCTCATCAACTCAACCTTACTTGTATTACTAATCTTTTTCTCATTTTCCCCTATATCAGTAGTTTTATTGATTATAGGGATATAAGCAGTGTTTATCCTCCCATCTGTTTCATTCAATTGGTATTCGTATGAACATTTTGCAAAGCCAACTAGACCTCTATCCGGATCCAGTTTCATCAAAAGGACAGTATTTGAATGATTATTTTGTCGCAATTTGTACGTATGTGTTGAGGTGCATAGCACCACATCACCATTTTCGTAATTTGATTTTAGTTCAAGCGATTCAGCCGTGGTGGTAGAGTCCAGTTCAAGTTGGGACAAAATGGACGGGGGAAGCTGGATTAGTTTATAATGGTAATTTGGATCCGGTTTTAGGATTTGATATAGGTTTATTTCTGTCATTTGATGGAGCAAAAGGGTGAGGTACCAGCGATGATGGATGGTGTATAACAAGGGTTTCAAAGAAAACGCGTCTTGAAGTAGAGATTTTTCTGGTAGCGTTTTACTTTCCGACACGGTATTCCTAAATTGGTAAACTTTTTTGAAAAAGCACCGTTTTTAGGGAGCTTTTAAATTGAGCCCCCTAACTTCTAAGTCATATGGATCCATATGTCTACTACAGATAAGTGTCCAGAGAAATTGGAAATATCGTGCTGCTTGCGTTTCGTACTAGTAGTACGTTGTAAGAAACTCACATCACATGCTGGTATCAACTCAAGAGGTAATTGTTCTACATTACAGGGCAAATGAACCAAATTGTTTTGTCTTTTTGGAGACTTGCTTGATAGAGTATTGAAAATCTCAAAGTGCAAAAAGGTTCAAGCCAATATTGATTATGATCAACAGTCACAGTTTTTACTAAGAAATAAAGAAACTCTCTTGCATTAAAATCAAACACTTACATATACGTACTTATATCGAGATCAATAATTTAACGTGTTCATACTCTTCTAGAATATTTAAATCATCATAAGCCTATTATCTTTTTGTTGTTGTTGTTGTTGTTGTTGGTCGTCCCCCCTAGTTGTCTTCTAGAGTACTTCTCTTTTGTTAAAAGTTAGAGCCCTGATTAATGTTTCTATCTCTAACACCCAATTCACCATTGAAAAACTCATCGCTTCCCAATTTTTCATTCTTTCTCCAGAAGGTCCAGCCATTTTCGTGATCCCTATTATTTCTTCTCTTCAAATAAAACAACACTGAAATCAACCCAATTAAAATAGATCCTCCTACACCAACGACTACACCAACCACTATTTTATTTGTTTGTGATAATCCGCCTGAATTTGAATCTCGATTTGTTGCATCGGAAGTAGATGTTGGAGCCAGGGATATAAGGGAAGTTAGCGTTACCACAATGGTGCTTCCTCCTTGTATTGAGCTTAATGTTGTGACTCTTTGTGATGCGCTAGTTGTTATAGACGAGGAAGTAGATGATGAAGTTGTTGTTTCTGACGTTTCTGTTTCTCCATTTTCAGTTGACGAGGAAGAGGAAGATGACGAGCTTGAAGTTGTTGTGGTAGTTTCCCCCGTTTCTTCAGCAATAGTCGAAGATGACGATGATGTGGAAGAAGTGGCGGAATCACTGTTTTCTGTGGATGACTCCTGAGTTGACTCTGGTACATATGTCGATGTTGAGGAAGATGATGATCTCGAACTTGACAGCAGTGATTGCGATGGAAAAGTGCTAGCATTATCTTGCAGATTTGTTGAAGTGGTGGCTATTGACGTGGAGCCTGTATTTGGAAATATGTTACCGGTGTTTCCCAGACCAGAAAAAAGCAGAGAAATCCCAGAGTCTCCAGTAGAGCCTCCTCCTATTATATCGGTAAAAGAAGCAGTATCGTTATCGGCTCTTTTGCTCATCATCATCAGAAAGAGCGCCGTATTTACCTTTTCTTGATGGTTAAGCTGTAACGATAATGCGTCATTTTCATCCATAATTTGAAACGGAGTCACCTGTCTTTTTGGCAAAACGGTATTCACCATATCATGCTGGTTTAATAGCGACTGTTGATGTATCTCTGTCTTTTCTTTATCGACAGTTGTTGTATGTTTTTTTGCACTCTTCTTCTTGCTCAGCAACCTTTTCGTCTTTCTCGACATTATTACTCAAACACCTTCAAAATATGACCGTCTACAATACAAGTGAAACCCGTGTGTAAAAAATTTTTTGCTTCTTGCCTCTTCTATGGTTAAAAAAAAAAAACAAAAAAGAAAATTTGATAGGTTGAGATCTCAAGATCTCGAGGCTGTGTTTCTCTAAAGATTGGTGGCTCTATGCGGCTGTGAAACAGCTGTTGAATAAAGTGATAAACTGGGAAAACTTAAACGAACGAAAAATATCTAGTCTAATGCTGTAGATAATAGCTAATAACAAAGTGAAGAGGGGCCCTCTCTTCTTGGGTCTATTGTTGGATTCAACTTTTTTTGGTCAGGTTGTTAACTCAGTTGAAAATTTGTCGCAGTTTTTGTTATTGTTTTGTGTCTGTCTGTCTAAATAAAAAAAATTTTCATTCCAAGACGATAACAAGGACAAACGACAAACGACAAACGACAACAGACAACAGACAACAGACAAAACAAAAAGAAAGAAACGACATTAGACAAAAAGCTATAAAGTTTAAATTTGTCTTTTTAGTGGAGTAATCACGTGTTATCTTACTAAAGGCTCTTTGATTCATTATATTACATTGTGCCTTAAAATTTTCTAGGCTCAATTTGTACCTAACAATACATTCGGTATTAATGCATCTGTATACATTAATCGTTAATTCCCCCTTTCACCCCTTTCACACGTCGGCCTACCAGTACCCTACAGTAGAGATGTTTTCTTTTTTTTTTCTTCTTTAATACACCGACATTTTTAGATATTTTCTCTATAAATGGAAACAGACTTTTTTAAATGACTCTGTTTTTCGATGGCTGGATCTCTCAAACCTAAACTATCCATGTCTATCCATGTCATCTCTTTTTGAACAAAGAAAAACTTTATTTGAGTAGAAACTGAGATAAAGGTGTGAGATAAAGGTGTAAGATAAAAGGTGTGAGATGGTAGATTGTAGATTGCTTAGTTGCCTACGTTCATCTATGTTACAGTTTCAGAGTCGTTTCATTTTCATTAAAAATATTGCATTTCATAATTATCTTTGTCTCATTCCTATTAAAGAAATTCGCGAAACAACGCGTTCCAAATTTTTGTTAGTAATGAAATTTTATGCATCTCATTTCTGGTACTTTTAGTGCATGTGTCGCATAACTAACTAGCATTTACTTTTTTAGCGTTTCTCTTATACTGTACATTTATTCGTCTTCATGTAGTCTCAGGTAATGTAACCTTAATATGATTTTGAGGGGGGGGTGGTGGTGGTGGTTGCGCTACCATACGTAATTAGACGATGGGAGTATTTCTCAGTTCAGTAAATCATCCAGCAAGGAATTTTTATTAAAGGATTACTGTTTAATTTCCCGTCATTTCTAGTTTAGTTGTTGCGCAAGCTGATGGATTATCAGTTGACAGACAAACTATGAGTTGGTGGTTTCAAAAGTATAGTGTTTTAAAATCGTATCAACTAATAACCTCTTATAAAACAGTATCAACTAATAACCTCTTATAAAACAGTATCAACTAATAACCTCTTATTAAACAGTATCAACTAATAACCTCTTATAAAACAGTATCAGGTAATACCAACGATCCAATTAGTTGAATCAATTTCAAGAGAGACAATCCAATCAGTTGAATCAATTTCAAGAGAGACAATCCAATCAGTTGGATCGTGTATTTGAATCACTATACTCTCTGCGCTGGTTAGTTGCTACAGATGAACCCAACTAGTCCTATATAATATTAAACTAGTTTGTTTCTTACATTCTTCCTTCCACTTTGGGAGTAAGTAAAACAAGCAAAGTTTACCATCCCATCCCATCCCATCCCATCCTTTCTAGAGGTGAGGGGGGGGGGCGAAGCATGTGGTAGCACGTGTTCTTTTCTTCTTCTTCGATAGTCGATGCATGTGGTAGCGGTCAGATAATCGTTAGAGACACCATTATCTGTTAGGTTAAATTAGTCAATGGTGTGCTCCTTTTTTCTTGTTCTGCTCGATAAGTTGATGGGAGGTGGCATGTGGTAGCGCACATCATAGATCAATTTCGAATGTTCCAGAATATTCGCAGCCAATCCCAAAAAGGCATACACACACACACTTGCGGCGGTTAAGAAAAGAATGACTGCAAAATTTTTACTAAATAGGTAATGCAACAATTAATAGCAATTACCAAACAAACCTATCAAGTAGGAGCTCCAGAATATATTGATTCTATTAGGTTCTATACGGAGAATAGTACTCTCTCACACTAAAGGAAAAGCTCTTGTTGGCTCAATTACCTTGAAAGTTTTAATATAAAACCAATCAGCCCCCCCCTTTATTTAATAATCTTTTCTTTATCTATTTCTACTCTTTACATTACTAGATAACCTCTGATAAATACACGTTACTAGATAACCTCTGATAAATAAAACAAGAAATGGCTTCCTACTATTATCAGCAACCACAAGGTGGGTATGTTAATGAACTTGACTTAAACTCGTTGTTGAATTTGTTACACCAAGAACAGTTCAATCAGCATAGAAATCAAATACCTCACCATTATTATAATCACCGCCCACAACACCGGCAACAACACCAGCAACAACAACAACAACACCAGCACCAGAAACAACAACGGGCACAGCAGCCTTTAATTCATTACTATTCTCCACGGCCACTGCAATTGCAAATACAACCATACAAACAGCAACAGCCAAGTGCTAGACCAAGAGTAGTCAAGAAATTAGAAACTGAAGATGAGTATCAAATCCAAATTTACAAACCATATGGTAATTTCAATAACTACGAAGTACAAGTAGTCAAGGCTCAACCTCCATTGATCAAGATTGTTATTCTGGCACCAGCGGATAATTTCAAGATTTCAAACACATTCAATTTGAACTATATCGATATTGAGAATATCAATTGGAGGTGGTACAAACTGGAGAATATCTTGTGCTTAAACATCCCCAAGAAGTTGCATTATATCCACTCAAGTATTGAGGATATTTTCAATTGCTTGTTTGGTGGTAGCGGTATTACCGATGACGATGCTAATGCCGTTGCTAATGCTGATGAGGATGCTGATGAGGATGAGTATGAGTATGAGGAACCTGTAGAGTTGCATTTATTAGAAGATGCTAAAGGGGACAGCAAACAGAATGACGAGGTGGAGCTGGGTAATTTAGAAGAGTATGAAAGACTTTTGCAAGAAGCAGCAGAAGCTTTGAAACAAAAGAAGCAAAAGAAGAAGCAACAGAGACAACAAAAGGACAAATCTGGTGTTGCCAACGGTTCTCATCCTGGATTTTCGAAACTCGAACAGGATGAAGAGGATAGATTGGAAGATCACGAGAAGTTATTAGAAGACGCTGCAAATGCCTTGAAACAAAAGAAGGATAAGAATAACAAACCTGATGCTGCTGTTGCTACATCTTCTGATGTCAGTGCTGAAGACAAAAAGGCTAAAGAGCTTGAGTATAAAGCAGCAGAGGAAGCAGCAGCCTTGGCACGCAAGAAGCAAGAAGTAGAGGAAAAGAATGCATTGAAAGAGAATAAGGCATTAGAGGGAAACAAGTCATTAGAGGAAAAGAAGCGCGAGTTTGCCCAAAAACAAAAGGAAACCGAGGAAAGGATCAAGCAAGCACAACTAGAATTGGAGAGATTGGTAAAGCAACAAGAAGAGTTGGAAAAAGAATCTGGAAATAGAAAAGATGGTTTGAAGCAAGTTGAAGCTAAAGCTGAAGCTGATCAAGAACAAGAACAAGATCAAGATCAAGAGAAGCCAAGTACTCAAAAAAAAGAGCAATTGGCAATTAAAGATGAAAACAAGCAGAGACAAATCGATGAAATAAGGAAACAACAGCAACTACAACAGCAAGAGCTATTAAACCAATTTTTTGGCTTTAACTTAGGTCCTGTATTAACTGATTGTTTGCCAAAACCTCAGGATAACTCTATTAAGCAGACGAAGAAAAAACAAGTACAAGAAATTGCAACTAATTTGGTACCAAAAGAAGAAACAGGTACTACCACCTCAATGCTAAAGTCTAATTCCAAAGAAAATGAGTCAAAAACTCCCAATGTAAAACAAAGTCTTAAAGACACGGCTAGAGCTAATAGTGGAAAAATCAAAAGACGCGAATCACCTCTTTTGGAAGATGTCGAGGATGAAGAGTCTGTATTGTGGAGGAAAAAATTTGATCATTGAGGTTCTATAGCTAGTAAAAATAAAAGAATAAAATAGTTACCGCCGAATATTACAAGTTCTCATACTCTCATTCCTTTAATCTGATGAAAACTCTTTGTAAAGCTCTCATTCCTTTAATCTGATGGATACTACTCTTTTGTATAGCTCTCATTTCTTCATCTTTGCTTTGCTGACCCTTCTTCTTGGAGGGGGGGGAGGAAGTTGAACAACTTTGCTTGTTATATGTATCACATGGTAGCGATGCTAACACTAACCACACCATGAAATTTTTCACCCTATTAGCAATCATTATGGCAAAGATGAAACATAAAAGTTTCAATTTGCTCTTCAGATATACACAGACTCCCTCTCTCTCTCTTTCTCTTCTTCATAGACAGGTTCGATGTCAAAATCCATAGCGGTATTTGGAGGTAATGGGTTTCTAGGCCGTAAAATCTGTGAAATTGGTGTATCCAAAGGATATAAAGTGACATCATTTTCTCGTATTGGCAAACCCCCAGCATCAGTCAAAGCTCAGCCATGGGTTAGTCAGGTATCTTGGAATAAAGTAGACATTTTCCACCAGTTAGACTCAATTCAATCACAGTTGGCTGAATTTGACACTGTGGTTCACTCAATTGGAATTTTATTTGAGGATCAATCTTATAAACAAACAATGAATTCAAAGTTGCCTGGTGGTATGAGTAGTGTATTCAATGATTTGAAAAAATTGAGTAATAATCTTATGGGGTCGAACCCTATGCAACGAGATAAGCAATGGATGACTTATGAAGCTATTCAGCGTGACTCTGCAGTGGGATTAGCTGATGCTTATGTCAAGGCAAGACAGGCAAGACAAGCAAGACAAAGTGGAGTCGATGGCAGTAGTATTGTTGGGAATTACGTGTATATATCAGCCGATCAAAACCCACCTATGGTTCCCAAACGATACATTACAACCAAAAGAGAAGCCGAGGCTGCTATAAGTCGGAATCCGTATTTGCGAAGTATCCTCATGAGACCAAGTGTGATGTATGATAATCTGCAGGATTTAGAAACTACCAAAAGAGATGTCTTGATCAAAGGGTTGAAATTGGGAGTTGATCTAAAGAGGAAAATTGTTGGTGATGCAATTTTGGGTGATTTTGTAAGACCCGTTGTGAGTACTACACAGGTTAGTGAGGCGATTTACAATAAATTAGAGGATCCCCAGTTTCATGGTATTGTGCCTGTAGAGCTTATTGAGAAGGAGCCAAATTGGTGAGGGAAAATAAGCTCATAAATCCAATATTAATTATACGGCTATATTTCGGTTTTTAATGATGAATATCTATATATATATATAATGCATGTGGTAATGGTTTATTGTTCTAATATTTTCTCCCTCTCTCTCCCTCTCTCTCCATCTATCCATCTATCTCTCATATCTACTCTTGTTGCTCTCTCTCTGCATTTTCAATAAGTTTTGATTGAAACATCTTCAACAAATCTTGTTGAGTCTCATCTAAATACAATCTTTCTGGTACAATAATCGAGCCTATACTAATCGTAATCATATCCAGCGGCACCCGATCTATCTCACTTTCTTGCGCCGAGCTTCTCTTCTCTTCTTCTTCTTCTTCACCTGCAGGTGGCGGAGTTATTGAGCTCTTGTGACCGGGACTCCACCAATAAACGGGATAACTCCTAATGACATTCCCGGTAACTAAAGCAACGGAAAGGATCAACAATGAGTCTACAACTTGAACAGGAAGGTACCACCATGACATGCGACGAATTTGTAGGTCTACACAGGGCAAAGCAGCACTTGCACCCGCGGGTGGATGAACACAATTACATATTGTCATAAGTACTGAACTTATAGCAACACTTAATGCGCCCCCAGCCCAATAATTCTCCCGTCCTCGTTCGCTTAATCCAAATAGTTTTGATATACATACACCAACCAATGAGCTTATAAAATGGCCAAAAAACACATTTCTAGGTTGAGCTAGCGGCACTTGGTTTGTATTGAAACATAGGATAGCCGAGGCAGCATATGATGCAACTAACATCGGCGCGTGATGATGGTCTGTAAATACATTTGGATTGATAAAAACACCCATTATCAAAGAAAGACCACTGAATGAACCAATGAGAATCTCTAGCCATAGAACATGATCCGGTAATGGCACCACTCGTGGATGCGGAGGATCATGATATCCTAAGAAAAACGATATTGCTTTTGGTAATTTGTGAACTTGGTTTTTTGGAATATACTTGTTTATATAGTCATCGATAACAAACGAGAATGCCATTCTGGGTGAGCGTCGAAAGGGACTATAAATGACAACAAACCTCAGCTTGATTGTTCAATGATATCAACAAGAAGAAGAGTTGAAAAATACCATAACCAATCACGATCACGTGACCATGCCCCAGATTCTTTTTCTTTATTTTTTTTTTTTTTTTTACACCCAAGTAACCTTTGTTGAAGGTAACGACAAACCCGGGTTTGAAGGAGATGGCAAGCAGAGTTTGTCTCCTATTCTAATCTTTCTTTATTATACATCTATAGACATCCATACTTTTTCTTCTCTTCCACTTTTTTTCTTCTTCTGCTTCTTCTTCTCTTCCACTTTTCTTCTTCTTCTGCTTCTTCTTCTTCTTCTGCTTCTCTTTTTTGTTTTTTTGATTCATTTTATATCATACAACATAGTTATATTTATTGGTATAACCGGACTTTCTTCTAAGGTACCATTTCCTTCCTTCATCAACAAAAAAGACTGAGCTACACAATAATAACAAATGGATAATGTCCTTCAAAGATAAAGCTTCGGTCTGGAATATTTTCTGAAAGAATGGAACGTAAACGGCACAGAATTGACCAATGAGAGAGCCCAATACTGCAAAATTAAACATTTGGTTCTTAAGACCCAAATGGAAGATCGATTTCGAGTGATGACGACATGCCAAGGCGTTGAACATATCAAAAAGGACAAAGCATGTAAACGTCATTGTTGTGTCTCTTGCAGTTACTTGGCCATCGGTCATTTCCTTGATGAATATGTAAAGTGTACCAATAATGATCATTGCTGCTGATTGCAAAACACGTTTGATTAACTGAGAAGTTAAGATTTTATCGTTCCTCTTACGTGGTGCTTTATTCATCACTTCATGATCAACTGGCTCAACACCAAGGGACTGTGCCGGCGGACCATCCATAAGGATATTAATCCATAAGATTTGCATAGCATTCAATGGGTTGGGTAAGCCAAAAAACGTACTCAATGCAATTAAAGTAAGTGCGGCAATACTTGTACTCAATTGGAATGTTATGAAATTTTGTATATTATTAAAGATTCCCTTTCCTTCCTCAATGGCGCTCAAGATTGTACTAAAGTCATCATCGGTTAAAACCATGTCTGCTGCTTCTTTGGCAACATCGGTTCCATTTTTACCCATTGCGATTCCGATATCTGCTAATTTCAAAGCTGGTGCATCATTTACACCATCCCCGGTCATTGCAACAATGTCTCCACGTAATTGTAGGGCTTTGACTATTTTCACCTTATGTTCAGGAGTGGTTCTGGCGAAAACGGAAACATTGTGGATAGCTTCAGCTAGTGATCCTTCTTTTAATTCATCAATTTGGTCACCTGTCATGACCGAGTGCTCACCATTCATCGGTATACCTATTTGCTTGGCAATGTTTATTGCTGTTGTTGGTGAATCCCCAGTTATCATAATGACGTGTACACCACCTTTCATCAACATTGAAATGGCTTTGCTCACATTAGGCCTTGGTGGGTCTTTCATACCAGTTAAACCACAAAAGATCAATTCTCCAGGCTCCTGTTGATGGTGTTGATCGTCTTTTTCATTCGTAAACTTTTTATTGTTTTCAGCAAATGCCAAAACCCGAAGTCCATCCATGGCTAGTAGTTTTGAATTTTCGTGTATTGTTTCTTTTATCTTATCATTGATGGGCTTGATATTCCCATATTCATCATAATATCGATTGCAGTGCTCAAGAATCTTTTCTGAAGCACCCTTGGCAAATGTTTCTGGTTTATCCATATCTCCACTGTGAACACAAACAGCCATATACTTGCGAGTTGAGTTGAATGGTAATTCATGCATCCTTTCCTTTTGCCCTCTTATATCCTCAAGACCGAAATGTGGTAAGCATTCAAGAAGAGCAATATCGCTTGGATTACCAACATATTTCTCCAAATCAGTAGAGTACCTTGCATTGTTGCAAATGTTCCCACTTAGTAATACTCGTTTCATATTGCTTGAAAGTTGGTGATGTAAAGTGTTATCATCAAGTCTTTCCACAACAAGAAATGGAGTATTGAAACTTCCTTTGAAATCGGTAGTCCATATCTTGGTCACTGTCATGTGGTTTTGAGTTAATGTACCAGTCTTGTCTGAGCAAATCACATTGACCGACCCCAATGTTTCAACGCTTGGTAATCTTTTAACAATAGCCTTTTGTTTAGCTAGTCTCAACACGCCCAAGGCCAAAGTAACAGTAACAATAATAGGCAAACCTTCAGGTATAGCTGCCACTGCCAACGAAACAGAGATCTGAAACATATCCAACCATGATCTTCCTTGGACTATCCCGATCAAGCAAATGATACCGATTATTGTAAAGCTGAATATACTCAAGTCTTTACCCAATTTATCCATAGCTTGTTGTAATGGAGTTTTTGGTTTTTCAATTTCACTCATCATTTCAAAAACGGTACCAAATACGGTTTGCCCGCTGATACCAACTACAATCCCACTACCATGGCCGTCTCTTACCAATGTCCCCATATATGCAATATCTGTTCTATCTGTTACTGAGGGCTCTTTCATTGCAACTGTTTCAACAGACTTTTTAACAGGTTGGTTTTCACCAGTCAAGTTACTTTCGTCAATGGTCAAATAAACTGCTTTTGTCAACCTTACATCTGCGGGGATTCTATCTCCTGTTGCGAAATGGACGATATCACCCGGGACTAATGTTGACGCTTGCACTGTTGATGTGTTGCCATTTCTTGTTAAATGAGCTTCTGCCGGTACCAATTTATTCAAAGCTTCCAACGATTTTTCCGATCTGTACTCCTGGACAAAGCCAACTGTGACAACAATGATTATAGCTAGGGTAATACTTATTGCGTCATCTTTGTTACCCATCCAAAAACTAACAATTGCTGAACCAATCAATAGCAAAATCAAGGGATCCTGGTAAAAAGAAGTCAAGAATTTCCAAAGCAAGCTTTCGTCATTGTCGCTGTTCAACTCGTTTACCCCGTATATCGATTTACGATATAGTATATCCTGACTATCGACTAGACCGGTTTGGATATCGGTATTCAACTCTGAAGCCGTTTCCTCGACGGACTTATTGCAGAACTTTAATGAGGGGACATTAGCCTTATTGGGAAGCTGGACTTGATCTGGACTTATCTCATATGGATTGCTACTCATATTTTGCAAGTCAGCCAAATGAATTCAAGCCAAAGTCAACCAAGTTCAGCCAAATGAAGTCAAGCCAAAGTCAGCCAAAGTCAACCAAAGTCAGCCAAAGTCAGTCAAAGTCAGCCAAATGAAGTCAAGCCAAAGTCAGTCAAAGTCAACCAAAGTCAGCCAAAGTCAAGCCAAAGTCAGCCAAATGAAGTCAAGCCAAAGTCAGCCAAAGTCAGCCAAATGAAGTCAAGCCAAAGTCAGTCAAAGTCAACCAAAGTCAGCCAAAGTCAAGCCAAAGTCAGCCAAATGAAGTCAAGCCAAAGTCAGCCAAAGTCAGCCAAATGAAGTCAAGCCAAATAAAGTTGAGGCAAATGAAGTTGAGGCAAATTTAACCAAAATTAGCAAATGCAAACGCGATGGAGGATAGCGCAAGAGACAAACAGTTGAGGAAATAGAAAACCACCAAAATCCTCTCTATAAATAAACAAAATCTTCCACTCCCTTTTGACGCTCTTGTATCAAAAGTATCCAAACTTTTAGATTCGATTCCAGCCTGCTCTTTTCTTTTTATAGAGATTTTTCAACTCTTTTACTTGTTTCTATAGTTTAAATTTTTCAGTTTCAATGTCGCACCGTTTGAAGAAACTCCATTTGGGTGTTTTGAGTTGCACGACCACCGACACTATCGAGCAGAGCTCCAGAGCTCCACTATCGAGCAGAGCGAGATAGTGGAGAAAAAGCTGCAATAGGCTAGGGTGGATGTTCAAATGTAGAATAGGTGTATAAGTGGATGTTGAAATGTAGATTAGAAGTGAGCGCTGAAGAGTAGATTAGGAGGGGATGCTGAAGAGTAGACTAGGTTTGGATCTGCAGAGTAGACTCGGAGTGAGATTGAAGAGTAGATTAGGAGTGGATCTGAGGAGTAGACTAGGTGTAAGTGGACCCATTGTCAGTCGAGTTCATTCTCTATAACCTGGAAACGAGTTAGTGTCGGCAGCTACTATTGCTCCACTATCTCGCTCTGCTCAATAGTGTCGATAGTGTCGATAGTGTCGGCAACTACTATTGCTCCACTATCTCGCTCTGCTCGATAGTGTCGATAGTGTCGATAGTGTCGGCAACTACTATTACTCCACTATCTCGCTCTGCCCAATAGTGTCGATAGTGTGGTAACAAGCTACAAAGTGTTGCTCCACTATCTCGCTCTGCTCAATAGTGTCGATAGTGTCGATAGTGTGGTAACAAGCTACAAAGTTTTGCTCCACTATCTCGCATTGCTCGATAGTGTCGATAGTGTCGATAGTGTCAGTCAGTGTTGATAGTGTAGATAGTGTCGATGGTGTCGATAGTGTCAGTCAGTGTAATAGTGTCGATGGTGTCGATGGTGTCGATGGTGTCAGTCAGTGTTGATAGTGTAGATAGTGTCGATGGTGTCGATAGTGTCAGTCAGTGTAATAGTGTCGATGGTGTCGATGGTGTCGATGGTGTCAGTCAGTGTTTCTCCACTATCTCGCTCTGCTCGATAGTGGAGCTCTGCTCGATAGTGGAGCTCTGCTCGATAGTGGAGCTCTGCTCAACAGTATCAAAATTTTTCCTTACTACTTCCATAGCAGCCTTGTTCAACCTATTCATTATAGCCAACCCCTCATCACTTTCATCAACACCTTCAACAAAAATCAAATCCACCTTATCCTCCTCATCGACTTGTCTCAAACATTTAAACAAGTTACGCGAGATATCCTCACCTATTTTACCCAACTCGCAAACAACGCAAATCTCTTTTAAATCGGTAAACTTCTTCGATTTCAATAATGCAATTTTAGTGGTATGGGTGTCGATTGAGTTCAATTCTATATATTCCCTCATGGCTCTCTCGCCGTCACCGCAATTTACAAATAACACAACTTTCGCCTCGGGTGAATAATGCTTATACTTCATCCCCGGTGTCTTGACTTTTTCATCTTCATTAGCATTTCTCTTTGCTACAACAACATTCTCCCATTCTTTCCCGCCTACTTTTTTCAACTGTTCAAGCGATACACCTCCTGGCCGCAATAACATTGGCGGATCGCTTAAACCATCAATCACTGTGGATTCAACACCAACATTAGATGGGCCACCATCTAAAATAATAGGTATCTTCCCATTCAAATCGTGCATTACATGCTGGGCCAAAGTCGGACTCGGTTTGGTTGACGAATTCGCAGAAGGCGCTGCCAAGGGCAAATCACTCATGGCAATTAATGCACGCGCAACCGGGTGTTGTGGCATACGCACGGCAAACGTATCTTGATTAGCGGTGACAAAGGACGAGACCGGTGATTTGCCAGTGGCTGTGGAGTTGGGAAGTAGTATGGTCAACGGACCAGGCCAGAATGCTTCTATCAATTTGTCATATATCTTGGGAATCTTGTAACCCTTTGGTAGTAGTTTTCTTTCAAGCTGACCTATCGATGAAACATGGACAATAAGAGGATTATCAATTGGTCTTGACTTGGCCCTATATATGGATTTTACCGATTCGTCACACAACGCTGAACCACCTAGTCCATATACTGTTTCCGTAGGGAATCCAATAACATTGCTCGTGCTTAAAAGCTCATTACAGGCCAGCTTTATATTCGTTTCAGTTTCCTTGTCTGATATATACGGTACTCTTTGTCCTGGCAAAAAATGAATAGACTCAGCATCAACCTTAAGTACCTTTGTGGCAAACGACATTGCTCGTATAACTGGCTTCATCAATTCCACATTCTCAATCTCATCCCGTCTTATACAGCGCGATGAGCTTGAACTCATCGCAGGGAGAAAAAAAAAAAAAAAAAAAGAAAAAGAAAACAAATTGCAATAAATGGCTGCGAAATTATTACATACGTCAACCCTATTGAGCAGAGCTAGTAACACTATCGAGCAGAGCGAGATAGTGTTACTAAGAGCTAGTCGGTGTTGTAATGTGCTAGTCAGTGTTGTAATGAGCTAGTCAGTGTTGTAATAAGTCAGTACTGCTGAGAGCTAGTCAGTGTTGAAACAAGCTAGTCAGTGTGCTCCTCCACTAGCTCGCTTCGCTCGATAGTGTAAGTTAATCAGTGTGCTCCACTATCTCGCTTCGCTCGATAGTGTCGATAGTGTAAGTTAGTCAGTGTGCTCCACTATCTCGCTTCGCTCGATAGTGTCGATAGTGTAAGTTAGTCAGTGTGCTCCACTATCTCGCTTCGCTCGATAGTGTCGATATTGTCGATAGTGTCGATAGTGATGCTCCTCTAAAAAATGATACATTCACTAATCAACCTTTTCTCATGATCGGATAACTGCTCGTAATATCGACCAAAGTTGCCCAAGTTCTTTGCAGTACACTCTTTGAAAAATTGAATCAATAATTGTTTTAAACTTTCATCATTTCTGTTTCTCTCACTGGCCTTAGTCTCTTCATCAACGTATGATTTTAACTTTTCGTAATTAGGTACACCAATATCATCCAAATCTTCCCATCCATCATCTCCATCATCATCGTTAGCCACCTCTTCCCCTTCTTCTCCCTCATTGTCTCCACCACCAGGTTGTTGACATTGAAATTGTAATTCGCCAACTAGTAATTTCAATATTTTCAAAGATGCCGAAATCCTAGTGTACTTATCAGGCATGGTCTTTGCTCTCGACCGAGTAATGATCAAGTCTCCCTCATAAGGAATGATTTCACCATTCACAATCAAATTTTCAATTCTTGAATCACCTATAGTAAAGATTTTGGCTAATGCAAGTGAATTTTGTTTGATTTGTTCAAATCCCCGAGTTACTTGATACGAGTCAAACCAAATCGGTAATACTGTGGCCAAACCTGATTTATCATTTATCGTCATACTAGACAAGAAATTTATAGCATCTGCTGGTGATAGAAGCACTAATTGACAAAACACCATTATGAGATTTTCAATAGTTATTGGTTCTTTGGCAATGACTAGTCTGTTGACGGTAGCTTGCAAGATTTGGGTAATGATTTGTGGTGGGATTTCGTATTGAAAGCGAGATATAAGCGAGCAAACAATGGATCCGCATCTACTAGCGGCACTATCGGATAATTGAGGTGACAAAAACCTGTATACGATTTTCATCATTAGTTCCATTCCCGATTCCTTTGTTTGTTCGTTTCGATATGCAATAAATAATTGCGATGCTTTTTGTATTAGTTCGTTGAAAATCTCACCTCCACTTTGTAAGATTTGGTTATCTGATGATTTTAAAAGTATCGATCTCAATATGGGGAAAGCATACTCAAAAATTTGCAGTGGGAGTTGTTCGGGTCCCGATTTTATAATGATGCTCAACAATTCCAAGCTGAGGTATAACTCTGGTGTATACTCGCCATTGCTTTGTTCCATTAACTGGAAAATAAAGGGTAACGATTTCTCACATGCAATAAGGTAATCTTGAACATTGACTTTTTCCAATAATGTGCTTAAACAGTCCGAGGCATCTGAAATTAATTGAACATTACCAGGATCTTTGAATGCTATCTTAAATATTATTTCGATAACGTTAACCTTGGGTGCAACTTCAACCGAGGCCGCTTTAGTCGGATTAATAGAGATGGCAGAAGTAATGGCCTCCAACAAAACTGGTAACCCATCTTCTTCACACTCGTTGATTAACAAAAATGCAAGCTTGAAAATAATCTGTTGCACTGAACTATTCAAATTGCTAAATTCAAAAACATGTTGATAATAAGTACAACTGATCAAAGTTGATATCTGTATAATTGGACTTGCCTTTTCGGTAAATACCATCATATCAGTAAAGACCTTTTCAGCTTGGTCAGTGCCGAATTTTTCAAAGTATTTGGGAAGTAATAAAAAGCATCTTGCTGTTACCAAACTACAATCAAATGAAATAAACGATAACAAATCGGTCAATGATACAGGTGGCAAATCGTTATCATTTGATAATATCCCTTCAAGAGTGAACAATTGTGCTTCTAAAATTCGTTTATCCTGTGAATACAGTTTAGTTATATCCAAGCATACTGTTTGAACATCATCTTTATTCAACTCGCCCCAGAAATCAAGTATCGAATCTCTTGGATTGTTTTCCATTGATAGTCCCGTCATATCACTCACATATTTGTTCAAGTCACTTTCAAATTCTTCAACAGTTTCTTTTGCTAATGCTGAGCATACCACTGCATCCTTGAGAAATTCCGATAAGTTGGCAACTTGAGCTATTGGAATGTCGTGTTGTATGCTCGATATTGCCTGGAAAATATTGTATATGAGGTTATTAAATACTGGCAATGCCTCAAGTGCGCAATCTGATGATTGTGATGAAGATGGTGGTAGTGGTGGTATTTCATATTCATTCAATGCCACTTTATTGTATATTGGTGCTATCTTTGACAATTCTTGGCATGTAAAAGATAATATGTTGGTCTTGATTTCATTTGGGATACGCTGGTGAAATTGTCCGATTATGGAAGCTATAGCATTGTACAAATTACTCTTAAACTCCACTTCAATCAACATGCCACTTTCTTTTTGAATCAATTGTGTAAAGATATTCAATGTAGTTGATATTTGTGTAATGACAAATTGTTTCCTTTTTGTATCTTTAAAAGCTTCGGGACTTTGCAAAATGGCCAAAACAGATTCGTATAATTTAATTGCTTGATTTTTCACGGTGGCAGCAATCTTGTTGTTTTCAAATATGCTATCCAATTGATGGATAACTGTGTTTCCAACACCGCCTTCCCAAAACTGCTCTTCTGTAATCAAATCATCAAATAAATCAGTCAAAACTTGCAATCCTCCCAACATGGCGCATTCATTTGAGTAATCTACCGTTGCTGAAAACAACTGATTCATAAGCTCGGGCCACTCATCAGGAAAGTCCACCGATGCAATTTGAACAATTGCGTATGCAGCTCCACTGCGCAATTTCGAGTCAGCGCTGGTGACAGCGAGATTTAATAATTTCGATCTAATGATTGGCTTTAAATCTTGGGAAATAGGTGGCCCAATAAACGACGAAAACCCAAGAGACCAAAACTTGGGCACAAGCCTCTTGATCTGTAGCAAACATGCTTGTCGAGTACCAATAGGTAAGGCACCATTCAACGCTAATTCCAAAATGAGATACAACGATTCCGTTGGTTCATGGTTAACGGTTTTGCTAAATTCTAGCTCGGCACTTCTCCTCAAGTTATTATCCGGCGAAGTCTGTTCCAATATTAGCTCAAGTATATCCGGCATAATACAATTGACACAACAGAACCAGCTCCAACAGCAACAGCAACCTTTGAATATCAATGATATCTTAATCAACTTCTTTCCTCCGATACCTTCCGTCTAATTTTTTTTTTTTCAACCTCGTTGGAACAAACTTTTCTTTTCGCAGCCAAATGGGCCGAGCGACACTATCGAGCGAAGCTCCACTATCGAACGAAGCGAGATAGTGTCGGTGGCAGCTGGTATAGCTCCACTATCGAGCGAAGCGAGATAGTATTGATAGTGGCAAAGAGCACTATACAAGCTAGTCAGTGTTGCTCCACTATTTCGCTCTGCTCGATAGTGTCGGTGACAGCTGGTATAGCTCCACTATCGAGCGAAGCGAGATAGTATTGTAAGAGAAGGGGTGTGTACCACCAATGTCGATATTATGGATGGCAGCTAGTGTTGCTCCACTATCTCACTTCGCTCGATAGTGTCGCTCGATAGTGTCGCTCGATAGTGTCGCTCGATACACAATATATCATCTCTTTGAAAATAAACTACATCTATAAACGCTTCTTATCTATATATATCTTTAATATCTAGATTTGCTCAACTCTGCTTTAGACATTGGAGGGCTCGACATTCCAAATGTTCTCAGCATACTCATCAATACATCGATCACTTGAAAAGAACCCCATATTAGCAACACTCCAAACACTTTTTCTAACCCATTTCTTCAAATGTTCACTATCATCTGCATCACCGCCATTATGACCAAATACCTTTTCGAGTTTCTTATGAGCAGCAAGGAATAAATCAAAATCATCAGAAACAAGGTAATAGTCCCCATGGTTACGGATCGATTCAATCAATGATTTGAAATCGTCTGGGTTACCAAATCGACCACTCTCAATTGCAGCAAATACTTTTTGTAAGGATTCTGGAATATGTGCACCTTCAACAAAATGCTTATGTCTCAATTCTTCAACCGATTCCGCTAAATTACCAAAAAGGAAAATGTTCTCTTCGCCTATTTCACGAGTAATTTCGACATTGGCTCCATCAACCGTTCCTATAATGAGTCCTCCATTCAAAGCAAACTTCATATTTGAGGTACCTGATGCCTCGGTTCCTGCAGTGGAAATATGATTCGACAAATCTGATCCGGGACAGATAATCTCTGCCTTGGAGACATTATAATCAGGAATAAATACAACCTTGAGCAAGTTATCAATCGTGTCATCGTTATTGATCACTTCTCCCACCTTACAAATCAAGTGGATTATAGTCTTGGCCATGTAATAACCCGGGGCAGCTTTTCCTCCAAAGATCGAGGCCTTGGGGATATAATACTTTTGCTTTATTTCATCAAGGGAAACGCCATCAGCTTGCAATTGCTTGATGTGGAGGTATCTGTAAATAACTGCAAAAATGTTCATCTGCTGTCTCTTGTATTCATGGATTCTCTTAACCTGAACATCAAAGAAAACCGTTGGATCAACATCAACGCCAGTTTCGCTCTTGATCAAAAGTGCCAATTTTCTCTTATTATCAAATTTGATTGCATCCCATTCTCTCAAAAATTGTTCATCATCAATAAACTTTTCAAGCTCTTTCAATTTACCAAGGTTAGTCAAGTAGTCATAATTTGGATCATTCAATTTTTTGGCTATTAAAGCCGCCAATTTAGGGTTGGCTTGTCTCAACCAACGTCTTGGTGTGATACCATTAGTTACATTGGTAAATTTATCAGGACCAAAAACTTTAACAAAATCTTTAAAAATAGTGGTTTTGATCAATTCCGAGTGCAATTCAGCAACACCATTCACCTTGTGTGATCCAATTATTGCCAAGTATGCCATTCTAACAGATTTGGGATTTTCTTCAATAATACTAACGCTTGTTAATAATTCACGCTCCTTGGGGAATCTGTGTTCAACATCTTTCAAAAAATAGTAATTGATATCGTAAATGATCTCCAAATGTCTAGGTAACAATCTACCCATAACGTCAACTGGCCATTTCTCCAATGCTTCAACCATCACGGTATGGTTAGTATAAGCAAACACCTTGGAGACTAAAGACCAAGCGTGATCCCATTCCAAACCTTCTAAATCAACAAAGATTCTCTGCAACTCAACAATGGCCAATGTTGGATGTGTGTCATTCAACTGAATAGCTACTTGATCAGGGAACCTATTCCAGTTAGTCTTGTGGTTCTTTTTAAATCTACGAACAATATCGTGCAATGAAGCAGCAACCCAGAAATATTGTTGCTTCAATCTCAATTCTTTACCTTCTTCAAAGTTATCATTTGGATATAAAACCGAGGTAATTGATTCTGCTCTTTGCTGTGATGCAACAGATTGTTGATAATCACCAGCATTAAACTTGGTGAAATCAAATTCTTGTGTAGGCTGAGCATTCCATAATCTAAGGTTATTGGTATTATCTGTGTTGTAGCCAGGGATTGGGAAATCAGCTGCAACTGCCAAAACTCGTTCACCTCCTGCCCAATTCTTTTTAACTTTACCGGTATTTGGATCGTGTTCTTCATAAACGTAGCCATAAAAATCAACCGGGATTTGGATTTCGCGTCTATTCAAGACCCAAGGGTTTGAGTATTTCAACCAATAATCTGGAGTTTCGATTTGGTAGCCATCAATAATTCTTTGTTTGAAAATACCATATTGATAGTTTAATCCATAACCCCAACCGGAATAATTCTTTGATGAGAGAGAGTCGATAAAACAAGCAGCCAATCTACCCAATCCACCATTACCCAATGCGGCATCTGGTTCTTGATCCAAAACGTCTTCCAAATTGAATCCCAACTCGTGTAAAGAGTCCTTTGAGTTTTTTTCACACTTCAAGTTGATCAAAGCATTATCCATGGCTCTGCCCATAAGGAATTCCAAGGATAAGTAATAAACTCTTTTACCATCCTGGATAGTCTGTCTTTGTTGGGTATTTGCCCAATCAATAATGAGAGCATCACGCACTGTTCTTGACGCAGCATGGTAAGCAGCCAAATTGTCACAATTGTACATCGACCTCCCTAATCCGGTTTCGACATTCCGAACAAACTCTTGTTCAAACTTGTTTGGGTTATCGACAATTGAGTGGATATTCTCCAGGCGGTTGGCACCTCCTCTTGTCTTTCTTTCCAACAAATCCAATTGCGAGTATTTGAACCAAATGTGTTTTGCCGACTCGGGAATTGCAGCATCTAGGGCAATGATTTGGTTAGGAGTAAAGCCGGTATTTGTTCTTTTTAATTTGGGTTGCGGTAAAGTCGACGGAGTAAGATAATCCATAGACATTGTGTAGTAAGTACTAGACGGGAAAGGGGGAAGGGGGGGGGGAAGCAAAAGAAAAGCTAGAGTTGTTTCTATATGAAAGGAAAGAACAAGAAAAGAAGAGGTTGAGAAATAATAATCAATTGAAAACCATTCAAGGAATTGAGTCATGTATTTATAGCGAATGGAAAATATATTTCCTTCAAAGTGTAACGAGTTTTAATGTTTGGATTAGATCGCGGGAGTTAGATATTAGATGCTAGTGTAAAATGGCTCAGCGAGCCTGACTTTACTATAAAGGTACTTGAATTTGGCTTGACTAGTTTGTAAAGTTAGTTAGATTGACTAGTATTTATGGCCAATGCAGACACTATCGACACTATCGAGCGGAGCGAGATAGTGTCCAGCGAAATACTGTCCCGCGAAATACTGTCCCGCGAAATACTGTCCCGCGAAATACTGTCGAGCGAAATACTGTCGAGCGAAATACTGTCGAACGAGATAGTGTCGAGAGATAGGCACAACACTTAGTGATACTATTAAAGTTTGTGTGGTGCTCCATTATTAAAGTTTGTGTGGTGGTCCATTATTAAAGTTTGTGTGTAGTGCTCCACCATCTCGCTCTGCTTGATAGTGGAGCATCTCAGCATCTTCAGTGCCGGGCGGCACTCAACATTAGACAAGAGATTTTTATTGCTACCGTCGCATTAAAAATACGTCGTCAATTTGTTACTATTTTTTTCTCGCCAATGTTTATCGCCGTTGTTTTGAAACTTGTTTGTGTTCTGTAGTTTTACCTCTTTGTGTTTCTTGTCATTACTATTCTCGCTGCTTGAGTATAATGAAATTCACGGAGATGGCGGTGGATTTAGAAAAATCAGGCGATAAAAAAACAGCAAAGCGAGTAACACTATCGAGTAACACTATCGAGCAACACTATCGAGCAAAGCGAGATAGTGGAGCATCATTTTGTAGCGATACTAGTAGAGAGCGAGATAGTATTGCTGAGAGCTAGTCAGTGGAGCATCATTTTGTAGCGATACTAGTAGAGAGCGAGATAGTGTTGCTGAGAGCTAGTCAGTGTTGTAGTAAGCTAGTAACACTATCTCGCTCTGCTCGATAGTGGAATATAGTGTCACTAGTCAGTGCTGCTCCACAATCGAGCAGTACTAATCAACTACAAGTAAGATGAGAATGTAACTTTTCAAAATCATAGTGGAAACTGCAATTAGTATGACATTCCTGTTCTCATTTTTCTTTTAAGCGTTACCGTTTACGTTTATTGTACGTTTTTCTTTTACGCTTTTTTTAGCGTAAAAACCCACATATCATAACCGTGCAACACTATTGAGCGACACTATCAAGCAACACTATCGAGCAAAGCGAGATAGTGGAGCAATACTTTGTAGCGATACTAGTAGAGACTATCGAGCAACACGTTGTAGCGATACTAGTAGAGACTATCGAGCAACACGTTGTAGCGATACTAGTAGAGACTATCGAGCAACACGTTGTAGCGATACTAGTAGAGACTATCGAGCAACACGTTGTAGCGATACTAGTAGAGACTATCGAGCAACACGTTGTAGCGATACTAGTAGAGATTATCGACACTATCGAGCAACACTTTGTAGCGATACTAGTAGAGACTATCGACATTATCGAGCGACGCTATTGAGCAACACTATCGAGCAAAGCGACACTATTGAGCAACACTTTGTAGCGATACTAGTAGAGACTATCGACACTATCTCGCTTTGCTTGATAGTGGAGCAACACTTTGTACCTACCACCGACACTTTGGAGCTTGTTCTTATGCCCTATCCCCTCTCTCAATTTCCTTCCCCTCCCACCTTTCCCACCTTTCCCACCTTTCCCACCTTTCCCACCTTTCCCACCTTTCCCATCTTTCCCACCTTTCCCATCTTTCCCACCTTTCCCACCTCTCTTACCTGTTTTCTTTTCTTTTCTTTGCTCGTCCAGTTTTTAGCTTGTCTAGTCTTGTCTCACTCTCGACTATCTCGCTTTGCTCGATAGTCGACAACGAGTGAAACGAGTCTAGTCAAAAGAGAAGAGTAGAGTGTAGATAGAGAAAAGAGTAGAGTGTAGATAGAAGAAAGAGTGTAGACAGAAGAAAGAGTGTAGATAGAAGAAAGAGTATAGATAGAGTGTGTAGATAGAGTGTGCAGATAGAAGAAAGGGTATAGATAGAGAGTGTAGATAGATTGTAGATAGAGAGTGTAGAGAGTGTGTAGAGAGTGTGTAGACAATGATATCTCGATTTTCTCGATAGTGTAGAAGTAAAGTTACTACCACACACAACCACCTCCTCGGTACCCCCCCTCCCTTACTACCTCCCCGCTCGCTGTGCTCGATGAAAAAGGATTCTAAATCCTGGATCCTTTTCGCTAGTCGGAGACAGCTACACTATCGAGTAGAGCGAGATAGTGCCGGTGGCACCTGGTGTGCTTCACTATCTCGCTTTGCTCGATAGTGTCGATAGTGTCGGTGGCAGCTAGTGTGCTCCACTATCTCGCTCTGCTCGATAGTGTCGATAGGGTCGGTGGCAGCTAGTGTGCTACACTATCTCGCTTCGCTCGATAGTGTCGATAGTGTCGGGAGCTGTTGTTTCTCCACTATCTCGCTTCGTTCGATAGTGTTGATAGTGTCGATAGTGTCGCAATGCCTCCACAGCATAGTTTCGTACAGACACATTTCTTGTCTTTTCGCTTGCTGCCTCCATCAAACTCTCCTCTATCCGTAACTCACCTACTAAATCCCACACCATTTTCTCAAACTCCCTCTGCTTCTCATCATCACAAACTGTAAACTTGTGCTTCCCAAGGTTATGCAAGATCCTTCCTAGAGTCTGTATACTTATACACCTCTGACTGGGAATCACTGATCTCGACAATCGCGCTAACTCAACCAAGGTATACCCTGCCATATGTGGGTCTTCCTGATGGTGGTGAAGTCCAAGTGATGCTTTCTGGTTTTGCGTAATATCTCCTTTAAAATCGAATCTGAGATCAGAAATACTCTCAAATGTAACTTCTGTTACTGGAGGATCTTCCATAAAATCCTCTGGAGGATACTCTAGAGTGTCCTCCATATCATGTTTCTCTGTTGTTCTCTCTCGAAATAGACTTTGGACGAGTTGGGGGTTTTTCTCAAGAGTCTTTTTTATATTGGAAAGCAAGGGACTCAAGGTCTTGGAATCACTCAGCCACAAGGTCCGCAGGGCCTGGTGGCTGCTCTGCTCCTTGTCACTGAGTACTGGTGCCACTTGTGGGGCCTCCGTCTCATGCTCAATGATATCTCCTACAATGTCCATATCAAAATTACAACTCTGCTCTAATACTATTACTACTCTACTATTACTACTCTTTTATATTTATTTTCTGCTATCGACACTATCGAGCGAAGCGAGATAGTGGAGCAATAGTAGCTGCCCACACTATCGATACTATCGAGCAGAGCGAGATAGTGGAGCACACTAGCTGCCACCGACACTATCGACACTATCGAGCAGAGCGAGATAGTGGAGCACACCGGCTGCCACCGACTACACCAACACTATCGACACTATCGACACTATCGAGCAAAGTGAGATAGTGGAGCATCTCTGACTACACAGACTACACCGACTACACCAACACTATCGACACTATCGACACTATCGGGCAAAGTGAGATAGTGGAGCATCTCTGACTACACAGACTACACCGACTACACCAACACTATCGACACTATCGACACTATCTCGCCTCGCTCGATAGTGGAGTAACACTTAGTGGCTCGTTGCAACACTAACTAGCCTGTAACAACACTATCTCGCTCTGCTCGATAGAGTCGCTTCTCGATAGTGTGCTGCTCGATAGTGTTCGATAGTGTCGATACCTCTTTATCCAAGGATCAATCACTGTTTGTGTATCTCATTAATTTTTCATCTTCGATGCTACCTGATAAACTTTACTGGAAATTTTTCAAGATCAGGTAAAGAAAACCCAACCTGCTTCTACTCCTCCCCTCCTCCTTTCTCTATTTCTCCCATTTTGAAACTCCTTTTCCCTAATGTCTGAGAAATATCCCCCAAAAAGTATAGTTTTAGCAAAGGTAAAAGGGTATCCACCATGGCCAGCAATGGTCTTGGATGAATCTCTATTACCTCAACATATTCAAAATAAGAAACCAAAACCAAAATCAAAAGCAAAGCCAACCAACGCTTCCCCTTCTTCTCCTTCTCAAAATAATAGCGGTGCCACTAGCAATGTGCTACCGATAAAATTCTTCAGTGACGATACTTATATCTGGATAAATATCAATGATTTAAAACCATTACATAAAGATGATATAGCAATACATTTTGCAACTAGTTCAGCAAAAAGAAGAAAAGATCAGGTATTGGAAAAGGCATTCGAATTGGCTAGCAATCCTCTAGATATGGAGGAGTTTATAAGATATGGCTCTAATGGCAAACCCGAAATCATTGAAACAGGTGACGACGACGACGACGACGAAGAAGAAGCTGTAAGCGATGATGTGGAAATTGTAAAAGCACCGCCTAAAAAGAAACAAAAGACCACCACCACAAAATCCAAATCCAAATCCTCCTCCTCCACCACCACCACTATTTCCTCCTCCTCCTCCACTGTAGCACCGCTGAAACCTAGCAAGAAAAGCGCACAAGCCCTCAAAAATGAAGCAGCAAAACTAAAAAAGGAAGAGGAAAAGAAATTGCTTCTTGAATATGATTCAGATTGGGGATTGGACGATTTCAACAAGTATGACGAAGAGGAGGGCAACTATATATATGATTTTGAAGACCAGCAGGATAGCATAATGAGTAAAATTGGCTCATCTGCAGAGCTCGTTGAGTCATATAATAGAGTATTGGGTAAGTTTAAGAAATGGGAAGATGTCATTGTAGAGGAAATTCTTGCTATTGATGATGATTTAAATGAAGTGGATCTTGATGCTCTAGAAAAGGCCTTGACCCAATTTCAAAACTCGTTGCCCAAAATACCGAGATCGATTATTAGCAAAAGCAAACTTTTGAGAATTTTGATTTTGAACCAACGCAAACCTGTGGCTTCCAATGATAAGGATTTGGTTATGTTTAAGAACCAGATTAGGACGATATTGGGGAAGTTGGGGATTGAAGTGAGGGAAAACACCGAAGAGGAATTGGAAGCCAAGAGTGACAACACTACCACTGCTGGCAGTACCAAACAACTGACTCCAGAAGTTATCGCCACCTCACGAAGCACCTCTGAAGATGCATTGGAGACACTAAGAAATAATACTACTACAAATAAAGATGTGGAAATAAAGCAAGAACATTCATCACCTTTGAAAAATGAAATTCTTGCTACTATCGACACTATCGACACTATCGAGCGAAGCGAGATAGTGGAGCTGCACTGACTGCACCGATACTATCGACACTATCGAGCGATGTGAGATAGTGGAGCTGCACTGACTTCACCGTCACTATCGAGCAAAGCAAAATGGTGGAAGTGCACTGACTTCACCAACACTAGCGTGTGTAAGGATGCAAACTGATTAGCCAATTGGTGCTAGGGGTAGAGGAAGAATTAATAAGTTGCAGTAATTAGAAACAGATGTTGTAACAAGCTAGTCAGTACTGCTCCACTATCGAGCGAAGCGAGATAGTTAACTTTATAGTCATTACTTTACCATCTCGCTTCGCTCGATAGTGGACTTTATAGTCATTACTTTACCATCTCGCTTCGCTCGATAGTGGACTTTATAGTCATTACTTTACCATCTCGCTTCGCTCGATAGTGGACTTTATAGTCATTACTTTACCATCTCGCTTCGCTCGATAGTGGACTTTATAGTCATTACTTTACCATCTCGCTTCGCTCGATAGTGGACTTTATAGTCATTACTTTACCATCTCGCTTCGCTCGATAGTGGGCTTTATAGTCACTACTTTACCATCTCGCTTCGCTTGATAGTGGGCTTTATAGTCACTACTTCATTATCTCGCTTCGCTTGATAGTGGGCTTTATAGTCACTACTCCACCATCTCGCTTCGCTCGATGGTGTCGATGGTGTCGATGGTGTCGATGGTTTGATATTGTCTCGGAAATAATATATTACCCGAAAAAGTGCATCCCAACACCAATACATATCAAATACAATACGCTACCAATCCCATAATTGCGTGTCAACTTTTTTCCCTTTTTCTTTTTCGCGTTTTAGCTCTCGCCATAGTCTCTCTCCATTCGCTTTCTTCGTCCCTCCCGTTGCCCCCGTTGCTCTTCCCTTCTTTTTTCCTTCTCCCCCCACCCTCCCCCCTAATTTAAAACTGAGGTTAAATTTTTTTTCTATATAAATTCCCAAAACAAAAATTTTTGTACTAATTAGGAAACCACCACATATTATCCCAATTTGATCATATTAGTACACCAAGAGGAAATTTTTCACACTAATAAGGACCGAGACAGAGGAGAAAAAGAGACATCTTAAGCCGGGGGAAAGTATGTAACCTGAGTATTTAATATATTTGAACCAAAAAAGAATTCACTAGGAGCTTGGTGTTTGTTTTATGGCGATGACCCCCATTCAAACCCAAGTAACGAGAAAGTGAGAGAGTGAGAGAGAGGAGGGGTAGGGGAACACTTGCAAAGCTCAGTCTCACTTGATCTTTGAATTTTTTTTCGCCATTGCCTTCTACTTTTCGGATTCTTTGATAAGAACGGGATTTGAGTATACTGGAATCACGAGAGGAGAGGGTAGGGGGGGTGTCTATGATAATTGATGGTTAATTTGGGTATGTTTTACTAACTAGTTTGAGTTTTGTTTTATTTTTTTTTTTTTTAGAAAATGTCAGCAAAAATCGAAGAAGGAGTTGTGGAATACGACTCAAATAATGGCAATCCAATCTCGTCCTCTCTATCCAACCCACCGGTTGACGACGAAGATGACGACGAAGTAGGCGGAACATCAACGTCACAGGGTAAAACTCAAAAGGAAAGAAGAAAGATTGAAATCAAATTTATTCAGGATAAGAGTAGACGTCATATTACGTTTAGTAAGAGAAAAGCAGGTATAATGAAAAAGGCCTATGAATTGAGTGTATTGACTGGGACTCAAGTATTACTTTTGGTTGTATCTGAAACAGGGTTGGTTTATACTTTTACAACGCCTAAATTACAGCCATTAGTGACGAAACCAGAGGGGAAAAATTTGATCCAAGCGTGCTTAAATGCACCAGAGGAAGGTATGGGTGATGATGACCAAGGCGAACAAAGTGACGTTGACGGTGCTGAATCGCCAGAACATAGTCCTGCCAATACAGGTGCTCCTCTGGTACAACAACAACAACAACAACAACAGCAACAACAGCAGCAGCATGCTCAACAGGTTCAGCAGCAGCAAGCACAACAACAACACGCTCATTTACAACAACAGCAAGCTGCTGCTGCTGCTGCAGCTGCAGCTGCAGCACATCATCACGTGCAGCATCCGCAACAGATACCTCCGCAAGGAGGTATGCCTCATTATCAAGGACAGCCTGGTGGACAACAAGGACCGCAACAAGTTCAGCCCGGACCTCAGGGACAACCAGGGCAACAACCAGGTGGTGTGCCTTATAATGATTATTATTTTGGAAATATGCCAAATAATAACATACCTAACCAACAACAATTTCAATAGAGATGTTGACAAGCCCTATTTTTTTTTTCTTTTTTTTTGTTTTACTTTAGTTGTGTAAGTAGATAGTTTTTGGAGATGGAGATGGTGCTGTAGGAGGAGATTAGTTTTGCAGTGTTTTGTTAATTTAATTTTTAGATCGTTTAACTTGCCGTTCATTGTGTTTTTTTCATTTCTGTGATACTTGTCTATAAAAAGAGAATGGTTTTATGGAAGAGGCTGGGAGGGATTTTTCTAATTGAGGTACTCTATTAATTTCTATTTGAGGTACTCTGTTAATTTCTAATTGAGGTACTCTATTAATTTCTAATTGAGGTACTCTGTTAATTTCTAATTGAGGTACTCTATCAATTTCTAACTGAGGTACTCTATCAATTTCTAATTGACGTACTCTGTTAATTTCTAACTGAGGTACTCTATTAATTTCTAACTGAGGTACTCTATTAATTTCTAACTGAGGTACTCTATCAACTTCCATTTGTTTTTGTTGTTTTTGTTTTTGTTTTTATTTTTATTTTTTTTTTGCAACCGAGTTACCAGAATGAGAATTTGTGAGATGTAGCAATATAAAGTTCTTCTCTATTGTTAAGGTATACAAACTGTTATTGTTATTGAGACTAGAATGGGGGTTTAGACTTTTGCAATTGTATTTTATTGATGTGGGACCATGTTGAGGTGGAATTGCTGTAACGGTTTTGGTGGAGGTGGATTGCTGTAACGATTTTGATGGAGGTGGATTGATTTTTGTGGAGGTGGATTGATTTTGGTGGAGGTGGATTGATTTTGGTGGAGGTGGCAGTGTCTCTAGTATTGACATACATATTATATTGAACAGAGCTAAAAAATATACAGATAGATGAGTTTGTAGTTTTTTGTATGTCACGTAGATGCGCCGTAGCAATAGTATCTATTAGGAAGCTATAAAATGAATATTATACTGACAAAAAATCTCAACTTGGAAATTTGAAGGAATGAAATGTCGGTGCAAAGATAAGGTCAGTCCAAGCATCCATTTTCAATAGACGCTTGGACTGTACGCAATGGTTAATACAAAGTTCAATAAATTAGTATCCAACATTCTCTTTGAGTTAGTCTTTTTCTTCTTTTTTTTTTGTTACTATGATGCATCTAATGATGACATAGCAATAACAAGTTAATCCTAAAATAATGTCAGACTAGGTACGATTTAAATGGAATTTTGCACTATGTTGCAGGGTAAAGTAAAAAAAAAGAAAGAAAGAGAATTACTTTTAAAAAGGAAGAAATACAATGGAGTTAGACTAGTAAGTTGAGTAAAAGGCTAGCCCTCTTTATCTGTTCCCCCTATAATCTTTTCTTTTTCTGCTCACCCTGACTAGGATATTATCTGAGCCTCTATTAAAAATTTTGACATATTTTTGCATCAATCATACATCGAAGGTTTATTTTGCTATTTTTCTCCTAATGTATAGGAAAGTTACTTCCTATTCAGTGAAAAATGTTCATTTGTTTGCTTATTTTACAATCCTATCTTCTGTAAACTGACAATTTAAGGAAAGTGCCCTCAAATTGTGATAAAACCAAATAGATCCTATGCTCCTGCCTCTTTTTTTTTTTGTTTTTTTTTTCCTTTGATATTGTGCTAATTTTTCAATTAGGAATGACAAGCTATAGTAATCTCCCCTTATTGTTTGAACATGAGTTCCTGACCGATTAGTATAGTATTAGTGGCAATTCCATATATTTGGCTCTGTTTTTTCTGCAACTTTTCATATAGAAAAGGAAAAAAGAAAGAGAACTAAGGGGGGGGGACTCACATAACTTTGCATTATGAAATAATTATATTCATAGAGTAAAAGTGACAGTGATGAGTTAGGGAGATATAGAATATATAAGGTTTGGCATCAATAGCAGCAGTACGTATTCTTGACTAATTTCTAGAGTCAACTATATAAATATATATATATTACATTGTAGGCTTTTGTTGTATTTTTTCACCAAAGGTGTTTTATAAAAACTATAGAAAAAGATTGTGAGAGGACGAAACTGATCATAGACGTAGATTTACCGATAAATATACATACGTAAAAGGTTACTCAAAAAGGCAACAAAACACAATTGAACAAAACAAATTGAACAAAACAAATTGAACAAAACACAATTGAGCAATACAAATTGAACAATACAAATTGAGCAATACAAACTGAAAAAAACACAATTGAGCAAAATACAATAATAGTTGAAACAAAACAAATTGAACAAAATACAATTATAATTGAACAGAGTACAATCGAAAAGAATACAATTATAGTTGAAGACAATTAGCTGAAGACAATTACAATTACAGTTTACAGTTACAGTTTACAGTTACAGTTTACAATTACAGTTTACAATTGCAGTTTACAGTTACAGTTGGACAATAGTTTTGTTTCTGGGGTATTGAGAAAAGTGTAAAAGTTTGGTTTGTGACCAATAGTTGATTAGCTCGAAAAGACTAATATAACTGATTGAGGATTATTGGTCAAGGATTTAGTTGGTTGAGAGATTCAATATTTCCTGACTGGTTAGTTATAATATTCATCACACCATTATCGACCATTGTCCACTACCGATTTTGCTGAGATTTGTAACCCTTGTAATTTCCTCAGACCCAGACCCCTTTCAAAAAAAAAAAAATCACCGTACTTTACTAGAGAAGACAGATTTACAGATTTTTAATCATTTCTTTAGATCCTTTTAGTCAAGCTTGAGAAGCAACAAACACAGAATCAAGCCCCGTGTACTACCAAAGCCCATTTATTACTTTGGTCAAGTGTAACTTTATACTAAAAAGAAAGAAAAAAAAAAAAAAAAAAAGTTGGTCCTATTGTTAGTCTCTTGGGCTTTTCTTTTTTTAGTTAGGTACACATACTGCAATATAATTAGTTGCATTATAGAGAGGCTAAACGAGACTGCACTAAGGGAAGATACAAGGAGATTCCAACCTTGAATAAAGTTGTTCTAGGTTGTTATAGGTTATACAAGGTTATACAAGGTGTGTACGGGTTTGGCTTCTTGTTGCTTGCTCCCATCCCATATCCCATATCCTTCCCCCCCCCGCTGTTAATTCAACTCAATAGGTTTAGTCTCCCTTCCCCCTTTTCCCCTTCCCCCTTCCCCCAGCGGTTAGCTGATTTTCTTGACCTTCCCGAATTTTCAAGAAAATTGCACAGAAATTATTAAGGCACCCCAAAAAGGACAAACCACAAACTTTGAAAAAGGATCAAATAAGAGCTCAAAATTGAATAAAACAAAAAAAAAAGTTGAGACTATATTTGATTTTATACCCACTACTACATCAAAAGTTAACTTGGTTTGTAGGTGATAGAAGCTTTGATTTTAACCGCTTGCCGCCCTTTTGACTCGGATTGACTCAATCAAGATTCTAGAAGATATTATGATGGCGTATGATTATGCAACGGGTGCTATTGGCGCAACCAGAACATCTGCTGCAGATCAAGATAACCGGAGTACATCCGATTTGGTTTCACCTACTCATAACCGCAACTTTGTCCACAATAACTCAAACGCTTCTTGCAATACTCATCGGGCTATTGGCTCAAGGAATGAGGTGCTGGATATGGTGCTGGCGGATGATTTTTCCCTTTGTTTTGCTTCGTCATTGCCTTTTAGACGATACAGTTGCAACAATAAGTTTGAGTCAAGTGGGTTAGATTATAAGTTGTCTCCATCTGTACTTCAGCAGCATCAACCGCCGCTAGGCCAATCACTAACAGTGGCTCCTGAGGGTCAACCGCCGCTAGGCCAATCACTAACAGTGGCTCCTGAGGGTCAACCGCCGCTAGGCCAATCACTAACAGTGGCTCCTGAGGGTCAACCGCCGCTAGGCCAATCACTAACAGTGGCTCCTGAGGGTCAACCGCCGCTAGGCCAATCACTAACAGTGGCTCCTGAGGGTCAACAAGGTAACTTGTTTTGGAATATCAATACAGCCCCCTTGTCGGCGATTAATTCTGCATCAACATCTACAAATATTCATCACAATAATCATCCTAGTCACCAAAGAGGGTTATCTATAGATTCTGGAACTATTTGGTCAGCGGGTACAACTTCAAACGCGTCGGCCAGTATTTGGTCTCCAACTATTCCACAGTCTCTGAATCAACATCAGACGCTGAACTTTTCCATATTACTGCAGAAACAGCAGCACCAACAACAGCAGCACCAACAACAGCAGCACCAACAACAGCACCAACAACAACAACAACAGACACAGCCACCAGGGTTAATATCAAATTCCGCGATTGGGTTTTTGCCTAGTATGCCTGAAAACTATACATCTTCAATGATTACCCATCGTTCTTCTTCACTAAGTGGATTTACTCCTCCACCTCCACCTGTCGATGAGAATGGTGCCGCCATCGCCATCGGCACCGGCACCGCCACTAAAACCGCCACTGCAACTGTCAGCAATAACAATGCACCCCCAATTACCGACGTTTCTGGATCGTCGCCTCCAAAGATTTTTGACAATCATCTTAGAAGACATTCATACACAGATGGGTCAATAATGATTAGCAGATTTTCAGAGTATATGACGCCAACTTCGGTTTCTTCATTAAATGATGCAAAAGCAGCACAATTAGTCAATGAGTACTTTGAATCGGATCCACACGAACGTGTTAAAGTGACCATGCAATTGCTAAATAATCGTTTTTTTGATGACGAAAAGTTTTTAAGCCAGGCTTACCAATTACCAAAGTTTCCTATTGAGTCATCGCTCAGAAATTACCAGTTGGTTTTAGTAGGGTTCAAAGCTGGCAGAATCGACGTTTTTTATTTGCCTACTACAATAGGTGGTGAGACTGGTAATGGCGGCAATGGCAGTAATGGCAGTAATGGAAGTAATAATAGCGGTGCAAGCTTATTGAATATCAAGCAGGGTGATTTGGTTATTGTTGAAGCAGATCGAGGACGCGATTTAGGTAAGGTTTTCAAGTTGAATGTTCTGATTGACGAAGCTAGATTGTTGAAGTTGTTGCAATTCCAAGAACAACAGGCTGCATTAAACGAGCATGTTGAGAATAATATTTTTGAGGATTTGGTTGCAAAGAATGGCGGTGCATCAACAATGGCAACAACGGCAACCACAATGCAAGCACAACAGCCACAGTCAGGTTTCCTCCATCAACAAAGCTCTATTTCTCCACCCACTTTGCAATTTCCTAAATCTATTATTGGTTTGGCGCAAACGAATGAGGTTTTCCAAATTTTGAATAAAAAACAAGATGAAGAGAAAGCCTGTAGATTATGTTTGGCCAAGATTGCAAATGCAACAAGCGGGTGTTTAATGAGTGGTGTTCCTATGTCCCCCACTACAAACGACTTACTACAGATGAAGTTGATTGATGCAGAGTATCAATTTGATCGTAAAAAGTTGATTTTTTATTACTCGACATCAAAGAGGATAGACTTTAGAGACTTGGTGAGGGAGTTGTTTAGAATTTACAAAACAAGAATTTGGATGTGTGCTGTAATTGGTATACCTTTCCAAGCGAATGGATCTGGATCTGGCGGAGGTGATGACAGTAGGAGTGGAACAAGTATTGCAAATTCAGCAATTGCAAATATCGGTGGTACTAGTGGTGCAAGACCAATCGCTGCTGGTTCTTTTGCTCAATCTTCATTACAACAACAACAGCAACAGCAACAGCAACAGCAACAGCAACAGCAACAGCAAAAACAGCAGCAACAGCAAAAACAGCAGCAGCAGCAGCAGCAGCAGCAGCAGCAGCAACAACAACAGCAACAACAGCCTGGTTTATCAACTCTGCGTGATCACCAATCATTTGGGCAATCACAGTGGTCAGCACAGCAACATTTTGCACAACAACGTCGATTACAAACTAGCCAATCCCAGCAACAGCACCAGCAACGCCCTTTTCAACAGCCTGATTTGCTTATTGGTCAACGAGAGACTGTTCCTAGACAATTTACTGATATGAAGCAACAACTGAGCTATTGGGGAGTTGTTGGTGGCGGTAATGCCATGACTGCTCAACAACAGCAACAACAAGAGAAACAACATCATAATGTTCATCAAGTTCACCAACAGGCGCAACAGCAAGTTCGTGAGCAATTGATTAAAAGAAGTGATGCTAGAGGTGCAGCATATAGAAGTCTTGGAAATGATGGTGATATTGAGAATAGACCTGGTGATAATGAAGAGGATGGGGTGTCGGTGTTTTCGCTAATGAATCATCAACTGAATTTTTCTGATGAGAAGTTGGTGTTGAAGAGTTTAGTTGACTCAATTAATCATTAAATTCAAAGAAAACGAGAGAAGGAAGATATAGAGGGAGAGGAAAAGGAAGAGAGTATTTTAGATTTTTGTTTCAGTTTACAGAATGGAAAATAGCGAATGAAGATATAGAGATTTTTTTAAAAAAAAAGAAAAGAAAGTGGCATTTGTGAAGTATATGATATTGAAAAAGTGAAGAATGGTAAAGAGTTGTTAATGGTGGTAGTAGACAGTGTTTTTTTTTTTTTATTGTTGTTATTTGCGTATACATATATTTGAAGTACAATTTACGATTATGATAGAGAAAAGTCCGGTACTAGTGAAACGGTATGGTTTTCATTGTTTTTTTTTTTCTCTCTCTAATTCTCTAGCTAATATTTACCCCATTTCCAAATTGACTCGTTTGGATTGACCAACTCATTATCCAATTTACTGAAGTACAATCCCTTATCCAAACCTTGACTAATGATAGCTTGTAAGTAAAATGTAAAATCGTTTGGATTGAAACCGGCTTTTAGTTTGTCAGCAAACTCCTTTTTACCATCCTCTGCCGTTTTTTCACTAATAATTTTCAATTCTTTACCTTTAGCCTTTGAGTACTTGTCGATAACGTCTTTTACAGTAATTGTGTCACTTGCAACGTAGAGAGTATCAGGAAGGTCCTCGATTGATTTGAAAGTGGCAACACTCAAGATGACATTTCCTATATCTTCTAATTTTGAAACGTGGAATTTTTGATTGATATCACCAATCAAATTGACCCCTTCATCGGTAATACCTACTGCATTTACCCATTCGTATAAAAATGCTCCAGGAGCAGCAAATAAGGAGGTGATGATATCGACAACTTTTATGCCGCCTAATTTACGAACATTTTCTGAGTGTTGGGTCTTGAGGGATAAGAACCCTGGTGCGTAGGCATCAACTGGAGGAATATCTGTACCAAACTGGGATGGAATGAATAATTTTGGTTTGACCAATTCAATGATTTTCTCAATGTTGGCAAAGAGCTCGGGATTTGGGGAAGTGAGTTCAATTAAAACATCAATACCCTTAAGCTGTGAAATCAAATTGGTATCTTTAGCAGAGATTTCTGCAGTAGTTATGTATTGGATCTTTTCTGTTGACTTATCATCTGACTTACGTGTAATGGCCTTGACTGGGAATTCAATTTTGGAGTCGTATTTGCCCGATTCTATAGCTGCTACAACGTGTTTTCCAAGGAATCCATGGAGACCGATAACTGCAATTGATACTTTTGACATGGTTTGCTACTAAAACTATAAGAATATATTTCAAAAAGAAAAAATAGAGGAGCTAAAGAAGTTAGAGGAGTTAGAGAAAAGTTTGAGAAGAATTGACCTGGTATTTATAAGGTTTTAACCGAGTCAATGATTTCTTAATCATTAACATTCCTGTGGCTTGGTTTTTTTTTTCTTTTATATGTATAGTTGAATCAAAAAGAAAAAAACTTTATTATTTACTCAGCAGTTCCAAAATTATAAGCTAAAAGTCAGTATTACAATAGCAAACTGGGGTTTTGCTACTGTAAGGGCCACCCCCCTTTTTTTACATATCCCGTTTGAGGATTGTGGATTTTTTTTATTTTGATGGAATTTATCATGAGTCACGTGACTTATAAATATATATATAAAAAAAGAAGAAGAAGAAGAAAAAAAATTTATTGCTGACAAATCAGCTAATGAAAAGATTACTAATACACTCTACTATTGTTATATACTGTAGTGGTTATAGTTTTTCAGCTTACATATATTATGCGAAATGTGGATTAGGTGAGCAGCGACACTATTGAGCAGTGACACTATCGAGCAGAGCGAGATAGTGTTGTATTGCTACTGAGTGTTGCTACTAACTGTTGCTCCACTATTGAGCAGTGTCACTATCTCGCTCTGCTCGATAGTGTTGTATTGCTACTGAGTGTCGCTCCACTATCTCGCTTTCTTTGATAGTGTTGTATTGATACTGAGTGGAGCAGTACTGACTAGCTTCTACTATTATCTGCTGGTCTCCTCTTTTACTCTCCTCTCCTCTACTTCAATCTGTACTAGATTCTACTAGATTCTACTCCATTAGATTCTACTCTACTATTCTCTTTCACAGGTTTCTACTCTATCTTACTATAATCTACTATAATCTAGAGTCTACTATAGTCTAGTCCACTGGTCTCCTCCTCTACTCTACTATAATCTACATTATCAAGCAGTGACACTATCAAGCAGTGACACTATCAAGCAGTGACACTATCGAGCAGTGACACTATCGAGCAGTGACACTATCGAGTAGTGACACTATCGAGCAGTGACACTATCGAGCAGTGACACTATCGAGCAGTGACACTATCGAGCAGTGACACTATCGAGCAGTGACACTATCGAGTAGTGACACTATCTCGCTCTGCTCGATAGTGTTGTAACAAGCTACTGAGTATGGACACTATCGAGCAGTGACACTATCTCGCTCTGCTCGATAGTGTTGTATTTGCTCGATAGTTGCTCCGCGGCATCGACGCGATTAATGAGAAGAAAAACAAAAACATTGAGGGCTTCTTATCAAGGGCATCGCGCGCGATAACAGTTGCCAAGCTTAATAAATAGATCAATCCAGCTTTACTTGAGCCTGCTGGATTGGATGCTCCTTAGACTAGTGACATTCGAGATTCAAGTTCAATGTCCTACAAGGCAATTGCCCCCATCCCATACACGCTATATTATGGCACTTTTATACATACACCAGAATTGGCCAAATTGGAAATCAATATTAATACATTGGTAGGAGTTGACTCTAGTGGAAGGATAGATTTCATTTATAGGAACTTTGTGGCTACTGATCAAACACCAATAGATTTCTTTTTGGAGCAACAACAAGAGGGCAAACTGGCTTCAGCCTCCAATTTCGTTGTCAACGATATAAGACTCATTGATTATTCTAACCAGTTATGCAAGTTTTTCTTTCCCGGGTTTATTGACACTCATATCCATGCATCACAGTTCCCCAATATCGGCATTGGTCTGGATACACCGTTGCTCGAGTGGCTAAACACCTATACTTTCCCCTTGGAACTGAGATTTTGTCTTGCCAACGGCAGTGAATCAAAAGTCGAATTTGCAAAAGATATCTATTCCAAGGTCATTCAGCGCACTTTGAGTAATGGCACCACATGTGCTTCATATTTTACAACTATTGATCCCGAAACGACCAATTTGTTGGCTGATTTGTTACTTCAATTAGGGCAGCGTGGATTTGTAGGGAAAGTATGTATGGATCATAATAATCCGTATCCGGATTATGAGGAATCTCTTGAAGATTGCAAAAAATCAATGAGTCTTATTTTATCACATATCGACTCTGTTGCACCAAAGGGCGAAGAGCTAATCAATCCAATAATTACTCCAAGATTTGCACCCACTTGTTCAAATGAGATGTTGGCTTACTTGGGTAAATTAAGTGCAACTAATGGTTTGCCTATACAAACACACATCAGTGAGAATAAACAAGAGCTTGAACTCGTTGCAAAATTGTTTCCCAATGTTGAAAATTATGCAGAGGTATATAATCAGCACCATTTACTTACTGAAAGAACTATCCTTGCGCATGCAATCCATTTGTCTCAAAAGGAATGTGACTTGGTGTCTCGTAAGAAAAGCTCAATATCACATTGTCCCACTTCAAACACATTTATATCAAGTGGGGAAGCACCAATCTATAAATATTTGTACAAGGATAAAATCAATGTCTCATTGGGCACAGACATTAGTGGTGGTTTTGACTCGAGCATTTTGCAAATTGTAAAACATGCTATATTGGTGAGCCACCATTTATCGATGAAAAAAGATGAAGAGGACGTTGAGTGTAAACTATCTGTGACTGATGGGTTGTATATGGCTACAATGGGAGGAGCAAGGGCCGTGGGGCTCAAAAACATGGTGGGATCGTTTGAAATAGGCAAAACATTTGATGCTCAATTGATTGATTTAGATATAGGAGAGAGAGCAGGAGGAGGCTCGCAAGTGGATGTTTTTGAATGGCAAATTCCTAAAATAGACGACTCTTTAGAGGTGAAGGTGAAGAAAGTGAAAGATTTATTAGGTAAATGGATATTCAGCGGCGATGATCGTAATTGTGTCAGTGTTTGGTGTAATGGAAGATTGGTGATTGATAAATATACAAAGTTGCAGAATGGAAAAGCAGTATAACTCAAAATCTACTGTCTAGTCAGCGGTGAACTGAAAAATGAACCCTTTTATAGGAACAGAAAAGGATTTTGGACTATATAATTTCACAGTAATGTCCTTCTAGAATGCAAATTTCAAAAGCTCAAGTTGGGTCCCCCCCCAGTCAAAAGCACTTTAGAAAAGGGTCCAACCGTTTTCATTTGGAAGAACATGGACTCAAAACAAATAGAGAAACCTAATAAATACTTTTTTAAATATTTTAATACCTAGTAGGAAAGACAAAAAACAAAGACTACTTAGTATATATCCCCATACTCAAACGAAACAAAAACACTTGTGTTTTTTTTTTTTGGTTTTTTCCTTTTTAATGTGTTCTAAAAATGATCAAAATAAAATGCAAATCAATGTCAAAGCTTTATGATAAGGCTTATTGTTTCTCTCCTTCTGCTTATAATAAAGCAGCACCAACCAAACCGATCAAAGCTCCTAATCCGACTTTATTAGCACCAGCTTCGGTTTGAGTTGAGATAGCTGGAGCAAATGAGCCTGATGAGGTTTCTTCAGCAACGCCAGATGAAGATAAAGTTGTTGGTTGAGCAGCGGTAGATAAAGGTGACTTTTGTTGAGTAGATGGAGCTTGAGTAGCGGCAGTCTCAGTAGATGAAGCCTCTTCAGCAGCAGCAGTCTCAGTAGATGAAGCTGAAACGGACGAGGCTTCAGTAGAAGAGGCTTCAGTAGAAGAGGCTTCTTCTGTAGATGAAGAAGATTTAGCGGATGAGCTTGAGACGACATCTTTGCTGTAACCGGAACAAGAGCTTTCAAAAGCGGATTTAGCGGCGTCAGCGTTTCCATTAGGACAAATGGATTCTAAACATGATTCAATATCGCTATATTCAACAGAACAGATACATGACAAGTCATTCAAGCCTGAACAAGAGCTAGACTTGGTCTCTTGAGCTACACAAGCCAATAAACAAGCTGGTGGTGCAGCAACGGCGACTTGATGTAATGATGCCAAGATTGCTAAAAAAGTTGAAACTTTAATGAAGGAAGCCATAACTTATAAGACAAAAGATAAATGCAAGGAGATAGAAAGACCGTGGTGGTGGGATGGGAAAATTGGAGGAGGAGGGGAGGGTGTATAAACAAATATCAAGTAGCGAATGTAAAATCGAGCCCTAAAAGTCTATCAATGAACAATATTAAGCCAAAGATATATATATATATCAAGTTATCTTGAAAGTTTCTTGAAAAGTAAAGGTATCTGATCCTCTCTCTTTTTTTTTCCAATTGGGAAAACAAGCCCTGAAAAATGACGGAACTTGGTAGCGACGTTTATGCTACGACTTTTTTTTTTCCCTTCTCTGCCTTAGGTTGCGTTGCGTTGCAATTTGGATATGCTACCATGTGTGACATTTGGTTGTTGTTGTTGTTATTGTTTTTTGTTTTGTTTGTTTAATATACTGCTGTTTGGGTGTAATGCTAAAAATAGATGTTGCTAGGATATTTTATGAGCCTTTTTGTACGTACTTGCTATTTATGCATGAGTAGTTCTAGACTATCGAGCGGCGACACCATCGAGCGGCGACACCATTGAGCGACGACACCATCGAGCGACGACACCATCGAGCGACGACACCATCGAGCGAAGCGAGATGGTGGAGTAGTGACTGTGAGGTTCACTATCGAGCGTAGCGAGATAGTGGAGCACACAGACATTATATCTCGCTTCGCTCGACAGTATCGAGTGGAGCAGCACTGACTACGCCGACACTATCTCGCTTTGCTCGATAATGGTGCAACACTAGCTGCTACCCACACTGTCTCGCTTTGCTCAATAGTGGTGCCACACTTTGTAGCTTTTATATAGTAAATGTTTTATATAGCGAATGTTTTATATAGCGAATGTTTTAATATTTAATGTGGTTGCAACAAAATGTGTTTATTTGATTGGTAAAGGTTATTTATACACTACTTTCTAATATAGGAGAAGTGCTAGTGAAGCATAGTAGGCTGTTTAACCGTATTAATATTCTTGTCTGTTTATCACGGAAACTGCAAACTCGCGACACTATCGAGCGACACTATCGAGCGACACTATCGAGCGACACTATCGAGCGAAGCGAGATAGTGGAGCACACAGACGAGATAATGTCTCTTCGCTCGATAGTGGAGGACACAGACGAGATAATGTCTCTTCGCTCGATAGTGGAGGACACAGACGAGATAGTGTCTCTTCGCTCGAGAGTGGAGGACACAGACATTATCTCGCTCTGCTCTACTTACATCAAAGCCAATACTCTACATACATGCTCTACATGCTCTACTTACATGCTCTACATACATCCTCCATATACATCCTCCATATACATCCTCCATATACATCCCCCACATACATCCCCCACATACTCTCCTTACATGCTTCCCCTACTAATTTCAAAATCGTATCTTTGAAATCAATTGAGCTCCTTGAAACACTAACCTAACATCAAATACATCCACAGCAACATTCAAATCTACAACAACATCAATATTCAAATTCGCATTGACTGCTTCACGCAATACTTTCCTCGCTGCATCATTATAAACCTTGATTGGTATGCGTGGTGTAGTGATAACTCCAGGCGGGATAATCAAGACTTCTCTTCTAGCTATATACCCCAAAACTTCATCGCAATGCTTAGCGTAAGCTTGGAAAATCTCAAGTTGGATCTCTGCATTGACTAATGGATTGTAAACTTTCAACTCAATATCCGACGTTAAGATGTGGATTGTTACATCAATAATAAACTGACTAAAGTCACTACTACGGTATTCGGGTATATTGAACGTTACTTCAGGTACCGTGACGTTTCGTACTTCAATTTCTTGTAAAAACGAGTTTAATCCTTGGTTCCCAATAACAGAGTTTTCCTTAATGTCAACAGTTAGGTTATTTGGCAACTGTGACGACGAGGATATGTATGAACTTAAAAAGTCTTGTAGCACAACTTTGTTTGAATAAGTTGTATATTGAAGCTTCAAAATAGTCATTAATTGCGTGCGTTCTTGCTTACTTACTGAAATATGATGCTTCATAATCAATGAACCTATTCGAACTCCCCCTTTAAACATACCTAGGATCACCAGTTGGTTTGCAGAAATGGGAAACTCTATCAGAATATCTGTTGGATTGAAAAGGGATAATTCAACAAAAAACTCAATTTCATTATTACTTGCATCCAGGAGATAAATCTCTTCGATTTCAATATCGAGTTGAGGCAAAAGTGCTCCAATGTCTTCCAAAGGGGTGAATCTTTTGGGAAGTGTAATCAAGGGTATGTCTATTTTGCTTATTGTTAGATTCTGCAAAATCGAAAGTGTTAGCGCAACACTACCAAGAGTTGCATTCAACAATATATCTGGAGATTCAGTAATGCTTTTACCATCACCACCACCACCATCACCACCATCATTTATGATTTCGTTTGTGGCCTTTCCTAAAGCAATAGGATCGGTTACAACAATGTCCAAATCTATCAAGTTAATATCAATCTTCAACACCTCTTTTAATTGTTCAATTGTGGAGTAAATGAAATCCTGTGACTTAGCTTGCAATAATTTATTCTCTTTTGTTTCCAAACTAAAGTCCACTTTCAATTTGCAAAGTTCCAGACTTAGACTTAGTGACGTGTAATTCTTAACCAGAATTGTACTATTGTTTTTCACTTTAAAAGAGAAGGTGTTTGGATAATCGGTTTCCTTTGCTTCATTAATCACAAGATCAGTAGATCCCGTTGGAAAACCCCAAAGGTAGTAGGCCACGTGTATTCGCGGGAGTTTTATCTCAAGTCTTGTAGGTGGTAATCTTTTCAACAATTCAAATAACCAAGTGGGTGTCATTGCTTGATTGTTTTCATTGAAATGTAGGTAAAACTCAATTGGGTCTTCGTTTAAATAGCGTTGAACTAATTGATTGATTGGACTTACATTGTTAGAGCAATCGTCCATGAGACGGCTAGGAACTTCTTTTATAACACCTGTTACATTCAATACTGCCCTTTCCAAAGATTGTATTTTGAAGGGTAAAGATTCCCAAATTCCAACTTTTATCAATTCTCCGTTACAATCTGCAAACAGTAAATCCCACCAAATTGTATCCAAAGTCAACTCTAGACCATAGTCATTGTATATCGCCAAGTCAACTGACAAATCAAGAACATCGGCTTTTATTGAATTTATCCCAAATTTCAAAATCTCGACATTTTCGAGTAATTTCAACTCGTTTTTATCAATGGTTATATAATCGCTGATTTCAATGTTGGCCAAATTTATGTAAACCAGATCCCATATTTGCACTTTAACCTTTTCTTGTAAAGCCTTGACTTCCATATTTATCAAGCTCGCATCTAGCTGATAGTAGTATTTGAGAAACTCAAGAAGTCGACTTTGTTCAAAGGTGAATTCGCTCGTTATGTTCAAATGAGTAGTCACATTGTTTCTAATATTTACTTTTATGGGTAATGATGGTGGTGGATGTGCATAGCCTAGTGGTACAAAGGGGCTTTTCTCAACATCAACCAATCGTACTTGGATTTGTACTGGTTTTGGCAATGATATTGAAAGACTACCCATGATAACAGCTCCTAGCTTCACCATTGACTTTTGTAACAAATTGCTCTTTTTCATCGAGTCATAATTAGTGGTTATTGACGCTTCTAGTTGTACTTGGGCTCCTATACTTGTCAATCCTAGTAGTCTAGCATTGTGAACTTGTAGATCGACTGCCTCACGCGCCCTTTCCTCAAGGTTATTAGCTGTTAAATAGACTGATGCAATCAATAGCATTGCACCAATGAGAATGATGTGAAACCAATTGGGGTTTAGTATGCGTCCAAGTAGTGACAAGTACGGTACTTCTGTCCTGCTCCTCAACAAAGGCGTATGTTCATCTACTTGCTCAGTAGTGGTAGTGGTAGTGGTAGTGTCATCACCTACTAGTGGCGGCAGCACTGGCAGCAGCGCCGACTCTTGAAGCTCTTGGTGTCCTCTTGGTGAGTTATTCTCCAAGTCCCTATGATTCATGTTTATTGCTTTTTCAACAGTTCAGTTATTATCAGCATCAACAATTCGGGCCCTACAATTGGCCCCATAAAAGTCTTGAAATGTAAAAGAAAGACTATTGGGCAGTGACACTATCGAGCAGAGACACTATCGAGCAGAGCGAGATAGTGTTGTAACAAGCTATAAAGTGATGAGAAAGTGTTGGCGAGAAAGTGTTTGTAAAAAAGTGCTGGTGAAAAAGAGTTGCAAAGTAGATGTGTGTAGACTTGGTGGGTGTAGAGTTGGTGGGTGTAGAGTAGGTGAGTGTAGAGTTGATGAGTGTAGAGTAGATGTGTGTAGACTTGGTGGGTGTAGAGTAGGTGAGTGTAGACTTGGTGGGTGTAGAGTAGATGTGTGTAGACTTGGTGGGTGTAGAGTAGGTGGGTGTAGACTTGGTGGGTGTAGACTTGGTGGGTGTAGACTTGGTGGGTGTAGACTTGATGAGTGTAGAGTTGATGAGTGTAGAGTAGGTGGGTGTAGACTTGGTGGGTGTAGAGTTGGTGGGTGTAGAGTAGATGTGTGTAGAGTAGGTGGGTGTAGACTTGGTGGGTGTAGAGTAGATGTGTGTAGAGTAGGTGAGTGTAGACTTGGTGGGTGTAGACTTGGTGGGTGTAGACTTGGTGGGTGTAGAGTAGGTGAGTGTAGAGTTGATGAGTGTAGAGTTGATGAGTGTAGAGTTGTGCGACACTAGGTTCAACAGTCTATAGAGAATAGGAAGAGATATAAACTATCTCGCTTTGCTCGATAGTTTATTGCTCGATAGTTTATTGCTCAATAGTTTATTGCTCGATAGTGTTGCGTAGATGTAATAGATGTTACCGTGACATTATAGACTCGGAATACTCGAGTTTGTAATATCGGTCAATAGTACAAACAGTCTTTAGGGAAAATCAAAGCAATACGGTGCTGGTTAGATGAGTTGTGTAAAGAAGAAAGGAATGAAGCTTGAGTCTTGATGAGTTAACCACATCCATTACCACATCCTTTCACGTAGTGACCAGCTCAATGCTTCCAAAGCCTTTTTGCGAAAGCATTTAGGTCTCCTATACTCCTAAACACAGAGACCCTAGACTCCTAAACCACATAACCTTTGAATACCAAAACCACATAGACCATTCAGAGCACTTAATGCATTCAGAGCACCCAAGGCATTCAGAGCACCCAAGGCATTCAGAGCACCTAAGGCATTCAGGTTTACTTGTTATTAGTGCCCTGTCTCTCCAGGCGTGTTTTAAGAAGATAGCGATGTGGAGTGGAGTGATATGGAGTAGAGTGATATGGTGTGGCGTGGCGTGGCGTGGCGTGGCGTGGCGTGGCATTTGTGGGTCGTCCCACACGGCGTCCCGCGCGGTAGCATCAGTGAAAAACCTTCATTCAAGGTAAAATGAATGAAAAGAAAGTCAAACATGTGTGTGACTCTCTTGAGAGCAGGATAATGGGCTACTATGATCTAGATGATATACTCGCCGATTCCGAGAAATTACCTTGCTTGTTTAACCACACAATTCCTGGACTCGGATATCTTGAAGGAAATCCTGGTAAACCTATAAAAGAAAATACTAAAATCGAACTACCGATATGGCTTGCTCAAGTATTGGCAGTAATACACACACAGTCAAACTCGCAAGAAGCTCAAATGTCAGCAACAGCGGCGTCCTCTTTCGAGCCGGACCCCGAGTCAACACCGTTCATATCTCTAATTGACCCCGAGTTCATTAATGATAAAGTGAAAAATGCGTTTAAATCAGACCCACAAAGTCTAAATCTCCATAAATTGAGTCCACAATACTACAAAATGATTCAACGATGGTGCAGTTTGTTTTACGAACCAGATTTGGTTGAGTTGATTATGAATAGCTTGAAGGTGAGAAGCTTTGAAATTAATAATTTCGCAAGTAACGTTTACGCTAAACATTTCAATGATGAGTTTATTTATACTTTGGAGGAGTTTGAAAAACGGTTGTTTAAGGAGACTAGCGAAAGTCATAAATTGATGAGGCAGTGGCTAAGGGAATAAGCTAGGTGATGCCACCCCTTGGATCCAAATGCCAACGCTAGTGGGAAAAGTAATAGAGGAAATGATAGAGACTAAACTAGTGTCTCCTTCAACTTAATACCAGTATCGCCTTCGGTGAAAGAAAGAGTTGCCAGAAATAATGGTGGGGAGGATACTTCCGTGCAACTATTACACTTGTGGGAAATTTGGCATCAATTTGTAGTACTGTTGAACTGTGCAAATTCCCCCCCCCCCCATTATCCCTTTTCACCTGCATCGCCTTTTGGCTCCTGCTGGTGCAGAGCAGTAATGTCTTTTCTATTGTTATTATTATTACAAGGTGAGGTTACTTTCTATATATCATTACTCCATGTTTTTCAAGTTCTTTTTCACAGCACAATTTTGTTGTTTTCCTCCTCTTCAACTCCGCCATCATCATCATCCAATTCCTCATCACTATCCTTAATAAACTCTTCTGATAAATATTTCTTCCTCTTTTGTTTCTTGGATCCATTTGCTGCTTTAACTTCGGGGTCTACATTTTCATCATCACCGTTACCTTCATTGACAACACGCTTCCTCTTTTTCCCATTCGATTTCACTTTACCTTGCTCATCGTCGTTATCTCCTCCTGAAAACTCCGCCTCGTGTTCATCTTCACTAACATCATTATCGTCATTAACGACATCATCTTCATCTTCAACGTCATCATCATCATCATCATCATCATCAACAATCCTCTTACTCTTTGCTGTTGCTCTTTTACTCTTCTTCGAGTCTGTTCTTTTACCTCTACTGCCTCTACTGCTTTTATTATTGACTTCCGAGTCTTCACCAAAAGATCTGTTACCATCACCATAACCATCATCTCCATCATCGTCATCATCTCCATCTTGAACTAATACATTCAGCTTAGCTGCCTCTTCAGCCCATTGTTTTGCTTGCTCTTCTAGAACAGCTCTTTCCTTTGCTAAAGCCGCTTCTTTTTCCTTCAACAAATCTAGCTTAGCTTGCTCCTCTTGTACTCGTGCTTCCTTCTCTTGCTCTCTCAATTGCTTAGCAGTTTGTAGCTTTTGTTCAACTGAAGCTATATTTTCTTTAGTTTCATCAAATGCATTAGTTAACCTATTGAGTAAAGTACTTGAACCTAGATTCGCACGACCTCGTAATTCATCCTTTGGATATGGCGGATGCTTCTCTTCATCAGATGCAAGTTGAATCAATGTGTTGATGGCTTCTTGTAAACCATCGATGGCATCACTTATATCTTGAGGTTTCCTCTGCTGCAACAGTTGCTTACTTACAAAGTCGGCAATTTGAAATTGGATGTATGCAACATTGAATAGTAATGCGGACTTGGAACCCTTGGTCAACTCTAATGCTTGTTTAGCATACTCCAAGCCTCTCTTGAAAAAAATCAAACTTTGGTCATTTGCGGCACGAAGGTACCATGCTCTTCCCAAGAATGTAAGAATCTTCACATCTTTACCATCGGTGTATCTACCCAATGCTAACTCATAATTTTCAATTGCTTTTCCAAATTGTTTCAATTCGCACAAGACATGTCCAAGATTCAAGTAAACAGAAATATCATTTAATGAATCCCTAATCTTTCTCAAAATGTCTAATCCTTTGATAGATTCTTTATTCTCAATATATGCAATAGCCAAACCTTGAGCAGCATAAACGTTTTTTGGGTCCACTGTTAAAACTTTAGTGTATAATTCAATAGCTCTAATATAATAATTTCGTTTCTTTTCTTCCATATTGGGACCTTTGATATCTCTAGCCATGACACAGTAGATATTAGCTAATGAAATCAATGCATAACAATCATGTTTGTCGTAATCAACAAGTGTTTGCTTTTGAAACTTTGTATCCGCATCAGGTTTCATTCCTAATTTCTTACCGAAATTTTTGATAAACCAACCATAAAACGATCTGATTTCTAAATCAGAGGCGTTCAAGTTTAATAGTTCTTCGATTTCATTTTTGATCTCTTCTGTTGATAGTTTCAGTTCCAGTATGATGCATGATAAAAACAAGATTCTCAATTTTGCTGAAAAATAATGTGGGCATTGTGTCAAAAGAGATTCATAAGCTTGCAATGCTTCTTCTTTATTGGAAACTTCCTTGGATCTGGCGAGGTTAAATGTTAGTGTTACTTTTAAATCCTTTGGCAAATCAACTAAAAGATCGCTACCACCATCACCATCACCATCAGAGGAAGTAAACTCTGGATTCAGATCAAGTTGCTCAAGTGCCAATTGGAAGTTTTCTGTTGCTTTTTGGAAATTTTGCTTTGTAAACTGAAATACACCAATATTGTTGTAGATTTCCATTGGTATGCTTTTGCCGCCTTGTTTTGCCAATTCTACTGCTTTGGATAAATAATTGAGTGACTGGTTTATATCACTATCTTCATACAATTTACTCAATGTCAAATATGCATTTAGTGCAATTGGCTCTTTGTTGAACAAAATTCCAGAATCGTTCTTTGGCGCAGATAACCCCCTATTGTTCGAAAGTCTGATATATCTCTCCAATACCTGTACAGCCAAATCTCTTTTTCTTCTCGAATTTTGTTTGGAATACAATATCCCAAGCGAGTAATTAACCTCTAAACAGTTTACATTGCTTCTTAAAATTGATTCAAAAGTTAAACTTGCTTCTTCAATCAATCCTCGATTGTACTGAGATTGACCCAAACCTAGCTTTGCCACTATATTCAGCTCATTCATCTTTATAGCTTCTTGAAAATATTTTGATGCTTGAGTGAAATCCCCCTTGGCAAATTCAACCCTCGCTAGCCATGTGCTACATTCCGATAACACATTTAATTGGTATCTGGAAACAGATGTCTTGTTGAAGTGGCTAAACTTTGTCAAGTTATCACTTCCCGTGATTTGTGAAACAATACCTTTTATAATCTTCTCAACAGTATCGTAATCCTCTTTGGAACAATAGTATGAAACTATAACAAGCAAAATTGTGGCATCTTGGACATTTTGTTTATGTAACTTTGAAACTTCCACAAGACATTTTTTGTAGTTTGATAAAAACTCTTCGTCACTCAATGAGCTATTGAAAGTTGTATAGAAATTAGCCAAAGTTAAAAATATTTTTGCTTTTGTATTGTTTGCATCCAATTCCAAAGCTCTTTCAAAAGCTTGGATTGCCATTTTATTGTCTTTCAAAAACCAAAAACACAAACCAATTCCTACTCTAGGGTCTGGTTTCATTGCTGGATTCAATATCAACACTTGTTGATATAATTTCAATGCATGCGAGTAGTTTTTTGTTTTACTCAAAATGGCCTGAGCTTTCCCCATTAATGCAAAACTGTTATTCTGGTCAGTCCTCAAGATCCGTTCAAAGATATCAAGCGCACTATCATCAGCTCCTTGGTACAATGATAGCACCGCTTCCGCTAACAAATTACTCGTACTATTTATAGGGGATGTTTGTGGATCTTTTTGGATCTTTGCTCTCAACTTGGAAATCTCAGCTCCGGCTTGGGTCAAGTTGGTCTCCTTATCAATGCCTAGAGCAACGTATCTGAAATACAACCATACCAAATACGACTGAAATGTCTTCTTCTCTTCTTCATTGAAATTGGCCGACTTCAACGCCGACTTGATGATTTGAATCGCTTCTTCAAGCTTGCCCAATTGCGCATATGCACTGGCTACTATAATCCAAAAATGTTTACCGCTCTTATTCTCGTCAAAAAACATAACAAGCTCTTCGGGATCGGGGGGGATTTCCTCGGCATTAGTCAAACTCAACGAAACAACATCACCTCCTTCAACTGGAACATCCAAGTTCTTCAACGCCTCAACTCCATCTTGACCAATATAATACGATATATCTGTCACCTCCTCCATATTTGAACACCTGGAAAAGCCCTCGCAACAAACTTATCAGCTAATAGAAGCAATGAAACAACCAGCTTGGTTCGAATCCCCAACTGGAAAGGAAAGAAATTTGTTCGTTTTTTTTTTTTCAATTTTTTTTTTTTTAAAGGAGTCACGTGATTCATTCTACTCTATAAAATATATGTACAAGACGAATACATAGATACATGATTGTTGGAGGAGGAACAGCAGCAACAGCAGCAACAGCAGCAACAGCAAAGAAAGAAGTGTGGCTAGGAGGTCAGTGGGTATTTGAATAGGGGTTTTTACTGGATAAGATCCATGCATGGGGCGTGGTAAGTGGGTTTTGGTCTGGTTGAATGTGATTCAGGCGTGGGAGTTTGGTTGAATCTCCATTAGTAATGTGAGGTTCATAATCATTTGTTAAAATATCCCAACCATCGTTAATGTGAGACTTTGTTGCTGTTGTGGTGGTGGTGGTGGTAGCTGTTGTAACTTGTGGTAATTGGAAAAAATCATCAAAATTGAAATCGGATGCTAGTACATTCATTAATTTCCCTTGGTCTTGGAAATACTCATCTAATTTATAACCATTGATAATACCATGTGTTTCACAATTGGCACAATCGCAAGCATTAGGTGGACATGAACAAGGGTTATTATATAAAGACTCCTTGGATGCAGGTGCGGGTACAGGTTCAGGTGCGGGTCCAGGCCCAAGTGCGGGTCCGGGTCCAGGTCCAGGTCCAGGTCCAGGTCCAGGTCCAGGTACATGTTGCGGTAGCGTGCCGATTGCGATACTATTAGACTGATACAATGATGATGGTAGTCTTACATTTGGGATGCTATTGAATACCAAATTCTGCTCGTTTTTAAGCTGAGCAAGGTCAGTTACTTGCAGGTGGTTTTGATAAGTCTCAAGCTGTGTACTTTCTTTGGTATTTCCATGTACCATACACCCCAGGCACGAACAGTTGTTGTCACAGCAGCAGGTTCCCGGAATAGAACACGATGCTACAGGAATAACTTCAAATATTGCTTCATCCTTTTTAACTGTGTCTAACTCTAATTCTGAGTTTCTCCCATTTTCTTGCTTTTTAAACTCTTTCTCTTGAACAAATTCAACTTTGGTTGAAGGTAGTCTTTCGCCAAGGCGATTCTTGATATACGTTTGCAAAATCTTTGATTTGCTTATATTCTTTTTCTTATTATTGCAGCAACAGTTGGGACTATTCTTTTTGGATACTTTTGGCACCTGACACGATGTAGTCACAATAAAGCTTTCATCACTGATCACGGGTTGTGCAGTAAGAACTTTCTCAATCACATACTGTTTTGTCTTTGACTCGTCATACGGTCCCACAATCTCGCCATTGCTCAAATCTATAACTTGCTTAGAAGATGCCTTCAAAATGACAATAGGTTGAGATTTGCAGTTGTTTTTCATATTTAGCAGCAGCAGCAGCAGCAGCAACAGCGCATCATCGTCGTCGTCCTGGGCAATCTCCTCAGCAAACACAGCTACTCGGTGGTTCGGATTCCCATTAGCATAGCCTCCCGGTCGTCCTCTAGTTCGCACTTGTAGCAACGGTCTCGTGTGATGTTTACACTGAGAAGACCTGTGTCCTCTTATGCACTCCATACATGAGTATTTGGCATCATTTATCAAAATCATCCTCTTGGTGCAAAAAAAAAATATATCTCTCTATAATTCAACCTGGTGCAAAATTTACTCAATAATTCTACCTTGGTGCAAAAAATATCTCTATAATTCTATTAATAATTGTAAATTAAGGATTAAGGAACATGAAACAAAGCTGCAGGTTTATCATTGAACAATCTTCACTATCAATAAAGACTCTATCATCACTAGAAGATGCATACTGTTTAATCCCCTTGTTGTTCTTTAATAACCATCTCATAACAAGGATGCTGAAAAAAAAAAGATTTAGTGACAAAAAGTGAGCAGATAATGTTGACCCCAATTTGGCAGGTCGATGCGGACACTGTCAGACACTATCGAGCAGACACTATCGAGCAGACACTATCGAGCAGAGCGAGATAGTGGGGCACACTAGCAGCCACCGACACTATCGAGCGGAGCGAGATAGTGGGGCACAACACTTTGTAGCAACACTAGCTGCCACCGACACTAGCTGCCACCGACACTAGCTGCCACCGACACTAGCTGCTACCACCCCTGTACAAAATGGTAAATGGTATTACCATTGTAAAGATTAAAGATTGTAAAGAGTACTCATCTGGGGAAAAGCTATATGAAGGGAGGTGGTGAAATTTTTTATTTAGATTGGTATATATTTTATTAATGTTGATATAAGGAGACATGGGTCTTGGTTTGCCTCATTGTGTGACACATGGGTCTTGGTTTGCCTCATTGTGTGACACATGGGTCTTGGTTTGCCTCATTGTGTGACACATGGGTCTTGGTTTGCCTCATTGTGTGACACATGGGTCTTGGTTTGCCTCATTGTGTGACACATGGGTCTTGGTTTGCCTCATTGTGTTTCTCTTTTATAGGAGTTTTTGCTCATGATATTGTATACCCTGCTTGAGTACGAGCCAATGGTTCGCTTTTTTGTTTAGATTGGTATATATTTCAATTTTGTTGACTACTTGTCAAAATCATTGCTTATCCACATATCTCATCTCATCTCATCTCATCTCATCTAATCTCATCTCATCACTATTTTTTTTTTCTCCACTTAAATCTTGTGTTAACATTTTTCCTTCAATTATTGAATTACTTTTACCATGCCGTTAAAGGTTCAAGATGAATATTTGGAAACCGGGTCAAGCATAGCTGCCGACTCGCAGATCAATTATGAAGATGCCATAAGTTACTGGACTCTGGTTCCTGCATCGGTGAATGGAGTTCTCGGAGGTTTTGGTGAACAAACTGCAGTTCCCAAAGTCGATATAGTGGGCTCTTTAACTTTTCTTCGAAGATTATCGAGTCGAATGATATGTCCCGCTGGAGAAATGAAATATACTATTGATATGGGTGCCGGAATTGGTAGGATCACAAGAGACGTGTTGTGGAAAGTGAGCGATAAAATTGACTTACTTGAGCCAGTAGTGCCCTTTGTAAAAGAAATGGCAAAAGAGTTGGTTGAAGTAGAGAAATTGGGGAAGTTGGGCGAGATTTACAATATCGGAATGCAGGATTGGATACCGGATAAAAAATACTGGATGATTTGGTGTCAGTGGTGTGTTGGCCAATTACCTGATGAGGCATTGGTTCAATTTTGGCAAAAGTGTCGAGACGCACTAATGGAGAATGGCACTTTGATAGTGAAGGAGAATATTGCACCAGTGGAGGACATTTTCGATGACACTGATAGTTCTGTCACCAGAACAGATTCAAAGTTTAGACAGTTGTTTTCCCAAGCAGGGTTTAAATTGATTGCTACTGATGTGCAAAGAGGAATGCCTAAGGAATTGTACCCTGTGAGGATGTACAGTTTGAAAGTGATGCAAAAATAAAAGTAGCAAAACTAACATTCATCCCGTTTCAGTAAGACCAAAAACACTTGATAAAGTTTATCTACATAAAAGTGTATGTAACAGTTGCATTTTGACTCAATGTGGCAAATCCCTTACTACATTTTAGGTTTCTCCATGAGTTTTAGTATTCTCAGTTATTTGTATAAACGAGAAAGAACCAATTGCACTAGACAGTAATTCTAGTCAATGCTCCACTACCTTCTATGGCTAGTGTGCTCCACTATCTCGCTCTGCTCGACAGTGTTGCTAGTGTGCTCCACTATTTCGCTCTGCTCGACAGTGTTGCTAGTGTGCTCCACTATTTCGCTCTGCTCGATAGTGTCGTTCAAAAAGAATTTTTTTTTTGCACCCAAAGACATTCTTTTTATACAATACTCTTCTCTAATGAACAAGTCAACGTAATTTTTTTAACAATAAAGACTCAACGTGTAATAAATAGAATAAAAAATGTAAGAACTACTAGCTCTATGATAAATATATTGGAAACTTAACTTACTTTATTTTTGTTTTTTGTTTTTTGGTTCTTTTATACTGCTCTTTGCTTACTTGGTTCAAATGGTAAGAATAATGCAATAACACCAATCACACCAACAAACGCTCCACATATCCAAATAGGTATGGCACTTGCTGTGTTTGAATAATATGCAATAATAGGAACCATAGCTGTACATACTCTGGTTGCGAAAAGACATAAACAGTTTCCAGTTGCTCTTGCTGCCGAAGGCATGACTTCCGGAGTATAAGCAAATAGAACTCCGTAATAGATATATAAGCAACAAAACACACTTGATGTCAATCCAACGTTTTGACCTCTTGTACGAACAGCAGTATAACCAAATAACAATGCCATTGTTGATATACCTCCAATGAAAAGAACACCACGACGTCCCAATCTTGGGAAGAAAAGAAGGAGCAAACCGGCAATTATGGGTCCACCTATTGAGCAAACGTTGGCTATTAAATTATCACGATAAACTCCACCTATCGTATCTGCAGAAATGTTGGCTCCTCTAGTTGCCAAGTATTGTGGGAGGAAAGACGAGTATAATGGGTATGATATTCCGAGGAACGCCCAAGACATGAATAACAATACAGTCGACCGAATAGCTTTTCTCGTGGCAAATAATATTTTCAAATGTTGAAAAGCAATCCTTAAAGTACCCTTCAAATTGAAATGTTTTCTGTAATCTTCGTTACTTTCGATTTCCCCACAAGATTGCAATTGTTCTAAAGTTAATGAGCATGAACGGTTATATTTGTGAGCTATTGAATGAAGAACTTGTATTGCTTCTGCATCACGATTATTGACAACCAAAAATTTCGGAGTTTCCTTTAACCGAATAACAGTGATTCTTAATATCGCCATTGCAAGAACAATACATCCATTAGTATACCATACGTATCTCCAACCTTTATTTGATCCCAGGGGACAATTTTCATAGGAGTCACAACTATTATTTGGCAAATAGGCATAACCTAAAGCAACAGCAACTGTTTGTCCTATACCCCAAAACAATGCAAAAAATGTGAGTAACCACTGATGTTTAAATGGAAGGTATTCTAAAAAAACACATGCATCAAGCACCAAATTACCACCAGCAGCAAATGCTGAAAGAAGAACAAATAAACAATAGCTTGCCATATTTCCCATCATACCTGTCATTATGGCAAATATAGCACTAAGAAGTAACGACAAATTGAATGCGAGTTTTCTTCCAATTAAATCAGCACCAAATCCCCATACCAAAGCGCCAAGCATCATACCACCAGCATAGCACTCAGCACTAACCGGGAACTTGTAGCCCCATTGGTAATTGATAAACATACGCACAGTACTTTCCAAATAAGTGAGCTGTGTATCTGTCCAATAGCCCATACCATTAAGGAAAAAAAGCTTGAGATGGTATGGAGTGAATCCTATTTCGTCAATGGCATCATTGATTAGTTTCATTTTCTTGTGTAAAATCTCATCATTTGCTTCAAGCTCGACCATATCGAAATCTGAAGATATTGTGTCATCCAAGAACTTCTCATTTTGGATATATGTCTCGTCATAACACTTTCCCTCTGTTTCCACCACTCTCTTTTCTTTTGTATCATCATCATCATCATCAGAAAAAGTTTGGGGTATGGGACTCATTATTACTGACCCATCGTTTACATCAGTATTCCTTTTCAGGTGAGATAAATTGGTGAGTCTTTGAGACTCCTCGGTATGGGTATCTAGTATCATTATAGAGGAGAAGAGTACTTTACTTGTTTCCAAGTTAGAGTTCTAATTGATGATATTGAAAATGAAACTGGGGAAGAATAAAAAAAAAAAAAAATGATAAAGATAAAGATAAAAATGAAAAACAAAAATTTTTCATACTTGGTAACTGAGTAGGAAAAAAATCTAGTTGAGATGGCATGAAAAGGCTCAAATGAATTAAAGTAAATCCACTGGATTACACTTGAAGCAGAAGAGAAGCTTTCCTCCCTAAAAAGAAATTCATGTACGTATTGCGCAAGTTCATTACCATTTTTGTGAATGAATATTGACTTTACTTTTCTGGAAGAAGAAGAAAAAAAAAAAAAATAAAAAATAAAATAAAAACGGTGCAAAGAAAATGCTTAAGGCGAAGAAAATGCTTAATGCTTCTTGGTACTAAAAGAAAAGGCTAAAGACGTTTGAGAGTAGAAGAAGGTGGCAGAAATACGGTGGTATTTCGGAATTTCTTAGCCACTTGCTGCAAAATTTGCAGGTTGTGTTATTTGAACAGTACGGCAAATCGCCTTGTCTTTTATTAATATTGGCTATCTCTTACCTTCCTTCCCCCCTAAGAGTGAAGAGTGAAATCTTTTTTTTCAAAAAATATCGAGCAACACTATCGAGGAACACTATCGAGAAACACTATCGAGGAACACTATCGAGGAACACTATCGAGGAACACTATCGAGCAGAGCGAGATAGTGTTGCAACAAGCTACTGACACTATCGAGCAGAGCGAGATAGTGTTGCAACAGATTACTGAGTGTTGCTCCACTATCTCGCTCTGCTCCATAGTGTCGCTGCTCGATAGTGTCACTTCTCGATAGTGTGGGAAACTAAACAACGGCTAAGAAATTAAAATATACGAAAACAACTAAGAAGCATCGAGGTGGTAGTTGTATGCATATTCCTTTTTGCTTTTTCCTTTTTCCTTTTTCCTTTTTCTTTTTTTCTTTTTTTCTTTTTTCTTTTTTCCAATGGCCGAGCAAGTTTGACGACTGAGAGGAGCTTGGAAAAGCAGGGTAAGTAATAGTTTAGAGTAAGTAATAGTTTAGAGTAAGAGCTTTAAAGAGTCCGAGTTTATGCATGTCATAATGTGGATCAAACAAGATGGCTTTATTCCACTAAGTCGTACTTATGACACTTTGGTTTGGTCTTGCATACACTTGTCTCAATTCTGAAATTTGAGCAAAAAGTGTGTCACTACTTGAATGATTATATTCCTGTTGCAATCGAGCAACAATATCTTCAGTACCCCACAGTTTTGTCTCATAAATGTCGATTTTTTTCCGTAAATCAACTAGATATTTATATATCTTGTCATTCTCATTGATTAGCTCTTGATTCAATTTGGGAATTTTCGAGTTTTGCAAAAATGAATGATCTTTTGAGTCGATCAATACGTTAGCTGCAAGTGCTATGAATTGAAACAATTTACTCGATAATGAATTGTACTTCATTGTCAATTCAGCTAGTGACACTGGCGGTATATCTGACAATTGTTTTGCTTTTGATCGTAAATGGTACTTTATAGGATTTGACTCTATATCTTTGCAAAGTCTATAGAGCCATTCAATTGGGTACGTAGTTTGGTCGAAAGGAATTAATTGTGCATACGGGGAATCTGCTAGCGTCTCTATTGATTTTTTTAAAAGGCAATATTTCGATGTACCGCTGGGGTACCGCTCATATACACTTTGTTTCAATTCTGGACTTGGATCGGGGAATTTCTTGAAATTTTCAATAAGTTCAGGTGTTGTTTGGATATGAGGCACTTCAAGCTTATATAGAATACCTTTGATATTCCCCCAATGAACACAACTTTTTAAAGCAATTAGAACATCCGGATAAGATAATGCTTCATCATTAATGTTGAAGTACTTCTCAATGTAGAACTTCATATAATAGCCCTCTAGCTTTGTACCGATATGATGATCGGTATGCAAGAAATTCAATTTAGAACAAATCAATAGGTTTATACCTTGAGTTGTGTGGGTTTCAGTCAAAGGGTATTGTTCAATGAATTTATCGGCTTCTTCCTTTATCAATTGTCGTGGATCAATTTTGGAGTTTTTCAAATGTAAGACACTCGAGTTCTCTTCTTCATACCAGTGGTTTTCCTCTAATGTTTGAGCTAGACTTAGAATAGTACAGCAAAATTCGGGATATCTAGTTAATATTTCGCCATTGCCAATGTTGTATAAGATCATAAATGCGGAATAGAAGGATAGTTTGAGCTCTAATTGTTCAGGACATATAATGAGGTGTTTATCTTCTTGTCGTATTCTTTGAAGTGTGTTATTAACGACCCTATATTTGCGTCCCTTTTTATTGTATTCTACTTTTAGTAGATCGTTTATTTCTTCAAGAATGTAGGAGGAGTATTCAATTAGCGCATCTGATGGAGAAGCTAGAGCCACGCTGCAAGACATTGTTTCTGAAACCATTATGTGGTCTTATAAGCCTACTACTGAGGTCCAAATCATCTCTTGATGAGAAAAACAAAAACAAAAATAAAAATAAATAAAAAATAAAAAAATCGTGAGACGTATTTTCTTACCCTTTTAGGAAAGTGTTTACATCACGTGATTTGGGCTGGAACACTATCGAACAAAGCGAGATAGTGGAGCATTGACTGCCACCAACACTCACAGGTAAAGAGGACTGCCACCGACACAGGTAAAGAGGACTGCCACCGACACAGGTAAAGAGGATATTGGTGGGATGACAGAAAAGCCTTGGTGTTATTAAAGGTGTTGTTTCTCTTCTAAATATTGATCTTAATAGCTATAATTACTGAGCTCGTTAATTGTTGAGTTTATTTGGTTACTAAAATTGGTTCAAATTTAGCCAAAAGATGATTGCAAAAAAAAAAAGTGTCGAATTGTAAAAGAAATATCTATTCTATGTACCCTCTTGCTCTGGCCTTTGCCCTTGGCAGAAAGTGCCACAGGTGTATGAGATAAAGATAGATGCGGTTACGTTAAGTCTCGGTGTAGTCAGTGGTTCTCCACTATCTCGCTTTGCTCGTTAGTGTGTTGCGTTTAGTCTCGGTGTAGTCAGTGGTTCTCCATTATCTCGCTTTGCTCGATAGTGTGTTGCGTATGGATTTGCTAGCAAGTTTCAATAAATAACGGATATTTACAATCTGTGATTCAACTTTCAAAATTAATCCGATTCAATATAGGAAACCTTTCCAAGAAAACCATTAGTGCCTACCTTATGTCAATCCAAAAATAAACATTGTTTCTTTTTGCTAATTAGATCTATCAACATCGTTTTAGATCGCATCTCGCTTCTACTTGCAGAAACTGACGCCAAAAGAGTCAAGAGAATGGATATTGACGTTTAAAACTATTAGAATGATAAAAGGAGAGAAGTAGAGTGGTCGAAACAGAAATAGGATTATGTACATTGAAGAACAATGTTCATATGAGTTTACAAGCATGTCATTTTCCTTTTTAAATTGCTATTTTTAGTTTTGATGAGAGGATGGTGACAAACACACGGTGAGGATCGTTAGTTGGTAATAATGCCTTTTTTCTTTTTAATAAAAAAATACGCAGACTTTTCATTCTAAAATTTTCACTCTCTCCACAGGTGGTAAAGACTTAGTCGTTGACTTATTATCACCAAGACTAGTAAAATATACAGCAAGCTTCATTTTTTTTTCATATTTTTTTTTTTTGGACATCCAAGGAGGTCCCTTGTAGAAAGTTGATTAAAAAAAAGTAGTTTATTATTGATATTGGTTTTATGTATATACAGTCAAGGGTGAGATAGTGTTATGGATTCGTAATTCTATACTAATTCAGACAAGGCGATGCTTTCGTGTGAAAAAAACCAAGTCTAGAATTTATTTAAGAAATTCTGCTCATCGAAAGCCTAATCAGTCGTTTGTTACTTGATGGAAATTCCAGGTTAGTGGGTTATGAGCCTTAACTATTCTTTTTAACAAAGACTGCTTTTTTTTTTTACAAATTGTCTGTCTGATGATAGAGCCTCTCGTAAAAATAAATTGTTTTTGTAAACAATTTATTTTTCATTATTTTTGTGTCTGCATATAAGCCAAAAAAAGTCTGAAAAATTGTGTGTTTATTTCATTTATAGTTTGTCACACTGCCGAGAAACAATCAGTTTTCCTATATGGTTTCTTTATTCTTGATCTAAGGGGATCTTTTATTGGATAGTAGACTGAAATAATAGGGGAAAGGGTGACGACAAGCGAGGTTAAGATTAGGATGTGTGTATTTTTTTTTTCTTCTTTTTGTTTACACAACTTGTTTAGTTACTGATTATATGGTGTGGTAGTGACATCAAGTGAGATTAGTATTAGTGTGGGGCCCAATACTCTCTACATTGAGCACCTTTGTTGTTTCCGACTTTTACCAGTTGAAAACTTTTTGAAAGAGATCAATCAATTTAGACAATCTAATTTCGTTTTTCTTATACACCGCCTCTGGTTGCTAGTTCAAATTATCACCTTGTTACCAGATGCGAGAGAAGCTACTTGTAAAGAAAGAAGAAAATGATTAGTAGATACTTGAAATTTCAAAATATAGTTGTTTTCGGAGTTATTTACGAAAACGGAATGAAAGAGCAAGTGCTTGTCCATAACTTCTTCATAGGCTACTGAACATGTGTTTTTGCTTTGTACATAATTTGGTCAGGCAAATGAAAGATTTGGGGTATCGGTGGGCATGTAAATTTAACTCTCAAAATTTAATGCAAATTTGTAAAACAACTTTTGCATTTGATTTGCACTTAATTAAGTGAATTATAGACACAGCATAAAGGCGATTATCTCTAGCGAGCAAAGCGAGCTAGAGACGAAAGGGAAAAATGACTCTAGCGTGTCCTACTGGAAGTATACAGAAACATTGGCTTGATCTAAGAAACATTGGCTTGATCTAAGAAACCTTGACTTGATTTAAGATTAATGCTTATTGATTGAAAATTAGCAATTGTCAACTTGAGATAAACTAAAGACAAACTTGGTTAGAAAACACCGGGTCACATAAACACAACCAGGAAATATTCGTGCAAACCGATGCAACCAAATCACTTTTATACTATACATGTATTCATGAACCTATTTCTATTCTATCGATAAGAAAATATTCGTGGTACACTCTAGTCAAGTGCGCTTTATAGAAATCTGTACTACTCAGCAATACAAGGGTTTTTTTTGCTTTGCATTGCAACTTAAACTCGAGATTTCAACTCTAAATTTATTTCTGGATTCCTAACAACAAAAAAAGAACCCACCATTGACCAGAAAACCTATCTACCAATCAGCAAAGCAAACACTCGCAGTTATCGAACTATTTGAAAAAAAAAAAATAGAGGAAAAATTAATAGATCAGGCTATAAATGTTTGCTGTAATTGTTGCATTGTTAGTTGAGCAGATTAATTATTTCCTATATGGGGAGAAGGAGAGACAAAGAGAAAGGAATATGAAGAAGTTCCTAGGAACCCTTCTCAATTTGTAGAAGGGAACCAATAAAAAAAACAAGAGGAGATACATAGATAGAGAGAAAAAGACCAAGACATTTTATTGAAAAACGGGGACGGGGACTGGAATAATAAGTCCAACCTAGTCCAGTCTCTGGGTCCACAGGACCTTAGGTTTCAGGCAATTTTTTTATTGTCTCATTCATCAAATTTTTGATTGATATGTTTAAGCAACCACCTCAATGCTTATCATTTTTCCTACGAGTTTCCAAAATTTATGATATGATCTTAACTTGACCATGACTCAAATAATGCAACAACGAAATGAAAAATCATTCTATTAATAAACCATAGCATAGCCCTCCCCCCCATCTTTGAGATTATAATCTACATAATGCCAAACTAAACATACACAGGCAGACGCCTACTAATTAAGAAAACTAAACAATACGCAGTTCGGAAATCGGTCGATACCTTGTCTTAAGCATCGACTAAAAAAAATTGATTGTTTGTAGAAGAGTTGGGTTTGATTTACACTGGCGCTTGGGGTTGATTAAATTTTTTAGATAGATATTCTGTTGCATTTTTAAAAAACTTTAGTATGTAGTATTCCATCATAGTAGTTTACACAAAAGCTCTATAATACAGAGATAGAACTCGTATATTTTTTCTTTGTCCTTCAATCGGAGTAATGGTAGCGAGTTAATGCTTTGCGGGTAAAGTAATGATGTGTCATTTTTTTAACCTTTTTTTTCCAGTGTCTGATTTTGCTGTCAAGTTTTTGATTTTTCTTGGCTATAGCAAAGAGTTGTAAGAGAGAGAATCAATAAGACCAATAACAGGTTAGTATTATGGTTGTAGTGATTGGTTTTTTTTTTTTTTTTTGATGTTGCATTTGAGAATGATTGGGGGAGTGGTTCTGGAGAGAGAGATAGAGAGAGTAAGCGGGGAGAAGGATTGTTCAAGGACAAGGAAATACTAACTCATATGAATGGTATATAAATAGATTTTGATTGGATATTGATCAACAGAGATGATTTTTGTTTGACGAAACAAAACATCAACTAATCATTCTAAAAAAAAAAACCACCCAGTTATTTTCTTGTTTTTTTTAATTTTTTTTTAGGTTTGATCGGGTCGCGACCATGTTTGGATTTTGTTGGGACTTCAAAGGGGCAAATAAGAAAAGCAAAGAATAGAGCATGTCTCGTCTTTTCTATCAAATCATAATCAGGTAAGGCTTGGCTTTGACTTTGGCTTGGCTTGTATTTGAATTTGAAATTGGATTTACCGTTTTTTTTTTTTTTTTTTTTTTCCCGCTGTTACTTACAGCATCAGAGTAACTGCTGTGCTTTTGATAGTTGATAGTTGTCGTGAGTCAAAAGTTTCAGTGAAGAATGTTGCAAAGAAAGGGGAAGGCAAATAGCTAAGGGGATTATTCATTCATCTTTTTTGCTCACACAATCTCTCTCTCACAGTAAATGACAGGTAGATAGACTCCACTATCGAGCAGAGCAACACCAAGTAGCTTGTTGCAACACTAACGAGCAGAGCAACACCAAGTAGCTTGTTGCAACACTATCGAGCAGAGCAACACCAAGTAGCTTGTTACAACACCATCTCGCTCTGCTCGATAGTGTCTGCTCGATAGTGTCTGCTCGATAGTGTCTGCTCGATAGTGTTGTAATAATATTCTAAAAACTTTGAAATATATTCAGATATGTATTGGCAATTGGGCTCACCCTTGCTATGAGGTTTTTCCCGCGGATTATAGGACTCAGTGAAAACGAGGAGTTGGATACCCGATGCAGTAACTATTAAGTCCGCGTTTACGGAAATAATAAGTGTCAAAGAAAAAAAATGCGGCATTCAATAAATAATGCATGAATTACTTTGACAGGATACATCTTTAAGAAGAGATGCTTATTAATGGGATTATCTCGATTCTTTTGAGGGGTGGGGGAAGAAGAGATCCTCCACTTGTTCAAAAATAGCATTTTCAATGCTGTGTAGTACCCTAATTGCTATATAGAACAGTTGTGTCACTGTTGGTAGAGGAGGTGTTTAAAAGATGCCACCGTTAAAAACTAGCTTTAGGTGATGAAAGACCCAGGTGTAAATGGAAGTGTCTGCCATCATGCTATTGGTGGTTGGTAGGTTACTAAGTAGTGTGTCTCTATAAGAAGCGAGTAAAAGAGGAAATGATGAAGAAGTCCCTACTGGTTTTGAGATCTGAGATCGAGGTTAGGGACTTCAGGAAATGATAAAGTCCATACTTGTTTTGAGGTTTGAGATCGAGGTTAGGAGCTTCAGGAAATGCACTTGAGATTTGGCGCCCCAAGAAAAAAAAAAAAGCTAGAGTTTTTCGGGAACAAAGGAGATTTAAAGTCAAAGTAGTGACATATAAGCCACTAAATAACGGAAAAAGGGAGAGAAAAAGATGAAAGAAAAGAATAAGTTGATTCATAAGGGAGTTTTTTTTAACATAAGACTCGTGATAATTTCATAAAAAGCTATATAATGTAATAATAGTAGTGGCGAATTAAAATCCTTTTAGTAAAACTTGTATGTAATGTATAATATCTACCCCAAAGTGAAAAAGCAAAAAAAAAAAAAAAAAAAAGATGGTTAAAAGTGATAAAGTGGTCAAACCACGAGTTTGATGGTGTTATCTCCTACACCAAGTTCATTTTCTTCTGCTCCTTTAACGATTTAATTTTCCTTCTTCTAGCATTAATAAACCAATTACTCAATTGTTGTTGATTTAAGCCCGTGCTCATCATTAATTGGTTTTTCTCAAACGAGTTGGGGTACGGATGGTTTAAATGGTCGTTCAACCAACGAAGTAACACAAATGTAATCTCTTTTGGTAAATTGTTTCTCGTTTTGCGTTTCGAGTAGCTAGATGAGGAATTTGGATTGGTATTGGAAGAAGAAGATGAAGAAGAAGATGGAATACTTGGTGTCGAAGATGAAGAAAGACTTCTTGATGGAGACGAGACAGCACTGTTAATTGCTGCGGAAAACGAGTTTGAATGTGAGTTTGATCGTATCATTTGAGGTGGTGCAAGGTAATGGTGAGGAGGGTATTGTGGGGGTAGCAGCAGCAGTTGCTGCCTAGAATATTGATGATGGTATGGTAAAGATGTAGGCGACGAAACGGAAGATGCGTTGGAACTGGTATATGAAGTAGTAGTAGGTATAGGCGATTTGCTAAACGATTGCAACCGATCGTTTGTTGTAGTTGTATAGTTTGCGGCAGTGATACTAGTAGGGGGTACTTGAGAATATGATTGTTGAAGATGAGAAACTGCTGGTAGTATCTGCTGTTGGGGTAGCTGCTGTAGCTGTGGCTGTGATTGTGGATGTGGTTGTTGCTGCTGCTGCTGCTGCTGCTGCTGAGCCAATGGAATCAAGATATTGCTTATTGGCGGTAAGCTAATCCTCTTAGATATAGGAGGAAGTGAAGGTGGTAATTGGTAGCTGCTGGTAGCTGATATCGAAGGCAAAGACGACCTTGAATTATTGATTAATTCTGCTACCTGCATGACTATTAGTAGTAATATGAGTTATGGGTAATAGTAGTAGGTATATTACTTGTTACTTTTTGGGATATAAGAAAATGGCGGGGAAGACAACATTGAAAAGAGGATTCGTTTGTATATTTATAACCAATTTTTGAAAAAAAAAAATTCCAGCTGAAAAAAAAATCTGGTGGGTCCCAGTGTCGGTAGATTGGTGGTTGTGCTGCCGCTTCATACAGGTCGTGATGGTGAAGGATGAGGGAAGATAAAACACACAGTTAAGGTTTTTTTTTTTTTTTTTCTTTTTAACAAACAACACAATTAATAGTGTATTACATAATATATACCGTAGTATGTATTATAAACTTTATTTTAAATTGTTTTTTTTTTTTTTTTCTTACTTTTTGCTTGTCCGTTTATTTGCGTTTAAGAATACATGTCACCGGGTAACTTAATATTGAGAGATATGTAACATATTATTTAGCACATTGATACTGTGAATTAGGTGAGTATCGTGAATGCCGTGAATGGCGATGTGTCAGTGACAAAAAGAGTGGTGTATATGCTACACATGGTGATCTCTACTTATTTCATTTGTATTACAAGGTGACAGATATGTTTCAACTCTTTTTTTTTCTTTTTCTTTCTTATTCTTGTCGCCTTGGTTAAAGATACCCTGAGATATGTCAGTGGCATTACATCATGCAAAAGTGACAGTTAGATACCCATCTCGTGTCTGATGTCTGAAAGGCCCGGCTAATTTCACCTCTAGTTATGTAAGAGTTGTCAGATTGTGCAGGCTATGTAAATATGATTAGCGGCTAAATGTAAAAACGGTAGAAAAGACAGTTATTGGGGCTTTTGTGTGCTTTCAGACACTAAAATTTTACATGTATCGGAATCTTACGCCATATTGCATACTTACACCCTACACATAATATTATATATAGCGTTGTTATCACTCTTCTACCGTTTTGGGTACACAAAATCCAAAAACTGATAAAGCGTTAATGCAGATACGAAAAAAAGACAAATGACAGAAGAATAAAAATAATATTATGTAAATGGAAAAAAAAAAAAAAAGGAAAGGTTATTTTGAACTTTTTCGCAGAAATGCAAGATTTACAAATTGGAAAAAAAAAAAAAAAAAAAAAAGAATGAGGAGATCTGGAACAATATAATATCTTCCGCGCTACCAATGAGAGGAAAACGAAACAGAGTTTTTAGGGAATATGAAAAAAGCAAAAGTTGATATCAAGACGGGTAAAGGAAATTTCCCTCCTCCTCCTCCTCCTCCTCCTCCTTTTCTCCCTTCCCCCCTTGTGTATATAGAAGGATATCAAAAACACGCATAACTGTACAGGACAACAGAATGGTGATAGATCATTCTTACAATGTGTATGTGTAAAGAAACAAGTCACCCCACCATGTAAACTCAAAAAAAAAATGTAATTTTTCAGTGACATCGACATCAAACTCAAATCAAACCCGTTTGTGTTGCATTTGTTTTTGGTCAATTTGTTGTATTAAACTTTTAACCTTTTTTCATTGTAAGCTTGTAAGAAAATAGAATCAAGACACGTATTCAAAGTGAGATATTTTTGGCAATACATATTTGATACAGAGAGAAGAATGGTGGAGATGGCCGGTGCCGCTTTCTATTTTTGTGAATTACTGCATGTATTAGTAGATTCAAAATGACATGACGTGCCCCCCCTCTGGATTTTTTGGTCCAAATGAATGGCTTCTCCTGCTTCAATGCTTTCACATTGTTCTGTTGCTTATTACCATACTCAATTTATTTGTGTAATATCAAAAAAGGATTAAATATTAAAGGTAAATATGAAAGGTTAAAGTAAAAGTAAAAGTAAAAGTAAAAGTAACAGTAAAGGTGAAGGTAAAGGTAAAGGCAAAGGTAAAGGTAAAGGCAAAGGTAAGGGTATAGGTAGGTAAAGGTAAAGGTTAAGGTATAGGTAGGTAAAGGTTAAGGTATAGGTAGGTAAAGGTTAAAGGTTCATTTGGCTTTAATTGAAGGAGATATCGGTGAATGTGAAAGAAATCAGTGGTGCAACAGATGCTGTTGCACCACTGAAACGGACGTAATTGATATGGAAAACTAATCTAGACCAGCTTTTCTCGTGTGACAATTCCAGAAGAAAGCCTGTCCTGTCCTTTGATTATCCCATAAAGAATGCCCCATACTTGTGCTTGTGCTTGTGCTTTTTGGTACATTCTTCCCCTCCCCAAGAGGGATTGTTACCAAGAACTAAACTCTCTTGGCTTGGTCAAAGGATATTTGATAAATAATAATAATTGAAAAACAATGGTTCCAACAAAATATATTGAAGCCTGGGTACTTTGTTGATATTTTCTTTTCTTTCCATTATTTTCTTTCTTTGATAGTGAAACTTATAGGCTTGGTATTAAATACAATACCAGCTTTTCCTCATTCCCAAACCCCCCTCCCATCCTTCCCCCCACATTATTATCATTTTCCAACTGTTTTAAAAAGCAACATTTATGTCAACAACAACTAAAGCAACAACAACAACAACAACAACAGAAAGATCATTTTCACAATAATAATAATAAGAAGAAGAATAATAAAGATTTACTAATACGCGCGGGAAATGTCTCTTTAACTTTCTTTCAAAGAAATGGAATGAAGAAAGATAGTGGTTAGACGAGTTATCGAGTTTATTGACATAGACCTCTCACGTTACTTCCTTGAATCAGAGTGGGTGGGTTGTTGTCCCCCCCCTCCTCCCCCCCATCCTAATAAACCCAATTATTTAGGCTTTTTGGTTTACATTTTTTTCTTGTATTCAACACTTTCAGTGTCGAGGTTTGACTTTTGACTTTTGACTTTTAACTTTTAACTTTTAACTTTTAAGTGTTTGACTTTGACTTGGAATTTGAAAGGACCAAGAAAAGAGTAATGACATTATTCTACCTGCCAGTGCCAGTGTCACTTAACACATCTCTCTTGGTGTTATCATTTTGTTTTGTTTTTTTTTGGGGGGGGGGGGAGGGAAGACTCTCCTTCTGTGTTAACTCTATTCTTGGATTTCTCTTGAAAGTTTCTATTTGTTTTAACGCTCTTTGTTTCACCAATATCTGCAGGTTTATGCTTAGAAGAACCGCTGTCGTAATAGATTTCCCAAGCAGGTTAAAACCATGCAGAACAAAGAAAACCCTTGATTATTTTTTGGGCCGCATTCTTAACTGTTTATTATGTAAGAATTGACCCATACTTACATAAGAGAATGGATAATAATTATGTAAGAAAAAATTTGATTTCGAAACTCTCTGGTAATATATATGGTAGCATGGTCTCACCCATGAATGATTAAGAATGAAGAAAAGGAGAGAGGTTAAACCTAAAAGGAGAGAGGTTAACCCTAAAAGGAGAGAGGTCAAACCTATCAATATATTTCTATCAGTTATCGGAGTATCAATTATCGGTTGATTTATACAAAGGTGTTAATATGTGTAAGGAAAAAGAAAAGTACCAGGAGCAACTTTTTCTACTTCATTTTCTTCAAGTTCCTGTATGAAACATTTCAATGTTTAAATTACCCTTGCTTTGTTGTTCACCATCTTTTTCACCCTTTCCTCTCCACATAAACAAACCCTTTTTTTTTTGACATGCTGACTGACACAATACTTTACATTCATATCACCATTATTAATTTTTCAACTCTGTTTCTAAAATATTTCAAAGTTTTTCTTTATTCATTTTCTTTTTTTCTTTATTCATTTTCTTTTTTTCTTTTCTTTTCTTGTACTGGTGATGTGACATATTAATTGTTTAGCCAGGACTCCAAGAAAAAACATGATTTGGAGAGGTGACATTAGTAGCGAATTGAGTTGAAAGTATATTGGAAGACACCTCAAGTGGAGGGAGAAGGGAAGGGGGGAAGAGACGGAGGAGGAGAAGGGAAGGGGGGAAGAGACGGAGGAGGAGGAGAGAAGAGGGAAGAGACGGAGGAGGAGGAGAGAGTGAACATGGTGGTGCTGGATCAAGAAGCCGGTCCCTCCACACTAAATTCTCTTTTCCTTAGTAACTTCTTCTTCCTCATTTTGTAACCCCCCCTCTCATATTAGACAAATTACCCTACATTGTCAGCTCAATGTGACCTTTTCTCCTTAAGGCGATTTCAGTCGTTTAAACTTATCTTACCTGTAACAATTCAAACTTTAATTCCACATTCAGCTCCCAAGCAGATTAACAACCAAAAACTCGTGCGTGCGTGAGAATGTGTCTTTTTTGATGGTTTCTGCCACTTTTATGGTTTTGTCCTTTGAGTGTTTTATTTAAAGTTTGTTTAAATGCAATTAAACTGGATTAGCCGCCTAATTAACTAATTGACTGACTGACTGACTAAAACTGACATGGGTTGAAATACAGCAATGATGTTACGTTCTCTAGTGCACTTTTGTTTAGTTACCAGACACTTAATTACTTAGATATACCGCTATACAATGATTAAAAGCCCCGGTGACAATCAATTTTTAAACGCACACTCTTTTTTTCCTGATTGGAAACGTCTACTGTGTTAAAACAGAGTCTCCATAGAGTTCCCCAACACCTGCCATAACCTCTACATATAACTCCCAACCTATTATTTTCAAATTAGTGTCTATCAACAATGAACAGTTTTTCCTCTTTCTCTTCTCCTCCAAGGGTTATTCTTCTTCCAATCACTATCTCATTCCTCGATAGTGAGTGATGGAATCTACTTCTTTAGCGAATTTCTGGTTCTAGTTCTGTCTTTTTGTTTAATTTAATGATCAAAGCGCCGCTTGCACACACTAAAGTATTTTTCTTTCTAAAGCCTTTTGTTTTTTCTTTTAATTGCTTTTTGTATTTACCTTTTCAATTATATGAAACTTGTTGAAGGATGATGCAAGGGTAGGGTTTTTTTTTTAGCTTTGGGAATGGATTGTAGTGAATTACTGCGGTCTAATGTCGTAATATAGCTTTCAAAGGAGCAAACAAAAAAGAAAATATAATAATTAAAAAGACAATTGGAAAGACAGAGTTTGATGCTTTTGATGGGTGTTACTTGACAAACGTATATGTCTTCTATAATAATGTCTCATGTTATGTATAATTACCTGAAATTGGCGCTAAGGAGATCATGATGGCTCGTGTTTGCATATTGATGTTAGGTAGCGTCAGGGGTTGAAGATTAGTCAAAAAATTTTCGGTCGACAATTAGAGGTGTATAGGAGGGAGGATGAAAGGAGGGTTGGTAAAAAAAAAAAAAAAAAAAAAAAAAAAAAACAACTTGAATTATGACATACTAGTATTAATCTTCTTAGTAGAACTATATGCCATTAACCAAAATATCAGTGACTAATCTCTATTGAGTTCTCCACTATCGAGCTGAGCGAGATAGTGGAGCAACAGCAAGTAGTTTGTTACAACACTATCTCGTTCTGCTCAGTAGCTTGTTACAACACTTTCGAGTAGTGCGAGATAATGTCAATAGTGGAGCAACACTCATTAGCTTGTTACAACATTATGTCGCTCTGCTCGATAGTGGAGCAACACTCATTAGCTTGTTACAACACTATCTCGCTCTGCTCGATAGTGTCGAACTAATCTCTATTGAGCTCATCAGCCCCTGGAACACATTACAATTATTGCCCACTCTGCAAAAAAAATTAATGGCTGCGAAAAGAAAAAAAAAAAAAGAAAAAATAGGACCTACCGAGATATGAAAAGTAGTAATATCCAACAACCCGTTAACGACAGGATATATAAGTCATCGCCTTGAACCATCAAAAGAGAGAGATAAAAAGTGACAGTCTTTATCTTAGAGCTTGGGTGGTGGTCTACAGCAGCCTAGTTACAGACATTAGCATATGATTTGGTTCTGGGGAAAAAAAAAAAAGTTGGTGCAACTCAAGAAATGGGATGTTTGACTTAGTTTTGTGATCTGAAATATATCAATGAATCTACATGACGACCGAATTTTACGTCAAAATCACCTTTTTTTTCATTAACACTATCGGTTGAGATTATGGTTTTATTAACAAACGAGTTGGAATAGAAAGAATCTTCATGTGATGAAAAAGTGGGCATTTGTTGTCGAGTAAAAAAAAAAATGTGTGCTGTGAAAAAGTCCGGGAGTTATTGGTCATTTTCCTAATTGACATAGATTTGATGGTGCGGATTATTCATAATTTGTCATTTAGCAATTTTTCAAACTCCTTCCTGTCCCATTTGACATATTTGCTCTTTGTCTTTGCAAAATCAACATTTCCGTACTTATCATACAATTTGAAATAGGCATTCAAAATAAGCTTCTTCACCTCGATAGCCAATTGATGTTTCAAATTTTGATCTCCAAAATTAAAAGTTTGGTAGTTACTCAAAGCATCCTCAAAGGCTTCGTTAAATTTTCTAAATAGATCCTTAACTTGGTCTTTTTCTTTTGAAGAAAGATTTGTCGCTGTGGAAATAGAGGAAATGGTGTTGTTTGCTGAGGTTGCAACTGCAGTCGCTGTTGTTGCTGATGTTGACGAGGTCACTTGACCCGACTGTGCGGCAATTTGAGTCATTCCCTTTATAATTATATACGATGCGTAACTCCAGTCTTCAAGGAATATTTTGATAAATCGATTCTTCAATTTAGCAATTCGTTCTTGGCCATTAGTGCCTAAAATATTGAAGATATCTTGAGACCTATTGATTATTGTTTCAATCATGTACAAGTTCCTCACTAATAAGAACCCCTGCGCTGATTTCTTCATTGAATGATAATGATGATGATGGTGGTCTCCTGATGATGCTGCATGTTTGGCACCCTTGTCTAATCCTATTTGGAGGTTTATCATTATACAATCAATTATATCTGTGAAATACGAGGATAGCATGAATTCAGGTGACGAGTTTTGTACTGAGTTGGGAAGTAGCGACGAGAATGTTCCAATGTAGTTTAGTTTAGGCTCGGGATTGATCCAGTCACCGGCAGTATGCGTTGAAATTAGTTTAATCAATGGTTGCTTAAATTCACACATTTTACGTGCAATATTTATCGAGTCCGCTGTTAACTGATGAATGCTCGATTCAGTGAATTGCGTCAAGGTAGAAAATTTCGCATCCACTTGCCTTATAAAATGAGGGAAAAGTGATGATCCTAGCTTGATGAAATTGTCGAGGTTTTTATCAAATGATGCATTGTTGACATTATAGCGGTTCTTCAAAAGATGCTCTAATCGTAATAGGTTGTCAACCACTTCAAGTAGGATCAAATTCGATTCATTGCGAGAATCTAGCTGAACCTGCAATTGCAGGAATATGGATAATAATACTTGGTTATATTCGCTCAATGCATATTCCAGAATGGGTCCAATCAACTTTAATGGCAATTGACACTGTTTGAGAACGAGGATTTCCTGCTTGGCAGCTTCATCTACTGCATCGGTATATTTATTTATACCATTTTGCAATTTCTCGTAAGGAGCATCGATTTGTGTTGGTTTCACTTGCACTTCTACTGCCTTCAACCTGGCAGACAATTGCCTTCCACGTTTCTCCACATAGATACTGGTTATATGCTGATCATTACCCTGTTTGATGAAATACTCAAATATAACCTTGACATCATTCTTCTTTTCAACCAAGAGATCGGCGTCGGAGTTCAACACAGAATCTATGTAGTTTTGCACTTTTAGCTCCGCTCTCGCCAAAACGGCTTCGAAATTGTCAACTATCCCTTTAAATTGTTTAAAATTGGGTTTGATTTGATTCATTAATTCTCGCGCCTGGCTCAATGTAGACATATACTTCAATAGTCCAATTGTCTCAATACTATTATTGAGCAAGTTTTCAAACCCATTAATCCGCGAAACACTCTCATCGATCTCAGAAAGTAGCGCCAACCCCTTTTCAACCTCCTTTTTCGACCCACTTAACTTATTCACTTGTGCAAGTACTGGCTTGATTGTACTATGTGCCGTCTGTGTTTTCTGAGATATCTTCTGCAACGACTTGTTGATACTGTCAAATAATTCTTTCGACTTCACCAAGTTTTGGTTTAGCACAGCAACATCAGCCTCATCTACGTCAACCCTATAATATGCCATTCTAAAGTAACTTATACCCTCCCCCCAGGCTTTAACCCCCTCTTTATAAAAGCAAGTCTCGTATTTTTCAACTTTTTGTCGCTTGTCGCTTGTCGCATGAAAAATTGAAAAAAAAAAATTATTTTTTCCGACACGCGCGCTACCACATGATACGGCGGCTAGTGAAATGAGATGAGATGAGATGAGATGAGTTTGGGAAGAAGTGAAAAAAAAAATATCACTACTGTTGAAGGTTGTTGTGTGCTAGCAGTTGAGTTTTGGGTACTACTAGAGCTTTTGAGAGAGAGAGGCGGTTCTGGGTTGTTTCCTCTTTTTTTTTTTCTTTGCTTTTTTTTTTTTTTTTTGGAAGGATGAGAGATACACGTGAAGCGGTGAACCAGCTATGTTCAAGGTTGGAAGAGTCAACCAAGATCAAGAGGAATGGTAAGTGTAAAAAGTTTACAAACTTTGTTCATAATACCAAAATTGCCATTGATTCATGGAAATTTCAGGATTTCGATTATGGCAAGGAAGATGTCAACTTACCTGTACAGGCGAGAGGGTTCTTTACATTAAACAATGAAGCCATAGTTGTTCGCGGCTACGACAAGTTCTTCAATGTTGGTGAGAAGCCATTCACTAAAGAGAAGTATTTACTTGAAAAGACAAAGGGTCCCTACGATGTAACTCTAAAGGAAAATGGCTGTATCATATTTATTAGCGGCTTATCCAGTGGTGATATAGTTGTTTGCTCGAAGCACTCTACTGGCCAGAGGGAAGGAACTGAGAGAAACCATGCTCTTGAAGGAGAAATGCAGCTTCGCAAACAATTGGGAGACGAAGGCGTTAAACAGTTGGCACAATACTTATACCTGCATAATTTAACTGCAATTGCCGAACTATGCGACGATGAGTTTGAAGAGCATGTTTTGGCATATCCAAGGGATAAAGCTGGGTTGTATCTACATGGATTGAACTACAATTCTATTAAATTTCAAACTCTTGCGATATCAGAAGTTGTTGAGTTTGCTCGTGAGTGGGGGTTCAAAGTTATCGATTATTTACAAATTGAGGACGCTAATGAACTATTCCGCTTCTTACACGAGTGTGGGAAAACAGGAACATACAGGGGAAGAGAAATAGAAGGATTTGTAATGAGGTGCAAAATGAATCAGGATGATGATTTTTTTTTCAAGTACAAATTTGAAGAGCCATACTTGTTGTACAGGCAGTTTCGTGAAGGTACAAGACAACTACTAAATGGTTCGCCAATACTTTCAATAAAGATGAAAAAGAATAAATTTATAACGAAAAAGTATCTTGAATTTGCCGCAAAACTATTTGAAGAACAACCAGACTTGAAAGAACGGTACAGACGGGGATTTGGGATCATCCATGTACGACAACTCTTCTTGGAACATTTACAAGAAACCAATGGGATGAATTTACTCTCATTAGATGCAAAATTGAGTGAGGAAATGGGTAAATTGAGTATCATGCTGATGCTGCTGCTGCTGCTGCTGCTGCCGGAGGAAACCATCAAATATGTGTTTGTTCCAATTGCAACAATAGGATGCGGAAAGACTACAGTTTTTAATACTTTGAGCTTGCTATTTCCTGACTGGGTGCATATCCAGAATGACAATATTTCACGAAAGTCAAAGTTGAAAATTACTGATCAAACTTTAAAAGCATTAGAAGTCCACTCAGTGGTGTTATTTGATAGAAACAATTCATTGTACAGGGAAAGGAAGCAGATATTCACAACCGTGGCTGAAAAGAGGAAACAGCATTTGGATGATTTTATAGATATCAAATTTATTGGGCTAAATTTTGTCCATGATATCAGCGAACAGCAACTTTGGGATATTACTTTTGAAAGGGTTGAAAAAAGAGGTGATAACCATCAACTGATAAAATCCAATAAGGACAAGGAGCTAGCCACCAAGGTTATGCAAGGGTTTATTGACCGGTTCCAGCCTGTAAATACTGAGAAACAACCTGATTGTCAATTTGACCACGTTATCAACTTGAAACTCACCAAAAGCGATTCATCTTTGGAGAATGTCGAGATCATCATTAACGATATTATGGAAAATTTCCCCAAGCTAATCCCAACAAAGCCATCAGAGGAAGTGATTGAAGAGATGTTCAAGACTAGCTTAGAGTATAAGCCTACATTTTTTAAAGATATGACTGTGAAGAAGCCAAAAAAACCATTATATTATGGGATTGGTATACATTACGAGCACATCATAGAGTGTTTGGAGTTGATTGCTGAAAATGAAGAGTACTTGAGATTGCAAAAAGAGAAATTTGTACAAGATGAGTTCCATATTACATTGGGCCATGTCTCTAACACCAAAACGAACAATAAAGCTAAAGCCAAATGGACAAAGTTAGTAGAGACATTAGGCTTGGGTGATACCGAAGCTGGGAAGAATTATTTAAGTTTTTTCAGCAATGTGAGATTACTACAAGTAGTGATAAATAAGGGCAAGCTAATTTGTATAAAATGCGAGCTATTATTGACCACCGATGCCAACAAGACAAAGGTTGACATTGATCCAATAAATGAGCATCTACATATTACTGTTGGCTGTTTCCCACCTACAACGGCAGTTGATTCCAACGCAACATTACAGGCATTGTACAAGGATAGTAAGGAGTTGAAAAGGGACGGAGTTTATGATCTCGATAACGATACAATAGAAGTGAGAAACTTTCAAGCCGCCATACCACTCACTCATCAACAAATATTTGCATTTTTCTAACCGGAGGAGGAGGAAGAGGAGGAGGAGGAGGAGGAGGAAGAGGAGGAAGAGGAAGAGGAAGAGGAAGAGGAGGAGAAGGAGGAGGAGGAGGAAGAGGAAGAGGAGGAGAAGGAGGAGGAGGAGGAAGAGGAGGAGGAGGAGGAGGAGGAAGAGGAAGAGGAGCAACAATAGCAATAACTCTTAGTGTATTCAAAAAGTATGTACAGAGAGATTGAATTTTTTTTTTTTCTCTTGCGAAATTTCAATTGAACTCATCTCACCCACGGTGTTTCTACTTTTCTTGCCGTAGGAATAGATGTTTGCCTGGCTTACCTCAATGTTTGAACAGCCACCTGTATCACCAGAATTGAAGAAATCAATAGAGCTGACTGTTGCGTCGAATAAGGTTGTTGTTTACTCGAAAACTTATTGTCCTTACTGTAGAGCTACAAAGGATTTGTTATCGAGATATGGCGTTTCATATGAACTTATTGAGTTAGATACTATTGAGGACGGCGCCACTATACAGCGTGCTTTGGAAGAGATTACTGGACAAAGAACTGTTCCCAACATTTTCATCAATGGCAAGCATATTGGTGGCAACTCCGATTTGCAAAATTTGAACCAGAGCAATAAGTTGAAACAGCTACTTTGATAAAATCCCTGTCATGTCATCTCATCTCATCTGGTTATATCCTTTAATAGCTCTATTGCCCATAGATGAAGCTTGACAAATATTTGGTCATCCCCCGTTAACTCAACCAAGGATTTCGGTCGAGCCATAGATCTTCTTAGGTATTTTTCGTTATCCACTAGATTTCCGTTCATTAACCCATTTTGCTGGTGTATTTTTTCGTTGATATTATGTACTTTCTCTTGGATTGAGTTTATTACTTCGACAAAGTATAGACTGATAATATCCCAGTTCTCCAATAAATGCGACTCCGAGTCACTCATAACCATTAAACTATACTTTCTCTCTTGTCCTCTTGCGTTTATATCGTAAATTTTGAAAATCTTGTTCATACAAAAGCCATCGATTGCATCACCAAAAAACATTGGTTTCGACAAATCCAAATTCGTTTCTACTGAGAGTGATTTCATGACAAACTTTGTCAATGCAGCATACCGTTTTTGAGAGCTTGGATAATGCGTCGTGACAAATGACTTGGAATCAGATAGACTCGATAGATTTAGTGCATCTTGAGGGAGTACTAACTGGCACGATGAACAATTGATCACTCGTGAATTGGATGATAGTAAATTGTCCTGTTTTTGCTCAGATTTAGTGAACTGGGTACATGCAATTACTGATGGTCCATGGAGCTCACAGAAGTGACTTAGACATACTATATAGTTTGGCATGTGGAAAGACATACGGGGGGGGGGAGAGGTGAGAGGTAAGGGGGTGGAAAATAACAATCGTTACTTCTTTACTCGTTGTAGAGTTTTCTGGTATAATCGTGCGACATAAAAATGCCCGCGAATCCATCGAGCGACACCATCGAGCGACACCATCGAGCGACGCTAGTGAGCGAAGCGAGCTAGTGGAGCAGTAGAAGTGGTGAGTAGTGAGCAGCACTGACTACACCGACACTAGCGACACGAATGCTCATCCTTGTTAGCCGCCCAATGTCCAAGGCTCGTGCCTTTTCTCGCCCAAAGCACCTTCCTTTTTTCGACCAAGGCTCGTCCTCGTTAGTCGCCCAATGATTGCTAGACCCTCGTCACCGCCCAAGACTTTAATACCACCACTTTTAGTAGCTGACCAACATTTTAGATTACTAGTTATATATAGTGGATGATGGATACTATTACTATATCAGCTCTACTAGTATCACTCTCTGCACTATTCTCTCTTCTTTCGACAAGCTTTACTAGAGGTAGAGACTAGTGAGCTGCGACACTAGTGAGCGAAGCGAGCTAGTGGAGAAATAGAGGTAGAGAGTAGTGTCAGTGGCAACTAGTGTGCTCCACTATCGAGAAGAGCCAGATAGTGTCGATAGTGTCAAGAGCTAGTGTTTTCCACCATCTCGCTCTGCTCGATAGTGTCGATAGTCGATAGTGTCGAGGATTTACACAATTGGTGTTGATCTATATAAAGGTATGGCGCGCTAGATCATCCAATGTCAATTGGTAGACAAGTCCAAGATATAAGATATCTCTCCCAACGCTCGTTCTCGTTCTCATTCTCGTTCTTGTACACACACACCATCGTTTTCTCTTTGTCTTTCTCTCTTTGGCTTTTACTCTTTCCCTTAATGTTCCCCCCCGCCATAAAAACTTTATGTTTTTCACTTTAAGAAAAACTTTTTCAATCATCCAATATTCGAAAAATCTTTCTTTTTAATCAATAAAGAGCATTAAAAAGATGTCCACTACAACCGATACCAGTATGTATTTTTAGTCAATGTGGGCACCCACTATCCACTATCGAGCTCTGCTCGATAGTGGGCAGCTCGATAGTGGGCACCTAGTCAGTGTCGCTAGTCAGTGTCGCTAGTCAGTGTCGCTCCACTATCTCGCTCTGCTCAATAGTGGGCATCTCGATAGTGGGCAGCTCGATAGATTAATTTGTTACTAACAGCAGTCTTTTCTTTTAGAAGCACCAGTTGTTGACCACTCAATTACAAATTCCGATGTTGTCGCCAAGTACAAAACAGCAGGAGAAATTGCAAACAGGGTTTTAGCACAAGTAAAGAAAGCAGCTGTTGATGGATCGAAAACTTACGACTTATGTGTCAAAGGTGATGAGTTATTGGAAGAAGAATTGTCAAAGATCTACAATTCTAAAAAGAGCAAGAATACTGCAAAGGGCATCGCATTTCCAACAACAGTGAGCCCCAACAATGTTCCTGCCCATTTGGCTCCTATCACTGCTGACGACGATGGGAACATTGAGTTGAAAAATGGCGATGTTGTGAGTATTCAATTAGGTGCCCAAATCGATGGCTTCCCATCAATTGTTGGTGAAACGTTTGTTGTCGGTGAGGCAGAATCAAGTGGTCCAATCACCGGACAAAAAGCAGACTTGTTGCAAGCTGCTTGGATAGCTTCAGAGGCAGCCTTGAGAACTTTCAAACCAGGTAACAAGAATTGGGATATTACCAATATTGTTGCTAAGGTTGCTAAAGAATTCGATGTTACTCCATTAGAGAATATGTTGTCCCACAACCAAGAAAGACTTGTATTATATGGCCCAAAGGAAATTATCTTAAACCCCTCAAAACAAAACAAAAACAGCATGGACACTCACAAGTTTGAAGAAAATGACGTTTACGGTTTAGATATTTTGATCTCAACTTCAAAAGATGGTAAAGTTAAGCCATCAAATTTTAGAACTTCGTTGTACAAATTGACAGGTGAGTCTTATGCTTTGAAAATGAAGATGTCCCACAAGATCCTTAGCGAGTTCAAAGGCAAGTGCAATAGCCTTCCTTTCCCATACAATATCCGTAATTTAGAGGACCCTAAGAGATCGAGAGGAGGTTTGGCAGAGCCGGTAAATCACAAGATCCTTCTACCTTACGACGTGGTTGTTGAGAAGGATGGTGAGTATGTTGCCCAATTCTACACAACTTTTGGAATCACTAAAACTGGTATTGTCAAGTATGCCAGCCCTGTTTTCGATTCAGAATTATATCAATCAGATAAAAAAGTTACCGATGAAGAAATATTGAAACTTTTACAAGAACCATTAAACTCAAAAGTTCCAAAAAAGAAAAACTAAACTGGCTTGAACTGTGCAAAAAGTCTTATAGGAACTACCGCACCATCACGTGTGCCCTGTTGGAAACAACAGATACATTTTTTTTATCATCAAAATCATTTGACCTTTTTGTATATAAAACCCAACTACAACACAAACAAAAAAAAAAGAGAGAGAAAGAGAGAGAGAGAGAGAGAGACTTTTGGGATAATAAACCTTCTCTTCTATGATATCTCCAGATGGAAGGAAGCAAGAAGTTAGGCTCTCTTTCAAAATTTTCAACATTTTTCAAATCATATCTGTAAATTTTTCTCTTTTTCTCTTTTTCTTCACTTTTTCTTCACTTTTTTTTTCTTCCATTTTTCCAACTCTGTAGGGCAAGGCTACTTTGGAGGTTCGACGATATACTTATATGGTTCGAATTTTGCATGGCATCAAAAGGAAGTAGTCGGAGCAGCTCTGTGAGCTCGTCAACATCAAATGGAAGGTCGTCGCTGAGGCAGGTACTAGGTGTCAATGGGAATAATCTGAATGCTAAGAGTCAGGTAGCTGTTGCTAGCAAAAAACGAAGGTCACCAGAGGTAGATGATGCTGCTGCTGCTGTTGTTGTTGCCGCTGCTGCTAATGGTACTGGCAAGAGGAAGTCTGCACGAATAGCGCAATTGGAAGAGTTGACTACGCCGAAACTATCGGCCAGTCCCGAGTTTAGGGAGAGCTCGAGCTCAGATATCATTTCTGATATTGAAAATGCGCAAATGTGTTTTCAAGATAGACACAAATTCATGGAGCCACCATTAGCGCCTCCGACACCAGGGTATACGGGTTTACCCTTGGAAGAGTTTCCTTCTGCGAAAATAAAGAAAGAGTCGTTGTGGCCGCAGAAGCTAAGACGTGGGAAAAGCAAGGATCAAGAAAATAATGGAAACGTTGCCCCCGACTCTGCCGTCGCCGCCCCCGACTCAATCGAAGACGAAAAGAGGAACGAAAAGATTGAGATTGAACGTCGGTATATCAATGGATTGCAAACACTGATTACTGAGGATATAACCGAAAATAGCGAGCTACGAGATTCTGTAGATTTCTCCAAACCACGCCTTGCGAGACAAAGAAAATTGAAGTTGATAGTAAAAACACCAAAGCAGCAACAAGAACAACAACAAGAACACCAACCAATCAAAAGATCCGACAAAACTACACCAAAAAATGCATTGAAAAAAATCAAGATTATATCTCCACAGAAAGTAACTAGTACGAAGCTACTAGCACCTGATACCAAGATCACAACGACACATGAGGAAGAGGCGAATGAAGACACACACAAGGATAATGATGATTTTTGTTTTTCTTGTGGCCGTCCTGGTGTTTTTATATGTTGTGAAATGTGTCCCAAGTCATTCCATTTCACGTGTTGCGACCCTCCGATAGAGGAGCCGCCAGAGGATGATTGGTTTTGTCACGAATGTATAGCAAAGAGAAACCCTCTGTTGTTGCCCAATTGGAATGAAATAGGCATATTTGGGAAATTGCTCAATAATTTGCAAATACAGAACCCCAAAGTTTTTGAACTTCCTAGACGTTTGAGGGAGGAGACATTTATAGGAGTTACTACAGGTGATTATGGCGCTTATTCCGACGATACAGAAAAGCCTGAAGTTCCAGTTAGCAAAACAAACAACGGCTTGCAGATTGCAGGATTCAACAGGAACCCCGACTTGGAAATTGAAACTTTGTATGACAGTAATGGCAATCCTCGCTTGTGTCATAAATGTGGAGACTCTGGACAGTTTCATCGCACATTAATCAAATGTGACTATTGTCCTCTCATATACCACGTGGATTGTCTTGATTATCCCATGTTTGGTCCAAAAACAATTGGCGATAAGTGGCGGTGCCCGAATCATGTGGCTGATTTATTACCACGCGGATTGCCCAAGATGAGACAGTTTAAGAAAACAGAGGTTATTGAGAGCTCTTTGAAAAGTAATTTTTTGGAAATCTTGGCAATGGGGAACTTTGTGGTGAAGTTTGATGCTGAGCCATTTATTGAAGACAAATCAAGTACCAGTAGCAGCAGTAGGGTAAAGCTTGAAAATATTCAGCCGGATGCTTCTAAGCAACAACAGGTTCTAGACACTTGGGGCGCCGATATGGATGCTATTCATCCCGAGTATAGGAATCGAGTTAATGCCGGTACTTTTGTGACCCCAAGCGGCATTTCGAATGCGCCAAGGTCAAGAATGATGAGTATTCCAAACACATCGTCTCCAAGTTTGTCAATTTATAGAATTCCCGAAAAGCTGATAATCTTAGATTTCATCAACAAGTTTGAAACTAAGAAGGAGATTGTGAGTCAAAATCAAGACTATGACTATCTAAGTCGATTAGAGCAGAATCCACGTGAAAGAGAACTTGTTGCTAGTCTCAATTCCATTAAAGATAGACAAAAACAATTAAACTTGAACGCTTTATTAAAAGCGGCGAAAATAGAGGTGGGAGATACCAGCAAAGAAACATTGTCGTACAAAGAGATCCAAGATCTTATCAAAACAAAGAAGCTTATGGAAGCAAAAGGTCAAGATGCTTTATTAAAGTTTCTTCAAAGCTGAATTTCACTTGGAGAAGAAGAAGAAGAAGACGACGACGACGACGACGACGACGAAACCACCGCTCTTCATCCCAGCACCATCATAATTACTTGATATTTATATGTACATGATTTAGTCATTTAATGCATTATTAACTATTTTTTTTTTCTTCTTACTATCAAGATTATTATCAATATTTTCTTTCTATCTTTTTGTAGGCCTCAATGGTATAAATGGTATTTCCTCCTTTTTTAATTTTCTGGCATTGGTGAGTTCTACCAACTCATTTAGTATCTGATGCGGTGGTTTGTTTGTACAATCAATCGTTTGGACATTTTCCGGATTTTCGCCATATATTTTCACCATGAGAGGTAACTCTAGCAACTCCTTCGGATCATTAACTTCAACCTTGGTAATCGTAAACTGCACATCTGGATTATGGTATCTTAGTGTTGGTAAGGCTGTTTCAAAGAGTCTCAATATACCGCTAGCAGGCTTATAAATATATGGATTTTGATGGTAAATGAAAAATTCAAATTCTTTAAATTTCGAAGCGTCAAATTTGAAACTGCTCAGCGGCCTTCCTCTTAAGTTGTTGACCCTCTTGATCTGTCTTGTTATCTTTGGGGTGTACTTGGCTGCTAATTGGGACATCTGGTGTGGTTTGTAACTGACAACTATCAGTAATGATTATGAGTTGAAAAATTTGAAAAAAAAATGTGATGAAAAAAATGAAGATGCGACACTAGTGAGCGAAGCGAGCTAGTGGAGCAGTAGAAGTAGAGACTAGTGAGCAAAGCGTTTGAGACTAGTGAGCAAAGCGTTTGAGACTAGTGAGCAAAGCGAGCTAGTGGAGTAGTAAGCTGGTGGAGTAGTAGAAGTAGAGACCAGTGAGCAAAGCGAGCTAGTGGAGTAGTAAGCTAGTGGGGTAGTAGAACTAGAGACTAGTAAGCTAGTGGAGCAGTAGAAGTAGAGACTAGTGAGTTTAAAACCGAACCCGAGGCTATTCCACTCACTATACTAATAGTTACCTACTCTGCTCTGCAGAGTAGAGGAGAGTATGTAGAATGAAAAGTTTCTGAAGAGGCCCTTAAAATGAAGAGTTTTTACCATTTCCTTTTCTCTTCCATACAAGCTACTAAGTATTGATCCACTATCTCGCTCTGCTCGATTGTGTCGAAGGCCCTTTGAATGAAGAGTTTTGAAGAAGCCGTTGGTACTTGGTTACTTGATGATAGTTTGTTAACTAGTAGATACTTCTATAGATGAGATGTATAGATGAGATGTATAGATGAGATGTATAGATGAGATGTATAGATGAGATGTATAGATGAGATGTATAGATGAGATGTATAGATGAGATGTATAGATGAGTTTTATAGATGAGGCTCTGGTCGATAGTTTCGCTATGAGAGTATCAACATTATGAGAAGGTATCAGGATACAAAGTGTTGCTTCATTATCGAGCAAACTATCGAGCAAAGCAAGATAGTGCCTACAAAGTGTTGCTAGTGTCACTAGCCAATGGTGCTCCACTAACGAGCAGAGCGAGATAGTGTCGATGGTGTCACTAGTCGATGGTGTCACTAGCCAATGGTGCTCCACTATCTCGCTCTGCTCGATAGTGTCTAGTGTCGATATAGAATCAGTGCGAATTTGAAAAGTTTGACAAGAAATTTATCAACTTTATCCTCAATTATGCAGTACAGGTATTTAGTGAGTAGAAGCATAGATTGGACAGCAGGAATAGGTATTGGAGTAGCGGCATATATCCTAGAGGAGAGAAGTGAAGAGAGAATGAGTTTGATAGAGCTTGTGAGGTGTAGGTTGAAAAAGGGAGTAGAAACGAAACAATAACCTACTCTTTTTTGCTCGACAGAGCAAAAGAGAGCAGAGAGTAGGTAACTATTTGTATAGTGAGTGGAATAGCCTTCGACTTCGTTTTAAACTCACTAGTCTCTACTTCTACTGCTCCATTAGGGAGCAAAGCGCATATCTTCCCAAGTGAAACAAAACATGTCTACAACTTGGTTATATAAAGCTACAATTATATAAATATATACCCAATTGATTATCCTTTTCTACTATTAACCCTAGCGACACTATCGACACTATCTCGCTCTGCTCGTTAGTGGAGCAACACTTTGTTTATTGATACAACCTTTTTTACAGTACAATAACTAAAGAAAAGAGTCAAGCCATATAAATACATCCATTTCTTATGCCATTTCTTATGCCGTTTCTTTTATTCCATATAAACACATCCATTTCTTCTCTCCCATTGCCTTATTTTTTTCTTTCAAACTATTAAGGTGCATAGTAAGGTAAACAAAACCAGGAAAGTTAAAACTGATACCTTTTAATATCTCAAGATTCCTTCTATAGTGCCTTAGAAAACGAAATTTGGCAATCTTTGTAAATCAACCATATAACCTCTTTGATGCTATTGAATAACAGTTACTAGAGTGTATAATAATACCCATTCTACTATACTCACAGATAGAGAAATCTGCTATAGAACCATCTATAGAGATCAACTATAGAACCACCTGTAGAACCACCTGTAGAACCACCTGTAGAACCATCTATAGAAGTCATATATAAAACTCATCTATAGAACACAGCTACACAACTCATTTATAGAACACAGCTACACAATTCATCTATACAGCTCATTTATAGAACACAGCTACACAATTCATCTATACAGCTCATTTATAGAACACATCTATACCTTTCAAGCGTCACTCGTCTCTCATCATCTATAAAACCATCTAATCAGTGCAGCTCCACTATCTCGCTTCGCTCTATAGTGAAGACACTGGAAAAAGTTGTAGTAAAAGAATTCGCACGAAAACTTTGATTAATTGAGACCCAGAGATTTATCAAGTAGACATTAACAATCACGTAACATCGAACCTAAAACTTGCAGACTAACCAATTCCTGAAATATTGATTCTGGAATAACCCTTGTTTTAGGTCAATTGTGTTTGTCGGATTCTACCCCCCCCACCCCAGGGTTTAGACTAACTTGGAAGAGGTTGCAATTTTCTAGATTTTGGTTTTGGCTGCAAAAAAAGGCTTTAAAATATATTGAACGATGTTGTTCTTGGTCACGTTGTTTATCAACTGCTCATATTGGTTAAACCGCAAGTTTCGAATATTGTCGGAGTTGCTCATTGGAAATATCTATGAGCCAAAAATTGATATTGTTTTGGTGACAGGAGGAACTAATGGACTCGGAAGAGAAATCGTGCTACAACTCGCAAGTAGAGAGGCCAAGGTTGTTGTATTGGATCTTATAATCCCCGCGGACAAGGATAAGGTGCCCGGTGTGGTATATTTCAAGTGCGATGTTAGTAATCGACAGCAAGTTTTGGATGCGCAAAGGGAAATTAACAGGGATGTTGGGGTTGTTACAGTACTAATAAATAACGCTGGAATTGCAACTGGCAAAACAGTGTTGGACCTTTCGTTCCAGGAAATAGAACGCACAATTCAAATTAACCTAATATCAAGTTTCTACACTATCAAGGCTTTTTTACCAAGTATGATGCTTATGAAAAGAGGCTATATCGTGACAATTGCATCCATTTTAGGTTATATGTCACCCGCAAGATTGAGTGCCTATGGTGCCTCGAAATCAGGGTTGATTGCCTTACACGAATCGCTCACTTACGAGTTGGGACCGCCTTCATTAAATCCACACGGTGTCAAAACTTTACTTATTTGTCCTGGTCAGTTGAAAACGGGCATGTTCACCGGCGTCAAGACCCCTTCAACAATATTGGCTCCAGAGTTGGATCCAAAATTTGTTGCAGCTTACGTGGTCCTGGCAATCGAACAAGGTCGCCGTGGTGAGATAAAATTGCCATTGTATGGTAAATTCATACCGCTTGTGAGAGCATTCCCATGGCCACTTGTTGAGTTGACCAGGAAACTTTCCGGTATTGACCAAAGTATGGTTAATTTTAAAAATAAGTTAACAAAGGTGGCTAGCAATGTTTCGTCAATAGCTAGTAGGTCCTTGCAAGGTTCAAGTAACGGATCGCCAGTGACAAATTATTTGTTTCAAAACGGACAAAACCAGTCATCCCCAGCCACAGTGTCCAACAATGCAAATTGAGAATATCGTCGCTTACTCAATTTTCAGTAAAATAGCTATATATACGACGCTCTCTGCCACCGACACTATCGACACTGTATATATATATATATATACAGTGTTCCTCTTTGATAACTGATTTTACAAGCGCGGAAATAAAAAGTACAAGACTACTTTGTAATTATGACTCGAGAATAACGAGATATAGGCCAACAGGTAAAATTTCAAAAAAAACATATATTTAATGAGTTCTCCTTTATCAAGATCTATAATCACCGTTAATGGTAATATACTCATGAGATAAGTCACAAGTCCAGAAATCTGCACTTTGCCCTCCGCCAGTGCCCAAATCAATTTCAACAATAAGATCCTCGTCTTGTAAAATTTCAGACGCCCTCTCCTCATCTACTTTTTCAGGCTCGCCGTTTGTGAGCAACTGCAATGGCAGACTTCCATCAATTGGGATGAATTTAACACTTGTTTTTGAAGGAATGACGGAGTTGTTCCCATTGGTGACATCTGCATAGCCAATTGCACACAATATACGTCCCCAATTTGCATCCTTACCGTACATTGCGGTTTTGAATAGCAGAGAGTTGGCCACACTCGAAGCAATTGATTTCGCATCCTTATGTGACAAGCCGTCCTTGACACGAATGGTTATAAACTTAGTTGCACCTTCTCCGTCTCTCACAACTAGTTGGGCCAACTCTTGGGCAAAAGATGTGATTTCCTTTTGCAAAGCGGCATACCTTTCGCCACATGACGCGTTGAGGTCAATTACTTCACCACCCGCTGCTCCGTTGGCAATAGCCGCTATAGTGTCATTTGTAGACATATCTCCATCAACGCTAATACTGTTGAATGATCTGTCAACAGCATATTTTAAAATCTGCTGCAATGCTGAAGGTGTCACGGGTGTATCTGTAACAAAGAATCCCAACAATGTAGCCATATTTGGACAAATCATACCAGCACCTTTGCACAAACCCGCTAATGTATAAGTATCCTCATTGAGTTTGAACTGTTTTGTGATTAGTTTTGGGAAAGTGTCAGTGGTACAGATTGCTTTTGCACAATCTATCCAGTGCTGGTGTGTGTTTCCAAGATGGTTCAAAGCGAGTTTAGGTATACCTGATAGTATATTGTCAATTGGCAACTTGTTCCCAATGACACCCGTCGACATAACGAGGGTGCTACTTGATTTGCTTTCGAGGACCGAGTCGGTTACAAGTACCATATCTTCAGCATCTTTGATACCTTGTAAACCAGTTACAGCATTGGCGTTACCACTATTGACCACTATTGAATTAATTCCAAACCCCTTGCTTTCTTTGAGTATCCTTTGCGATACTTGCACAGGAGCAGCTTTGAACTTATTAGTCGTAAAAACCGCTGCCGCAGAAGCCTCTTGTTCAGCAAATGTGTTGTGTAAAAGTGCTAAATCCAAACTCTCTTGATTCTTTTTAACCCCACAATGTATACCTCCAACAACATACCCTTTAGGATAAACGCCAGTCTTTGGTACAAACCTTGCTGCTTTATCTGATAAACAACGAGTAACAATCCTCATTACCTCGGGGCATTACCTACAACAACTATCACTTTTAGTTTTATACTTACCTTACTTCTATATGCGCTTATAGGATATACAATTTTTTCAATTCAATTTTTTTATTCTCATGCCGCTATCGGCTGGAAAAAAAGAGCGTTAGCGGCTCAGAATTTTTCAATGCTTTTTCAATGAAAGACCATAGAAGGTTGTGGTAAGTTTATTGAAGGTGAGACAGGCGCTAAATCACGTGTGACAGGTGAAGTCAAGATGGCAATATGCAAAGGTTTAGAATACCGAGGGTGAGCTATAGACTGTTGAGCAGGAGAAGCGACACTATTGAGCAGAGCGAGATAGTGGAGCATACTAGCTGCCACCGACATTCTCCTTTTAGAATACCGAGGGTGAGCTATAGACTGTTGAGCAGGAGAAGCGACACTATCGAGCAGAGCGAGATAGTGGAGCATACTAGCTGCCACCGACATTCTCCTTTTAGAATACCGAGGGTGAGCTATAGACTGTTGAGCAGGAGAAGCGACACTATCGAGCAGAGCGAGATAGTGGAGCATACTAGCTGCCACCGACATTCTCCTTTTAGAATACCGAGGGTGAGCTATAGACTGTTGAGCAGGAGAAGCGACACTATCGAGCAGAGCGAGATAGTGGAGCATACTAGCTGCCACCGACATTCTCCTTTTAGAATACCGAGGGTGAGCTATAGACTGTTGAGCAGGAGAAGCGACACTATCGAGCAGAGCGAGATAGTGGAGCATACTAGCTGCCACCGACATTCTCCTTTTAGAATACCGAGGGTGAGCTATAGACTGTTGAGCAGGAGAAGTTGTTTTCACTCCCTTGAGAGTTCACTAGTTGGTGCTAAATTATTGCACAGCGGTGTTGGTGCGCCAATTGGTGCTAAATTATTGCACAGCGGTGTTGGTGCGCCAGTTGGTGCTAAACCATTAATGCATGGTGGTGCTGGTGATGATTTTCTGACAATTTCGATATTCAATATTGACGAGGCGCTTATTGAAAATAAAAAGTCGACGAAATGGAAGGGTCTTTTAAGCAAATACTCACAAGCTGCTAGTAAAGATGACAACGATATGTGTTTGTCCATATTACATGACATGGCTGCATTCGTTGTCTGCAACTCGGAAGGTGGTGGGACCAACCAAGAATTTGTGCAATATATTGAATGCTTTCGAATCTGGTTGAAACTTGTTGTCAACGGCAAATCGTTTACAGTAATTACAAGGGTGAGAAAAGCCGTAGAAGATTATGAAAGGGTTATTCGTGAAAGACAAAAAATGGGACTCAAAAATGGATTTCAACAGCAAGAGGAAGATGATTTGGTTTTGGATATTCTAAAAGCTATATTGCTTTCATATCATTTGGCCAAAGAGTTTGGAAAAAGCTCTTTATTTACTGTTCCAATAGAAGAGTATTTTGCTCAAATAGCGATGACCTACAAAGTGGATTTGAATGGATTAAGGTCAAAATTGACCGAAAAGACCCTCATTAAAGCCCTTGATACTATTACACGATTCGATCAAGCAGAAACACATATCAAGACTGAATCTGATGAATTGCAGAAGAATCTGCTGCTGCTGCTGCTGCTGCTACCGCTGCCGCTGCCGCAGCTGCCTTTACCTAAACCAATCGAGTCATACTTGGAAGACTCTGGGGCTCTACAATTCCATAGGGCTTGTGATTATATACTTGAGAACAAATTCCAATGGAAAGGTGGTGAAATAAAAATTCCCATATACAAGTTTTACGAGAATTTAGAGAAACAAGAGAAGGGGGAGTTCATGACACAATATCTTCAGTTCAACACGATCAAACAAGCAAACTTGGAGAAATATTTACATCGAATAATCAAAAGCAATTTAAATAGCAATGAGCAAGAAAGACGAATGGCCTTTTTCAAAAAGGAGAAAAACTACATTGAATCATGGGTAGATTTAACCACATCTTATATAGAGGAGAACTTCAACTTTTCAGAACGCCCAGCTTCTCAAGATGAGAAACTACTTTTCCATTTTCAGCCGTTTTTCAAAGTTTTTCCTATGAAATCTATAATATGTCATATTATTTACACTTTGATGGGACGAGTAGGAGATAAAAGGATACCGCTTTCTGAATTGTTGGATAGATGGCGTTTTGTTTATGTGCGTCAAATTGCGACTCTGAGCTCAAGCAATATTAAAAACTTGGTTCTACAGTATACCCTGGAAAAATCATTTGACGAACTATCACACTTGATCCTTGACGCGGTGATGAAATCTTGCAAGATAAGATTGACGAATTCGGAGTTGAGTTTTCTTGAACAAGAAACCCCAAAGAATGTAATGATGCCGTTTCTTAGTTTAGGTAACAGTGGACATGGACATGAGCATGAGCATGAGCGTGAGCATGAGCATTATGCTTTTCGAAGTGAAGTAGAGCAACACTATACTAAAAGAGCTAGACTTATTCGAATACATCCAGCTTTAATAAGAGACTTGGAATCTACCTCATACTACGGAGAAGGCAGCAATTTCCCTCTTTTGTGTCCCCCTAAACAATGGATAGGACCAAAATCTGGAGGATATTTGAGCTATCCTGTTAATTTTGTTACTGGATTTGACAAATTGCAGCGTTTTTATTTGCAAAAAGCTCATATTCAAGGAAAATTGGATCGAGCGTTTCTTTGTCTTGATCAAATGGGGAAAACTGCTTGGTCAATTAATGGCAATATGTTGAAGGTGTTTAATTCAATAATGCAATTACCAAACGGATTTCTCAATGTGCCACGACCATTAACTAAGGGGAAGTGTACGCAAGAGGTGCTGGATTTGAATAATCAAAGGAAATTTTATGAAGCAATCAACAGGTTGGCAAATGCATATGGAATCAACGGAGATGCTTTTTATAACTGTTATATGTTTGATTTCAGAGGTCGAGCATATCCACTATCGATGTTGAATCATTATGGAGAGGATTTAATCAGATCGTTGTTTCAGTTTTATGAATCTCGCCCCTTAGGTAAAAGCGGGTTTTACTGGTTAAAGTACCAAGCGGCTTCTTTATTCGAACCAGGGAGTGAGGCATCTTGTGAACAGTTTTTTGAAAAACATAAAGAGGACATTATAAACTCAGCAAAAAGACCCTTGGACAATAATAATAATAATAATAATAATAATAAATGGTGGATGAAAGCTGACCAACCGTTCCAGTTATTGGCCGTGTGCTTTGAAATTGCAAATGTGTTGAAGCATATAGAGGAGAGTGGTGGTAATGGTGATGCAAAAATAGAGCAGTATCTTTGTCGTTTGCCAATCCATCAAGACGGTACTTGTAATGGGTTGCAACATTATGCTGGTCTAGCCAGAGACAAATCAGGAGCAAAGTCGGTTAATTTGATTCCCCTGGAGACAAAGCAAGATGTTTATTCGGAAATTAGAGATTTGGTTGAAAAAAAGATACTTGAAGATATAAACAAATTTGAAACTCAAGAGGAAATTGATAATGCCCGATTTAAGTTGGAAATATTGAGTAGAAAGATTGTAAAGAGACCTGTTATGACTAGTGTTTATGGAGTTAGTGGATTTGGAGCAAAACTACAGATCAAAAACGAGATTCGTGATATTGTGGATAATTTTGCGCAAAACCCATCACGATGCCAATATGACGAGTCGGTGATTTTTAAATTAAAATCATTTACTATGAAGGATGCGAGCTATTTAGTCAATAAGATCTTTGCTTCAATTGATGAGTTGTTTGTAAATGCTAAGAAAATTGAAAAATGGTTGGTTCATACTAGTGATCGGATCCTCAACAGCTATAACATAAAGACACTAGACTATCTAGCAAGCAAAAATTCCAAATTGTTAAACACTTATTTCAATAAACCAGTGAATTATTCTCCTATAAGTTGGATTTCACCAGTGGGATTCCCAGTAGTACAAGTTTATCGCAAACCATCAAACGCAACCACTCGGGGAAAAATGGGTTATTTTGTAATTGATAATACAGATAGGCATACACCTGCTGATAGACGCAAGCACAAATTGGCAATCGCTCCTAACTTTATTCATTCCCTAGATGCGTCACATATGGCTATGACATGTGACGCCGCAGTTAAAAATGGGTTGACATTTGCTTCTATACATGATTCATACTGGACTCACGCGTGTGATATGGAGAAATTGTCTTCAATATTAAGGGAGAAGTTTGTTGAATTGCATTCCTTTGATTATATGAAATGTGTGAAAGAGGATTTAGAGAACCAAGTAAAAAGTTCCTATCAATTGGTTTATTTTGAAAAAGAAAAGTATCGTGAATTGTATGAGAAAGTAAAAGAGATCCGTCGACAGTATGGAGAAAAGACAATTGCGCAGCAGATGAGTTCTGAATTGAGAAGTTTATCATCGATGTCTTATGAAGACCATCAAGTGCTGAAATTGATTAAACAGTATGAACCGATACTTTATTATGTTCAAGGAAGTAAAACATTTGAATACAACTCAAACTTTCCCATGCAAATTGATCGTAAGTTGAAGAAAAAAGTTCCTGTTTTCGTTCCTGTTAGAATCATGGATTTGCCGCTGAAGGGTGACTTGGATATCAACTTGGTGTTGAAGAGTAGATTCTTCTTCTCCTAACTCTAGTTTGGAGCTTTTTTAATCATTCTTTCCAATTCCCCAAATATCCTGTCCCGATGCATTGCAATAGGATCATTATCATCGCTTTTAAAAAAACGGTTTCGTTTGAACTTTTCTTCGCCTAAATCATCATCTTCTTCAACATCATCTTCCTCCTCCTCCTCCTCCTCCTCCTCCTCTTTTAAATTCATGTACCTTTCCATCTCGTCATAGTCCAAATACTCATCATCCCCCAGAAATCCAATACCATCTCGTGGTTCATATCCCTGCACATCCTGCACATCCTCATCCTCATCATTCTCTTCTCCGTCTCCTCCCTGTAGGTTTCCATAATCACCAATTTTCAATTTATCAAATTCTTCATCAAACGAGTCTAAATGTTCCAAACCCTCGGCGTCTTCATCACTAGGATAGTCATTTTGGTAAAATGATTCAGCGTTTGAATCCTCGTCATCTGTCAACACGCTGGGTTTTCGGTCCTGTTCATCTTCTTCATTGTTCAACAAAAAGCTCAGTTGATTTTCATCATCATCGTCAAAGAATCGTATGTATCCAATTTGCGTTGTTGGATGATTTGCCGAAGTTAATGGCTCACTTAGGTGGTATACATCAAATACATAATCTGTATTGTCTTCTTCTGTAGTATTTGTCAGCGAGTCTTGTAATTGCAGATCTTCATTGAAATGCACAACTTGTTCTGGATTTGATGGCGGCTCCTCATTGTATTTTGCATTTCCTCGTTTCTTACGTTTGTGACTAGCCTGGGGTTCAAGAGCAATATAATCCTCAACCATATTTGATAATTCATTCGGTAGATTTAGGTCCTCTCCAGTTTCTTCCAGAACATTTATCAGCGCTAGTGTCTGCGGGTCCGGCTGAATGATAAATCTCCGCTGTCTTATTTCTTCGTTGCTTCCATGCTCATCCTTCAACAATCCAGTTTGAGCTGCTGCTGTAGCCGCTGACGCTTCAGCCAAAATTGTTCTCTCGATATCGGCATATTCACTTGCCTCTGTACTCTTCAAATTATCCTCGGTCCTTGACAATTTAAATAAATAGTTTAGATTCTCAGTCGACCTAATGGATCTTGGAGTATGTACTGGTGAAGGACCCGGTGATGTTACTGGGGTTGATGGTTTTGATCGCTTGATAATTCTTGTATCTTCTAGTATCAAAGCTTGCAAGGGGTCCTGACCTCTTTTCCTTTTGATTCGTAGCACTTTCGGCGGCTGAGTAGACATCTTCTTCGACTCTTATTTAGCTGCTTCACTTGTTTAAAAGTGGTGTCCTACAATAAGATTGCTCATAATCAACCAAGGGAGGGGGTTTTTTCTTTTCAACAAGTTGTGGAGAGAAAATTGATAACGGCTTGATGTTGATGCTATTGACACTATCGACACTATCGACACTATTGACACTATCGAGCGAAGCGAGATAGTGGAGAGATACTTGGTAACGACAGTGAATGTAATTGGAGAAACACTTGGTAACGACAGTGAATGTAATTGGAGGGGTACTAAAGAGTTGGAAGAAACATTAGCGGCACTAGCGTCGCCTTTGGCCCCGCTAGTGCAAGAGTGAGAGTAGAATGTAGTAAATCAATTAAACCGTGGAGGAGGTCATTGTAGAATCTCAATGAGACTAGCGTTGTAGCGTTGTAGCATTGTAGTTTTGTAGAATCTTAATGAGACTAGCGTTGTTTTTCAGTTTACTAGTAGACGATGTAGATGGAGTACTAGCGCTGCTCCGATAGTGCTGCCTGTGTCGCTAGCAGAAGCAGTAGTAGCAGCAGTAGTAGCAGCAGTAGTAGTAGCACCTTTACCAAGGATTCCATCACCAGCAGCTACCGCTACCGGTGGTGCTAAGCAGAACCTTTACCAGGGTATTCCACCACCAGCAGCTACCGCTGCCGGTGGTGCTAAGCAAAAGTTGCCGGTGGTGCTGAGCTGGGTTCAATTATTTATACTAGTATGTATATTAAATATAACCGATGGGAATTGAGTAATTTCAGCTGCAACCTGAGCTTCAACGCCGAAACTCATCAAGATTCCCTTAATGACGCCGCATGGAAACCACATATAAAGCTTTGCTTTGTCCAAAGTATCCTGGGCGCCACGAGGACTGTTCAATTGATTAATCAACTTGTAATTGTTATCAACGAGAACAAAAGTACCACGGTGGTTAGTTCTCAAGTTATCCATTTGCTTATCGTAGAAACACTTCCACACGTCTCTGCAAACAAACTTCATTATATCCAAAATATCAACAATTTTGGTTCTTGAGTTCTTGTATAGGAGCACTTCAGCAATTTTCCACCCCAAATTGAAACCATATGTCTCTATGCGTAGTGTTATTTCGTCGCTATTTTGTTGCAAAAACTGCGAATCAAAAACATTTACTGTTCCTGGTAAGTCGTCTCGTATTTTGGATAGCTCTTTGTCTATTCTTGTTTGTTCATCCTTAGTTTCGTTGGTAGCTGACAAGTTTAAAACCTGTTTTGAGACGCGGATAGATGTAGGCACGATTTCCTGGAGAAGAAGCTGTAAAGAGGTATTTGCTATCTGAGACTGTTGATCAAGCAAGTCTTGCGGCATATCTAAAGCAAACCAAACAACAAAGGAAAGACAAAAGCAAGGACTAAAGTAAGGACCAAACCTGCTTGAAATGTTTATCAAGTGGTGATGCTTTTGCGCCCAGAGAGAATCTCGTGTGAAGATCACGTGATGAGTACCACTATCACTATCGAGCGTAGCGAGATAGTAGATAGTGCTCTCCTCTCTCTACTATCGAGTATATACTATCACTATCGAGCGTAGCGAGATAATGGATATTGCTCTCCTCTCTCTACAATCGAGTATATACTATCACTATCGAGCGAAGAGAGCTAGCGGAGAGGGATGTAGTATCAACGGAGGCTTCTCACTATCGACACTATCGAGCGAAGCGAGCTAGTGTAGATAGTGTCTGTGTAGACAGTGTTACACCACTATCTCGCTCTGCTCGATAGTGGAGCTCTGCTCGATAGTGTCTGTGTAGACAGTGTTGCACCACTATCTCGCTCTGCTCGATAGACAGTGTTACACCACTATCTCGCTCTGCTCGATAGTGGAGCTCTGCTCGATAGTGGAGCTCTGCTCGATAGTGTCTGTGTAGACAGTGTTGCACCACTATCTCGCTTCGCTCGATAGTGTAGATAGTGTCGATAGTGTCTATGTAGACAGTGTTGCACCACTATCTCGCTTCGCTCGATAGTGTAGATAGTGTCGATAGTGTCTGTGTAGACAGTGTTACACCACCATCTCGCTTCGCTCGATAGTGTTGATAGTGTTGATAGTGTTTCCATCCGGGATCCGGGATCCGCCGACCTGAAGTGTAACACGTGATCAAAGCTCGTGGCTCATTGATGATGATCGTGTACCACGCCAATTTTTGAAAACAATATGAAATTGTAATATGAATGCCATGGAAGTTTCGTGCACACTGTTCAAAAAGGTATATGTAATAGAAAAAATTGTTGAGCGTCTAAATTGCATGTTGGTGGAAGAGGTCATTTCGTAGCATAACAAACAGAGGTTGAAGAAAGAGATCTGAGACGTTGTGCAATGGTGGTGAAGATATGGCTAAGGAAAGTGCAAGGACCTTCAATGGTCCATTGAAGGTCCATTGAAGGTCCACTAAAGGTCTATTAAAAATCCATTAAAGGTCCATTAAAGGTCCATTAAAGGTCTATTAAAGGTCCATTTCACTACCAAACTCTAAGCCTTCGATACAATAAAGAGCAATTTACATGATTACCGTATTGTTCCATGTATTTTCATTCTCTGCTCTAGTGTCAGTAGCTTGCTACAACACTATCTCGCTCTGCTCGATAGTGGAACACACTACTCTCTTCTTCTGCTCCACTATCTCGCTTTGCTCGATAGTGTTGGTTATAATATTTGAGATAAAAATCTCCACGCAATTACAATTTAGGTATAATTTTTTCTCGCGCAAAAGTGCACTACTCTCCCTGTAAAATGTATGGAATCCTTTAAAATTATAAAAGTAAGTACTAAGAAGCTTTTAATTTAATTTTTCTTTTTGATGTAATTTTCTACATGAACAAATTAAAATCATTTTTTTGAAAGCGAGGTCACATCAAAACATCATTTATAGTATTTTTCATAGAAACAAGAAAACTCTTGTATAGCAGGATCATTTTAGTACCCGACTTGAAACTTATAGCTGCATTTTTCAATTGACACAAGGCATTTTTCTTTTTCATCCTCGTCACCCTTTGCCACCATTAGCTCCCTGCTTGTTTCCACGCCCTGCCTGTTTGAATTCTCGCCCCACCTCCACGCCCTTTCATATTTGAATTCTCGCCCCACCTCCACGCCCTTTCCTATTAAAATCCCGCGTTATTAACAAGTGGGCAGAAGCAAAGAATTTAGACACTCTACAGAATAGGGGGAGGATTCCATACTCTCAAACTTTTATTTTCGTATCCTCAACCCCATATCAACTAACCTGTATCAACTCCCCACCTCATATCAACTAACCTGTATCAACTCCCCACCCCATATCAACTAACCTGTATCAACTCCCCACCCCATATCCTCACATCTTTCATTTTTTCCTTACTTTGTCATAATACTCCAACATTTCTTCATAATAAGAAGAAAAGTAACATTTCTTCTCCAATATTTGTTCATTTTTTCATTTTTCATTAGACTATCATCACTGTTCTACTGTGTGTCCACGCAAATATTACTCACTTCATACAGTACTATTTCATCATTAGAGCCTTTTAACTAGAGAAAAAATCATACTGCTTTTTTTCCCCCCATTGACAAGATAGATTTACTCGGAGACTAAATCCTTGTTCACTATATTCCTTTTTTTCCCCTACCCCCTCGCCGTATTGTATCACATCCCCCTTGAACAAGAGCATTTTATTTCATCAATCATTTTGTATTATCAATAATTTTTCCAAACCTACCAAAAAAAAAAAAAAAAAAAACAAAAAAAAAAAAGAAAACAAAGTATAAACCCACTTCTTCTACTGCATTATAGCCCATGATGACGTCAGAACCGACTATTGGACTCTATAACTCCATATCCAACTCGAACCATAATGGTCAACTAAATCATATGTCGTCACAGCAGCAACAGCAGCAGCTACCCCCACAGCAGCCACAACAACAACAACAACAACAGCAGCAGACCACGAGTACAAATAATCTTGCACCTTCAATTCCCCCGGGTCTAATGCAAAGTAGTTTTCTTAATCAGGTACCACCGCCAATACCGCCACCGCAACAACAACAACAACAACCACAACCACAACCACCACAACCACCCCAACCTTCATCATCTGTAACGGGATTACTTAAGATTAGTAACTTGCCAGCTGACTTTACGCGAAGAGAAGCCACGTTGATTTTTTCCTTGGTGATTGGCGAAATCTTAAGCATCGATATTAATGATTTTCAAATTTTTGCATTATTTAGAGATATAAACACCTGCTTAACTACAGGTAAACTATTAGACGGTCAACGAATATTTGGATTTGAGTATCCGCCTATACATGTCGAATTTGATAATACTACCGGTAGTAGTAGCAGCAGCAGCAATGGAGCTAACATTGCGTCTCCTACTAATTTTGCCCAAACACAAGCAGCTTTCAATTCGTTGAGATTATCACCTGCAACACAAAATATATCACCACCTAATAGGAACAATAGTTTGAATAATAGTGGCCAGGCATTTAATCTTTCACAAACCCAAGCACAAGTACAAGCACAGCAACAGCAACAGCAACAGCTGGCCCAATCTCAATCTGGTATTGGTTCTGTAACTAATCCAGTTGTACCATTTGATATTCTTCAGAAGAGACAATCAACAAGTAACCTGAGATCAAGGTTTGTTTTCACTGATCCATTTTCTTCCGAGCAGCAGCAACAGCAACAGCAACAGCAACAACATCAACATCAACATCAACATCAACATCAACATCAACAACATCAGCAACAGCAACAACAGCAACAACAGCAAAACCAACAGCACCAATATTCATTACATTCATTACAGTCATTACCCGAAGCTCATCATTCATCGGGCTCATCTAGTGTACCTCCCACAGGATCTGATTTTCTTGAGCCAAGCGGGAAATCAATTTTACTCATGGAATCACAAAATGATGCAAGAGACTATGAAAATTTGGTGAGAGATTCATGGTCAAGTCAGCCTACTGGTTCAAATATTGCAACAAAGAAAAGTCCCATTGTTCATCCTAACGCAGATTGGTTTTCTTCTAGCAGTAATGCCAACGGTACAAATATGGTATTATCGGCTCCTCCAGATAGGCGTCGCGTGTCATCATCTTTTTTCAATCCACAACAGCCTCAACCTCAACAGTCTCAACAGTCTCAGCAGTCTCAGTCTCAACAAGGGTCAACTCAGGGGCAGCATAGTAATTCAGTAGGGATTAATTTGCAACTGGGTGCTTGTACGACTGGATTGAGACAACAGACTCTAGTACAACAAGAATATCAACAGAAAGGGCCACAAACTGTGACTCTACATTACAGTCAACCGACTCAAAAGAGATCCACATCTCCTACACAGCAGCAACAGCAACAACAGCAGCCGCAACAACAACAACAACAACAGCAACAACAACAACAACAACAACAGCAACAACAACAACAGTCACAACAACAACAACAACAGTCACAACAGCCGCAGCAGCAGCCGCAGCAGCCACAGCAGCCGCAACAACAACAACAACAACAACAACAACACTCAAATTCCTCAACAACACGCGTCAATACATCTTCTTCTTCTACATCTTCATCCAAAGAAGCCATTCCAGATTTGTCTCTTTTGGCAAGAGTTCCACCACCAGCAAACCCAGCAGATCAAAATCCACCATGTAATACTTTGTACGTTGGTAATTTGCCTCCTGATGCCACTGAAGCTGAATTGCGTACTCTATTTGCTCCACAAAAGGGATTCAGGAGATTATCGTTTCGTACAAAGAACTCAACCAATGGATCTTCTTCAACCACGGGTAACAACGCAACAGGGGGGTCTACACATAATCATGGACCCATGTGTTTTGTTGAGTTTGAGGATGTTGCACATGCCACCAGAGCATTGGCTGAATTATATGGGAGTGCATTGCCTCGACCTAATCCTAACAGCAATGGCAAAGGAGGTATTAGGTTAAGTTTTTCTAAAAATCCATTAGGAGTAAGAGGTCCTGGAAACATGAGGAGGACCAGCACTAATCCATTACTTCAACAAGGACAACTATTGAATAATGAACAGGGACTGGTTACTAATGGAGGTTCAACCTATGTTGGATACAACTACTCAAAGTAAAAACCATATTCACTAAAAGAAAGAGAAATATTTAAAGGGAAGAAAGAGATTTATTCATTTTTGTTTCTAAACCATTAGAGGTTTCTTCACTTTTTTTTTTTTTTCCCCATTTCCAACACAATATCATGAATTTTTTACATTATTATTTTCCTTTACTCGTTGGTATAGACATTTTTTATTTGAGCTTTTTTTGTTTTTTTCAATCAGTATATTGGCTTTGATATATTTGTTGGTATCTGATTCAACTTTATATGCTTTATATGTTGTAATATTAATCAATTTTTTTTTTTTTTTTTTTTCTCTTTGGAAGGAACCTTTTGGTTTGATAGGATCAGGACTAGCTTTTACACGAGAGGAAGAGATAGAGAACGACCCAATATACCGACCGCTTCACCTATTATATATTACATGTGCTTTAAAGCTTAGAGCCACAGAGTTGTCGGTGGCAGCTAGTGTTGCCGATACTAGCGAGCGAAGCGAGCTAGTGGAGAAGCATTTAGTGTCGGTGGTGGCTAGTGTGCTCCACTATTTCGCTTTGCTCGATAGTGTCAATGGCAGTTAGTGTTGCTCCACTATTTTGCTTTGCTCGATAGTGTCGATAGTGTCAATGGCAGTTAGTGTTGCTCCACTATCTCGCTTCGCTCGATAGTGTCGATAGTGTCGATAGTGTCGATAGTGTCGTTTTCCTTATAAATATATAAATTCTAATATTCATTTACTTCATCAATTTAATTAAATCTTTAGGATCAGCATAAACTTGACTCAACCATTTCGTTTCCAACAATTGATCGCTATTTAATCTCTCAAGGGCATTAGGATTAAGAATCTTTAATATACAATCCCTTGAATCATAATGCAATCTTTTGAACAATTGAAGTGCAGAAGAGTCATTAACTGATCTGTTATTATTCAACTCCAGTATTAAACTCTTCCATTCTTGTGAAGACTTTGGGTAATTGCGGATATATCTCTGGAATGTTTTGTTTTTAGGATCCTGCGAATTTGCCGAAGTCCAAGGACATCTCATTAGGTATATAACAAAATAATTAATTCCTAATGCCCATAGATCTACGAGCTTGTAATCTTGAAAATTATGTGATGACTTTATGAATTGGTTTACACTAAGTCGATCTTGATGAATTTCTTGTTCCAAATCAAATACTTCTGGAGCTTTGAAGCTATTTGTTCCTGATACTATTTCACGTGGGTCAATCTTGAATGAGTTACCAATTGCTTCAACCTCATTCAAATTTAAACTATATCCGAAATCCGAAATCTTTACTTCTCCATTGTTATCAATCAAGATGTTTTCCGGCTTCAAATCTCGATGAGCAATGTTCTTTCTATGTAGGTAGTTTACTCCCTTTACAATCTGTTTGAACAATGAGTCTTTGATACTTGGCGTTATTTCAACATTGAATCTTCTTAGGTTTGAGAGGAAATCTAGAAGATCGCCACGTGGATAGTATGGGATGACAAGAGCAAGATTTTGAGACAGTAGTTGCTTGGAGCCAGCCATATTTTGTGAATCAGTTCCCGTTGCGTCAATCTTGCAAAGATCAAGTACCGGCATTATACTTTTATGATTACACCGTCGCATGTTTTCGTATTCTCGATATACAACATTTAGGTACTGCCTAAATGGTTGATGTGGTTTGTGTTTGATTTGCTTAATTACTAGTGTTTGTTTACGTGAATCGTCTGTTCCCTTGAAAACTATGCCATTTGCTCCTTCATATATGGGCTTTGATGACGCTTTAAAGTATTTGGTGCCGACTCTAGGTAGGTGTTGTAATTCCTCTATATCTTGCTGATCAATAGTCGACATCTCTTTCTTATAAAGCTCTTTCTTATGAAGCTCTTTCTTAAAAAGCTCTTTATCAAGTATCTGTTTGTATCTGTTTAAGGGGGAATGTTGGTCCGCAGGGGACAAATTTTACTTGACTAATTTCAAACGTAAAGGGGGGTGGGAGAATGAAGTATAGAAGGGAGAAGATGCTTTAATGAATCTTTGTAACTTATATACAAGAGAGGTGGGGGTGTGCGTGTGCGTGAAGCAGCGACTTACGAATACTTACGTTCTCCAGCTTCTTCAGTATTCCTCACTGTGTTTGTCTAACTTTGTCTTTGTATATGCTTCTTCTTGCTAAATCTCTCTCTCTCTCTCTCTCTATCTATCTTTCTCTTATTTTGCCTCTGCGTTTATATCACTTTATCTCTTCGCCAAGGACACCATGTGCATCTCGGATGTTTTTTAAACTAGAAAATTTACACAAGGTTTTTTTTTAGCGGTTAATTTTTCAACGAGAAAAGGCGCGTATGCACATCATTTATATAAAAAAATAAGAAAATTTCATAAAGAAGATTGGTTAGCGATATGGAAAACCAATGGGAATCTAGTCCAGATTTGGGCAAAGATGGCATAAGAGATAGGTAAGGGAGAGGGGAGGGAGGGGAAACGTTAAATGAGTTGTTGTTGGACAAATTTAAATAAATACAGCCTATAAATTTCACAGTCTCTATATGTTAAAGCTAATGAAAATAAACGGATTATGGTTAGTATTCATTTGACATCTGATTGAAAATGTTGGTGGTTTTAGACCCTTGATAAAAAAAAAATTAGAAAAAAAACAAAAAACTTGAGACGGAAAAAAAATGCCATTTGCAAAAATGTTTGGTGGGGAATAACACGTAAAGGAACATTGCAGATAGGGACATTGTAGAGGAACATTACAGATAACAGCATTGTAGAGGAACATTACAAATAACAACATTGTAGAGGAAGATTACAATGGAATACTACTATAATGTAGATCCTACTTGTACAAATATCGGATAAATTTTTTAAAAAAAAAATAATTTTTTTTTTGGCAAACAACTCAGGTTGTAAGGTATTACATTAATTCTAATAGGCTTCTATTTAGTTGAATATAACTTGTAAATTTGCTCTTTTATATTTGCAAGGAGAGTTTAATGTCATTAAAGTATTTTTATGCAGTGTAATAAAAAAGAAACTAAAAATGTATAGAGAGAGACAGAGAAAGAAAGAAGAGAAGAGGCTGCATTTATAGTCATCTCAAGATGAATGAGAGACTATAGAGCAGAGCGAGATAGTGGAGCAACACTCTGTAGCTTTTTGCAATGCTATTTTTTTTTCTGGGGCAGAAACAAAGAAGCTTGTCCAATTTAAGGGGGAGGGGAAAGGTAGAGTTTACTGGGACATGACCTCGAGACTAGAGCAAAGCGAGAGAGTGAATTTACCGGGATCTGACCATTATTCAAGAGATTAGATACTATTAGCGACACTATCTCGCTTCGCTCAATAGTGAATTCAAGAGATTAGATACTATTGGCGACACTATCTCGCTTCGCTCAATAGTGAATTCAAGAGATTAGATACTATTGGCGACACTATCTCGCTTCGCTCAATAGTGAATTCTCTTTTAGTGGATTTGCTTTCACCTATTACCCTATTAAGAAGTCTACGTTAAATAGCAAGTGACGTATTTGATCAAAAATGTTTAGTTTCTATCCTAATTGGGACAAAGAATAAAAACTGCCAATTTTGCTTTCTTTTGTTTATTTACAATTGCTATTGAAATGACTTTAGTAATGAGGCTGAACAAAAGGCATCAACTACATAATATTGTCATTCATAAGATTGTCAAGTAAACCTTTAACTCGACTCCATATAGTTGGACCAAATGATAGCTATCCTCTCCCCCCTCCCCCTCCCCCCGGTAAAAACGAGCTATTTTTTGTAATCAGAATTCAATATTAATGATCATTATCTCCTTGTTTGCTATTAAGCTTACAAGTCTTAGCAATAAGTAAATGACGCTTGAAAATGTAATTGTTCCTTGAATTTTCCAGCAAATTAAAATACAAAGAAACAAATAGCCAATATGACATGACATACATATATACAACCGTACAATAGCCTACAAAAGGCTTTCTATTAAATCCGTGTATTTCTAAGATGCTACTTACTTACCCTCCACCTATTTCAATTTACCTACCCTCCACCTATTTCAATTTACATACCCTCCACCTATTTCAATTTACATACCCTCCACCTATTTCAAATTGTAGTGACTATCTACATACAAGTCTATGTATACAAGTCTATAGTTGAAACTTGAAATGGTCTTTATTGTATTAACACATCAAGCTGCGTCTTTGTTTTCTTTTTTCCCTTGTTGCCCTGGGCTGCTTTTTTTTTTTTTTTTTTTTTTTTTTTTTTTTTTTTTTTTTTTTTTTTTTTTTTTTTTTTTTTTTTTTTTTTTTTTTTTTTTTTTTTTTTTTTTTTTTTTTTTTTTTTTTTTTTTTTTTTTTTTTTTTTTTTTTTTTTTTTTTTTTTTTTTTTTTTTTTTTTTTTTTTTTTTTTTTTTTTTTTTTTTTTTTTTTTTTTTTTTTTTTTTTTTTTTTTTTTTTTTTTTTTTTTTTTTTTTTTTTTTTTTTTTTTTTTTTTTTTTTTTTTTTTTTTTTTTTTTTTTTTTTTTTTTTTTTTTTTTTTTTTTTTTTTTTTTTTTTTTTTTTTTTTTTTTTTTTTTTTTTTTTTTTTTTTTTTTTTTTTTTTTTTTTTTTTTTTTTTTTTTTTTTTTTTTTTTTTTTTTTTTTTTTTTTTTTTTTTTTTTTTTTTTTTTTTTTTTTTTTTTTTTTTTTTTTTTTTTTTTTTTTTTTTTTTTTTTTTTTTTTTTTTTTTTTTTTTTTTTTTTTTTTTTTTTTTTTTTTTTTTTTTTTTTTTTTTTTTTTTTTTTTTTTTTGTTTGGTTTTTTTTTTTTTTTTTTTTTTTTTTTATTTATTTTTTTATTTTTTCTGCTTCTGCGCCCTAAAACTCCAGCCCTTTAAGCCTAAATCTCCGCCGAACCCCCTACCGCCCCCTTCCCCCTCGCACCAAAAAACAAAATCATCAATATATAAACAGCAATCTTTATTGCTAATATAGAAGGGAAAAAAAAAATAGAGAGAAAGCAAAGGTATACTCATTTTAAGTGAAACTCGTTGTTATATAAGAGTCCATTATTTCTTCATCGAGCCATTTATAAGAGCCATTGCTAAGATTATCAAGAGGCTCTTTCAACCAAGACTATATAATCGCCAAAAACAGCTAACAGAGAGTAACGAAAAAGCCAAAGAGAGCAAAAGAGCAACAAGAAAAGAGAGTGAGATTCAATCATGAGAATATTGACAATTATTCCGTTTTTCTTCCTTTTAGGGTCGGCATTGCTACTTATCCTTACCATTATCAATGGAGCGGGAACATCCTCGGTGTTGGGCAAATTTTACTGGTCAGAAACTGATACTTCAGGCTTGAGCGGGGCGCCAGGTGATCGTACAAGATGGACTTTTTACAGAACTTGTCAAGTTGAAAATGGCCATAATGCCAATTGTGGCAGCTCTAAAGCAGCTTATCCGTACTCCCCAAGGGACAATTTCGGAGATTCGCCAGATTTACCAAGCAGCTTTAGAGATAATAGGGACACTTACTACTACTTGTCACGCTGTGGATGGGCATTTATTCTTATTGGGTTGTTCTTTGTTGTTGTTGCACTTTTCTCGATTCCTTTGAATTTCTGTTTTGTTATCGGCGGTACCATTTCTACGATTTCGACTTCCCTTTCATTATTATTCACCATTACCGCTGCTTGTTTGATCACCGCTGCCCACGTTAAAGGAAGAAACGCATTTAACAAAGCCGGTTATCACACTACATTGAGCGCCAAGTCATTTGGTATCTTATGGGCAGCTGTTGCTTGTTTGATTATTTGCTTAGCAACTTCTATTGTTGCAATTTGGGGAACAAAGAGAGGCAACAGAAAGAGATTTGGAACTGGTGTAGCCGGTTATGACCAAAGAAATGGCGTTAATGGAGAGCAAAATGTATATGCAAAAGAAAGTTCTGGCGATTACGCACAAGGAAACTATGACGAATCGGCAAATAGAGGTGTCGTAGCAGGTGAAGGAGAACCCATTTCTGATGCTTCAAAATTCAGATTCTTTAGAGTGAAAAGAGCCAAGCCTGAGGAAATCTAGAATTTGAAAGCAAAAAAACACCTTTAACAAACGTCCATTGACTGTTGATGATGATGTTTGATTTGTCCCAAAATGGCACGAAAAACACCTTTAACAAACGTCCATTGACTGTTGATGATGATGTTTGATTTGTCCCAAAATGGCACGAGTGATATCCTTTTTATATGCTATCGTTAAAAAGTTCCAAAACCGAAAAAAAAAAAAATGAATCCAAAAGGAAAAAGTGAAAAAAGAAGAAAAAACTCCACGATTTACTTCACATTTTAATGCTAATTTAACCTCATATCATTTAATTGTAATTTGTTTATAATCTATTCTTGTATACGTTATTTAATTTGATTTTTCGAAAAATTGTGTAAACTAAAAAGAATCTGTATGAAGAAGGATATGGAGATTTATAGAACGGCGATGTTTTGCTTATACATTATTTATATATATGCTTTAGCAAGATAGCGACACTATCGAGCAGAGCGAGATAGTGGAGCACACTAGCTCTCATCAATATTATCGAGCACACTCGGTGTCAGTGTAGTCAGTGCCTGTATAGTCAGTGCCTGCTAGTCAGTGCCTATATAGTCAGTGGCTGTATAGTCAGTGCCTATATAGTCAGTGGCTGATAGTCAGTGCCTGTATAGTTATAATGCTCCACTATCTCGCTCCACTCGGTAGTGTCGTAACTAGAATTGTCCGCCGGTGGTCTCACCTCAGCCAGTCACTATGGTGGTGACCAATGGCATAACAAAGCCAAACTTGCCACTAAGCAATACTTGTGGCTAATAAACTCTCGAGACGAACCAGAAGAACATTTTTTAATATCGGATAAAAGCTTAATATGTTATGCATGATTTTGTGTTGTTACAAAACACAAAAAATAAAAGCTTCTATGACACTTTGACACAAACAAAAAAAGTTGCAAAAGTTTCCTAAATATTCAAAAACCAACCAAATTTACAAAGATAGATGTTCAATTACAGCAGTTTTATCCAGGAACCTTCTATTCAACACAGTCTTGAGGTTTTATTATTATTTTTTAACATTTTTTTCTAAAAAAAAGCATTTGAACAAACAAAGACTACAGAGCAAAATACATAACCGTACTTCATTTGACATCTTCATGCTTTGTTTCACCAACCAAGAATCAAAAAAGAAAACACCCGCAAGATAGTTTAGCCTTTGGATTTTGCAGCTTTCGTGTTTAGCAGGTGGTTGTTGTTCACTGGACCCTTTCGTTTCCTTTCTTTTTTTTTTTTTTTTTTTTTTTTTTTTTTTTTTTTTTTTTTTTTTTTNGCTTTCGTGTTTAGCAGGTGGTTGTTGTTCACTGGACCCTTTCGTTTCCTTTTTTTTTTTTTTTTTTTTTTTTTCTTTTTTGAATGTCTTCATCTGATACTGAAACGGTACCGGCTACAAGATCCACTAGTGGTAACAATTTCATTGAGTTTCCATTTCATGACGATTTATTTCCCCAATTGCAGCATAACCACAACCACCATAATCATAACCAACAGTTTCCCCTCAATGAACCAACATCTCAATTACCTTTTTTGCTACCTTTCCACAGTCAATATCCACTTAATGATGATCAGGATATTACATATTTGCAGGAACAAGAATGTGCTAATAGCCAGCAGCAGCAGCAGCAGCAGCAGCAGCAGCAGCAGACACAACACGTGATGTATAACCGGGCATTGTTGGCTGATATATTGAGTGGAGACATTCATGATGGAATCGGCATGCAACAGCAGGATAGGGAGAGGTTTGCTCCTGTTAGCCAAAGTGATGCAAACTATTACTATAATGAAGACTTTTCGGAAACGTTACTGCGCCAATCTCAAAGACCTCCTCAAGAAAGCACAAACACATATAATGGTATTAATCTTGTTCCTAACCAATCATTTCTAACCATTACTTCAAATGTTATACCTGATGATCTAGTTCAATTATTTCAGGAGTATGGTAATATTAGCGAGCACAGCATTGCTGCACAGGATCATGCAGTTTCACAGGATCTTGATAATTACGACGAAGAACCAAGCATGCAGAGGTTCGAGCCAGAGTTGAATGCAACAACTGCAAGTAGCATTTCACCGGAATCCTATGGATATATGAAGTTCATACTTGACTCTTCAAACGCTCCTATTGACGGTGGATTTATTAGTGAAAATAGTAGTAATGAGAATTTCAAATTGAATAGCCCTTCTCAACCTGTTGAATTGACTCATGATCAAGTTATTGAATTGTTTGAAGAGACATGCAAGGAGATTGATGAATGGAAAACTAAAACTCAAAGGAGTTCAGCAGCAGCAGGAGCAGCAGCAACAACAAAAGTAACAGCAGCAAAAGTGAAAAATGATGATATCATTGAAGATGTGAAATTGAGCAAATTGAAACTCAAAACCGACGTAGACCCTTTGGTTTCAAGTAATTCACCATTGGTTCATCCTGACCTAGATGCGGCTCATTTAATGAATATAGTTGATGAATGGAAAAAGATGGAAATGAACCGCAAAGAAGAAGATGCCGGTGTGGGGGGTGTAAGTATGGGTGGTGCCGGTGCTGGTGCTGAAAAATTAAAGGATCCCATTACAAATATGCCATCTGCGTCAACCTTTATTAGTTCAACGACAACAAAAAGATCATCATCAGTAAGCTCTTTAAAATCAGATACTCAGCTGCATCTATCATTCAACCAGAATCCGTTAAGTTTCATATCAACATTGAGTTCACCCTTGGATAAATCAAACACCTCATCAGGTATTTCAACCCCTAGAAGGAAGAGAAAGACTGATGCAACCAATAACAACAACAGCAGCAGCAACAACAACACAAAACAAGTCAAAAAGAAAACTAAGGGAGAAACTTTGTTCAATAACAATTTCAATAAAAGTTTTTTTGAAGCTACTAATGTTGATTTGTCCCTGCTTGAAATCATCTCAGTTGCTGATGAGGAATACTCTGCAAAACTACCAACAACTTCACCAAATATTCCCGATGCGAAGCATTGTTTACAATTGATTGAAAAATTGATCCACCCGCTTTTTAACTCCCAAACTTGTCGAGTTCGAAGAACAATGTACCTTCGAGACTACTTGGTTGATATATTCCGTACTCACTTTAGCAAAACCTATAACCTCTCTCCCAATGCCAACTTTAAGAAAACATCATACGAGTCTCAATATATCTTGACGAAATTGGACAAGTTTGGAAAACCCGATAACGCAACTCGTGCTGGTCTTTGCCCTTACTGCGAATCAATTGAGTTTTTTGGACTCAAAAACTCGTCCTATGGAAATCACTTGGCTTACAAACACGGTATTTTAACCAATGGTAAGGCTGTTCCTGATCCCAAATACCACGGTTTGTACAAATTCAAAAAGGGCGAATACGATGAACCAGAAAAAAAAAGACGAAAGACCAATGCTCATATTTTGGAAAGGGAAGGAGTTTTATGCACAACGTGTTGGCAAATCCTAGAAGTCAATTGTACTTCAAGATCATCTGTTTTGGGGCATTATCTTCGTCATTTTAGAGACTCTCATGTTGGATACAAAAAAGAAAACAAACACTTGGCTGAAGAAAGTAATGGTGAGTGTACGAATCATGATGATACCAACAATACAAACACGAATTCACCATTTTCGCTGACTAAAGATTGCGACAATATTGTCCTGGCTTTCATTAACAAGTGGAAATAAAACTCAATTGTTGGGTTATATAACTATAGATCTCTTTTGGTTTAATTTTTTTTTCTCCTTGCATTATTGCTACTATTCTTTCATTAAACGACAGTATAGCTTTGTTGAATACTTGTAGCGACACTATCGAGCGAAGCGAGATAGTGGAGAGCACTAGCTGCCACCGACACTATCGGCACCGACACTATCGGCACCGACACTATCGGCACCGCCACTATCGACACCGCCACTATCGAGCAGAGCGAGATAGTGGAGCACACTAGCTGATACCGATCGACACTATCGAGGAAAAAAAAATAGTTTACACCGGTTTGATAAAATGCTCATACCAGCTGCTGTTGAGAAACCGATACTCCACCACTATCGAGGGAGGCGAGATAATGTCGATATCGCCGAGAGCTAGTGTGCTCCACTATAGAGCAAAGCGAGATAGTGTCGATATCGTCAAGAGCCAATGTGCTCCACTATAGAGCAAAGCGAGATAGTGTCAATAGTGCTAAGAGCCAGTGTGCTCCATAATCTCTCTTCGCTCGATAATGTCGATATTGTCAAGAGCCAGTGTGCCCCACTATCTCGCTTTGCTTGATAGTGTCACTCGATAGTGTCACTCGATAGTGTCACTCGATAGTGTCACTCGATAGTGTCGATAGTGTTGCTACTATGGACACGCTCTCTTCCATCATAAAGACATATTCCTGCATTGGAGTTTTGACTTTGTGCTTCTGCAACCATCTGTCATTATGATCTCCGCTACCATATGCTTATCTTGAAATTTACAGCGAAACAAAAATTAAAGGCGTTTTTTTTTTCGCAGCCACAGTCAAACGAGACAATACAAGATTGAGATTGAAAAGAAACCACAACGAGTTATTGTGGGAGCAAAGATTATGTACAGTTGCAGATGCTGAAAAAGTGCACACACGGGTTATGTTTGTGGCTTTTGACTATCAAAAAAGGGCCCTTCTCTGCCACCCCCCTCCCAACAAATTGTGAGTGAGAAAAAAAAAAAAACAGGATTAGCCTTATCAAAATTAATAAAACATGTCAAAATGTCCGCATTAATCTTCTCCACTATCGAGCAGCACTAACTGACTGACACTATCGACACTATCGACTGTTTTTCCTTTTAAATCTTTACTTTTGACTTTACACAAATTAGAAATGTACCAAACTTGATGGAAAACTCAATAAGCGTAACGGTTAATCCAAGGTTAATTGATTAAATTACAAAAAATTTATTATTGATAAGAAAGCCACCTTTTTTGAGAATACTGAAAAATTTGTATTCATATAAAAGTATTGCAATAAACCTCGAGATGTAATGATATTGATACTGCCATTTGTAATAGTCACAACCCAGCCCTGGCTTCCTCCCCGTTCACTGCCCCCCCTCCCCCCCCCCCCCCCTGTATTACAATGTTAAAACAAGAACTGAAAGAGGATCACCAGATCAGTTTCACTAGCGAGTCATTTCAAAATGAGCTATTTGATTATTCCCACCAAGATATTGAAGAATCGAATGAAATCTTCTACCATGAAAATAGGTTAAGCTCCAGTTTAAATGCTCGTTTAATTGGAATGATCTCCCTAGTAGGAGTCTTTGGTACGGGAATGTATGTAAAGAAAGTTCCCAATATCAGACAATAGAAACACTAGTGAATATTAACAATTAATCTTTTTTCTTTTTTTTTATTATTATTATAGTTTTCTTTCAAGCGGAGGTACTTTGGCCACTGCAGGTCCAGTTGGAATGATCCTTGCATATGTTCTTGTGGGAACAGTGGTGGCTGCCAATCAGATTTGTATGGTGGAAACCTCGTGTTTTTATCCAGCAACTAGCTCTTACGTTGCACAATCGGAACAGTTCATTGACAAGTCACTAGGATTTGTATTTGGAATTTGTAGTACTTACAATTCCCTTATACCGGGGGAATTGACAGCGACAACTGTCATCATGACATATTGGACAGATATTAATCCAGCAGTGTTTATTACTATTTTCGGACTATTTATTGTTGCTACAAACATTTACAAGGTGAGATGGTATGGAGAAATTGAATTTTTTTTTGGCATATTAAAGTTACTCTTATGTGCTGGATTGATTTTGGTTGGGTTGGTCATTGATTTGGGCGGTGCTCCAAACCAAAAACGATTGGGGTTCCATTATTGGAAAACACCAGGTCCATTTGCTGAAAAGTATGCTTCTGGGTCGTTGGGCAAATTTTTAGGTTTTTGGAAAGCCGTAAGCTCGGTTGTTTACGCTTTTGGTGGCCTCCAGAACATTACCATGTTGGCAGGCGAGACCGAGTACCCAAGAAGAGCAATTTATCGTGCCGGTAAAAGAATCATGACCAGAGTTCTTTCGATTTATATCATTATGGTATTTATCCTTTCAATGATTGTTCCATCTAACGATAAGATCATTGCCCACCCTAATGGAACAGCCTCTGGTTCGCCTTGGGTTAGAGCCGTTAACCTTGCCGGTATCAAAGTCTTGCCTCACATAATCAATGCAGTCGTGTTAACGTCTGCTTTGAGTGCAGCAAACTTGGGTATAATCAAATCTAGCCGCAACATCTTTGCCCTAGCTATCAAAAAGCAACTACCCTCAATTTTTTTAAAAGTCAACAGACACGGTTTGCCCTATGTTGCTGTTGCGTTCTCGTGTGCTTTTCTCCCCTTGGGTTACATGACAGTTAACAAGTCTGCAGCCACAGTTTTCCTGTGGTTTCAAAACATTGGCTCTTCCGATCTTTTACTAACATGGATCGCTATTGCAATAAACCATATTGCTATGTCCCGAGCTATGAAAGCACAAGGATATTCTAGAAAAGATTTACCTTACACTTTCCCCATTGGAAAATACTGTGGTTACTACTCTTTGTTTTTTTCAATATTGTTCTTATTGACCGGCGGATTCCCTGCTTTTATTCATGGTTATTGGAATTTCGCTACTTTGTTTAGTGCCTATTTCGTGATACCATTAAGTTTGGGTTTGTTTATTTTTGCGAAATTGTTCTTCAAAACAAAGTATATCAAGCCCAGCGAAGTTCGTTTGAAACCTTTGTTTTTCGATGTACAAAATAGACCAGAGCCACCTTATGAGAAGCTACACGGCTGGCAATGGCTTTCATTGTTGTGGGGGTAAAAGAGTATTAAAAAAGAAGGGAGGGAAAAAAAGTAACTGTAACTAGGTTTCGAGTTATTTCCTCAATATTTGACAAGAGAATAAGAGTCAACTAACTAGAGCTTTATCTTGCTATTATCAGATCAGATCTGATCCAATCTACTTTTTAGCACCGTATCTAGAAACAGTTTTTCCATCAGGGATTGTAAATAACACAGCAGGTTGGCCCTCTTTATATGGAACATCCACTCTGTAGTAACCTTTTCTCTCAAATTGGATAATATCACCAGCTTGGAGTTTTGCCACATTCAAGTCGGCAATTGCCTTTGTATGGAATTCAGTTTGTGGTGTAAGGAAATCTTCAAAATTTTCGTCTTCATCTAATTTATCCTTAGTAATCAAGTGATCGAAATCAACCAAATCAATCTCGATTTTATCCTTTGTATCGGCCAACCAAGTAAGCTTTTTAGAAGTCTTACGGAAATCACCTTCCAAATGCAAATTTGCTTCGATTGATTTAACAATATCATTTTCTTTCACAACCTTTTTAATAATGACATTACCCCAGTCCATAAACGTAACTTCTTCGCCTTCAGTCAAACTGGCGGCATCAGCCTGGTCAATAAGAACTTGGCTGGCAAAGATGACGGATTTCTCCCCAACTTCAGGATTTTTCTTGTGTTTTGGTTTAAGCTCCGAGTATGGTTTTTCTGGACCATTCAACAATTTAACTGGAACAACATTTTCAGCATCAATAGCAGTGAATCTTGGAGCAATAGGGTCAATTACTTTTTTGTTCAATGCCCAGATAACTGACCAGTCCAAATTGATGATATTCCTTGATGGTCCTTGTGAAATGATAAAGTTTCTCAATCCTTCAACAGTCATTCCTCTTCTTCTCACACCTCTAATAGTTGGAAATCTGGGATCGTCCCAGTTGGAAACGTAATTCTTGTCAACAAACCATTGCAACTTTCTCTTGGATAATAAAGTCCTAACAAAGTTGACTCTTCCAAAATCCCAAATTGCAACTGGCCTCAAGTTTAGTGCCTTTTGGATCCATTCATATTGAGGGTTACGGTCTCTGTACTCATTAGTTCTCAATGCGTGGGTAACCCCTTCAATTGAATCAACAACCGGCATACAAAAGTCATAAATGGGGTACATTTTCCATTCAGTTCCAGTTCTGTGGTGGGGGGTCAAGTTACATCTGTATATGACAGGATCTCTCAATGCTTTGTTCAAAGCCTTGTAATCAATTTTGGCCCTCAAACAGTTTTTTAACCCTTCCTCTGTACCATTTTTCATCTCCTCAGTAAATATTCTCAAGTTCTCCTCAATGGACCTATCTCTTCTACTTGATGGGTCGCCAACCATTCTTTCTTCTCTCATTTTCTCTGTTGGAGTGTCATCACAGTACGCCTTGCCAGCTTTGATCAATTCAATAGCCAACTTGTACATCTTTTGAAAGTAGTCGGATGAATAAGTTACTTGATCGCCTTTGATTCCTAGTAATGCCAAATCATCAATAATGGAGTCCTGAAACTCAACTTTTTCTTTTGATGGATTGGTATCATCGAATCTGATAATCAATTTGCCCTTGAAAGCATGAGCAAAATATTCATTTAAAACAGCTGCCTTGGCGTGTCCAATATGCAAATACCCAGAAGGTTCTGGTGGGAATCTGGTAACAACTTTACCAATCTCGGCGCCCGGTAAATCAATCTCAAAACTAGCCTTGTGAGTTTCCTTTTTACCACCGCTTGAATTTGTTTTAGCAGCTTTAGCGGCTTTTCTTAATTCGTTTAAGGAATTGGTCATTAATGCAACCGACTTGTCGAATCTATTGTCACTTTCTGCCAAAAAGTTATACCATCTCGAAACGTTTGGGTATACTTCATTCTTCAAAATCGACGCCATGAGAGGGTTAGCCCTCAAGACACCCCATACAGCAACATCGGCCAATGTTACTTCAAATCCCACTAAATACGACCTAAAGTTCAAGTGAGCATCGAGCTTCTCCATGTCTAATGTCAAGTCTTTAAAATTCTTACTGTACAATTTTGTTAACGCAAGCTTAACCCATGGCTGAGACTTGGCTTTTTCCAACAAGATAGTTGGGAAAGTTTGTGCCAAATAGTCTAAAGCATCTAATTGGTCAATAAAAGTCTCCCCACCAGGTGTTACGAGCTTCATTGCCAAGTTGGCAGTTTTGGAATCAACAGATTTATCATCAATAAATTCAACAGGAATTGATACATCAACATCGCTTGAATTGATGAAAAACACTGCTATTAAAGCAGGATAAGGAATAGTTGCTGCCTTACCAGCTACACTTAATTGGAACGACATCTTTGGTCTAATAATAACCTAATAACCTACTCTTTCTCTTGTCAATATTCACCTCTTCTTCGTCTTTGGTTATTCCTCTTTTCTCTTTTTTTTTTTTTCAGTCTCATCTTCAAATGGAACCCAATTTTTCTTTTAATTGATAACTCTGGTGCTAGTGATTTGAAGAAGGAAGAGCTGGTTTATAGAAGGAACAGCTGGTTTATAGAAGGAACAGCTGGTTTACAGAAGGAACAGCTGGTTTACAGAAGAAAGAGCTGGTTTACAGAAGAAAGAGCTGGTTTACAGAAGGAATAGCTAGTTTACAGAAGAGCTGGTTTACAGAAGGAACAGCTGATTTGGATACAACCACCTGGTAAAGGGGGGAAAGAATGAATTCTAAGCCGAGACAAGGGTCACCGAGCTCTTTGGACAAACCAACAGCAAAGAGGTCGCCATCAATTTTAGTTACCGATGTGAGAAGTCACCAAGTTAAAGGAGCACGAGCACCGTTTGCTGGCCAGAATTTCAAGAAGCAACAACAACAGTTGCAAAAGCAGTTGCAGCAGCTGCAACAACAGCTGCTACCGCAGTCGGGCTATAGCTTTGAGCAGCTGCAGCACCAGCTTGCACTTCTGAAGAGACTAGCATTTAGGAACAAGTTCACAGATATATCTGTTGACAAGTTGTTAAGTAATTCGAGCGATATACCGTCAGGTCAAAGTAGAATGCCGCCAATGCTAGGGTATTCTAAACAATTGGGGTATAATACTCTGCGCAGGTCGTCTTCATCCCCACCACCACCACAACAGCAATCACTTTCGTCAACACTCTCGCGCCATTCAAATTTTCCCAATACAGAATCAAGGCGAAATATTAGGAGTATTCCAAAGCTTTCTCAATCTTTACCTCCTAGAACATCCAAGACATCTCAGAAATTAGTATTAATACCAGATCGCCATCATACTGGGTCGCCTCCTTTAAATCAAGAGTTGAGTCTGCCCCAGACCCTGTCAGAGGCCGCTGCCGCTGCCGACTTACTGGCGCAGATTATGCGATCTAGAGCAGAGCTCATGCCTAAGGAAAAACGTGCCCAGGAGTTTAGTCGCATGACGGCATACTTTATATGTGAAGAAATCAGCTTGTCTGATGTTGCGAAATTTTTGAAAAAAAATCATGAAGTGAAGCCAAGATTGTATGATGAGGCATTGTATGTGCCATATGCATTACCATTGTTGCCGGGAAACGATGGATTAAGAGTCAAGTCCAACAACTCATCAAAGTTGCAAGCAAAGAGCAAGCACATGGAAAAAATGATAATCAAGTCAGAGCAAACCGATCATTTATATGAATACTATTCTGGAGTTGAAACACCTGAAGATGCCAATAATTACTCAATGGATCCCGAGGTGGAAAACTACGAAAACAACACCCCTTTTGATCCATCAGAACCTCAATTTTTTGCTCCTCCTTTGGAAAATAGAGACGATGAATATAGGTCGAATGGAAGCGATCAAACTCTGCACGACACAGAAGAAGAAGAAGAGGAAGAAGAAGAAGAAGAAGAAGAAGAAGGTTCTACTAAGCAAAAGAAAAAAAGAAGATTCACCGATACCAACAGCTCTTCCTCATCGCTCAGTACCCAATCAGATGTTTCCAAGCATCACGCTGAAATGTTTGTATTTTCCTATGGAATTATTGTTTTTTGGAACTTTTCTGAAATTCACGAGAAGAATATTCTTGCAGATTTGGCATTTTCAGACGAAGATTTGCTCATTAATCCTATTGATGAAGAGGATATTGAAACCGAGGAGTTCCATTTTGAGTACGACAATCAAATCCATAGACCGAGGATCTACAACGATATGATTACTTTACGTTCGGGAGATCATTTGATAAAGTTGACGATGTCCTATGCAATTGCTCAGCTGACGAAACTTGGACTATTTGAAAGTCGCATGGTGAATATCTTACATCTGATTAGCAAATTACCTAAAAAACTAGCTTTGACTGGTCGCATTGGTCTCAAGAGAAATCAACTTTTAAAAAAATCGGGAAAATTGTTCAAACTACGAGTCGATGTCAATTTGTCTAGCTCAATCTTGGATACGCCCAAATTCTTTTGGTCGTTTGAACCTGCTTTGCATCCACTATACACAGCTGTTCGCGAGTATTTAGAAATTGACCAAAGAGTTCAAGTCTTGAACGATAGGTGTAAGGTATTTCTTGAATTTGTTGATATTGTCACTGATAGCATGAATGAAAAAAATACAAATAGGATCACTTGGATGATTATAGTGATTATATTCCTCAGCCTTTTTGTCAGTTTGTTTGAGTTTATATTGGAAATTTTATAGTCAAAGTCTTTTGTTGCAGCACCACAATCACTTACCTCTATGTACCATGGCCACTGACATCTTCACCACCTTCACCATCATCATCACCACCACCACCACCACCATTAATAAACTCTTCACTTTAATTTCCATTTGGTAGCGTATCATACTTACTCTTTTTCAAAATATCAAATCTTTGTACCAAGTTTGTTATCATTGAAAGCCATTTCTTTTGTAAGAAACATATGCCATTAGAGTCACGATATGCCGGTCAGTGTTCTGATAATGAAAACAAAAAGTACCATGTTCAGTGTTGCGGGAGTGTGCCGCCGTCTTTTCTGATAGTTCCGGAACCAGAAGAAGATATAGACATGATGGATGATGGAGAAGATAATCATATACATTCTATTCTCAAACGTAACAACAACGATTTTGCCCAAAGTAATACTATAAACTATGAGGACCCAGATCTTATGATTATGGAACAATCACCGGACTTTGAAATTATTGGGGGAAATATATCGTTTTTAATAGTCGATTCTAATTTCTTTATTGCACATTTGGATATCATTGAAGAGTTGAAAAATTTATCCATGAAGTTTCAACTAAAGATCGTGATACCGTTTTATGTTCTACATGAACTCGATGGGTTGAAGAGATGTCGCGGGGATACAGGATTATCCGGTTCTAATAAAGATGTAAGCGCTCTTGCGAAACGAGCTAATGATTGGATATTTACTGAACTAGCGCAAAGTCTGTCAGTTGTCAAAGGTCAGAAACTAAGTCAGAGGATTAACAAAGATGCTATCAAGGATGACTCTATACTAGATTGTTGTCTCTATTTTCTGCAGCGGTATTCAACCAATTTGGTAGTGCTTTTGACAGACGACAGGAATTTGAGTTCAAAAGCCCTAGCGAATGACTTGTCGACAATAATGTACCAGCATGATATAGATGCAGCTTTCATTGCTCAAAAATGTCTCGAGGAAAACGTAGCAAGATTTGGTAAGCGGGATAAAATTGAGGTGGTTAGTGATGGGAATGGAATACCATTGAACTTAGTTGCTGCGAAATCTGAGCCCACCCAACCACTAAGGTCAACAAAAGAATGGGAAGATAAAGTTTTACTGGTGGATAATTTCAACTCAAAAGATGAAGTACTTACTGCATTATATAATGAAATGAAAACGGTGCTAATATCTGCTTTACATCGCTGTATGGTTGTTGAGTTTAAGGAGGATTTAGACTTGGTTAGAGATTATAATAAGGAAGATGTGGTATCATTAAGGGATTGCAGTCAATTACTTATACGGTTCTGGATGACTGTTTTTCAGCAATACTTTCGAGCGATGCCAGGAAAGTTTGTGCCGTTTGAAGAGGAAGGAAGCGGACGAAATATTAAGAGAAAACCAGTTTACACTGATATACCAGAGGAAAATGATGTCAATAAATTTGTGACATTTTGGAGCGCAACATTGATGGTGATATATAACGGGGTGATGGATGACACTCAAACTTCTGCTTTAGAGATATTGGTTAAGAGGTGGAACAAAATGGCAGCATTAGTAGCTTAGCCAAAGTTTTCTCTTATTCCCTTCATAATGATTTGGTCTCTTGCTCTAAACACACGCACATACACATACACACACACACACATATATATATATATATACTCGCATGGGTCCATTTTTTATCATAGCTGTCCAATTCTTCGAGTTTTTTTTGGCGATGGAGAAGACGGCGCTTTGTCATCTTGGCTTCTTTTTAGGCCCAGCATCATGCCGATCCTTTGTCTTGGTCTTGTAGGTGATGAATTGGGAAAATTCTGCTTGTGTTTGTGACTGTCCGCCTCTTCCACATCCTCAACAACTTCCTTTTCGCATGCTAATCCTTCGTTTGCAAACTCCCATGGTATTGAGATTGCAACATCGATATTCTTGTCCAAAATTTGATTTCTTGAAAACTTTGCATCTAATCTCTTTTTCCGATACTCGTTAGTTGCTTTTTCTTGCCATTCACTTTGATCAAATGTATCAATTGACTCAGCATCGCCAATATTGTTTTTCCTATAGGTTTTAAGTAAGTGGTTTCCATGGCTTTGTTCGAAATTCGTGGCCACAAATCTTGCATACGAGTCCTTTACATCAATGATTGATTTTAGTTTGCATATTTGAAAATTTAAGAAACAGGTATTAGCAAATTGCTGGTAATTCAACTTTGCGAGAAACTCAATAGTCTCAGTTGGACTCAACTCTTGTAGATCAAACGTCCAATTTACCCCAATATCAACTTTAACCAATATAATTGGCCCCTTCTGGTCAAACGACAACCTCAGTGCCATTTGGGGCTCAATAGCATTCACTAATTCGGCCAATACCTTATTATTCACCTCATCTATACCTAAGCTTTTTGCTTTTGCAATCATTTCCTCGCGGTTTAAAACCTGGGCCCATACTTTCTTGAAATTGGTCAAATAAAGACTAGAACGGGGCTCCTTCTGCTCGGAATGAAAGCCATATATAACCTTTGGCGGCTGAATAAAATTTAAACTTGTACTATGCCATCTTATTGGCAATACCATTACCATAGGATCATATCCAATAATGAGATGAGATGAGATGACCTATCAATCTCCGTTTTTAAATTTCTTTTTTTTTTTTTTTTCGCTTCTTCGTATTCTTTCGGTAAAGAGCTTCCGTTTCTTTCCTATTGACAAAATTTGGCACCCAATAAATGATGATTGAGCAAGTGACATACTATACGGACCAATTACAAGAGATTGTGGAAAGAGTTTGGATAAATTATGATTGTACCAGTTCATCAAGGTATTTGATATCCCTAGCTGGTGTTCCTGGAGCAGGAAAGACGACATTTGCCAATCAGATTGCTATGGAATTAAGCAAGAAAGTTGCGAAAACAATTGTCCTTTCACAAGATGGGTTTCATTTGTATAGGTCAGAATTAGAAGCAATGCCCAATGCTCTGGAGGCAATAAGGAGGAGAGGAGCTCCTTTTACGTTCAATGCTAAAGCTTTTGTCAAGTTGGTTTCGATATTGCATGACAAATCTATTGAGATTAATGCGCCATCTTTTGATCATAAGTTAAAGGATCCTGTGGAAAACGATATTATGATAGCAAGAGATGTTTCAATTGTGATTATTGAAGGTAATTACGTATCCTTGAAGGACAAATTTTGGAATGATATCAGTTCATTAGTAGATGATACTTGGTTTATAATTGCGTCTGAACAACTTGTCCGATCTAGAATTATAAGGAGACATTTGCAAGCAGGGATTGCAAAGAATGAGCAGGAAGCGATTGAAAGAACCGACGGAAATGATTTACAAAATGCAAAGTATATTTTAGAAAACTCTAAAACTACAAACGTATTGATTGTGACGCGATAATTGGGGGAGAGAAAGAGAGAGAGAGAGAGAAGGAAAGAGAAAGAGAGATAAATAACCAATTACCAAAATGGAATAAAAATAGTCTTGAAATACCCAATCTACCGTTTTATTACTACCTGAATAGTTTTTACTCTTGTCCAGAGCGAGATAGTGTCCATACTCAGTAGCTTGTTGCTCAGTAGCTTGTTGCTCAGTAGCTTGTTGCTCAGTAGCTTGTTGCTCAGTAGCTTGTTGCTCAGTAGCTTGTTGCTCAGTAGCTTGTTGCTCAGTAGCTTGTTGCTTAGTAGCTTGTTGCTCAGTAGCTTGTTACACTATCTCGCTCTGCTCGATAGTGTTGATAGTGTTGATAGTGTTGTTGATCTCTACGTTGGCTCCACTTTATAACGCATCTTGATACCCATGGCTGATAACTCACTATCCAAATACTTTAAAACAAAAGGTATTGCAACTGTGGTTGTATCATCACCACCTACCCATTTCACGCCATGACCATCTTCCCATATTTCAGAATCACTAGCATATTCTTTATACTTGTCTAGTTTAGTTGAACATCTCCTGCACCTTATTGTAGCCATTGAACCTATTCTTGGAACAGATGTTTGTGTAGTTAAAATAGATCCACATGTTCGACAAATCGAAGTTTGCGTATAATCGGAACAGTTTAATAACCTATCCTGCAATAAGAAGGAAGTACCATGGCCAATTAATGCATCTCTTTCCATCTCTCCCACACGAATACCACCCGATCTTTTCCTTCCTTTAACTGGCTGCATTGTAAGTGAATTCACAGGACCCGTCGATCTAACTTGGAACTTATCATTCACCATATGTCTTAATCTTTGATAGTACACGCACCCAATATAAATGTCACATCTTAGTTCTTCACCAGTGGCACCAGAATACATAGGTTCGTTACCGTGAAAGTTGTATCCTGCTTTCAATAACTGTTCTCCAAAATAATCTGCAGGGGTGTCGGATTCACTAAACTTCCATGGTGTGGAATCTTGAGCTATTCCATGTAATGCACCTGCTTTACCAGCAAGAGATTCAACAAACATACCAATCGTCATCCGTGAGGGGAACGCATGTGGATTGATTATGACATCTGGTTGCATCCCACTTTCTGTAAATGGCATATCAATCTGGGGCCATTTTCTTGACAAAACACCCTTTTGTCCATGTCTTGAAGAAAACTTGTCCCCAATCAAAGGTTGTCTCGTAATTCTATACTTAATGGTGAGTTGCTGGCCCTCGGAGTCACCAGCATCATCGCCCAATAATTTGACTTCTTCAATATATCCAGGTTCGGAAGAATGGTATGTTTTCACCTTAGTTTTGCCCAAGGTATCATCAAAGTAAGCTACTATTGGATCGCCTTCTTCCATTTTCACCCCAATTATTGGCAATCCATCCTCGTCCAATTTGTCCCTCCATGTTTGGGGCCACTCGTCATCCCCAAAGCCGAAATGTTGCGAAATCGGATCGCCTCGTCTTCTTGATTGCGAGAGGTCAATTTTTTCAACCTTGTAAACTGTACCATATCCAAATCCCCTCTCGTCGGATGATTTATTGATAATCATGGCATCATCCATATCGTACCCCGTATATGAAATAACTGCAACTATTGCATTCATACCATTAGGGAAATTGTCCATTCCGTAATCATCGTATAGATTAGCTTTAACAATTGGTGTTTGTCCAGTTTGTAATCGGTATAGTTTGTTATCTGATCTGTGAACCAAAGCGGTACCGGGAGTACCCATAGTTTGCTTACCCATTTGACACTGGTACATATTTCTTGGTGATTGGTTGAAATCTGAAAATGGAGTAAGATTAGCCAAGATTGATAATATATTAGTTGGAGAAAATTCAACGTGTGAGTGAACATTGTTTTCTATTTCTTCTGGTGTAACTGCAATATCCATGTACACTTGTTCAAATGGACCAACAATATCCTGCTTATCCAAGGGTAAATATCTTACCGGTCTCATCATTCTTGAATGGCCTCCAAAAATATATAACCCAGGGTATTGACCTTTTAATGATGGAGGTACGTAACCAATTTCCAAGTTTAGTGGAAGTCCATGAGTGCCTTCAACTTTCCAAAATCTCAAAGTGTCAGCTATTATCTTACCTTGTTTGTGAGTAGTCCAACCAACGATTTTACCATCTAGTTGTACACAGCATAAATCTGGTCCAGCGGCAAATGCATTTGGCGGAGAAACACCCAACTGAGTTAACGCATGGGGCACTTTTGAGACGTCGGAAGCAGTAGTTGAAATTACACATTTATGCGCCAAGTGATTTAACAAACCACAAGGCGAACCATCCGGAGTATGCACGGGACACAAGAATCCCCATGATTCAGGTAACAATTTACGAACAGTGGTGGTTTTCAATTCGGCAAAAAAAGCACCTCTATGAACCATTCTGAAATGAGAAATAAAACGATGAAAATTGATCTTTTCCGCAACAACCGTGTACCCGGAAACTTGTTGTAAATCCAATCCTGATTGTGAAACCAAATTACCCGTTGATAAGAAGTACTGTAATTTTTGACCGATATTTTCGTTTATCTTCATGAATACTCTCAAAATGTATTTTTTGTCCATAAAATTAACACCTATGCCTCTATTGATATCTGACTGTATCTGTAATTTGAAATTTTGTAGATACTCGTCAATCTTTTCTTTAATGATCATACCAAAGAGGAATCCACCTAATAGGACTTCTTGATGCTGTGTGGCATCTGGATTATCAGGAGCGCTTTCGCCAGCAACTAAGGAGTACAATTTCCTAATCATAAATAACAACATTTTATACTTATCCTCATTGTTATCCAAATGCACCAAGACTATTCTCTTCAAGACTTCTTTACCAACATTGATATCGGACATATCAGGAGATGCACCAAACACAACTCTGAATTTGTCACCCAAATAAGCCAATGTTTCCTGTTGGGAATAAAGATTATACGATTTGTAAGTCCTCAACAATAATTCGAGACGATCAGTTAGAAATGAATTGTTTGTATCATGGCCTACAATTCCATCAAAGATTTCTCTATCATTAGTCTCAATAAGGGCTTTTAAAATCATCATTACCGGCACCAAATATTCATTTTTCTTCCAAGAAAAACGGAAAGTAACTATTCCATCATTTAAGTAGTGCAATACATTTGTTTGTGAGGTTTGGTCGGGTCGTACGCAACGTATTTGTACACCGTACTTGGAATAAGAAGCGCCTCTTTTGGCGAAAGATGGACGTATTATAGCCATGGCATGATTTCTTCTTTGCACAATCAACATACGAATCAATTTCTCAATACCGTTCACGATAAAGTATCCCCCTAGTTCATCACTTTCTTCCCTTGCATTGACCAATTGATCAGGCGACATTTTTTCCAAATGACATTTATTTGACTTGACCATGATTGGGATTTGACCAGCTTCTCTTATTTCGTTTTGTTGTTCTCCATCATTGACACTCCATGCGATATTCAACATGAGTCTTGCTCTATATGTAGTCATTCTTTCTCTGCATTCACTAGGTAATGTCCTTCTATTAATGGACAATTTATCCGTTTGTGCAACACTTGGTTTGGCAATGGATACAGACTCAACCCATATTTTGATCTTATTGCCCAACCCTGAATCATTTTTCGAGTCAAAAATCGTCTTTGCTCCAATATCCTTAACTGCAAGATTCAACAACCCTCCATTAGACCCTTCAGTTAAAGCATTAAAGGAACCAATGTGAGGAGCCACGGCGTTTTCTAAAAGTGGGTACGTTTCCGACTTGGATTTGCCCTTTGGAGGGTGTTGAAACCGCGTCTCTCTTTCTAAAGTCCTAAACTGTGCATGCGGCATCCTCCGTCACCCAGAAATACCAAAACTTATCACTGAATCAAAAGGTTAGATCTTGCTAATAAGGATGCAAATGAAAAATGAAAAATGAAAAAAAAAAAAAAAAAAAAAAGTTCGCGATGAGACACTTGGTAGCAAAGATGAAAAAGATAACAAGAGGGAAGCAGTAGAAGAAGTGAAGAATAGGGAACAGAATAGGGTCAAAGTAAAGAGGCAAGGTTTGGTGCGAGGGTGTAAGAGCAAGGTTTGGTGCGAGAGTGTAAGAGTAAAGTTGGTGCGAGAGTGTAAGAGCAAGGTTTGGTGCGAGAGTGTAAGAGTAAAGTTGGTGCGAGAGTGTAGGAAAGTCGAGATTTTGGTAAAGCAAAGAAGTAATGGCCAATTCCAAATATGAATACGTAAAGGCATTTGAGAGGGAAAACTATTTGCTTCCAGAGACGTATATTGTCATTAGAGTCGACGGGAAAGGGTTTCATAAACTTTCAAAATACTACGAATTTGACAAACCCAATGATTTGAAAGCTTTGCAAGTGATGAACTCAGCAGCATTACAGATTATGAAAAAATACAGCGATGTGTTGTTGGCATATGGGGACTCTGACGAATATAGCTTTTTATTAAGAAGACAATGTGAGCTATATGAGCGACGTGAAATGAAATTGTGTACTTTATTTTCCAGTTTGATGTCGACTTATTATGTCCATTTTTGGAACCTTGCTCATCCACAAAAGCCGATTCATTTAGAGATGATACCTACATTTGATGCGAGAGCCGTTATTTACCCCAATTTTCAAATTGTACGCGATTACTTTAGTTGGAGACAAGTTGATTGTCATATCAACAACTTGTATAATACCTGTTTTTGGAAATTGATTGAGAAAAGAGGCTTGACACCGCAAGAAGCAGAGAATCGATTAAAGGGAACTATTGCTAGTGATAAAAATGAAATCCTCTTTAAAGAATGCAATGTCAATTATAACAATGAGTTGGAGATATTCAAAAAGGGTACTATCTTTGTACGTGAAATTGAAAATTACCATCATGACACCGCCCCCAATGAGACAAGCTCTAGACAAAAACAGAAACAAGAGAAAACTAGGAGAAAAGCGGTAATTGAGGAATTTCATATAGACATTATAAACAATGATTCATGGTGGGAAAGCCGGCCATGGCTCAAACAGTAAAGCTGTATAGCTTGTATACAGCTCCACCGCCACCAATGAGACAAGCTCTAGACAAAACCAGAAGAAAAGCTGCAGTTGAAGTATCTCATAGTGGGAAAGCTGGCCATGGCTCAAACAGTAAAGCTGTATAGCTTGTATTCCAGGGGATTTGAAATTGATGTCTACTTTTCATAAAAAAAGGCGACACCAAAATTGCGACAATTCTTCCCTCAGCGTCAAAATTTTTTTTTTCCTTTTTCAGATTCATTACCCTTTACAGTTAATTAAGATATTATCATTATCATTATGTCATTGGCATCAGACGAGGAGCTCGTTTCTTTGTTTAACAAGGTTGGGTTTGAAGATAAAAAGTCTAAGGAAATAGCCAAGAATCTGAAAGTGGCGAATTTGTTGAAGCTGATTCTTTTAAAAGCTTGTGGTGATGAAAATGAATGTAGATGCGATGAAAAGAGGTTAGCGTTATTGCATCAATTGGCTGTTTTGGAGAACAAGCAAGGTCAGGAAGTCCCCAATGTTGAGTATTTGATTCGTGGTATTGAAAATGGAACAATAAAGACTAATTTACAACTTAGCGAAGGCATGAAATATTTGACGTCAACTAAGGAACCGAAGCAAATTGATTTCGATGAAGCTACTGGTGTCAATGTTGAGATCTCCGAAAAAGACCTCAAAATGGAGATTAGCAAGTACCTCGACACAATTGAAAAACAATTGCTTGCCGAAAGGTACTCCCTTTTACCAAAAGTTTTGTCTAATGTGAAATCTCAGCCAAGGTTGAAATGGGCTTCACCAAACTTATTCAAGCCTGTTCTTGATGAGCTATTTCTCGCCAAGTTAGGTCCTAAGGATGAAAGAGATACCAAAAAGAAGGAAAAGAAACCAAAAACTAGCGAGTTTTCAAACAAGGATAATAAGAAAACAACAACAGCAGCAGCAGCAGCAACAGCATCAACAGAACCCGAAAAGGAGAGATCAATGTTTTCGGAGGGATTCCTTGGCGACTTGCACAAACCAGGTGAAGAGCCACAAAAGTATCCCGAACTATTGAAAGCCCATAACGAGTTTATCAAGGGCAAGGTATATACACGATTCCCACCTGAACCTAATGGGTTCTTACACATTGGGCATTCAAAAGCAATTATGGTTAATTTTGGATATGCCCAGTTTCACAAGGGACAATGTTATTTAAGGTTTGATGATACCAATCCTGAGGCAGAAGAAGAAATATATTTTGAGTCGATTAAGGAAATGGTTTCATGGTTAGGATACAAGCCATGGAAAGTCACATACTCATCGGATTATTTTGATGAATTATACGAATTAGCAGTGAAATTGATCAAAGCTGATAAAGCTTATATTTGTCATTGTACTGCTGAGGAAGTTAAGTTAAGCAGAGGACAAAGGGAAGATGGCTCTATGGGAGGCGAGCGATTTGCATGTAAACACCGTACTCAATCCATTGAGCACAATTTAGCTGAGTTTGAAAATATGAAGCTCGGGAAATACGCTATTGGGGAAGCCACATTACGTATGAAACAAGATTTGACTAGTCCATCGCCACAAATGTGGGATTTGGTAGCTTATAGAGTATTAAACAAGCCTCATCATCGTACTGGAAGTAAATGGAAGATATATCCAACATACGATTTTACGCATTGTTTAGTTGATTCTTTGGAGAATATCACTCACTCATTATGTACTACCGAGTTTATCTTGTCGAGGGAGAGTTATGAGTGGTTGTGTGACGCATTGCATGTATACCGGCCAGCACAACGAGAGTATGGGAGATTGAACTTAACCGGTACGATTATGTCCAAGAGGAAGATTGCCAAGTTGGTAAATGAAGGATATGTTAGAGGTTGGGATGATCCCAGACTATACACATTGGAAGGTATTAAAAGAAGAGGAGTGCCACCTGGTGCGATATTATCGTTTATCAATACATTAGGTGTTACTACATCCACAACAAATATTCAAACTTCCCGATTTGAAAGTTCTGTGCGCAGTTATTTAGACCACACCACACCTCGGTTATTTTTAATTTTGAACCCCATTGAAGTTCATATTGACAATTTGGATGATTCATTTTCTTTAGATATCGAGATTCCTTATAAGCCGGGCACTGATGTTAATCATTTGGGAAATAGGAAACTCACATTTAAGAACAAGATTTATATTGATAGGAATGATGTTAGGGATGTAGCTGCAGATAAGCAATTTTTCAGGTTAGCTCCCGGACAACCAGTTGGATTAATGAAGGTTCCATTCAATATTAGTTTCAAATCGATTGAAACAGGGGATGATGGTAAAACAATAGTTCATGTAAACTATGATGATTCTGAAGCTAAGCCAAAGAAGCCCAAAACATATATTCAATGGGTTCCTGTTGAAGATAGTATTCGAGTTAAGGAAGTTCGGATATATAATCAATTATTCAAATCCGAGAACCCAGCAGCGCATCCGGATGGATTTTTAAAAGATATCAATGAATCCAGTGAGTCAGTATTGTACTCTGCAGTAATTGAATGTAATTTTAACGAAATTAGACAAAAGTCACCAATGAATTTAGAGATTTCGGGATCCCAGTTTAACATCAAGGAAGAAAAGGGGAACAATACTATTAGATTTCAAGCATTAAGAGAAGGGTATTTTTGTGTTGATAAGGATGACAAGGATAATGGAGAGTTGATTTTGAATAGAATTGTTACTTTGAAAGAGGATGCTAATAAGTAGATTGATAGCAACACTATTGACTAGCTGCCCACTATCGACGAGACCAAGATAATGGAGCACACTGACTAGCTGCCCAGTATCTCGCTCTGTTGAATCTACAGTAATATTAATAGAATCTATAGCAAGTACTTAACATCATATACAATTAATCAGCTAACATTGGCTCTCGTGGTTGCAACAAGGTACAAAGTGTTGCTCCACTTGATTGTGTCGCTCATCATGGTTCTCATCACGTGACTTGCTCCATGTTAAATTGCAGTTTTTTTCTTTCTATATAAGGGAACAAGAATTGATCCAATCAAGTTGACAAGTGAAGGGGGAGGGGGGAGGAGGCTTTTGATTCGAATTGATTTTATGCAAATCAAGAGTATATTCAAAGAGTAACAAAATTGAGTCTTTTCTTATCTTAAAATTTCTTTGGTAGACCCCAAGAAATAAACCTTATCTCTATTTTTGTCAATGATGGAGATGATGGGGATTAGAGAGAGTTTTCAGTAGTGGTTTGTAGAGCTTTAGCTTTTATTATTCACAACCCTATTTAGTCTCCAAGCAATACATGTTCCTGCAGAAACTGACATATACTGCTTGTTTACCAGTGGTTGTGCGAGGTTTGGTGGAAAAAAAAATAAATAAACCCAAGTGATCAAACAGTGGTTAGAGATTATGGATTAGCGTTTCCTTTTAGAGAGAAACATAAATATGGTTATGAGCCTATTGCATTCGACACTATGGAGCAGACCGAGATAGTGGAACACACTAGCTGCCACTGACAAAAGCACCTGAGAAAGCGAGAAAAAAAAAAAAAAAGAAAAAGAAAAAGATAAAGGCCCTAGCTTTAGATATCTAGCTTTGGGAGTTATTCGTAATTGACTTGTAGCACTGTAGATGTTATTACTTATATAATCTTTAATAAGTAGGAGGTTCCCGTATTTGGAGTTTAGTTTCAATTTTAAATTAGACTAAGCTCAGAGACTTTGGGGAATTACTATAGAGTGTAACTTGTTACTAGTCAGCAAAAGTTGAGTCAAATAGCCCCGGTTATTACATCAACGTGCATTCTTCAAATGAATGGCAGGAGCTTTATCTATGAGACATGTAATCTTGAGTCAAGGAACCATATCATTATCATAACCATAACTAAAAAAAAATGACACAGTTGGATGCAATAAAACCCGTGTGTCTTGTATACTGAAACAGTTTGGATGTGCATAAAGAGTAATACAATTGGGATGAGTATCCTAAATACAGTTGGGATGAGCATCCCAATTGTGTCAGTTTTATCATATTTTTCTACATTTCCCACTATGACCACTTCACTCTTATTCACCGCCTTCCGGTAACGGTGATAGTTTCCGGAGATTCAGTGTTACAGGGGACTCATTGCTACAGGGGGAGGCGACATGACGGTGGTATGATTAATTCGTAATTTATCCAACCCAAAAAACAATTAACCAATAAAAATAAAAAGCGAAAGTTTCTTGGTTTTTTTTTTTTTTTTTTTAAAGTAAGAGATGAAGATACGGGGTGTAGCATGTCTAACCATGTTTAGTGAGGTGGGGATAAGCGTGCAAATTGGTTATATTTTGTGTGGGTCAAAGAAAAAAAAAAAGCGCATCAGGTGTTAAAAAGTAGATAAGTTGCTAATTACTCTGGTCATCGCCAGATACTATCAAGCAGAGCGAGATAGTGAAGGACAGAGCAAGACTATTGCAACTATCGAGCAGAGCGAGATAGTGAAGCACAGAGCAATACTATTGCAACTATCAAACCCGTGTATACTGACCAATACTATTGAAACTATCAAACCCGTGTATACTGACCAATATTATCGAAACTATCAAACCCGTGTATACTGACCAATAATATCAAAATTATCAAACCCGTGTATACTGACCAATACTATCAAAACTATCTCGCTTCGCTCGATAGTATGCTTCGCTCGATATTGTCGTAAATCCACTAGGGCGGATCTCAAGTATCATGTAAATTTCCAAAGTCGTATTGACACGAAGCAAATAATTCTTCTCTACCTAACCAGATAAGGTAACACAATTTACACAACTTACACAATTTCTACAAACATACACAATTTCTACTATAAACATTTATTCTTTTTTTTTTTTTTTTTTTTTTTTTTTTTTTTTTTTTTTTTTTTTTTTTTTTNCTTTAAAAATTTTTTTTTTTTTTTTTTTTTTTTCTTTTTTTTTTTTTTTCGTGTCATTTTTTCTCTGGCCATTTTCCTGCGTCGATTTTTACCTCCTTTGTCATCTTATCAATTTGAAAAACGTTTCAAAGAACAAAAACTAAACATAAGGAGTAAAAGCCTCCAAAACTTAAAACTCACACTATCGAGCAGAGCGAGACTGATACTATCAACACTATCGAGCAGAGCGAGACCGATACTATCGACACTATCAAACCCGTGTGTACTGCGACCAATACTATCGATAGTGTTGCTAGTGTTGCTAATTTTGTCGAACCAATCAATAGGTGTAGATAAATTGATTCCTCACCTTAGAAATATTACAACCCATAAAAAATATTATTGAAACCCAACAGTAACATTCATTGCACCCCCTATTGAGATAGGTATATACATTAAATTGTGTTACACAAATACATCTCCGACTAAAATAACACAAACGTATAATAAGGTTTCATTCATTTTTTTTACTTTTTTATTTTTTTATTTTTCTTTTTTTTTTTTTTTTGAGTTCATTTAAATAGAAGAACAAAAGAGGAGAAGTTTTCAGTGAAAGCTTCAGTTGGATTTAGCAGCAGTTGCTGTTTGTTGAATTGGGATTACGTATATTACGTTGGGTTCCTTATAGAGACCGTAGTTGTAAATTGGAGACTGTTGCAAAATTATACAGCAGGACTATATACATACACCCTATATCGTATCATTTTGCAGCAAAACTGTCGCATCATTATAACTCATTTGTCGCATCGTTGCCCCATTTTGACTTATTTGTCGCATTCATTGGTTTGCTGTCATCCCCTCAACTAGGGTCACCTTTTTTTTATCGAGTTGAGCGTCCCCTTAACTCAACATTTTTATTGGCAGCCATTTTCACATTGACTGCTATTTCTTGGTGACTGCCATTTATATTGACTGCCATTTCTTAGTGACTGCCATTTTTTAGTGACTGCCATTTCTTAGTGACTGCCATTTCTTTTTTAAACACAACTCCTGAATACCCCTTGGTTTAAGTTTCAATCTTATTCCTTTGCATAGCATACCACAGTAATCACGCACATTAGATCTTACTACACACACACACACATTAGATCCACATTAGATCCAACCACATTAGCATATCATAGCATATCACATATCACATATCCATATCACATATCCATATCACATATCTTTACTTGTTCTAACTATGACAACAATTGTGGCCATAAAGTCAGTAGACACAACTACAGGAGCTACACCCAACGCAAATAAATCCACAGCCACCACAGCTATTCTGTCGGCTTCTTCCACAACAAACTACACTATTAGTCCTCCATCAACAGTTAGTTCCTCCCCCATCTTATTCTACCAACAAAACTCACCTTCTCCCACAATATCATCTAATGAATCTCTCGATACAATCAAGTCTTCGTCGTCTACTATAAAACAACAACAACAACAACAACAACAACAACCAAAGCAACAACCGATGTCCATAACACTAGTACAGCCTCAACCAATGTCCATATCCACAACCGTACATATTCTGATCAAACCACCAAGTCCTAGTCCACAAGCATCATCATCATCATCATCATCATCATCACAGCTCACTCTGCAACCTAAGAAAAAGAAGCTCTTGAATATACCAAATTATTATGTCCCTCCAAAAAACAACTATACCTTATCGTCAACGTCGTTGTCGTCGTCATCATCATCCCCAAGCATAGATACCCAGCAACGGCCACAGCAGCAGCAGACGCAGCCACCGCCACCGCTGCTGCTTCTGCTGTCGCTGCAACTGCTGTCGCTGCAACTGCTGCTTCTGCTTCTGCTGCTGAAACCACAACCGCCCAAACTAGTTCGTAAAAAATCAGGCGAATTAGTCAAATCATCACTAAGACTAAACCGCTCTTCATTATTGCAAAGATCCTTGTCATCGCCAAATTTCATAAGCAACAACCACAATAGTAATGGAAGTGAGTCACCTAGAAAAAGCGTCCGTTTTGCTTCAAGGTTAACTAATGTCAAAATGTTTGATGAAATGGAATCACCTGCATCAGTCTCATCGAGAAATAGTCCTTGTGACTCACCACCTAACGAATTACTGCTGGTGACAATAAATAGAAGAAGGCGCACAAGGCGAGGAGCAACAGATTTGAATGGTAGACCAATACTATCAGACTTGGATGATTTACTTGACGTGGCTCGCGAAGATTACGATTTTGAAATGTTGATGAAGATGAATTCCAAGCCTAAAAATTTTCAAACAGATTCAAGAAATAAGAATCATTTCGACTGGAATTGGAGTACTAGTTCAAGCAGTGATGAAGAGAATGAACAGGATGAAGAAGAGGAAGATGAAGGAAGAGAAGAAGAGGCAAAAGGTTATGTGAGAGAGTATAGATTACTTAAACACAATCTACCAAAGTATAGAAGTTTTAATGGTAATGACGACAAGATTTGGATCAGCTCGGCATATTTGTTAAAGTCTTCAGATAAAACACATCTTTGTGGATTTATCCAAGTGCAAAATTTAGCATATGAAAAAGATTTGATGTTGAAGATGACGTTGGACGATTGGAAGACCCTGTTTAGATTTGGTGGGAAAAGCATTATTTCATTTGTTAAGAGCATTGATAATCATATTGATGAGTTCAAGTTTATGATAAACTTGAAGGATATAGAAGACGTGAATGGAAGTCTGGGAAAACAAGTGCAGCATTTGCAAAATGGCAATGATAATGTTAGTGTTATAAAAAGGAGGTTGCAATTATGTGTGAGATACCAAGTTGCTGGTTGTGAATATTGGGCAAACAACTCGGGGAATAATTACGTTTTTGAAATCAATGAAATTTTGAGAAAACCGTTTACTATCAAATCAAGTGGAGATGGAGTACATGGTATTCAGTTTAGGAGAAAGAGTATGGGCTCAGCAGCATCAACAGCCTCAATGGAAGAAGTTTGCTCTAAATTACTACAACACCAACAAAACACTACTCTCGGCCATCTAAATTTGAAAATGAATGAATTGTCTCTTTTCAACAATTTTCAAGAGTCGATATCAACAACAACAACAACGACAAATGTTAATATTACCAACACTATGACAAATAAGAATTCAACCACCCCAGCATCAAGAAGACCCCTCTTAAATAAGTCATATTCATTAAACGATATCTGTGGGAATAATTTCAAGTACTCTAATCTTCAATCCACCATGGATCATCGAAATCTCATTGGAGGAGGAGGAGGAGGAGGAGAAGAAAAAGGTGCATTATATGCTGACATTGACTATACTGATTTAGTTAAAAAGTTTTGCTTTGCTAATAGTAATAGCAATATTCATCTTCAACTGGGGAACAAAACAAATAAAGTGAGTGCTGGTATTGGCCGTAGCATGAGTCCCAGTGGGAACGGCGGATGTGCTGTTGCACAAAGTGTTGCTTCTACATTTCAGCATTTCAGTGACTCCTCAATTCATATTTAGAGAGAGAGAGAGAGAGAAAGAAAGAAAGAAAGAGAGGATATATCAAGAGACAGGAGACAAAGGAAAAAGAACTAGAGCTACAGATGCTCTTCCCCCTCCCTATTTTGTTACCCCCCTTTAGCCCCTTTTTGAGATTGTTTTGTTTTTTTTTTTGTTTTTCAATTCATTTAGTTTTTCAACTTTATAGATTCTGTCTTATAAAGAGGAAGCCAGGTTTGTTTATCAAGACTACCAACTTTCTTTTGTATATAATAAAAATTTTTAAGAAAAAATATTAGAAATAAAAATAAATCTTTAGCATCCTTATCTTCAACAAAGGGACCAATGTAAGAGCTTCAACGCGGTTGTTTTTGAAGCTCACTTTCTTCAACAAGAGAGAACGCGGCTTTAGCTCACTTTCTTCAACAACGGTCTGTTTATCGTCTCAAAGAGAGCTATTCTACTCTACTGTTTCTTGTTTATTCTCTTTGAATATCTATAGCATTTAATACGTGGCGGACGTTGTTTCCTTCAACTTCGGCCCGATTCGGCTATTTTTTCGGCTATTTAAATCTTCTTTCCTCATCTCATCATTGAAAAACAATATGATTATGAGTCAGAAGAAGATAAAAGGAAGAAGATAGAAGGGAGAAGGTAAGAGGAAGAAGGTAAGAGGAAGAAGAAAAGAGGAACAAGTGTAGGATAAGGAGATAAGAGATAAATAAGGAGGTTTTTCCCTAGACTAGTTTCTTTCAATTGACTTTGTTAACCGATTAGCAATTAGAAAATAAGGAAAAGTTTGTTGAAGAAAAGATGGCTAGTAATGAATTGCAAATGAGACAAAGTCCTCGGATCACTGCATTAATGCTTCTTAATCAAGTATACAGTAAAATCAATGAGCCTATTCCATCATCACCGTTTTTGCAGCAAAACGAAGTCAAAATTACCGATATATTAAATGACATTGTTACTTCTTATCTTAAAGGTCAAGAAAAAGTATGGAAAAGTAACCCAAGACTATATAATAATAGGAAACCGTATGAGATGATGATTCGTAACGTTTTCACTAGAAAAAGCATATTAATGAGTTTCGATGTGGAGGCATGGGAGAAAGATACTAATATTGTTACTGAAATTGGAGTGGCTATATACGATCCTAAACTAGGTGGTGGTATGGGATTTGGAATTGTCCCCACAATATTTCAAATTCATACACGCATTCGAGAGTCTTTAGAACTAAAGAATGGGGAATATGTTCCCGATCATGTTGACAATTTCAACGGAGGGGTTACCTTAGTTTTAGGTCAAGATGAAACTGGTATTTTTTTGCAATCTTTGATTGACTTCTTTTTTGGAACTGACCAGCCGCAAAAAGAAATGCAATATATATCTAGAAGTTATTTAGTGGGCCATGGTTTAAAGGGGGATATCAAATGGTTAACTATGCTTGGTGTCAAGCTACCTGAGAATATTTTGACAATTGATACACTGGAACTAATGAAAGTGACCCATGGACAAAGCCCTGTTGGATTAGCACGAGCTCTTAATTACTTGGATATTCCCCATAATTTTCTCCATAATGCTGGGAACGATGCCTATTATACACTACTATTGGCTTTGAAACTATGTGATCCGTATGTACGGATGAAAATGAATTTAGATGTTTGTTTGGTGAAGGAAATGACAGAAGAAGAGAAGAGACAGAATAAACGAATGAAAGAGAAGAAAAAACTAGAGAGACAGCGAGCAAGATTGGAAGAAGAGGCAAACTCTTTAACAGGTATAGACATTTTGGCATTATTTATGGATGAATCAACTATTGAAGAAAAGCGAAAATTGGAAAGCGAAAAAATGGCAGCACGAGAAGCCGAAATAAGAGAAAGGATGAGGTTGAAATCAGAGAAGTTGAAAAAGAAGATAGCAACTTGTAATGATGCTGAGTTGAAAGAACTTAGGACTGCCACACAGGCTATACAGTTTGTGTTTGATAAAGAAGCTTTGCAGGAAATAGATGCTAATGAGTCAGACGTAGCATAATGTTGTTATATAAGACTGTAAACGCTAATAGAAGATAATAGCGATGATTAGTAAAAGCCATCTTGGTATATTATCGTCCGTTCGTATTTCTTGGCCGTTTCTTGAACTTTAAAAAGCAATTTGGCAGCATTCAGTTTCACCGTGGGATCAATTATCAATTCCCATACATTTTGAAGCCAACTTGTAATAAATATTATATCATCATTGAAATTCTGTATTAGATAAAGTCCCTCAAGTACATCGAAAATTAATAACACTCCTAAACTGATACTATCGATTAATTGGATCTCATCCAATTTGATTTCTCGGATGATTATACAACTTAGTGATAAATACTCTTTACACATATCCTTGAGTTGAGTAGATGATGGGTATGCACAATGAATGTAAATGCTGAGGGTTTTGATATAATGTGAGACGAACAACGACAGGTAATGCCCAATGTCTATACGACCAGCTTTGTACCATACATTTAACAAAGGAAAGAAAAAATTCGTTCCTATTAGTTTGGAGAATTTTGGTGTAGTTGATGTAGTGGTGGATACAGTTGATGTGTTTAAATTCATGTAATTATTGTGGAGCACCAAAGGAACACCTTTTATTTCAGAAACTGTGGTGATATCTGTGGTCTTTGTGCTGGTGTCTGTGTTGCTGCTAGTGTTACTACTGGTGCTTGTGAATCCGCGAAGTTCTCTCGCAGCAAGGCCAGTTGCCGTGAGTATAATTATTCTTTGCTGTAGCGAATAATCACCATTGAGCAATAATTGAAACGTGTGGAATGTAACATTTGGATTAGTAACTATTACAGCAACCATGTTTTGCAATTTCAATTCATCAAAATCGGAATCATTGTAGAAATTATCCAATGCAATCAAATTGGTTATTAGGTCTTCTGAATAAAACTCTACTTCGTTACCGTATTGGAACTTCAGCTTTAACAAATCGGGGCCTTGAATGAGTGCTTTCCTACGGAATTCATACGCTTGGGCGTTCTTAGTATCGATGTTCAAATAATCCAATAAATCTTTTATATAAATTGGGTTGGGGATCTTTTGCTTTGGTGGAAGCATTTCTACGTCGTTCGAGAGTTTCCTTTTATCTAATGGTGTTGGTATACTTGATGTGGATACCACTTGAGTGTTGTTATTGTTCTCACCAACAGTAGTGCTGGTGGTGCTGGTGGTGCTGGTAATGCTGGTAGTGGGTTGTTTTGTGTTTTCTTCTTCACCTTGAACAATCTTCCAAGCTTTTTGGTCTTGAAGGTGATGCTCTAGTGGTATTTTCTGTACTAGTAGATCCTTATATGGATTATCTATATTTGAACTTTTAAAAATCGGTTCTTCTTTGTTTAGCAAACACAAATTATCACCGAGTAGTATAGCTAATGCTTTAACATTATTTGAATGAGATTGCAATCTATTACTCACTGCTGTAATACATGCTTTATTGCGAGGTAGGTTTTGTAAAAATTGCGAGTTTTGCAAATAGGACATTTGGACAAGTAAATAAAAAGTCCTGGATTCTTGGATTGTTATTGGCTCGTTTTTGATATATATAGGGTCAGCCCATTTGCTCAATTGTCTTGAAAATACAGTTTCACTTTGTTTTTTATCAGTGCAACTTAGAATCATTGCTGTTAGCTGAATTAAGTTCTTGGAACAGCTCGTAATAATGCTCTCCATTATTGACTCGTCTATTATCTCTGCTGTGGGTTTTAGCAAGTTATACAATGCAAGTATGTTGTTCTGAGTAACTATATTGATTATATACCCTGTAAGAAAAATCTTTAAATATTCCTTCTTTTGGAATGGGGTTATCGTTATCGATTGAAATATACATTGAAAAAAGCTCCAGTTATGCTCCTGAAAAAATAGGTTAAAAAACACCGTGGGTGCTTGTTTATCAAATTTCAAAATAGAGTGTATAAATATCTCTGTTTTTCCCAGTGGTTGTCGGGGATCTTGATCTGTTTGAAGTAACCGGAGCACTGATTGCGAAATGTATGCTAAGTAATTTGTAGTGGATTGTAGGTGCACATTGCTCACAACAACAGAATGCGCTAATGATGACTCATTCGCTATTGCCAAGAGTTTTCCCCTAAATATCAACTTGTCAATTTCTCTCAACTCTATTGGTGTGCAACCTCCTCCTCCTCCTCCTCCTCCTCCTCCTCCTCCTCCTCCTCGAGATTTTAACGTCAAAACTAGGTCATCATCAACTATTTTGTCCAATATTCCCATATATAGCTTCAATTCATCTTGACTACTTGAACTCCTCGCCAATAATACCGATATCTTATTCATTAGATTACCAAATCCAACCAATGACGAATGGAAAACCGTTTGTATACCCAATTGAAGATCCATGGGCAATGAGGCATAAACCTGCGGAATAGTGAAATTGACTAGTGCATTAATAAATGCTGAAAATGTGCTCCTAGACTCACTCTCTCCTTGGCTCTCTATGTACCGACTTAGTATTCCTTCCAATTGGTCTACCGTAGGGTAGTTCTTCAACTGAGCAATCTCATCATTCAACCTTTCCATGATTTCAACAGCTTTCCAAAAAAGAAAGACTTTGATTGCAAAATGTGACTTTTTCGCGATGAGTTTTTCAGTGCGCGCGATATCGCGGAGATGAGCTTTAATAGACAGAGGGTTGGTTCTCTTGCTCTATTTAGGTCATATGTCTCAGCTTTTGATTGTGACTATGCACTTGTTGAAAGTTGTTAGACCCATTTGTAGACAATCACGGGCCTTGTTTTCTACTGCGCAGGTTAATTTTGAAAAATTACTGAATTGTGCAAAAGAACCCAGTTTAAATGACTCGAAATCGAGTAAAGTTGAATTAGATGCCTCGGTTTCAAACAAGATTTGCTTAGGTGGCTCAAAATGTGACCTTGAAGCAATGAGAGAGAGTGCGATAAACGGGACTATTACAGCAGAGGCCTATCTCAAGAGCAATCACTTTGCATTTCAAGAGAATTCCAGGGCAAAAGCAATGGCTATGATTGGTGAAGCTATATCACTAGTTTCGCCTAGAACGAAACCGATGATTTCAATAGATTGCGAAAGCCACGAGATTTCCCAATCAAAAATCACTGAAGTTGGTATATCGATATTAAAAGCTCTGACGTTCAACACCATGCTTCCAATGATCAAACCAATGCATATTATAATCAAAGAAAATATCAAAAGAACAAATCACAAATTTGTGCCCAATAACAAGAATTACTTTTCAAATGGCGTGTCGTATCTAATGACCAAAAAGACTGCTGCGAAATTTATAAAGTTGTTGCTTGACAAATACTTGTTTGATCTTGAAGGGATTTTTGTTGGCCATGCAATAGAACAGGATATCAAGTATCTAGAAAAATTGGGGGTTAAACTCTCTGAACCATTTCATCGAATAGATACATTCAAGTTGCACAGGTTATCTAGATCAAAAGGAGGCTCATTAGCCTCGTGTTTGAAGAGCATGGATATACCTCATGCTTATCTACACAATGCTGGCAATGATGCTTATTATACATTACTACTAGCTCTAGCTTATTGTGACCCTGCTACAAGAATCTTGAAGAATTTAGATCAATATACCGAAGTTGTTGGAAATGGGAAGAAAAAAAAGATTATCAATGATAAGTCGGACTTGGTGGTAGTTGACGATGTAGAAGAGCTACTTGCAGGTTTAGATAGGTGGTAAAAGTATATGTATATATAAGAGGCATATTTGTATAGACACTATCGAGTAGAGCGAGATAGTGTTGTAATAAGCTACTAAGCTACAAAGTGTTGCTCCACCATCTCGCTCTGCTCGATAGTGGGCAGCTGTAGATTACTTAAATAGGCAATATATATGTACCAAACATAAGACCGAGGTATCTCTCTCTTTTTTTCTTCTCATCTCGTTATTTTTCAATTTCATTTGCTTATCATTTTATTCAATTTATTTCATTTCAACAACAGCAAGCAGCTTTTGGTTCAAAAATGAGCCACAATAACGACGAATTAACTTCGTTGTTATCGTCTAGACGTCCCTCTGTGACTCATTCGTTTTTGGATACGCCAATTGGTTCGTTCAAGGGGCCTAACTCGCTACACAATTTTGCTAGTTCATTTACACGAGCTCAATTTTTCACTGCTTCTAAAATAGATAATGCGATTCACAAGAAACGGTCATTTTTCATAGATAATCCGTCACCCCAGGGAAACAGAGACGGACTGTTTTATGAAGATGAAACTTTCGATCCTGAGTTGATAGTGCCTTCGTATCGTGGTGAGCGACTAAGCTCAATTGTTGCTCATGATTCTCCTCTTCATAATCGAAATCAACAATTTATGAATAATACTCCCTTGGGTGATTATGCGCTACCAAATAATGACGTCTTTTACCAAGATGATATTGTTAATGCTATGAACGACTCGAGGTCGAGGCAAGGGTCAAAGTCTGATGAAATTCCAATTTTTGGTAAAAAGAAAGTATTTCCTCAGCCTTCATTTTCCAGTTTAAGAAGTTCGATTTCATTAGCAACTACTGCATCGCAAATTCTCTTAAAGAAAGTTGAGGATGGAGAAGGTAACATCGTTACTGTTTTAGCAGGACACTCAACGGCTCCACAGACGATTTTTAATTCAGTCAATTGTTTAATTGGCGTGGGTTTATTGGCATTGCCTGTTGGGTTAATGAGAGCTGGCTGGGTTTTGGGTTTACTGATTTTGTTTCTTTGTGGTATAACTACTTTTTGGACTGCAACATTACTTTCAAAAGCTATGGATGTCGACGATACAATCATGACCTATGCCGATGTCGGTTATGCTGCCTATGGCTCCACTGCAAAACTCATCATATCCTTGTTGTTTTCAGTAGACTTGATGGGTGCCGGTGTTACCTTGATTATATTGTTCAGCGACTCATTTATTGGTGTACTAAGCAATAATGAGCTAACAAACAAAATGATAACTTTTTGCATACTAACTCCATTTACATTTTTGCCCCTTCCAATTTTATCCATCTTTTCACTATTTGGAATAATGTCAACAATTTCAATCACCATCTTAGTTATGGTTTGCGGGCTAATCAAACAAACATCACCAGGCTCGTTAATCCAAGTAATGCCCACGAATTTGTGGCCCTCTTCGACCTCTGATTTATTACTAGCAGTTGGAATTCTTTTGGCGCCATTTGGCGGCCATGCCATTTTCCCAAACTTGAAAAGCGATATGAGGCATCCATATAAATTTACACAATCGTTGAAAACTACTTATTTCATAACCTTGGCTACGGACTCCTCAATGGCCATTATTGGGTTTTTAATGTTTGGTGCAAAGTGTAGTAATGAAGTGACTAATACGCTTTTGGATACTACAGGATATCCTAGTTGGTGTTATCCCTTAATCAAAAGTTTGATATGCGTAATCCCCTTGGCCAAAACTCCATTGAACGCAAAACCAATCATTTCGGCGTTGGATGTATTGTTGGGTATTGACAAGGTTGATAAATCCGATGTGGAGAAAAGGAAAAAGACATTAAATGCAGCTTGTAGAATCTTTACAAAAATTGGAGTCAATGCACTTTTTGTTATCTTGGCTATAATGTTTCCAGAATTTGAAAAGATTATTGGCATTTTAGGTGCTTCTATTTGTTTCATTATTTGCATAATCTTGCCTTGTTTATTTTATCTTAAATTGTGTGGTGCTAAAGTTGGTAAATTAGAAAGATTTTTTATACATTTTGTAGTAGCTGTATCCTGTGTTTTGGCAGCTTTGGCTACATGGGCGGTTCTTAGATTTTAGAAAGAGATATTTGTTTTATTCTCAAGTAAACTGTTAAAGTAATATATTCCTTTGATTAGTGATCAAAATCAATACGTAGCAGAGTTGTGCAACTCACAAAGAATAATCGTGCTAATTTTTTTTTTTTTCATCTTTTGCCATTTATTGTAGGCTTATCTAGCACACGCAAACTGCTCTCAATTCGTCTACACGGGTCTTGTGTTGAAAAGTCGTATCAAAAACACATTTGACTTGTTGTATTCTTTGAACATTATTCAATTGCTGCAAAAAAAAAATAAAAAATAAAATAAAAAATAAAATAAACTACCAAACGGTTGAGATTCTTTCTTTTTAGCTCGAGATTGATGTGGATGTACTTGACTCGCCATGACCATTTTTCATAGCAAATCAAGTATATTCATTATTACCATTATTACCTCCTATTATCTCTCCTACCTTTGAATTCTTTTCCTTTTGTCTTAGCTACGTAACTGTTTGATACATTATTCAGCGCTACCGTGTATCATTTTATTAAAGTAGATGAAACATCATCTTAGGCATGTTGTGGTAAATTTCTTGAACTCAAATATGCAATACGAAAACTCGAAGCGACACTATCTCGCTATGCTCGATAGTGTCGCTCAATAGTGTCGATAGTGCCGATAGTGCCGATAGTGCCGATAGTGTCGATAGTGCCGATAGTGTCGATAGTTTCAATAGTGTTGATAGTGTTGATAGTGTCGCTCAATATTGTCGATAATGTTGCTATTAAGTGCTGCTCCGGTATCTCGCTTCGCTCGATAGTGTCTAGCAATATATTTCCTTTCCCCGGCAGCTCTTTCTCCCAGGGTTATGCCCAATTCTTTTAATTTTCGATAATGCGTTTTGATTGAATGTTTAGCTTAAAACGTCCAATTAAAGCCAAAAACGGAAAAAGTTGCAAAAAAAAAAGAAATAAAAAAGTCCAAATTTTAATTTTAGTAAATATCACATTAGTTGATATACGGCACAGCAATCACAATAAGAGTTTTGGAGAATGACCTGAAACTACAAGGAGCGTTGGTGAGATGGGTTGGTGAATTTTTTTTTTCCTTTGATAAATTCTCCTCTTTTTCCGTTTACCTTGAAACCTTTTATCTTTTACTGCTTGTAGCTAGAAGAAAATAATATGCATATTCCAGGCCTCCATCACGAACACCACCACAATTCTAGTGAGCAACAAGTTCCGGAAACAGTTATTATTACCGGAGGAAGTGGTTATATTGGTCAACATATAATTGGTGAATTGTTGAAGCAAGGCTATAAAGTTGTCGCAATTGTCAGGTCTCAAATCGACGGAACAAACCTTATTGAGCTGTTTGATTCGCCATTACTTTCCATTGATGTTGTTGACCAATTGGAGAAACCCAATTCAATTGATTTTGTATTGAAACAACACAAAGAAGCAACCGTATTTATTGCTACTGCCGCTGTGGTCAAGTTCGATGCCCAGGATCAGAAAAAAGAAGTAATGGACCCAAGTCTTGCTATTATTGAAAATACATTGACTTCAATTAAGCACCATGGTGAGCAAATTAAACGAGTGATTTTGACTTCTTCGCTGTCTGCCATGGTTGGTCCAGATAAGGTATACAGCTATAATGCGGAGTATTCTGATAATGATTGGTCCCCACTAGATATTGAGCAAGGTAAAACAAGTGGAGTCATGGCTTACTTCACATCGAAGAAATTAAATGAAAAATTTGCTTGGAATTTCATTAAACAAGAAGAGCCTCATTTCGACTTGGTTTCATTGAACCCCGCATTATGTCTTGGTCCTACTTTCTTTGCTAATAAAATAAGCATTGATAGACTTCCGGCATCTAATATGTTTATTTCAAGTTTGTTAAAGTTACAAAAGGATAGCCCTGTACCTGAATTTGCAAGTGGTGCCATTGATGTAAGAGATGTAGCTAAAGCACATGTTTCAGTTATCAAGAACCCCAAAGCTTCTAACCAAAGAATCTTATTGGAAGCATACAAGGCAACTAATCCAAATATCATACACTACATCAGAGAGAATTTTCCTCAATACAAGGACAAATTGCCAGATTCTGATCCAATTCCAGAATCTGCTTTCAAAATGCCAAACGATAAAAAAAGTAGGGAGATTTTAGGAATTGAAAATTACGAATATACATTGGAGCAATCTGTGGTTGATTTGGTGAAACAAACCATTGAATAAAAACAAAAAAAAGAGGAAAAAAAAAATAATTAGCCTATCTTAGATCACTATTTAGAGTTTAATATTTAGGAAATCCTTCTTGATTTATGTCAACTTCTTTTACACTTTCTATATAACACGGTTCTTTCTTTTCTCCTCCTCCTCTTCTTCTTCTTCTTCCTTTTCCTGCTTTTGAATCCTTCGTTTGAACTTCCCTTATTCTGCCACAAGCTAAAGATCCACATTTACCATCTTAATCAAAAAAAAATCGACAATATTAAAAATTAAACTACTATACTAAACATATACTAAGAACAAAATGAACAAACTGAAAATATCAAATCTCATCAACAATGTATCAAAACTCAATTAAAATGATATACATATATAAATATATCATATTGTCCTTTACGTTAATTATCATAAGAATTAACGAAATATTTAAACATTTTTTGTTTAAATTTACTACCTTTTTTCTCCTTCTTTGTCTTTTTATTTTTCTTGCCTTTCTCATCTGCTACTTCTGTATTGTTGACAGTCGGTGGTTGCGCTTCTACTCCGTGTATCGATTGGGTAGTTGGTAGCGTATCAGCGCTTGGGTGAGCCGAGGTCGAGTCATGTTCAGCTTCAGTTGTAGGTGGTGGTTGATGTAACGGTAAAGAGATTATTTGGGGAAAAGAGTGTTGTTGTGTATGTTGTTGGGGCAGAGAAGACGCTGCATGCAGTGCTTGTTCCCGCTGTGGAGTGTATTGCAGTCTTTGTTGTTGTGTGTATGACTGCTCATTTTTGCCCACTGGCTGGGTAGTACGAGTGATCTCCCAAACACCTTTATTGTTGCTATGTTCTTCGCCGCCTCCTCTTCCAAATGAATTAGTGCTATTGGTTGCAGAACTCTTCTTGATAAACTGTAATCCAGAAATATGTTCTCTTCCCAGTAACTCAGGATGCTGTGAACGTAAATCTTGCTCTTTAACAAAAGCCAGGGCTTTAACTTCTTGATTATTCATACCATACACAGTAGCAAGCTGAGAACTGGTAAGATCGGCACGAGGAGGAATAATATCACTACGTGGTGGTACGTCGTCTTGGAAACTTCCTTCCCTACCTACTTGCTGAATAGGTTGTTGCTGTTGTTGCCTATTATCATTAATGTTCAAATCTTCTCTACTGGAAGTAGCAATATTAGTATTCTCATCGCTCACAAATGTCACATCTTCATGATTGGCATTGACTGCAGCATTCAGTTCGGGCACAGAAACTATAGGTTGACTATGTTCTCCTGTAGTATCTAATGGTAATGATGACGCCTCTTTTCCTTGATTGCTATCTTCCCTGCTCTCGCTTGTTAAATCCGTGGCTGGTAGTTCATTATTATCTTGAGCATCTTGAGCATCTTGATAATCACTCTCCTGATAAGAATAGTTTCTTGGTACAGATACCTGGTAATACTCTCCATCATCCACAACTACAACGTCAGTATCTTCCTCTTTTACAAAACCAGGTTGTGCATAATTGGCGTTGTCATTGGCATTAATAGCACTTGGAAAATCAGACTCATTCAAATGGTTTTTATCCCTAACCAACTCATTCTCGTCATTAGTGCTGTTGTGATTATTGCTGGTGCCGTTATTGATGATGTCGTTATCGATGATGCCGTTATCGACGATGCTGCTATCGACGATGCTATTATTGCTGTTGTTGTTTCTTTTATTCCTTGTTTCCATTAAAAACGTGGATTCTTGACTGCCTAAAGATCGTGGATCTAACGAATGCATTCCTGGACTAGACAAAGCATCCGCCTTTCTTGATATCGATGTCCCAGAGTTATTGGAAGCAAAAACATCTGTGATATCAGATGACATTTGTGGAGTAGAAATACTGGTATTGGCTGCATGCACAGGCACAGGGCCTAAATCCTGTGACACAAAGCCATTGGCAGCACCAACTGCTGCTGCAACAGGTTCATCGACAACTTCATTGGGCCTACCAACAGTGGTTTGCTGGGTTTCCTGGATGATCTGAGTAGGAGTGGTAGAATGACCTTGTACTGTAGGTACATCAGCACCACCATAAGAAGCACTAAGAATGCCTGTCTCTCTAGGTAAAGCAAGACTCCGTCTTTTCGCTTCTTCTTGTTCTTGTTGTTGTTGTAGTTGTTGACTAGTTTCAGATGATTCAATCGGGTTGCCGGAATGGCTATGGCGTCTCTTTTTGCTGAAAAGTCCACCAAATAGCTTTTTGTCTTTTGTCTTTGCTTCCTTTGCCTCCTTCTGTGCCCTCTTTTCCGCCTCAATCTGTTCCTTGGCTAATCTCTTTTCTTCCTCAGCTCGTTCTTTTGCAATTCGTTTCTCTTCTTCAGCTTGTTCCTTCATCTTTTGTTTTTCCTCCTTCGCCTGCTCTTTAGCTTGTTGTTTGGCTAACCTTTGTTCCTCTTTAGCTCTTTCTTGCCTCTTTAATGCAACAGCGGGTTCATCTCTCATTGAATACAACGCAAACTCCTTGTGATGATTAGTATATTCATAATTTTGCGGAACTGATTGACTTGCTCCTGTTTCCTTATCCTGTTGGTGTTTTTTCTTGCTAAGGGAATCCATCGAGGAAGTACGTTGAGTTTGGTGAACTGGTTGTGGAGGTGTTAGCGGCAGTTGTGCTTGTTGATCATCAACTACTTGATTTACTACAGGTTGTTGCTGTTGTTGTTGTTGGTAATCATGTTCTTGATGATCTTCACGAGAACTTAAAGGAAGAAAGCCAAATTTGGATCTCCGTTGTGTACGAGATTTGAATGGCCGAGTGGCTTCTGCCAAAGGCGGAGATGCTTGAGTAAAGCTAGATGCTTGAGGAACAGGTGTACTCACATTTGGGTTACGATCTCCGTAAACTTTTTTATAAGCCGCTTGCATTGCTGCTGCGTAAAAATCGGGACTTGGTTCCGTTAATAGTGATGATCCTGAAACTGGTACTTTCAGTCTATGAGCAGGTGTGTATTGCTTTTGTGTTTGTGGTGGTGATCCCGCTGGTGCTGCTGCTGCTGCTGGTGCTGCTGTTGTTACAGGACTAGCAGATGATTCATTGGGGGGAACTAGTATTGTTTTCACATTTTCATCAAATTTGATTGAACTTCCCAAAGAATGACTATAATGAGCAGCTTGTCTTGGAGACGTCACTGGTGATTTTTGCTGCAGTGGCGTAATGTTTGAACCAGAAGGACTGTGCCGCATTGTCCTCATAGTTGTGAATGGCTGCTGCTGCTGCTGCTGCTGTTGTTGTTGTTGCTGTTGTTGTTGTTGCTGTTGTTGTTGTTGCTGTTGTTGTTGTTGTTGTTGTTGCTTCTGCTGCTGCTTCTGCTGCTGTTGTTCTTGTTCTTGTTGTTGATCTTGTTGGGTGTGTTCAGGTTGTGGAATATTTTCAGAAAAATGCAGTAACGCAGGCGGCTCTGCAAAGTTCTTATAAGGATGCTGAGCAGATGGTGAAGAATTGACCACGGGACTTGTAGTGATGGAAGGCCCACTGTTTGATTTGGTAATTTCTTGAGCAGTTACAGTTTCAACATTTTCAAGCGCTGTTTCATCTGCATATGACTTATTACTACTGGTTTTCAAAATCGATCTCAAATGTTGACCCTGACTGCTTAAGGATGTGGTTCTATCTTTATCTTGATGGGTAATATTCTGTGGCGGCTCCACAAAAGCTGAACCTAGACGTTGATGCGATTCTTGTTCTGATATTACCTCACCAATTTCGAGATTAGCACGACTATTATGATCAATACTGTCACTATCTATGGCGGATTCCTTGATTTCTTCAAGGGAATTACTACCATTACTGTTCCCCCTATTCAATTTGAGTTTGGTTCCTGGTTCATCGACTTGATAATCGTAATCGAAATTTTGTAAATCTTCATCAATTTTTGTTAAATTAGCTTGAATGTGTGACATTGAGTTATTTCTATAGTTAGCTGAGCTGAGTGAATTGGATCTAGAGTTATTTCTCGAGATATTCTTTGTTGCTGTTTCAATTATATTAGATCCATCGGGAAATGTTTTCACCGTTTTCGTGGTGATGGACTGAGTTCGACCATGTTGGTCTACTACTTTTGTAGTTGTTGTTGTAACTACATATTCTGCATCCTCTACTACTTCTTCCTCTTCTTCACGTCCTTCCCTATCTCTTGCTGGTTTTTTACCAGTCTTTTCATAAAGATTTGCGTTGCTCAATTGTTGTCCTCGAGTTATCTGGCTGTTCCTGGTGAGACTGTTTCTACTCTGTAAGGTTAAGCTATTGTACCTTCTAGGTGTCGCTGCTGTCGCTGCTGTCGCTGCTGCTGCTGGGAAATTGTGTGTCCGTGGATCATAAGATGGCTGCGGGGTATAAAGATACTGCTTTAGCGGGCCATTATTACCAACACTTAGCGAATTCGATCTTGCATTGGCCTTATGTTGACGTTGAGGTACAGTTTGACCACCATAATTCTGAATCGGACTACTATGTAATCTCAAGGCAGCGGCAGCGGCTTGACCGGCACTAGTCAAAGATTGTGTACGTTGCAATTGCAGTTGTACGTGGGGTTGTTGTTGTTGTTGTTGTCCATTTACGGTGATTGGTAAACCAGCATGTTGTGTTGGGTGATGGTAAGTATTTATATCATGAGTATATTTGCTGAAACCTTGATATGAATCATATCTCCTCTAAGATAGCACATTAGCCGTTAGTATATTTTCAATTGAATAAATTCTCTAAGAAAAGGGAAGCCAAGAAGCAAGCCAGAAAAAAAGAAGGGAAAAAAAGAGATCCATCCAAAGCAGGAACGGAAGGGGGGGGGGAGGACTCTCGCGGGGGGGTGGCGGTACCTTTATCTATTATATTGCGACATACTCTTCTGTCAAATAAACCCATTTTAAGGTTAGGGGCAAATCTGAAGGAATTATCAACGAGTCTTTTTTGGACAAACTGTTGACTTTACCAGATTTAGAAAATTGTTGATAATTTAAATAAATAGCAATTGACGAAATTTGAGAGATGGCTTTTTAGTTAAGTTGTTGTTCTCAATTATTACTACCGTGAAATTTTGACTAATAATTTTTTTTGTTTGCTGATACACAATAACCTACATAACCTTGTCACGCATTACAAGTGTTATTCTTTGAAAAGTGCAAAGATTGTTCTTTATTAGTAGCAATGTAGAACAATAGGAAAATAAGTTAATGTAGAAAAGCAATAGAAAAATAATTAGGGAGCAATTTGGATAATTCAGGAGCAATGTGGGAATTCAGGGAGGGAATGTAGAAGATAACATAGAAGCAGTATGGATAATTCAGCAATGTAGAAGAACAATGTAGATTTCCCAAAAATGCAGACTCTAATAATAAGTAACATCTCAATAGACTTGCCTGGACAAAAAGAAAAAAAATAGTTTTCCATATGGCGGGTGTCAAGTGAGGCTAAATAGAGGGAAATCCATCTATTTGGCTTTTAAATTTAAATTGCATTTGATGATTTACGAAAAATATAGGCAATACTTGATGCCAAATTCACACATCTACCGCGAGGTAGATGTGTAAGCAAAAACAACCCGAGATAGAGACTAGACGAGTGAAACGAGTCTAGTCGAGAAAAACACATGAGTTTGATTTAGGTTGAATATGATAAGAAAGTGTTGCTAATCAGTGTTGTGCTCATTATTGAGCGGAGCGAGATAGTGTCGCTTCGCTCGATAGTGGAGCAACACCTTGTAGTTTGTTACAACTCAAGTGTCGATAGTGTAACTTGTCAGTGCTGCTCACTACTCTCTACTTCTACTGCTCCATTTGCTCTCTTTGCTCACTAGTGTCGCTCGATAGTGTCTACCAAGTGTTGTTCGATAGCGTCGGCAGTTTTGACATATTTTTGACTCTTTTTTCTCAGCTAAATCACCTAATTAGGAAACCCGATCTTTTTTCATATATATTGATTTTTCTACACTACTTGTTCTGTTGCAGGAATTTACTGGTCAATGAAAACTCGTATATTTTTTGGCTGCGAAAAAAAGAAATTGCAACTAATCAAATATACAAAGAGACACCATATATCTTGAAATGTCTTCTCCCTAGTATAGCAACACTAGTGGGCAAAGCGAGCTAGTGGAGCAGTAGAAGTAGAGAGTAGTGTGTTCCTCTCGACTAGATGAGTGAAACGAGTCTAGTCTCTATGCTCCATTATCTTGCTCTTGATAGTGTTGATAGTGTTTATACTCTTCTCTCAACTAGATGAGTGAAACGAGTCTAGTCTCTATGCTCCACTATCTTGCTCTTGATAGTATTGATAGTGTTTATACTCTTTTCTCGATAGTGTTGATAGTGTTTATACTCTTCTCTTATAGTGTGGATAGTGTTTATACTCTTTTCTCGATAGTGTTGATAGTGTTTGTACTCTTCTCTTGATAGTGTTGACAGTATTTATACTCTTTTCTCGACTAGACTCGTTTCACTCGTCTAGTCTCTATGCTCGATAGTGTACAGACATATTACTCTTTTGCTCAAGTCTCATCCTCACATAAATCCACACTCCATACTTCTTCTTCAAGAGAGAGTGTGTGTGTATGTTGATATTCACCTTCCAGAATTATTAATGCCCCACTAAGAAAAAAAAAATAGAATGCTTATCAATCAATCACGTGATGCGTGATTTGTAATCCCCTTACTAATGGAAGAAGGCTCTATTCAAAGTAAGCTTAATAGAGAAGGAAGTTTATACCTGTTGTTAAAAAAGGTGTATTTGTGACTTGCCCCTTCCTCCAAACTCTACTCAATGATGAGTATATAAGAAGAAACTCAAAAACTTACTTAGCATGAACTTTTGGACACTCATATCTATACCTATATCGATTGCAACATATTATTATTATACCAAAGGAAAAGCCGATCCCTCAACAATGGTTCCTTCTTCTTCAACCTCTTCGCATACCGCTTCAGCTTTAGCTTCCAAATTTATCAAAAATGTACATCCCTTGCCGACATTCTTTTTCAGTCATGGAGGCCCTACATTTATGTATGAAGATGACCCATTCGGCAATAAGGGAGCATGGAGAACAATCAAAAAACTAGGTCAAACGATCAAATCGTGGAAACCAGATTACATTCTTGTAGTTAGTGCTCATTGGCAAAGTCGTGGTTCAAATCTAATTGAAATCAACAAAATTGCAAATAATTCTAGTGAAAATCCCTTGATTTATGATTTTTATGGGTTTCCCAGCTATATGTACAAAGAAGAGTTTCATACCAAAAATGATGAATTTATTGCAAACCATGTAAAACAAGAGTTGGTCTCAAACAGCTTTGATTGTAAGGTAGTTGAAAGAGGAATAGATCACGGTGTTTGGGTACCGTTCAAGGTAGCATTCAGTGACTATACTACCCAAACCACTCCACAACCAAAAGTCAAGGGCCTTGATTTGGATTGCCCCGTTATTCAAGTCTCATTAGCCGCTAATGATTCTGACTTTGACACCCATTACAAACTAGGCAAAGTGCTTAATCATTTTAGAAGCAATAAGATATGGGACGAAAGACAGGAGAAATACCTTACTGGAATGGTTATTTGCTCGGGAATGTCAGTGCATAATTTGAGAGACTTGGGATATTCAATGAGACAACCCGAAGGCGTGATGCCCTATGTAAAGCCATTCAATAAACTTCTCACTAATATTTTGGAAAATGAAGACAACAACAACAACAATCAAGGTGATGATTTATTGACAAGATTGAATAATTTAAAGAATCTACATATTTTGAGACAAGCCCATCCAACATTGGAACATTTCTTACCCATTGTTGTTGCAGGTGGTATTGCAAATGACTCGAACGATAGGATCAAAGAGCTTTACAATGATGAGTATGCAAGTTTAGGATGGGGGGTATACCAGGTTGGTGAATTCTCCTCTTCGGAAAGTGTACTCTAAAAACATAGATGTGTTTTGAGACTATCGAGAGCAAGATAGTGGAGCATAGAGACTAGACGAGAAAAGAGTATACACACTATCAACACTATCTCACTCTGTTCGATAGTGTCGGTCGCGATACTTGCCCTAAAAATACATATCGAATCAATATTCATATAAATGTATACTAATAAAATACACTTGTATATAGAAGAAGTTGCGAAATACAAAACAAATTTAGTTTTTTTGATGAGTTTTCATACAAAAAATATTGCAAATATATACGTTTAACAGTAGTTTGAAAACACTTGTCATTTTCTGAAAACATACCTTCTTTCCCCTCCTCCTCTTCTTCTACAATATTTGTTAGCGTGGTTGAGTTACACAGAAAACAAATTGCTAGTTCTAAATTAACAAAATGTAAGGCTACAAAGGTATTGAAAAAAATATCTTGCCTTTTCATTTTCATTTTCATTGGTGTATATAGATATATACACACACGGCACACTTTAGCAACACTGTCCCTACACTTTAGCAACACTGTCTACACTTTAGCAACACTGTCCCCGCACTTTGAATTCACACACTTGTTAGTCATTGATAACAATGTTGACCAATCTTACTAGACCAGGCCTATTAAATAACCTTGATATTCCTCTCCTCCCCCTTCTCCCCCCCCATATTTTTTCTTCCATTTTCTTTCATTTTCTTACTTTTTCAACAACTCCTTCAACGCATCTGCAATACCTTTCTCATCCAATCCTTCTAATTTCCTCTTTACCTCCTCACCACGTTCAAATCTCGCTGTCAAAGTTGGTGGGACACCAAAACTTTCTCGAATTAGTATAGGCAATTTATAGTTCAGCTGACTTTTTATATTAGAATAGTTGTTCTTCAAAAAGCTCCGTAAAGGAACTGACGCCTCTCCCGTCTGTGACAAGTGGAATCTAAGCTCCTTCAATGCAGTGGGGATCACAAATTTGGACATGGTACTAGTAATCGGTAATTAATTTAGTTGTTGGTCAACTTAATGGGGTCCTTTTTTTTTTTCGTTCCTTCTCAATTGGTGGTTTTCTGATGAGGAGGGACTCTAAAGGCATATCACGTGACTTACATGATCCGATCTAGTCTCTCGAGGAGTTGAGATGGTTTAGTTGAACCATGTTGATAGCTCCTTGCTACGAATGTGCCTTAAAGAGTGAGAAACACTAAGAGAAGAGTAAATTCCATAAAAAAAAAAAAAACAAATCAGTGAAACTGGTTCAAATTTGTCCAAACACAATTTCCATTCTAGAAAGATATTTTATTTTAATCATACCAAATTTTGATCAACTCCTCACTAACGGCTGATGGCGTTAAAACCCCCAAATCGGTAACCAAAGCTGTAATATACTCATGCGGAGTAAAATCAACAAAATGCTCGTCCAAAAAATGATCAGATTTCTTTTTAAAATTCTCGCTAAACTCACTTTCCTGGTCACTCAATGTGGAAATGTAATTCATATTTGGTAAATCATTAGGTGCAAGTGGGAACAATCTAACAAATTTGTGAGACTCAGTTATAACGTAAAATGGTTTATTATTGACTTTCGCTAGGCATCCAATTTGGTAAGTTCCTATATGATTAATAATACCACCACTTTCAGCAACTCCCTCTGCGCCAACGAAAATCTTATCCACTTTGTGTAATACGTAGCCAACAGCATTATCGACAATGACCTCACACGGAATTCCCGCGTCATTCAACTTTTGAGCCATCAAGTACCCATTTTCCGTTGGTCTCAGCTCGGTTATTAGAACCTTGAATCTGGTAAGTTGTTCCTTTCTAGCCTTGAGCAACAACGTAAACACAACACGAGAGTAACTATGCACCAAAATAATATCATCGTCCTTAATAAACGGAACCCCAAATTCTGCCAGCTTATCTCGTGAAATCTTGGCTCTTTTGACAAATAATTCACCATTTTCAATCAAATTTTTAAAAAAGGATTCCCAATTACTGTATATGTTTGTGTTTCTCAAGACAAATCTCATGAATAAGTCACACCCTGCTGAGAGGGATATATTATTGGGAATAGAAGATTTTAGCACTTCGATATTCTTTGATACCAAGTTGATCAACTCTGAAGACGTCGATGGTTGTTTGAGTCGTAACATAGTCACAAGTGACTCAATTGCCGCTATAGGCATAGTCATATCCTGATCCTCTTTTAAAAACTTATGGTAAGTCGCCGTTATATCAAATATTTCCGTCATTATTACATAAACCAGGTTCTTGATATACCTTTAAACCAGATGATGTTGAAAATGTTGGTTGATCATCTCGGATTTCAGAGATGATGAAAAAAAAAGAAAAATAAAAAAAAAAAGATTAAAATTAAAAAACTCCTAGGAAGTATAATGATGGACTTTTTAAAGTTTGTTTAAAGAACATCAAGAACACAGTATGAGCCTGGGTTTATTTGTGGAGGATGAAGATGAGGATAGATATAAACCGTCAACATCGACTATAAAGGAAGAAGACGAAGAAATGCTGTCATTTGAAGACCAACTTCAACAAGGTGCTAGTAGTAGTAGTAGTAGTAGTCGTGACAATGCAAATATTCAATTTGGAGAGGAAGACGAAGATCCCATAGTTGAGACCATTCCTTTACTAATGAACTACGTACCAAGTACGGAGACACAATCAGTACATCTTCTTCAATTTCCCGGCCGCTCTAAAACGAGGTCTTTACTTAGAGAAGAACTAGTCTCTGCTACAATCAAACCTAAATCCCATTTACTCGATATCAAGCTACCAATGAACCTGGACAAGTTCTTTGATCAAAGTAAAGTTGATGATTGGGGGCCAAGTATCGAGTTTCAGTCGCTTTCTGGGGTGCTAGATCCCAACGATACCGGGATATATGCCGGCAAAATTATCAATGATGGCATTAACAAGAAAATCGTTTTATTCAATATTGATTCGTCAGTTCAGCTTCGCACGAGCTTCAAATATCTTGATGATTTGGATAAGAGTAGTTTGCAAATGAAAAAGCCAGCACAGCAAGATTCACCAGTCGATACACAAGCTGTAGAAGTTTTACAAAGTGCAGCAAAGACCTCGGCTTTTGGCCAGGACAGTAATAGAACCTCTCTAAGCGAGTCTTTAAGGTCTGCTAGAAATTGCGATGAAGAACAATGGCAACATTTGACATGGAAGATGGGCAACAACTCTGCGCTTCAAAGCCTAAAGCAACAGCTACAAGACGATGCAGACGGGATAAAGCTAAAAACTGCTACAACACCTTCAGAATTTATAGACAGATCATTTTATTAATGCACCAAATTTTTTTTTTTTTTTTTGTTTTGTTTCTTATATCATGACTCTTGACTCTCAATAATTAAACTCACTGCTTGACGAGTTTACCGCCATTTTAGCTATACGCAACATTTTCTTTCTTGGATCTTCCTTCTTTCTTTTTGATAGAGTGGATTCACTATTGCTGCTTTCATTAACTTTAGCAGACTTCCTGCCTAAACTCTTTGGCGTTTCTCTCAATCCGAAACTCTTTGCAATGTGACCCAAATGCAATGCTTTCACATTGAAGATACTACGTTCACTTGACAAGTGGGTAGCATAAGCTCTTATATGTGAAGTGAATGCAAGTATTGCTCGAGACAACGCATGAGAGTCTTCCAACAACCATCGTTCTATATCCAAATGCCAGGTGGTTGCATGAATGTCCCAGTCACCCAACTTGTTGTGTTTATTTTTCTTCGTCAGTCCATCTTCTTTGGCAAATGCTTGCTGTAAACTTTTCTCATAATTGAGTATTCGAAGACTGTCCAGTCTAGGATGGACAACTTTCAACTTTGCATCAATATAGCCCTCTTCTAAACCAGGGGATAAAAATAAAGTTGCATTTCCCTGTTTACCAACTCTTGCTGACCGTCCAATCCTATGCAAATGGTCATCAATAGTGAACGGAGCATCGTATTCAATTACATTGGATATATTTGGTAAATCCAAACCCCTCGATGCGACATCGGTACAAAATAGAATCTTGTGTGGGAACCGAGGATCCTCTTTGATGAAATTTTGTAATATTGTGGTTCTCGTTTGCTGTGACAAGGACCCATGAAGCTTGTATATAACGGTATTTTCGTTGACCATAGGCGCTGTTACTTCTCCAATGGCATTATTTTCTTCAACCAAATCCTCGGGATCAGTCATGACTGTACTTGTTTCACCAGTTTCTTGATCTTTGATTTTCTTGATTACTTTCCCATTTCTTGTGAATACGTCAAAATGGTAATTCACAGAGTCTGAACACGAGAAAAACACCATGGTTCGTGAAGCATTGCTCAGCTTTTCAATCTCACTAGCAAAGTTAACCAACGAAGCATTTAAAGAAACTAGCCTCAACTTTGGTGGTACAATAATAATGTTTTGTGTCAACTGCTCTGGTGCAAAGGACTCATGTGAATTAGTTGCTGTTGTGGAACCACCAATATTATTATTATTATTATCATCATCATCATCATCATCACTATCATTATTAAGTTGGATAGTTCCCTCAACCTCCCGATCAACCGAGATCATCTTGGGATTATTCAAAAAAATGCTTCCCAACTTTTTTACATTATTTTGTAATGTAGCAGAACACAAGATGTTGATTCTCTTACTAGGTAAATCCGGCCACTTGTCTCTTGTAATGTGTATTGCTGATTTATTATCAATAATCGTTGTAATTTTTGAAATAGTTTCCTCAAACCCCAACTCCACTAATTTGTCACCTTCATCTAATACTAAGTACCTCACTTGCCCTATATCCAACGACTTTGTATTTTCCAAATGATCAACTAATCTACCAGGTGTAGCAACTAGGATATTAACGCCTTTCCGTATTCTCGCTTTTTCACTTTTCTTCTTTTCTCCACCTATAACAATACCAGGTACAATAAATGAGCAACATCGATTCAAGTTTTCCAAAACCGCGTATATTTGATTAGCCAATTCCCTAGTTGGAGTCAATATCACAGCAAAAACTCCAGAATCTCTACCAATGTTTTGTTTGCCCATCATCATCAACTTGTGAAAAATCGGTAGCACAAATGCCATTGTCTTACCTGACCCAGTTTGAGCCTTAGCAAACAAGTCATTGTGGGTAATGAGTAGTTCTGGTATTACCAATTTCTGAATCTTTGTTGGGTACTTGTATCTCAAATGCTCGGTCAAATGCTTTGATAGCCTATCGTTTAAACCAAGGCCAGTAAAAGTAGTTGCATCTTTCATAGGAGCATTTGAAGGGGAATATGCTTTTTCAGATGTGACTGTATCTGTATTTTCCTGAGCAGTGGATTTGCTATTATTTGTAAATAAGGAGGATACGTATAGCTCATCTTTACTTCCTCGCGTGGTGGTGGTTTTTGTACCCCCCGAGACTTTGACTCTCTTGGGCACACCACTTGTATTTTGACTCAGTTTCAAGCCATCGCTATCATTTTTATCCAATTTCCTCTTCTCAGTTTTCCGTTCAAGTATGGATACGCTATTGGCGCCTTTTACTTTTGGTTTTTCTTTTAATTTACCCAGAAGTGTCAATTGCAATTTCCGTCTCTCTTTCCATCTTCCACCGCTCACTTTGATGTTTCTTTGTGGAATCTGCTTAACTGAAGATGGTTCAGGAACAGCAAAGTTTAATAACATTCCATCACCATCATCATAGTTATTATTATTATTACCAACGCTCATTTTATAACCCCTAGCTTGTATATGTATATCACTACTTGAACTTTTCATCTCATCTCATCTCATCTCATCTCATTTATTTAAAAAAAATATACAGAAGTAGTGCTACCATTTACGCTTTTCTACTTTACTTCTTCTTCTTCTTCTTCTTCTTCTTCTTCTATTATTATGACTACTTCAATAACTCACACCATTACTGTGAATGAAAATCGTTTCTTTTTCTATTTATTCTATAGATCGATAAATGGTAAACTCAGTTCTTTTCTACTTTATGTTTCGTTTGTTTATTCACAAGACTAACGAGGCTGAATTCAACTTTAGTTGTGTTTTTTTCTTGTATGTCTAAGGGGTTTTAGGGGGTTTTAGGGGGCTATGTACTAATTGAAAAATTGCACTTCTATTAACTCTTATTCACCAACGTGAAAGCAAAGTTAGTGTCGGTGACAGCTAGCGCTGCTCCACTATCGAGCACACACGGGTCAGTGCTGCTCCACTATCTCACTTAGCAGATAGTGTCTGTCAGTGCTGCTCCACTATCTCACTTCGCTCGATAGTGTCTGTCAGTGCCTCGTATTTAAAACAAGGTTTCTATATCCATCCGTTTTCCAAAGAGCATGACTCTCACCTAAAATGTACCCAATAGTTTTTTCCTGATAATAGTGCTCGTTCAATCTTAAATTGTCAATCACATCATCTAAAAATATAGCCTTTCCAATGTTTATTCCATTTCCCAAACCAGGATGTTCAACATTAACTACATGTAGATGGAAGTGGTAATAACTGGGTTGGTAGTGAACAAAGATTCTAATCTTGTCCCTGGTTAAGCCATAGTTGGTTTTCGTTACTTGCTCGATTTTTTCTCGAATCCTTTTTAAATAGTTTGTGTGCTCTCCCTTCAAGTCTCTGATAGATGCAATGTCTCTTCTATTGACTATGCAACATAAATACATGTTTTGTAAATTAACACCATCCCACTTCATATCGGGTAATAGTACAAACCCATTTTCACTTTTGTCATGGTAAATAACTGTTTCCTTTTCTTTTTCATGAAACAATATGTTGTAAACCCATTGCATTCGATCGCCCTTCATTGTTTCTATGTATGGGACAACATACTTGTAATACATTTCCAGCGTCTCACGAACGTAATGTAGCTTTTGGCTTGTATACTTTTCAATATGTGTTTCTGTTGCAGGGTATATGAGATTGAACTTGGCTCCAGGAAGATCTGACAAATTCTGTTTCAACGTAGCTTTAGCCCAAGTGTAAACATCATTCGAATTGATCTCCCGTAAATCTTTGAGCAAGATCGATATAGGATTATCATCATTACTGCTGCTGCTGCCGCCGCCGCCGTCCTTTGTGAATAAGTCAACGTTGAATGGAGTTTTTTCAATGACAATAATGGCTCTATCTTGTTTTATTGTACCCAAAACTGCAATTGTTTTGGTTTGAGTATCTGAATTTAGCAAGCAACTAAATTTGAAATCTTCAAGTAGCTCTATCCTAGACATTTTCTTTTCAAAATAATCACGGACTCTTTGCTTCAGCTCTTCCTACTGTTATGTGCCATCTACTTCTCAAAGAGGGAAAATTTCCTGTATTTGTTTGAAATATAAACGCTACCGAAATTATAAAGTGGTGATAATTCCATCCATCGGTATCCCTCTATTGGGATGTATTTATTTGGATTTATAGTGATGCTATAGTTTTATTTGGATTTATAGTTTTATGCTATCTAATTACTATACTGCAAGACTCTCTTGTTCTTCCTCCTCTTCACTCAAATCAATGCAAACCCAACTTGGCCATGCAATTTCGTCTCTCAAAATACTTCGTAACTGCTCCATTAAAAACTTTTCAACTTTACCAACGTTCCTCAACACATTATTCTCCACCTCACCAATCTCACTTTCAATCTTGATCTTTTTGATGATATCTATTCTCTCTTTATTGTTTGGGTTGTGAAAATAGTAATCGACGAAATTACCACCGCTGTTTGTAGCAGTGGGCGTGGAGGCCGGTGATGTGCCACTCATATGCCCATCTGCTTCATCATTCACATCGCACAAGAAGGACAAGAACACAGCATTCTTCAAGTAGGCAATAGTGGCAATAGAATGGATAACCAAATCTGTCACATGAAGCTTTATAGGAAGTGATATAAAATTTGGAGATGGATAATTCACCAATAATGTGACTAGTATATCTATTTGCAAGTCGCCCTTATAATTGATTTCAGCTATTAATTGAACATCCTCTAGCCCAACTTTATGTTTAGCTTTCAGTTTCAGTTTTGTTGAAATTTTGGGAATTACTCGGGAAGACAAGCTATTTTGATTTAAGATATTGGTATGTGGTTCCGTTCCGGCTGCTACCGAAGTAGCAATGGGTGTAGATCCAGTCATGCTATTTACACCATACGGGTTTAAAATCGACTGAAAAGAATCTTTGAATTGAGTGAGAGCAGGTGCATTCTTTTTTGAACTCGTTAATGGCGGTCGCTGCTGTTGCGATAAAGTTGGTACCTCGGTAGTGCTGGAGGTGACATTTAGCTGATTGAGACCTTCCTCCACTGTGGACAACTCGTCATCATTCTTATTATTCTTATCTTTGCCTGCATCCTCTTTGTCATCATCAACCTCTTTGTCATCATCATCCTCTTTGTTGTCATCGTCATCATCATCATCGTCGTCATCGTCATCATCATCATCGTCATCATCATCATCATCATCGTCATCATCATCATCACTACCATCGTTATCATCGCCGTCATCTTCATTGTCATCATCGTTATCAAAGGCTCCCTCCTTATCTTCTTCATTTACCTCCTCATCCTCCCCCACTTCCTTAGGAATACCTTTTGATACCGCATTACCTGCACCAATAGCGTCTCTCTCAGTCTCGGATCCATCTTCGCCATTAGCATAAAATTCTTCAAATGGATCCCCGATATGCCTTATAGTAATCTCAGGCGCAATGTCTCCCAAATTGAAATTAACAACCTCAAGATTTGATATATATGAGGGTAATGTCAACGATTGGAACTGTTCATGTAGAAGATTTCTAATTAAGTCATTAATCTCAGAGTCCGAAGTGAGCTTTTCCCAGTTTATATCAAACGACATTTAAAGCACCATAGCTTGCTTGTAATCAAAAAGAATATACTCTAATCCTGAAAAAGAAAAATCAACTTGTATACAAATAAATAGTCATCGCTACCAAATGCGATGGAAACCCTGGAAACCACCAAATCTTTCCCTTCTTCTTCATTTGCAAATTTGACAAGTTTTATAGTTGATAATGTTTAATAATGTTTGAGAATAGATGAGTTAAAAGCCAAATACAAACATATCAACAAGGAGACACACGACTTGCGTCTCATGAAAAGTAGCAAGAGAGAATTGACATTTATCTACTTTTAGAGAACAAAACTGTTTTGTATTTGCAACTGTGGTTAGCCGGGACTATTGTTAGATGGCCCAAAAAAGCAAAAACAAAAAAAAAAAAAAAAAACAACTAAGAAGCCCCAATTTGAAGATTAAAGACCCATGTATTAGACTAGGATTTAGTGTATTAGGATACTGTGTATTAGGATTTACTGGTTATCAGTTTGTGACCGCCCCCACGTTTCGGATTTTCTTTTTTTACGATGCTAAAAATGCAATGCGTGCAAATCGGAAAAATTCAAAACTGCAAATTTCTGTTCCCATCTACTGGCTTATACCACAATACAATAGGGCCAGAACATTGCACACAATACAATAGGACCAGAACATTGCACACTATCACTATCACTAGTGCTAAAATGATTCTTTTTTTTTTTTTTCACTTTTGAGATCTTAATTTGACACGGTTTTTTTTTTTCTTTCTTTCTTTTCATTCATTCCTATGACACAAGTTCTACGTATTAACAATTCTACTTAAAACAAATTCCAAATCTTCCAAATCAAAGAAATCTGTCCCTTCTATTTTTTTCACTTCCAAACACTGAATACCCCTTGAGGTCAATAACTCGTGATCTATTTCTATTTTGGACTCGGACATGTAGACCAAATGAGTAACGACTTGACACCATGGTATTCGATAGCTGTTGTTGCCACCATTTTGACTACGCAAGGAGTACTCCACCGCTTCAACAATCACTTTGATAAAATCTCCTGCAGTCATACCATACGTTTCTCTATCAAGACAACCATTCAACAACAAAATCTTGTTCGTGCGATTCAACGTCGTTATCGCTTTCCCCACTCCTTTGAGAACAAGAATGGGAACAATGCTCGTCATTAAAGATCCTATGGAATAAATAAGAGTGTCTGTACTTGAAATAGTTGCCAACACTCTAGAATTAGCAGTCGGGCAAATCTCTTCGCCATAAGGCGACACATAAAAGATTCTTTTAATTGGTGATAGCAAGGGTTCAATATTTTGCAGCTTACTAAAATGAAGCTGAGACTTTTTTAATTCAGGATGAACGTATTGCGGTACGTTTCCCGACTCTTCACCTTCGGAATCTGATGAAAGCAAACCAGCGCCAGACTCTTCTGCCGCAGAAGAAGAAGAAAAAGCTGCAAGACTGTACCTTTGCTTGATTCTATGTTTGCTGGTCTCAACATCGTTTATTGCATACTCCAAATCGCCAAAATAACTAGTACGAGAAGGATTATCGGTAGGTGTTGGTGGTCGTGTTTTGTTAATGGGAGGTGGATAATTGTTGCATGTATTGGACGGATGCGAAATCTGTGACTGGCCGGTGATGATTAAGCCACTCTCCAATAGCGCGCTTATGTGATAGGTGAAATTAGTGTTTATGCATGGAAGAACCTGTACATCTGAATCGACATCTGTCAACTTGCAAAATAGTTCAATTGCAGAATCCAACGATCCAATAAATAGCCTTGCACCAGTGAGAAACAAATTCCCCACATTAGCTAGCTCATAACGGAATTGACGTTTGGTAGACTGATGTATCCTCGATCTTTTCAACAACTCAACATGGACATGGACAAAAAAGCTTCTAAAAATCTCTTTTGTGCTTGAACTTATGGGGTTCCACAATTCATGAGTACCTTCAACTATACTATTCCACTGTTGTTTGGCGATAGTTGGCTCCAGAGAAAGCCTGAAACTCAACATTTTTTGTATATGTTTCTGATGGGGCGGTATGAGCCGTGTGAGTCTCGAGCGTATATCCCCAATCGCTGGTCCTCCTATAACCCGGATAATCTCCGAAGTCGAACCTCCATTGTCGGAAATCGGCAATACGTACGCAGTTTCGTTCTCTTGGGACAAGTTTTTGAACAAGGGTACCAATTGGTTGGTTGCAGTCCCGCCTGATATTATCGTGATTTTTGGCATCACCAACCCAACCCCACCAAAATGGTGAAAAAAAATGTTACAAGAGCCAAAACGGGCAAGACGCGATTCAATTTCAATATTTTTTCAACTGTAGAGAAACGTAATACGTAGATGAAAAGAAAAAAAAGAAAGAAAGAAAGAAAGAAAGAAAAAATATCACCAGTGTGTGGGAGGAACTAATTGGCATTAACCAATGGTTAGGTTTTCCTAATGGAGAAAAAGTATCGCGCGGGAGTTGTAGCCCGTTTTTTTTTTTTTTGGAACGAAACTAAAATATGGGGTAGGAAGGAAGATAAGATATGAGTTTACATATTGTATGAGTAATTTGCGAGTTTTGATTAGCCCATATTATCACGCCCATGAAAATTTGATGAAATGTAAAGGTGTTAAAATCTACTCTCCAAGTCTTTTCTTATTTACTTTAAAGATCTCTTTAACTCTATCTTTTTTACCTATTGGCTTTTTAACTCTATCTTTTTTGCCTATTGACTCTTTGACTTTTGGGCACTTTGGCTCTTTGGCTTTTGGGTATTTTAACTTTTCATTTGCCATGTATATCCCAAAAAAGTATAATGAAGACGACTGGGATCAAAGTGCGTTTTTGATCAAAAACTATCCATTGGGAACAATTGTAACTGTTGAAGGCGATGGGATTATTGCTAATCATATACCATTCTTTTTGAAAGTTAGCGATAGTGGAAAGAAGACTTTGATTGCTCATATGGCCAAGTCAAATCATCAATTACCTTCGCTCAAATCAAACAAAAATGTGTTAGTGATCTTCCAGTCTGTGGACTCTTACATCACTCCAAGCTATTACCCCGGTAAGCAAGAGACTCACAAATACGTGCCCACATGGGATTTTGCTAGTGTCCACATTCACGGCACATCCAAGATTGTTGATGACTTTGATTTTGTTAGAAATCAACTAAACCTTCTTACAGATCAAGAAGAGAAATTACAGAAAAAGGGTAATCTGGTGTGGAAGGTAAATGATGCACCAGAAAGCTATTTAAAGATTTTGCAAAAAGCTATTGTCGGATTAGAGATTGAAGTCGAGTCTTTTGAATGTAAATACAAGTTTGAACAGGGCATGAAAAAGAATGATATCGAGGGCGTAGTTCTGGGGCTAGTTGTTGATGGTAAAAACGAGATCTCAAGGTTAACGGTCGAAGCAAATGCCAGGGCCCAAGAAAAAGAAAAAAACAAAAACATAAAGTAATCAACAAATAGCAAATAAATGAAGATTTGGAAATGAATTGAAACTTAGAGAAAGTAATGCTAAATAATACAAAACATGGATTAGTCACACACACACACACACACACACAGATATATATATATATAGTTTCAAAATAGTTGTCATCGCCATCAACAATATGTCACAAAAGTGGTCTTGACTCGTGTTGTTAAAAAGCAGAAGAAAAGAGCTTTTCTCTATCACCCCCTCTTCATAAACATTTGTCATTTATCAACCTCTTCATAAACACATGTCATCTATCAACATATTCTTTTTCTTCCTTTTTTTTTCTGGCCTGTTAGTATGGCGTAAATCCAACACCACCTCTTCCGCCTCTAAATCCACCACCTCTTCCGCCTCTGCCTCTTCCACCTCGAAACCCTCCTCTACCTCTTCCACCTCTTCCTCTTAAGGCTCCGCCTCTAGGCACAGTTATACCTGGAATATTGGTTCTTTTGGGCATCACTTTCAACTCGCGGTCTCGAAATATAGATCCGTCTAAAGTGGCAATTGCTTTGCTTACACTATCTGGGTCACTGAAAGCCAAATATGCGACACCTTTAGGCCTTCCGGTGAATTTGTTATTCAAAATAGTAATTTTTTCAATAACACCCGCTGAAGAAAAGTGTTGCTGCAATTCCAACGGTGTTGAACCATAATCAACGTTTCCAATATATATCGATTTGGCATCGCTTTCTCTCTTCTGCTCGTCAGAAATCAACCCTGAAGATACTGGCGTTTCTGCAATAGTCCCTGGTGTTGGTACAGTTGCCGATGCAGGTACATTTGTTCCTAAAGAAAACGCTCCCACCGACAAAGGTTGCTGTTGCTGCTGCTGTTGTTGATGTTGATGTTGTTGATGAAACTGGAAACTTGCTTGTACCGCCGCTAGTTGTGCCTCCTCTTGTTGTAGTTTATCTCTTTCATCTCTCAATGCTTGTAACTTGGCTTGTTCAGAGAGATCCGCTGGAGCATTAACGTTTCCGTAAGATTGTTCCAGTGGAAACCCTTGACCAAACAACTGCTGATGCTGTTGTTGCTGTTGCTGTTGCTGTTGCTGCTGCTGCTGCTCCTCAACTGATACTTGATCCGACATATTTGTTATTGATGTGATGGTTCCATCATCGGAAAAAGTTCAACTTGAAGAAAAATAGCACTTTTTTTTTTCCCTTTTCTTTCTTTTTTTTTTCTCTGTTTCGCCAGTACTACTAAGGAAAAGGGAAAACTCATAATGTGTATATGTATATATACGTATATATATATATATATATATATATGAAAGTATACTAAAAAATGTGTTTAAATACTCAGAATTGTGAGAGTCCCGGTATATTTCGTTCTCGATTCAAGTTCCTTTTGATATTCCCTATATCTCTAGGGAGTGTTGCTGGTAGATTCTGCTTATAGTTTTTATCTCTGTTTTCATTTTCATCTCCATCTCCATCTCCATCTCTATCTCTGTTTCTACCATTCTTGATAGACCCATAGTTATAACTGGTTGCAGATATTTTTCTATTGCCGCCACTCTTCTTTGCACGAGCAGGCAATAATGCGTCAGACTCTGAGCGTAATAAGTCAATGTCTGTTTCATAGCCTCTGTCATAGGGTACAAACTCATCGTCATCGGTCAATACACTCATAAATCCCGAATCCATTCTGGGGATTTCGTCGTCATCACCTTTATAACGATGTTCTTTTCTTCCCATGCAGAAAACCAACCCAAGCATTACACCACCAAATATTGTTAAGCCCAAAATTATACCCACACCAACACTCACCATTCCCAAGTGAATATGAAGGAAGTTGTCTCTGTTTTTCCGATCTTTGACCCAGTCCAAGTTTAAGGGTTTTTCCAATAAAAAGATACATGATAGGTTTTGTGTATCATGTTTGTTTCGATATTGGGAAGTGCATCCGTGAGATAGGATTTGTACCTCACGATCCTTATTATAAGACAGGGCACTTAGATCCTCATTATAAAACAGGGCACCTAGATTTTCCGATTTTTCCCCCAGTTCGGTATCGTTCAATTTGTGAAACTTCAAGTAGATCTTATTTGTTCCTTCCTTACGCTTACACACTAATCCTCCATGGGTCAAATTAGTTTTAATCAACTCACCGCCATTGCTTTTGCCTTCAAAACAATCCAAGATTTTATACACCTCCTCGTTGGGGATTAAATGAAACTGTAAGAACTCAAACAAATCTGTGAATGACGACGTGATGTTAAAGTTCTCAAGTGACTCGGAAGACGGGACAAATAATGAAAAGGGCTTCTTACCTGTTAAAGAGTTTTCAATCTTGGGGAAATATTCGAGTAGCTTGGAAATAGAATAGTTTGGAAACAGTTTATCAAATGTCACTTTGATCAACTCCTGTATAGGGATATAAAACGAATCTGGGATCAAAACTTTGTCAATCACATGAATAACCCCTTCATTGAATAAAATGTCCGAGTTGAGTGGAATAGGTATTGGATTCTCGCTGTTAATCTCAACGTAGTTTGTCTCATTTATAATCTCAACACTTTTAATGGCAACCGTTTGGCCATTGATATCATTCAAATTTGTGGAATCTTGGAAATCTGAGTATAATATTTTTTCAAAAAACATTCCTCGCATGATTTCCTCAAATATATCTGGATTACTTTCAAGATAATTTAAAACTAAACCCAAGCTATCCCATAGTCCTCCGCGAGGTGAAGAAGGAGACGAGTTTCTATTCTGTGCACCGCATGGTAGAAAAATAGTATACCCTTTATAATTCTCCTTTAATGAGTATAAATCAAAAGTGCTCAAGTAGTTCAAGGTTCGCAAACAATCCTGTCTATCGATTTGCACCCTTTCCAAGTAATCTGGAATAGTTCCTGTTGACATCATGTCTCCCAAAGAATGTTTTAAATTTGCTGGAGTTGAAATCTCATCGTTGGCAATAAATATTTGACTATTGTTACTTATCGGTATTCTCCGAAGTATCTCGGTGCCATCTAATATTCTAATCACCTCCTGTCCTCCGTCCTCGTAATACCTTGAAACCTTCATTTTGTAGCACCCGCCAATCTTTTTTTGCACATATAGTTTGGTATTAACTAAAAGATGGTTGTGCTCATTGGAAAAATCTATCGATTGATCAACAAAATGATACAAAAAGTCCTGTTTCAAACTGAAAGATGCTGATAATGCCTCATCTTCATCAACGTCGTCCCTCATATTCAAACTAACTAAGATAGTCTGATTCACCGCCGATCCGTCAACAAGATAATCTAATGATCTATATTTGAGCTCGTCGACAAAATTCGAGTATTGTGCTGCGTACAATGCTTTTCTTGCAATCATCTCGGCAACAGGGATATTTAATCGACTGAAAAACTGTTTTCCTTGACTGAATATTTGTACAATACCATTGGAAAGAACATGCGTTTTAGTTGCAGTGTAACTTCCTTCGAGTACTAATTTACCCTTCTCGTTCAGAAATTGATACTTTTGGCCTGCAAACGAAGTGCTTTTATTGCAAGTACCATTAATACCATCAATATAATCAGAAAACATCAAATGTTTAAGAAGATTCAAAGTATCCATCTTAATCTCAAAAGTAGCATCGTCTGTAAATTTGAATTCTTTGTTTGCGGCAGTATTTGCCAAATAATATTCCAATTGGAGACTTGTCATTGAATTTTTCAAGAGCTTGTCATCAGGAATGATCAAAGTTTTAACTCCATGTAGAAACTCTTGACATGTCGCAGGAATAAGCGGTTTTTCCTTATCCTTATCCTTATCCTTATCCTTATTCTCGCGATTTTTTCCTTGCTTTTTCGCATTGGTCTTGGTCGTTTCCCTTGTTGTCCCAGAATCGTTTTTGAATAACAGTTGAAATATATCATGCACAAGTGAAATTTCAGAACTCTTGGAACCCATGAGGACATCGCATAGGCTTGGTTTCAATGGAAGCAAGCGATCAATTCCCTGAACATACGACCACTGATGTTTAGCATACAAGTCTTCCTCTACTATGCTAGCAGTCTCGTCAATAATATACTCTTTTGACGTAGAGTCTGCTGTTATCTTGATTGGATAGTATCGGTTGGCCTCGGTCTTATATAGGGTATCATACACTACTTCCTCATTAGTGAGATTTCCCACGACAACCTTTTGATTCACAACATAGCGTAATAGCTCATTTATCTCTCTTGGTTTCTCTTCATTTGTAGACGCAAATGCCAGATTCACGGGAGCCAACAATGTTACATTTTGCATTAGATTGAGTTTCGGGATCATTCCGTGTCGTTGTAGATGTCTTAAAAAGTACGAAAACTGGGGCTGCGAAGATAGTATATCAACCATAACCGATTCCGTTGGCTGTGTGGTTTCCATCGTTGTTGTTGTTGTTGTTGTTGAGCTTGTTGCTGTCGCAGCAGCAGCCATACCAACCCCTCCTAAAAGTGGGCTTACAAAAAATAGTGCAAACGCTGTACACATAAACACCGCAGAAAACGGTCGACAATTCTCAAAGTAGTACCATACCATCCTCTCTGTTCTAGCTCATTACACAAGCACCCCTTTTAACTATAACAACGTAAACCTCAGGTCGAGATCATCTATAGCCCGGTGCTGTTCAATTGGGCCTTTAGTA